TCTCACGTCAAACCTCCTTCCTTGTCGTTGATTCTCCATCCTCCCTGCTGCGAGTTGCATTTGCTTCTTACCCATTTTCGGGGGGTTTCTTTCGTTTTTTTTTTCGGGGTCCCTGTCGTTCGTGCATCCCATTTTCTCTGGACGCTTTAGCCAAGGGCGTCTGGACTCGGACGGTGCTTTTCCGTAAAGGGATACAAAAAGCGCGACTTCCGGGTCTAGCAGACACCATACAAGCTCGGGCCGCATATCGAAATCGGAAGGGCCAGGATTTGTCACTTCTCGGCATAGTCGTACGTTTGGATAAAAACACTAGAGTTGTTCGACAACAGGTGAGGTACATGACTGGGGACGGAAGTGAGAATAATCGGAAAGCGAAACAGAGACCGGAATAATATCATTTTTCTGCTTTCTTTTTGCACGAGATGACAACCACTAGACAGGGGGAGACGAATGAGAAAATGGCGACACAGCCTTCGTTCAGCGAGGAATGCCAGGGAGAGAGCAGAATCGTGCATATTGCAAGCGCGCGGGTATGGGGCCACAATTTAACTGGACAGAGGCGGGGTCAATGTGTGGTATGTGCGGGGACCAGCGCATTTTGACCAATGAAGTGCGACGTTTTGTGGGGCCGCCACAGTGCTGCGTGTCTTTCGTTCCTCCATTCTCTCAGACATTCGGACTGGGGTCCAGAGTGCGACAGGCTACATATGAATATGCTGCTACTACTCGTACATAGTACTGTTCAGATCAATGCGGTCGTATATTCATCCGTCCAGAGGGAGAGACGACTGAGGGTCCTGGCCAGGTGGCTACAGGACAAATTTGGAACGGTAATTGAACATGACAAGAGAAGACATTGGGCAAACGGCCTAAGAGAAGGCCAACCAGCTCCCGGTAGAAAAGCTTCGCTCGCGCGGACGACTGAAAGTACGGGACTAATTACGAAGCGCAAGCAAACCAGCTTCACACGCGAGAGAGAGGCGAGCCTTTCTTCGTCGTTACAATTCTGCTCACAGGCAAGCCTTAGCGCTCAAAGTGCTTGTTAGGGGGCTGTGGATGCGGTAGCCTCTAGCGTGTCTCAGGGCAACACCAGCATCTGCGCTCCGGACGATGGACCGACCCGACAGTCTGGTAGGGTGGGTCCATCCTACGCCACATATTGGCTAATTCGGTGGTTAGGTGCGTTGCACTCCGATCAGGACAGTGCACCGTGCACCGTGCGCTTAAATCAGCTCTGCCCGGAAAGGAAGAAAAAGGGCAGGGAGATGCCGGGGGGTGGACAGCTGTGTACGGAGTACGAGGACTCTTGTCGTACTGCAATGTACGTACAAGCGATTGGCAGCGTGCAAATGCGTGCTGCTGCCGCACAAATTGGTGTTGAGACGCTGTCTGAGCCAAAGGGAAATTGGATTGCGTGTACACTAAACACATTTCCGAGGTCGGCAGAAGAGTCAAACAGAGCTCAAGTTGGACGTCAGGACATCGACATCCTCTCTTCTTGCTCGCTTCCTTATGCCCCATCTCGCCTGCTCCTCTGCACTCCAATCCGGATCGCTCTCCCCGGACCAGCACACCCTCCTACGCCCTCGTGTATGCCAGGCGACGCCAATCTAGCTGGACGAGGCCGAACAGGGAAAGGCTTCTCTCCTGCTGCCCCTCCCCCCCTTCCCTTGCAAGGATGAGGCTGATCAGGAATACGAAAACGGGCACTACTGGCTTGTCCGCGGCGACTGTCGGTCATCTGATTTGGGGTAATCACAGAGACGACTGGCAGAAGCGAGACAAAAGCGGCATGAAGGATGCTACTGCGACTGCGACTGCGACACAACCAACCAACAAGAAGGTGATGGGAACTACCGATGTTGGGCCCTGCCGGCAGTCCTGCCGTTGATATTTGCAGAACCGCTGTAACATACGTACGCTCTCTCTCTTTCTCTCTTTACTCTCTCTCTCTCCCTCTCCCTCGCTTTCTCTTCTGTTCTTCTATTTCACGTTCGAATCCACTTGCCAATCCGCCAATTTGCCGATTCCTTCTTTTCCTTTTTCCTGGCCGAGCGTGCTGCATTCCGTTTGCAAACAAGCGTTTTTCTTCCTCATCAGGGTACATCACATGCCTTTGTTCTTGGCCCATGCGCACCCCATGTGCACCGCTTCTCCTTGTCTCTTTTCGCCTCCTTCTCGACTTCCCTTTATCCTTCTCGCACTGCCTCTCCTCCACACCCCCTCTCTTTGTTTTTTTTGTTCATATCAGGTCGCATGCGTCTTCACACTGAAATGCTACCTTGTCTCAGACAGGAACATCCAACCCCCCCTGCACCTTTATGCTTTCTGTTTCGTCAATCTTTTCTTGACCTAGGGAGTCTTGTCGGCCTCATCTTCTTTGCCCCCTGTTCCCTAATACGTAGCACTTCCTCCTGCTCAGTTCCTTGCGGCAGCTGGCCGACTATCGGCACGGTCTGCTTTCTGTTGCACGCGGTAGAGGGAGAAATACCCACTACTCTGCTTTTTCGTCTCTGCTCTCCCCCAGATAAGTAATGGGGTCCGAGTTAGCTGTCTCTTGGCACGTCCTACCCTTGTAACTTAATTTCTACTACTATTGTATCCTATTTTTCTGCCTTCTGTGGCTTGCCTGCGGACATAGTAGCCACCCCTGGGATGGTTGCAGCCGCTTACCAGACCTCCTTCTTCTTACTTTGGCACTTCATGTTGCTATTTTATATCTCTGGACTCTCTCCCTTACTGCGCCTTGCCTTCTACACAGTACGCTCTGCGCCCTGTGTTCTGCGCTTAGAATTTTGATACCAAAATCCCGTCGGCTTTCGCTATTTTCAATGTCTGACTTTTATCATTAGTGTACACTTGAGCAGTGTTCCAAGCCTGACTCGTTCTTGCCCTCCCTTACAATCTATGCACGTAATTCATCCATTTTGTGTGCTTTTCTTACAACACCCCCCTTGACACCGAGAACGATAATCACACCAAATCGACATCTGAGATAATGTATTTTCTTAGCAGGGTGCAGACAGATGAAGACCAGAAAAGACGGCGTTTCCCAGAGAACGCAAGAGACAAAAGACAAAAAAAAATCATGGCTGTCCTTTGTGTTCAGAGGCAAAGGCAAAGCTTACAAATGCAGAATAAGACAAGCGCAACAGTAATTGATTCTGGAGAAGGGGATCGCTAATTATTAGACGCTAAAATTGCACGAGAGAGCGCCTATCCTAGGCGTAGCTTCGCCCGTGCGGCCATTCTCCCTTAATTTGTATCCCCGTATTTAGTACATTATGAGCATGCGTTCATCCCTTCAAGCCTGAGACGAGACCAGTATAGTGGTATCCTCACCCACATGCGCGCCCCCCAAGAACCCGGTTTTTTATGTCTGGGATCCGATTCGTTGTGCCGAATCTTCCTCTCTCGTCTAGTCGGTCGTCGGAAAGCGTGTTTAGGGAGCATTGTCTGTGGCTGGACACGGATTTCACGCTTAGGTTTTTTTCCTTGGAGCTCTGGAGCGCATGCCGCCCCCCAAATTGGCTGATCTGCAACAAGCCCCCGTCCGTGATTTCCTCCTAGGACGTGCCTTCTTTTCCCTTCCCTTGTCTAGGGCACTATGTGGTCAATCACCCCCCACTCCCCAGCTTCTGCACCGCACTCCATCGCGCGCCAGCTTGTTCTCGTCCCCGCCTAGCCTTTCGGATCAGCATCTACCATGTACGGAGTACTCCGTATCGTGGCGGACTCCGAAGCCTCGCCCAGAACCTCGCTAGCCCAGCAATGGCAATTTTAGAACTCCGATCAGAACGGCAGACAGCTTCTCGTCGCATTGCCTACCCGCGCGTCTTAAGCTGCTTCCTGGACCAGAAATTGCAGCCGTGAAGCGACTTTAGGCGCCTTTGTCGGATCTGCAAGCCTGCAGCACTGTGTAGCACTTTGCACTTCTGCCGTGCCTCTTACACTATGTATAGTATCTATCTTACGCACGTAAACGGTACTTCTCCCGCCCCCAGTGCATCTCCGATAGACTCGTTTCCTGCTTGCCACCCTTCTTTCAGGGGGGGCGACCTCCCCCACTGTCTTCAGCAACAGCCGCGCAACCTCGCTCATTCCCGGAGCCCTCTTCCTGCACCCCCCCCTTGCACCCCCCTTTGGCTTACTACTCTATGCATGCTGTCTTGCCGGTGAAAAGTACGATACATCCGGCTAGCGCAGGCAGCTCGTATGCCGCTCTCGCCTTTGCTGGCCCATGGAACTCAGTACTCTTCTCCACGCAGAGACGCTGGGACCAGGGGCCAAGGAACCTGACCAGTATACGGAGTACGTACATAATCATAGTCGAGTACGGAGTAGCCAGTGCAGCTAGCTGGCGCACCCAGTCCACTATGACGATCGGGATACCAGACAAGTACGGAGTACTTCGTCTCCGTCCCGGCTGCTGGTCCTCTTCGTTACAAATAGCCCGCCCCCGGACGGATCGAATAACAATAAACTATGCAAAGACATCGAGCGTCAACAGATCGGAAAGTTTACGCGTAGAAGGAAGGCACTACCGGCGCTCTGGCCCTGAACTATTAGAAAGCCTGCCTCTCCTCCCTCGTTTTTTATGACCCGTTCCTTCTGTTTTCGCTCCTACATACAGCCCGTCTGTTGACTCCTTCCCATTATCCCCTGTCCTCAACCAACGCCTTCCAATTCTCCGTACACTTCGTCTAATTTACGTTCTTTCCCAATTCACCTCTCTTCTCTCACCATTCACCCAATCCTGCATCTCTTACATACTCCGTCCGGGAAAGTACAACGGGGAATGTGTGAGCACGTCCTTCTTGCTGCACTCATTGCCACTAGCCCAAACCCCCTCTCCCTCTTCTGCGCTACCGAGACAGACCTTCTCCCTTTATAAGTACCTCGCCTGCTCCTCTGCTTTCAGGCTTTGTGGCAGACATTCTTCTTGCCAATATCTATAAGCCGTATTGGCCTTCCGTCTCGACATCATCATAACATCAATAATGCTGTCGACCTTTCAAGGTACGACTTCCGGCCTCATGCACACACCGCACACACCCTCGTTTGGGGAAAACTACGATCATTTCAGCGCGTACGGCGAGTCAACTGCACCGGATGCAACATCCCATTCGAACATGGAGTACAATTCTTTCTTGAACCCGAATCCCGCATACTATCCAACTGGACGGCCGCTTCCGCAGCCGCATCATCCTTACGACCAGCAGCAGCAGCAGCAGCAGCAGCAGAGCCCACATGGCCTCCCAACGACGTCGATACCGTCCATGAGCCAGATGCACGCCGGCCAACAGCATCAGTCGTCGATGCCGCAGCACGCCCTCCCCATCATTGGGCATACGCATGCGCAGCCGCCGCAGTTCCGCGCATCTCGTGGTGGCACGAGTCTCCAGGGATATAGAGATCCTACCACGCTGCACCCCGTGTACCAGAGCCAGACGCCGTCTACATCAGCGAAGCGTGTCCGCCAAACGCCTACAGCAAGCACCCACTCGACCTTGTCTCTCGACGGCAGCGTTTCAGACGTCCAAAGCACTCCTAGAAGTATCGGCAGCGACATGCGAGCGTACATGGTTAGCGGAAGCGGCAATGCAGGCACCTTCGGCACGACTCGGTCAGGGTCTGATGCGAATGTTAGCACCAGTTCGGCCACCGCTTCAAGAGTCAATGTGTCTCCGGAGCTGTTCGCCAGCGTCACTACTGATCAGCCCTCTTTGGTGCTCAGCGAGAGGGCCAGCGAAGAAGATCGCTATCTGTTCGAGCTGCACGAACAGTTTAAGGGCACGCGTGGCAAGGGCATGTGGGACGCCATCACGAGCCAGTACGCCGAGAGGTATCCCGGCTCACAGGCGACTGCCTGTTTGCAGATGAAGTTCACCCGGTGCTTCCGCCGGTTTATTCTTTGGCCAAAAGACGAGGTACGTTTATGTCGTTATCTTGTCCCCTTACGCTCATCTATTGACACTCTCTAGTTGGAATGCCTGTTGGAGGCGTGGCGTGAAGACGAAGCGCAGCGCTTTGCCCGGATCACAACGCTGATGAAGGAGAGGGGAGGTGGCAAAAAGCACGACTGGAAGCCTGCAGACATTGAGATGATTCTGGTCCGCCTGGAACTCGAGGAAGCAGACATGGACGAATTCACGAAAATCCGCCGTCGTCGTCGCCGCACGAGGCAGCGCAAGTCGTCTGCACCCAGCATTGCCAGTCAGCCGCACCATGCCGAAGTGGCCCCGGTCATGACAGCATCGACGTGGTCTGGTGGCTTCAGTCCAGCTGGCCTGACTCACCCGCAGTACAGCTTGCCGCCACCCCAGCAGGACAACGTCAACTACTCGCACTACGACGAGGACGACCACAGCGAGGTGAACTCCCAACTGGACCGGAAGTACTATAGTGATTCTTCTGCGTCGCCCGGTCAAGACGACATCCGCATGCTGGATGGAACCGTTGCTGGCAATGCTGGGGCTGCGGTCGTCAGCACTGGTACGGCTTCTGAGAATCTGATCCAGCTCCCACCTCCCACGTCGATATCTTCTGCCAGCATGCAGAACGCCCCGCCCTATGGACCTCTCACCTTGTCGCCGCATACTGAAAGAGTTTCCCAGAGCTCGTATGAGCAGCTCAACAATCGGCGCATGTCATCAGACCCATACCGGCCGTGACAAAAATAAGAAAAATACTGTATATGCTCCATTCCTTGTATTATTTTGTCGTTCCGTGTTTATTGCGATGGTTCTACATGCTTTGACTTGGTGGGATTATGATATACCGCAAGGAAATTGGGACAAACACGATTAGAGGCTCAGGTAAGCCGATACTAGTTGGATAACTGGGCGTGGTTTTCATAAATTACTTTCTTTTCATTTCTTTTGACGGAAGGGAAGTTTCTTGCTGTAGAGGAATGGAAACTGACGTTTCTTGGGTGGCGTTTTCTGATCCGAACGGGATGCTTTTTGTGTTTGCTTTACACGAGTACACCGCGGCCACAAGGCTTGTTACTTACTGATCATGATCATCGCAATGCTACGACTGTATCCGCGTTATTCTGGCGTGCCCCTGACTGTTCATTTTGAAGCGCTGCTGGGGCTGACGAGAATTTGTATGGCACATAATATGCATCCGAGAGGTCAGTGTCAGTGCGCCGAAGGTCCAATCACACTACACCTCTGTTCTCGCTTGGTCCAGGTGGCAGTTCGGGTACCTGCAGCAATCAGCCTCCTATAATATCATTTTTCTTTGCTACTTCCGCCATCCGATTTGTGAACGGTGTCAAGAAGGCCCGGAAAGGGTTAGGTCATGATGGAAAGCTGCAATGAAAAGGGATGTTGTACTCCGTATTTCGTTGGACTCGGGTGATCATCCTGGCATATGCCAGGGAGCAGGACATGAATCAGACAAGTGACGAAAGTTACTTGGTGCAGAACAGTGACAATCTCCGTTCCAATGCTGTGTCGTCATGGATCTTGTTCTGGCGATATGCGTGCTGAGTAACGATTGCATCGTCCTGTCTCGCCACGATACACCGGCTCTAGCGGCTATCCGAGTGGCAATGTAAAGGAACAGGGGTATGAGACGTTCTACGTAATTTCCGAGAAGGTTCCGGAATTTTGACCTTGAAGCCGAGTCTGGCCTTTTGAAGCGCAGTGTGAGTAATGCGCAGTAGTTGATTGCTCGACAGGCTGACTGGCTTGGACGAGAAATAAGGCTGTTCGCGGGCTTAGCACGTGACGGTGTTATTAGCCACAGTTCAGCCTCGTGTGGCGGGCAAAAAGTCAGGCAACGTTGCCGCTTCGATGCGAACACGAAACGGCCTGCACGATCCGGATCGGCTTTGATTTGCGCAGTGACCGAAATTCTTTTTTTTGGGGGCGGCGGGGACATATCTTGCATCGTTTTTTGGGGGAGAAATCTGCCATATGAGGGTGCCACGGTCAATCGATTTCGCGCAGAGTTCCTCTTTGTCCAATCCAGTTCTGATGTCGCCTTCTACCATTCTGATCTGCTACCGACTCCGGTGATGCCTCTGTCGGGCGCGAGGCGACCCGCAAGCGGGCGTGTGCAGGATGGCGGACGCGCATGGACGGTGGCAACAATGCGAGGGTATGGCAGTTGGAGGCGCCAAGAGCCGACGCTGGGACTGTTGACCTGGGTCTTTCTCTTGCTGTTGTCGGCAAGCTGGTTGACGGCTGTGTCGGCAATGCGCAGCGAGCGCATCGTGGAGCTGCGACGGGAGACGGTCAAGATGTTCTACCACGGCTACGACAACTACATGCAGATTGCGTTTCCGGAAGACGAGGTAAGACCGGGGCAAAGCAAGACTGGTCGGTCGATACAGCGCTGACGTTGGTTTGCGGTAGCTCCGGCCGGTGTCGTGCGCACCATTGACGCGAGACGCGCAGAACCCGGACAACGTAGCGCTCAACGACGTTCTGGGCAACTACTCGCTGACGCTGATCGACAGCCTGTCGACGCTGGCGATTCTTGCGTCGGCACCGGCGGAAGACGGCGACGTGGGACCAAAGGCGCTGCGTGACTTTCAGGATGGAGTGGCAGCTGTGGTGGAGCAGTATGGCGACGGGCGAGCAGGGCGTACGGGACAGGGCCAGCGCGGGCGAGGGTTCGACGTCGACAGCAAGGTGCAGGTGTTTGAGACGGTGATCCGGGGTGTCGGAGGGCTGCTGAGCGGCCATTTGTTTGCGGTGGGCGAGCTGCCGATTGCAGGATACGAGGCAGCAGCATGGCCGACGTGGCCAAACGGGCTGCAGTACGATGGACAGCTGCTGCGGCTGGCTCTGGACTTGGCAACGCGGCTGCTGCCGGCGTTCTACACACCGACCGGGATGCCGTATCCGCGGGTGAACCTGCGGCACGGCATTCCTTTTTACCAGAACTCGCCATTGCACGGAATGGGAGGTGGCAGCAGCAACAGGAACAGCAGCAGTAGCAGCAGCAGCGCGACGACGACACGGAGATCACAGAGACATGCAGTGCAGGGGCGGGCAGCCTGGTGCTGGAGTTCACGGTGCTCAGCCGGCTGACGGGCGACCGACGGTTCGAACAATTGGCCAAGCGGGCGTTCTGGGCGGTGTGGTACCGACGAAGCACGATCGGGCTGATCGGAGCGGGCGTGGACGCAGAGCAGGGCCGGTGGATCGGACACTATTCGGTGATCGGGGCCGGAGCCGACAGCTTCTTCGAGTACGCGCTCAAGTCGCACATTCTGCTGTCGGGTGCCGAGCTGGCCAACGGGACGCAGCTGCAGGCACGGCCGTCATCTTTGCGGTCGGGACGGTCGTGGCTGGACCCTAACGCCATGTTCCCGCAGCTGAGCGAGGAGGAGAACCGACCGGAAGCGTTTCTGGAAGCGTGGAACCTGGCACACGCAGCGATCAAGCGGCACCTCTACAGCGACCGGGAGCACCCGCACTACGTCAACGTGAACCTCTGGACAGGATCGCTGGCGTCGCAGTGGATCGACAGCCTGGGGGCATACTACCCAGGGCTGCTCGTGCTGGCGGGCGAGCTGGAAGAAGCGGTGGAGACAAACCTGCTGCACACGGCGGTATGGACACGCTATGCGGCACTGCCGGAGCGCTGGTCGATCAAAGATCGCACGGTGGAGGGTGGCCTGGGCTGGTGGCCGCTGCGGCCGGAGTTTGTCGAGTCGACATACCACATCTACCGGGCCACACGGGACCCGTGGTACCTATATGTGGGCGAGATGGTGCAGCGCGACATCTGGCGGCGCTGCTGGACGGCTTGCGGCTGGGCCGGGCTGCAGAACGTGCTGGATGGCGAGCAGACGGACCGGATGGAGAGCTTCTTTCTGGGCGAGACGGCCAAGTACCTGTATCTGCTCTTTGACGACCGCCACCCGCTCAACTCGCTCGATGCGGCGTACGTGTTCACGACCGAGGGACACCCGCTGATTCTTCCGCGACGACGGCGCGACCGGACGGCAAGCACGCCGAAACAGGCCGACCAGCAGATCCCGAGCACGCCGGTGCAGTCGTCGGCGACGTACAGCGGCACCGAGATCGGGCAATACGACGACAGCGGCTTCACCAACACGTGTCCGGTGCCGCCGAAGCCGTCGCCGCTGACGGGATCGGCCATCACGGCGCGGACGGACATCTACCACGCGGCTCGGCTGCTGGACCTGCATCTGATCGGGAGCAGCGGCCTGGTGGACCAGGATGACGGGATCGAAGCGGTGGAACAGACACACATACGCTTGAACAGAAGCGGCAGCACCTTTTTCCCGTGGACGCTGCCGCCAGCCATGCTTCCGAGCAACGGGACGTGTGCCAAGGTGGTGCAGCCGCTGGAGATGAGCCTGGAGTTTGCGTCGAATCCACAGGAGAGCGGCGGCAAGGGCTTTGGGCGCGGTGGTGGCAGCGCGTTCAACTTTATGCTGAGCATGCCGACGCTGGACCGGGTGGCGCCCGACAGGATCCGAGTGCTGACGATCTCGGGGCTGAAGCTAATCTTCCGGCTGGACGAAGAGCTGGCTGAAAGGACGTGGCGGATCACACGGGTCAACGGACTACCGCTGGGACGCGACGAGTCCATCTTGATGGATCGGGCACTGCTGAGCCACATCTCGGACGCGCGGTTCAATCTGGTGCGCGATCCGATTGTGGTGAAGCTGCATCATCTGCACTGGGATGGGGGGGAAGAGGGGGAAGATGGAGAGAACGGGACGGCTGATGGAGACAACAGAAAAGAGGATGGCAGCGGAAATGTGGACAACAAGGAAATGGCAGGCGAACGCGACGGCCTGGCAACTCTGATGCGGTCGTTTTGGCGACAGATTGTGTCGTCGTTTGACGGCCGACCGCACGTGACTTCTTCTCCAGGCAGCCGTCGAGGGTGGAGCAGCATCAGCAGCAGCATTGGCAGCAGCATCAGCAGCATCAGCAGCATCAGCAGTCGCAGCAGTGCGAACGGCGCACGACGACCGGCCAACATCCTGCACAACGCGACGGGTGTGACGCCGACAGGACTGGGCGCAGCACCGTTGCCACCAGTAGACGTGCCGGCCGGCGCCGTGATGCCGGCAACAGGACCAGTGCCTACGCAAATGTTGCCGTGGACGACGGTCTTTGCCGGAGGTAGCGGCTGTGATGGGCCGCTACCAGAAACGGCAGCACGTGACCACCAGATTTTGCTGCTGCGACGTGGCGGCTGTTCCTTCTCGGAGAAGCTGGCGAACGTGCCGTCGTTTGCGCCGAGCCGTCGAAGCCTGCAGCTGGTGGTGGTGGTCAGCGACGACGACGACGTGATCGTGACAAACCCGACGGGCAGTGGCCGCGGCCTGCAGGCCACGTTCTACGACGACGCGGCCGACTTTGTGCGGCCGCTGCTGGACGAGGCCCAGCTGACGCCCGGCGGACTGCCACGACGACACCAGCTGGCCATGGTCATGGTGGGCGGCGGCGAGGCTGCGTACCGGCGACTGGCCGAGGCACGGCAGCTCGGCCTGACGCGACGATACGCCGTCGAGAGCCAGGGCGTGCGCATTCGCAACGTGCTGATCGACGATGGCGATGCATGAGGCAGAGGGCAGTGTACACGAGCATGTTCCGATCCGATTTTGTGCTGGCTTTGTATTTCTTATTGCTTCGATCGAGAAAGGGATAGACAGATACCAAGCACGATTGTCTTGTTTTGCGAGACCGGCACCAACTCCTCCTTCCTGGCCTAACCGTAGATCAGCTTGAAGATGTCGTTGTAGACAAAGTAGCCGCTGGCGTCCTTGAGCAGCTGGAATGCCTGCGAGAAGCCCATCGGCCGCTGCTCCTCGTCGATCAGCAAATGGCCCGTCACCAGGACGAGCAAGCCGCCGTCCATCGTCGGCTGGGCGTCCTTGGTCGACACCTGGTGCGTGACTTTTTCAAACGGCAGGTTCTGTCTTGTCAGCAGGGATCAGGGGGATCGGAAACGACGACGGCTGCATCGCATTCACATACCCCCAGCTTCTCCACGATGGCGGCAGCACCCAGGACGGACGCCGACTCAAACGTCAGCATCGATTGGTCGCGCTGCTCGGTCAGTCAAAGGTCAGAGAGATCTAGGGCCGTTGGGGCAAGTCCGTACGTAGAGCGCCTGGAGCTGCTTCCGGTTGCCATCAAAGGTCTGGTAGTAGAACGACACAAACTGGTCTGGCAGCGGTCAGCGAGAGGGAGCCTGTCAGGACGGACAAGACACATACCGGCAACCGTCTGAAAGTCTGCTCGCCATCGGACCTGTTAGCCAAGCTTGATCGTTGGGAAGAGCCATTTCGGCCTGTGGGCGACGGCCGTCCGGCCGACAGACTCACCGGCCATCTTGTCGGACAGAGTGGTTTCGTGGGCGGGTGTGAAGAGCGTATCGCTGGTGGGCGTGGTGGTGGCGAGCGGGTGAGGAGAGACAGAAGACGAGAAGCGAGAAGCCAGAAGCGAGGAGAGGAGCAAGAAGCCTGGCGGGGTTTCGACAGGTCGCGATTTTGCCTAGGTGGGGTCGGCTGTTGCCCGGCGCGACAGCAGAGGTGGGCTGCGACTGTCTGTTAGCGGGTACGGCCTTGGCCAAGCACGGCTGCACTGTAGACGAGGTCTCGTCCTAACAAGCTCACCTGGAAAAGGCGGTGGCCAGACACACGGCAGTATATGTGCCATTCCCTATAAAGTCAGAAAATTTCAAGCCGGTGGGACACGGTCTCTCTGCCTTTCCATTCCATGCGCCCTTTGCCGATAGTGAAGGGCACGCCTGACCGGTACGTTTACAAGACCATGTTTTGTTCCTACACTCTTCTACACACGCTGCATATGATGATCCTATCTTTGAACGGCCAACTGAACAAATCAAACTTCTGTTGATAAACGAGACGCATCACAAATCTTTTCTGATCCTGCACACCCCCATCTGCACTGTACACAACAGCCTCTTGTCTTGATCTCTGTTGCTGACCTGCGATACAGCTCACATGTCATCGATGCGCACAAACGTAAAGACGCCCTCGACCGTGTCGTCGTCGCGGTCCCAGAACTCCACCACCAGGCTGCCGGCCCTGCCATCGGCGCCAACCTGGAAACGAGCCCGGCCGTAGCCGCGGAAGTTGCCGCTGCGCTCGTACAACATGTCCGTGTACATGGCCCAGCTGTCGCCCGAGACGTGCACAAATTCGCACAGCGTCGGCCACGTGTGCTCCCGACGCTCGGCCGTAAAGACGACCCCGTAGTCGCTGTAATTGCTTTTCATCAGCTGGAGCGTGAGGTTCTGGTAGGCGGGGTGGTAGTATGTGCCGACAAAGTCGGCCAGCGGCAGCGATGGCGGCAGTGGGGGTTGCGCGCGTTGGGGGTATAGGCGGTCCAGCGCTGTGTCGAACCGGGCAGCCCGTGTGGCCGCCTTACTGCGCAGCTTGGCCGACCAGTCGTAGCGCTCTGCTGGCGGAATGCCAAAGTGCTCGTCCACCAGGTGCCACAACAGCACGAGCTCGGCCGCGTTGGACGTGATGGCCGTGTTGCCGAACAGGACGACGCCAAAGCGGTCGTCAGGAAAGAAGTAGACCTGTGCGCCAAAGGCGCTGTGATTAGTCAGCATATATATGTTCCGATCACGAGTCACGACGCACTCCGAAAAACCTACTTGCTCCCACCTGAGTGGCCCCAGAAGCGATGTCCACGGTATGAGCTCGTGGTCCAGGCGCTGGCGTAGGCCACCGGGGCGTCAAACGGCTCAGCCGAGGCGGCTGTCTGGGTAGTGAAGATCTTGGGTGTGAGGATATGGTCGAAGCTGGCGCCGGTCAGCGGGATACCGCCACAGACGTTTGAAACGTTGGCGGGCGAGGACCGCGACGCTGCCGGGCCGTCGATCCAGCAGCGGAGCCAGCGAGCGTAGTCGGCGACGGTAGAGATAATGCCGCCGGCGCCGCTGACCTCGTGGAGCGGCATATGGGGAACGGGCACGTAGACGGTCGCGGCCTCGTCCCAGTAGTAGCCCTGAGCGAGAGAGGCAGGAGCCGGGGCAGCACGGGCGTGGTCGAGGCTGAGGAAGGTGGAGCGCATGCCGAGCGGTGCCCAGAGCCGGTCGTGGAGGATGTGGCCGAGCCAGCGGCCACCGGCAAGAGTCTCGACGGCATGTGAGAGCACGAGAAACATGAGGTTGCAGTAGCGGTATTCGGTGCGCGGGCTCGTGGTCAACGGCAGGTGTCGGAGGCTGCGCGTGACCTCGCGCACACCAGCCGGATAGACACCGTCGAGGCCGTAGCGTCGCGACCGTGTCAGGTCATGGCCGGCGAGGCCGCTGCGGTGCGCAAGAGCATCATCGATCGTCAGGTGCGCTGTCGCCCAGTCGTCGTCGGCCACCACAAAGTCGTCGCGCAGGATGGCCGACAGCGGCGTCGACCAGGCGAGGGGCGTCTCCTCGCCCGCCGTGTACTGCCCGCTGTCGATCAGCAGTCCCAGCGTCGCCGCCACAAACGCCTTGGTCGTGCTGGCCGTGTAGAAGAGCGTGTCGGCTGTCACGGGCTCATCTGGCAGCTGCGCGCGCCCAAAGCCCGCCGTCCACGTCGCGTCGCCATCCAGCACCGCCGCCGCTATCCCCGGCACCCGCCACGCCGCCAACGTCTTCGCCGCCAGCGCCCCAAAGGCTGCATCAAATGGGCTGTGGCCGGAGCCTGAGCCGATGCCGTCTGCTTCGTCTGATAATCGCTGCTGCTGCTGCTGCTGCTGCTGGCTCGGCGCCAAAGCTATCGCCCCTAGCACGGGCACCGCCAGCACCAACTGTGCCGTTCTGCTTGCCAATTTCAGTCTCATTGTGCATGCTTTGGCTGTAGATGGATGGGAATCTTGAATCTAATCAGAACAGAAAAGAACAGAACAAAAATAGCGACAGAATCAAGAAGACAGACGCTCCTTCCTAGTCTGGTCTCTTTCTTGATTACACATGTGGGGCATTCCGGCCGTTCTCGCATCTACTCCGTATCGTGTGTGGATGCTAATTAGGTCCTTGCGCCTCGTGTCTGCATGTCGAAAATGATTGAAATAAACAGATGCCGAAAGAATGCAAATAAACACTGTCCTTTTGTTCCTTAGCAATTTCGACCCGCAACTGTCCCTGCTTGTGAACGTATCATACAACGCCTGCATCCTTGGCACTGTTCTCCCATTGTGCCGAGGTCAGCTCATATCCTCTTTGCTCTTTGCTCCTGGCATCTTGCAGTCGCCGTCCAATTTTCAGGCCTTCTTCGTCTTCTCAAAGTCCCGCAGCAGCTTCTTGCACCCCACCAGATGTGTCTGCGGCTCCCACGTGCTCTTCGACTTGGGAAAGCCCTGCCATTTGAGCAGATACTCCTTCTTCATCGTCGTGCGATCCACGCGCTCGTCCAGAATCGCCTCCACTGTGTACACCTCCGGTGTGCTCTTGCCTGCAGCCGGCTTGCGGCCCCGCTTGGCCCCGCTTGTTGCCTCCTTGGCCGTCTTGGCCGTCTTGGCCGTTTTCGGAGCTGGCTCGGCCGCTGGCTTGGCCGCTGGCTTGACCGCCTATTCGTAGTCAGTAACATGTCAATCTGTAACATCCCAGAGCCACTTACGGCAATGGCGGCAGCTCTCTTGGGCAGCGTCAATGTCCGCACCGACTTTCGTGTTTCTGTCGATGGTGCAATAGTGGCTGCCGTGCCGGCAGTCTTTTTGGGTCTGCCCCGGCCCCGGCCGCTTACTGCTGCGGTCTTGGTGCTGCTGGTGGCCGTCTTCTTTGCCTGTGCCGGTGCCGCTGTCGTGGCTGTTTTGGCCGGCCGGCCCACGCGCTTCTTTGCAACTGGCGTCTCGGCCGCTGGCGCCGCCTCATCGACCGCCGGGCGCTTGAGCGAACGCCGCGGTGCCGTGGCCGGTGCCTGCAGAACAGCCGCAGCCGCAGCCGCGCCGGGCACGGGGATAGGAGCCGAGAGTCTGCGTCGAGACTTAACCGGCGTAGCTACTGCGATCGGAGCGCGGCTGCCAGGCGGTCGGCCAACCGGCCGACCTATTGAAGGCATCATTGTGCGCGGACCCGGCGGCCGGCCCCTCTTCTTGACAGTCGGCACCGGCGACGTCGCCGCCGACGTCTCTGCCGATGGCGTCCCAGCAGCTGACCTGACCTCCTTGACCTCTTTAGCCTCCTTGATCTCGCTCACCTCTTCGGCCTCGCCGTTCCCGACATCGACATCGCTGACGTTTTTGTCGCCGACATCATCGCTCGACCCGCCGCCGATCACGTCCAGATCCGACAACTCCACGCTGCCGCTCATCTGCGCCCGAATCGCGTTTTGCACCTTGCTGCTGCTGTTGCTCCGACGTCTCTCGTCCGCCTTGTCTGCTGCACCGGCCGACTCGCCCCCCAGGTCGCTGACCACCAGCAGCCTCCCTGGCGACGCGTCGTCGGCCACGATGCCTGCGCTGCCGTCCGACTGCTCCTCGTCCTGTCCATTGAGATGTCCGGGTGTCGGTGAGCTGGGCGCGCCGCCACCACCGTTGGACGAAACCGGAAGCGCTGCGTCTCTGGACGATTCCGGCGACTCGGCCGTGTGGCCTGCAGTGAAAAAAAAAGGCATGATCGCGCAATCGGCTGAAGTGTCTGCGTCCTCAAATTCTGTTTGGCTACTGATTTCCTGCTGCTCCGCGAAATTGAAAAGAAAAAGAGAGACGACAGAGAGGAAAGTGATAAGGCGCGTAAGATGGGTGAATAATAAACAAAAACGCGGAGAATTCGCATTATTATTGCGACTGTCCACGTGACTCCCCTGCGCACATTACTCATACGCGCTCGCGTCACTCAGTGCACCTGCTTTCCCTTTCAACCCGTTTCAACTTCTCCATTTAATACTCCGTGTCCTACTACTCGTACGTGTCAAGTGTGGGAATTCGCCACACTGTAGACCTTCTGCCCCAGTTGGTAATACGGCCCAATGATTGGTCAGAAGGCACAAACGCGGGGCCTGGCACACTAGTATTAACACGGTCCCTAGAAGGGTTGCGATGTACTCGTATCTATTCTTCCTTAGTACTGCATACGAGTACAACACACAGATTTGCTCACATCTTACCCAAATCAGCCTCCTACTCCTCACAGTGCAATATCACCTTCATGAACCCTGCGCCTTGGCTGTACGCGTTTACACTACGAAATACTCCGTACACCTCTCCGGAATGCAGAATCGCCTCGCTAGATGGTGCATTGGCCATTTCTGAGACGCTGCAAGAGTCAGCCTGCAAGTCTGAGTTCAGATAGACTAGTTTATCGCCGATGCGCTATTGGCTTCGCCGCTTTGTAAGGTATGTTACCTTACTCGTACTTTCAGCAGCAATGCTTGTTACTGTACTGCACCGCACCCACGTGATAACTGCTACCTCCCATGTCCTTGTCTGTAAAGTAGAAGCAACGCTGAGCTCACGGGAAAGACAGACGGCCAACCAAGTCCCGCCTTCACTAAAAACACAAGAAGAAAGTACATGTATCGTCCCGGGACAAGTCGAGCGTGGCAGACATCTAGTCTAGCTCTTCCACCCGCTTGTCGTCGTCTATCTGTTGGAAGCGGCCTTCTCGCAATGCCGTCGCAACTGGGTTCTCCACGTTCACAATACCCGTTCTCCTCAGCCTAGAGATTCGCAAATGTTAGTTCAGCACAGCAAACCAACACATCAGCTGTAGCGTTTCTCACCTCTCAAACAGGACGAAGAGTCGCTCGGCCTCCCGCTCCTTCTCCTCATCCGTCATCTCCGGCAGGTCAGGTTCCGTCTCCTCGTCGATGAACTGGCCCGTAATCGCATTGATCACCCGTTTGTTGTCACCGTCTGCTGCTGCTGCCGCCTGGAACGCCTCCGTTGCCCCCTCGGGCATCGGCACGTTGTTCTGGAACAGGAAGCCCGACGCAAACCCGTAACCCACGTTCTGCACAAACTTGGTCGCGTCCTTGTCCGACAGCTCAAACAGCATGTGTGCTACCGCGTTGCGGAAATCTGGCGCCAGCGCGTTCGTCATGTGGCGCAGCAGCTTCGCTGCCAGCGTGTCACCCCACCCCAACACCTTCTTGCGGTCTGCCGCCTTGGGCAGCAGGCCGGCACGCAGCGCCGGCCGCACTTTGTCTGCTGGCGCGAGCTCATAGATCTTGCGCAGCGCCGTCACCAGCGGCAGCACCGCCTGGTCGAGCTCCGTGTCGCTGTAGTTTTGCAGCGCCAGGTCCAGCAGCTGCACGAGCCGGTCTGCAAGCATCGTCGTCTCGCCCTTGGCTGGAAACAACGCCGCGCTGCCCTCCTTGCCGGCGAGGTTGAGCGTCAGGAGCGCGTTGACGAGCGAGCTGACCGGCGCCTCGAGCGGCTTCGGCTGCGGCGTGTCGTGCTTGCAGATCATAGTCACAATCGGTGCAATCGCCGGCGTGAACGCATCGACACGGTCCTGGCAGAAGTGCGTGACGTTAAACAGGAGCTTGGCCGTCTCGGTCAGCGCCATATCCGCCATGGGGTCTGCCTTGGAGGTTTCCTTCCCCTTGGCCTTTGCAACCAAGCTGCTGCCGGCGCCAGCGCCGGCAATCATGCTGCTGCTGTTATTCGCACTCTTTCCCGAGAGCTTGGCGTGTCGTGCCAGGTTCTGCACAATGGCATCGGCAAGGTGGTGTTGGTCGATGAGCGTCTGCAGCTGCACATTGGTGCCGTACGTAGTCAGGAAGATGATTCTCGACAAGAGGAACTCCGTGTCCAGATTCGCCGACTTGAGCTTGTTGCAGGCCTTGGGCGCATAGCCGAGGTCGACAAAGATCTGTCGCGTTTCCGGTTTTATCAGGAGGGCGTTGGCCAAGCACCGCAGCGCATTCCGTGACGTTATGGTCGACGAGCTGTTGAATGCATGTTTCGTGAGAGTCTCAATGCCCTCTTTCGTGAAAATGGGGTCTGCGTTTCGTGGATCGCGACCGTAGACCTTGAGCTCTTCCAGAGCTGCATCTCGTTCTGCACGCAGGTACGGTTAGCGTTTGAGCAGCACAGCTGCCGTCGGGCGCAACATGGAATCGAGGAAGGGATAGAGCGGGGCACAAAAGCTTTCGCTGCAGCAACTCACGCTGGGACGGCATATGTGTGCTGCTGGCAAGATCGGCGGTGAGCAGGCGCATCAGCTCGGACACGGCCTTGAGCTTTGCTACACCGTGACGTCAGCGTCTGAGCTTTCTTGGGATTAGACGACGACGACGGAAGACTACTGCTTACAGGTGCCGGTCAGACCGCTTTGGGGCAAGGGCTGCGACATGGCTCTCCGTCTCTTCTCCTTCTCGTTGTGTATGCGTTTTTGGGTGTGAGAACCAGAGTTGACTTGGCCGCGCCCATGTGGACAGGACAGGCTCAGCTTGTCGGCGGCTGAGAAGCGCTGCGCCGATGCAAGATGACAGGCGAGACGGCCGAGGTCTTTCACAGCGCTGCAGATCGAGCAAAGGGCATGTGTTCGCTGGAATGCGGGGAATGACGAGACGAAGGGCAGAAAAAGAAAGATCTGAAACGTCGAGATGGCCGGTGCTCGTGGGCGTCTGCCTGGAACTGTCTCTGCTGCTCGTGTTGGTCGATGCACGTTTTTGCGCCTTGCGCCCTGTTTCTCCGGCGTGATACTTTTTCTTTTTTAAGTTACTCAGTTCCCCCCTTTTTGGACGGGTATCCGATCGATAGCAGGGGTTACAAGGCGGTAGTGATAGACCGAAAGCAGGCGAGATGCACGAGAGAATGAGAAGAAGAGATGGGAGGAAGAAAGGGAGAAGGGAGGGCAGCAGTGGTGGGAAAGTCCAGGCTCAGAAGCGAAGGGCAAGTGCGTTGGCGAGCAGGGAAAGACATGGCGGTGATCTGCGGCGATGGACCCTTGAAACTGGCTGCTGGCCGACAATCCTTGCCAGAAGAGCACCTGATCGCCTAGAAATCCAGCTAAACCGGCAGGCGGCTTACTTAATGCACAGCTGTCCAGTCGGTCGCACCCTAGCGCACGTCAGAGCCGCGAGTAGGCCGGCGGTGGCGGCAACTAGGGGACCTGACGGCCATGCCCAGTGAAACACGTCGCGTATACAGCGGCAGACTGGAATTATATTTGGGGGCATCGAGGCTTTACAGGCTCTCAGCACGTAATTACGGTGAGGACGCCAGGACCACCGGTCCCCACCTGCCCGTTAGACGGAGAGCGAGTAGCGCCTTCTGCGCCCGTTATTCCCCATGTAGCCATGCGATGAAATACCATTGTCACGGCGTGCTCACCTGGCCGCCCCACCACATCTCGTGAGTATGTAATCCGGCGTACGGGGTAGTCTAAACGATATATGCAGATAGACCAGCGTCTTCTGTCGCGCTAGACATGTGTGGGGCAGCGTCTGGCGTCCTTTTCGCGTAAATTGGCGATACGCGACTGGGATGCGCGTGTTCCTCTAGACTGTATGAACCGGGCGAAATTTGAAATGGCGGGAAAGCTTCTTAGCACGTCTTCCCTTTTGGGATCGCGTCCCTTTCTCGACTGAACGTCCTGGCTCTTACATCCTCTCCGGACCCAATCCTGTTGCGTTCTGCTCTTCCGGCACCCGTTTCCTGCTCGGTTTTTCCCGCTCTCTTTTTTTTCTCTCTTTTCTGCCCGCCCACTTTGTCGGCCGTCTTTTTTTTTTGCCTTGCGATTTCTCGCAGTTGCGGCTGCATCGAAAACTAGCGACATACTCCATAGGTCCAGCATTGCTCAGTCGGCCGAGCGGCTATGAACCGTGAAGTCTAATTACGAAAACCTGCTGCCGCTATCGTTCGGCGTGCGCTTGTCTTCTCTCCCCCCGTCTGTTTCGTCCTCCTCTTCACAATCCGGGCTATGGGACCGACAGAAACTGCTGCCTCAAGGCTTCTCGAGTCTCTTCCCGCACGACCACCCACACCGCCACGGGAGATGAATCATGAACCCGAGTTGCTTCCGAAACAGGTCGGGTTCCTCGATCCACGAAGCAGCCTGCAGACGCCTCCCAGCATACACTCGCCTCAATCAGCCCGCAAGACTAGGAGTACGGGCAGCCGGAAGAAGGTAGAGTTTTCCGCACAAGCACATTACCAGGAAGCACCTGTCTATCCCGGAGACATCTCCATCTTGTCCCAGCAGGGCCGTTCCACGCCTCCGATCGCCGTCATTCCGCCGTCCTCGAGCGCCACCAAGCCGGCCAAGTCGATCCTCAAGGCCACCGCCTACGAGGCAACCATTGCGTACGATTCAACACAACCTGCTTCACCTGTGTTAATTGTCGATATGCTGGCTTCCACGGTGCAGCAGCTCGCGGGCGCCGACCGCGACTCCAAGCTGGATGCCTACCTCACGCTCGCTCGCGCCCTGAAGGCCTCGGATAACCTCCCTGATCGCATCGCCCTCCAGAGCAAGATGACTCTGTTCACGCACTTCATCCAGCGTGATATCACATCGGCCAGAACGGCGGCCGGCACCCTCGACTCTACCATGGTCCTCGCCGCTCTCGACTTGCTCAATACCTTTCTCCGCTTCTCGGCCATTGCCTCGACCCTTTCCAACGACTTTGGCGTCTTCATCATCGACCACTGTATCCGCTCCTTTGAGGTCGTCGAGGTACCCCGTACTGTTCTCCGCGCGCTGATGCGTGTCGTCGGACTCCAGGGCTTTCCGCCCAAGGTCATGACGTCGGACCGCGTCGGCCGCCTGGTGGTGGCCCTGCATAACATGGAGGAGCAGATGGAAAGCCGGAATACGCTGTTGCTGCGCTGCATTATCTACCGCACACTGGTGAGGAACCACCGGATGCTCATGGCACAGCACCTGGACTGGCTGCCCGACCTCTTCACGGACATGCTCAGTTCGGCGCCCATCATCCGCGAGGCTGCCATCAGCCTGGGCCTTGACGCGGGTTTTGCGCTGGCTCGCGAGCGGCCGGTTACCCAGCGCGTCACGGATTTGTTCCAGACCTCTGTCGACGACGAGATGTACATTGAGTATTACGCCAACAGCTTGGTTGCCATGATCAAGGACAAGGACGACGCGCCGTATGTGCCGCAGGTGTGGAGTGTGGTTACTCTCTTCATTCGCGCAGTCGAGAAGTGGGAATATTTCAATACGTGGCTTCGTATCATCCAGCGTTGCTTCAACAGTCCCGACTACCGGACCAAAATTGAGGCCAACTACGCATGGTCTCGTCTCACGTATGCGGGAATGCGTGACCATCGGATTCTGCCGACAAAAATGGCCACCACCGTGACAAAGGCTCTGGTGTCGCAGCTTCGGCGACGGGGAGGGGGCAAGCTTTATGACGACCACCGGCGGGTGGTTATTGGCACGATCTGCAATCTGTTCTACTATTCCATGCGCCCCAATACGGAGTCCAGGGCGCTCGACAGTGCGTGGGATCTCAGTGTGAAGCCTGTGATCCTGCAGCTGCTTGAGCAGCCGGCCGTCAAGGAGAGCAAGGAGAAGCAGAAGGCCAACCGAGAGACAGCAAGTGCTCTTCTCACAGGCCTCATCAACTGTTCGGTCGCCCGACCATGGCAGGAGGACCATGTGGTGAAGAGCCCGCTGGTGTTGCCGGAAGACCTGCCGGCAGTGGACGCCAAATGGGTGCGGCGCAACTCGGAGCGCGTATTCGCCCTGGTTGGGCCCATTGTGCAGCAGAGCTTCCTGGACCTGGCTACACCGCGAAGCTCGACGCAGATGCTCTGGCGGGCTGTAGTGGGAGCCGCCGCCGTGGCAGCGGCCAAGGAGGTCAAGGTGTCTACGGAGACGGCTGTCTTTGTCAGCCACGCCTTCTCGCTGCTTCTGGCGATATGGACGGCGGGTGTTTCGACGACAGCGCAGACAGACGATGGTGACAAGAGCTTCGCAGCCAAGCAGATGCTTGCGGCCACACGCGAGTTTCTCCTGACCATGGTTGACGCCCTGGGCTCGTTGCCGTTTACGGAGAAGCAGCTTGCCAAGGACGAGAGAAACGCGTTCGTGGCGGTCGGAACACCCTCACAGCGGACGGGCAAGAGCCACTCGCTTGCCCGCTCTCCTCTTCACCACCTCTTCGCCATCCTGTCAAGCCTGCCTCCGGGGGTCCAGGACAACGACGACTTTGCTGACTTTATTGAGTGTGTCTTTGCCCCCTTTTTCTCTACCAAATCAGGCAAGGGTCGACGGATGTTGGCACTTGGACTGCTGCAGACGATTCCGGCGGATGTGCAGTGCCCATATGGGCCCTGGCAGGCTGTCGCCAAGCGAATTGCTTCGAGCATGGACGAGCAGACGGGCAGTACTGGTGGCAGCGGAACAGGAGCTGGCTACAACGAGTTTCAGCTCTCGCCTGGCCCTGGCACCGGTGACGGCACACCAGTTGGCTACCAATACCGGGAGGTTGTGCGCGTCTTGGAGCGCGGACTCCGGTCTACACCAGAGCTGCCATTCTCTCAATGGCAGGCCCTCTTCTGCACCCTCTGCGACAGGGTGCGGGAGAACACAGGGGATGCCGGGCTGGCCATGTGCGTCCTTGACCCGATGGCAAAGGCTGTTGCAGACCTTTGCGATGCCTCCTCAATCCAAACAAGATCGCCGACGGCAGCCCGGGCTATGGTCGAGTTGCTGTCTTGGGCAACACAGCCCCGAGACCGACAGGCTGTCGACGCGGCCAAGCGGAGACTTTGGGGCACGGCCATCGCGACGGCCAACTCGACATGCTCTTCTGACCCGCTGGAGCATCTGTATGAGGCTGTCAGCGTCGCCCTAAAAGAGCAGTACGGCAGACCAGGCTTGCAAAAGGCGGCTTCGAACGACCTGATTGCCTCGCTTCTGGAAGAGCTGGCCCGTTTCTTTGCGCGAGGAAACGACCAGCTCTTCTTGAAGGCACTCGCCGCTATGCAGGATGGCCTTGCGCTCTGGATCCGGGACGAGTCCGGGCTGCTCAGCCGGCAGAATCCCACAACGGAAGCTGTAAGTACCCACTGAACTGATTGATTGTATTCTGGATGTTGCTGATTCTATTGTGCAGACGAAACGGGTGTGGGAAGAGCTCTGCACTCTGCTGGAGCGCCTGAGCAACCAAGACAATTTCCCATTGGACGTGCTGGAGCCTCTGTTTTCTGCAGCGTTCAGCAGCAGACACCGGAGTATTGTCAACAGAGCGCTGGCTTTGTGGACGAGCAATTATGGCGGTTATGTCGGGACGATCGATTACCCCGACAAGCTGAAGAAGGATCTGGCGGCCCTGCAGCCTTTTATTGACATTGCCATTCCCGGGCTGGAGGCGTCTCTAGTCAACACAGCGGATGCTCGGCATCCTGTGTTCATAGACGACTCACAGGACGACGCCGACACGGACGCTGACGTGCGTCTACCGCCTATGGAGATCTTGGACGTTGAAGTACCGACGTCACAGGCGGCATCATCTTCCTACCAAGCGCAATCGCCATTTGCGATCCCACTATCTCTGCCTGCAAGGCGCCAGTTGGAGAAGAAAGCAACGGCTCCGAAGCCGCGACACGACGACTCACAGATCGAGTTTACCCTGATTGACTCGACGACGGGCTTCCCCAGCAGCAGCAGCGCGGTCAAAGCGGCCAAGGGCAGTTCGAGCGATGGAGACAGCGCAGACGAGTCGCAGATGTTGACGGAGAGACAACGAGAAGTGCGAGAACGCCAACGGGAGACGAACGCGCTGTACTCGGACATGATCAGCTCTACGCCAACGCGAGCAGAGCCGAGAGCACCTCCTCCCAGGCTTCCGTCCGAGGAGCAGATGCAGGAGGACGAGTCAACGCGATCGCTGTCTCCGATGCAAGACGACGTCCGGTTGCCGGAGCAGGTGCAGGTGATGACGCCGGAGAGGCACAACAGCGAGTATGCGGATGAGTTTATCGCGTCGACACCGACGCCTCGTCGCGGCCAGACGCTGACGCTGGCGGCCAACGACAACGACAACGACAACGATCCGCCGTCGTCGCCTCCGGAGCCGCGACGGTATCCCCTCCTGCCGGAGATGGGATCGAGGTCACGCAGTAGCAGCAGCAGCATGTTGGAGGAGTGGCCATTTTCGTCTTCGCCGGTGACGGGCTCGCCGATAGCAGCGCGCCACACAGCTCCAGAGCCGGAGCTTAGCCTCGAAGGGCTCACAGAAGCAGACGAGACGGACAGAGCGACAGAGCAGAGCTTTGAGAGCGGGAGCTCGTTGGAAGACGTGTTTGCGGCGGCGGCTGCAGCTGCAGGATCGCGAAGACAGCGATCAGAGGGACCGTCGACGCCGACACGTCGAAGCGCGCGATGGCAGCAAAAGACGCCACAGGCGATGAACAGCCGAAGGGCAGCGATCCGGGACGCGACCAAGTCGAGCCCAATAGGACGGACGAGCAGCGGACGGCGTCGGATCAAGATCATGGCAGCACAGTCGCCAGTGGCCGTGGCAGCAGGTCCATCGCAATCGTTTCTGCTCAGCGACGGCGACGAGCGCAGCATGCTGCGACTGGCCATGGAGCTGGACCAGCGGCGGCCACATTCGTCACCGGCCGAGACGACGACGGCCAGCCGCCGTGGCAGTGGCAGTGGCAGTGGTAGTGGTAGTGTGGACGAGAATGGTCACGTGGATGAAAATGGTCACGTGGCCGACTGCATCACGGTGCTGGCCAGAGACGAGTCGGCGAGACCTTTGGCCGGGCGACGGCTGCGAAAGCGGAAGCGCACAGCCGGCGAGGAGACGGGCGAAGCGGACGGAGAGGACGGAGAGGAAGGCGCCAAGACGGACAGGTCTCTGCTGGAGGACGAGGAAGTGCAGTCGCAGCTGGCGCTGGAGGTGCAGGAGCGCAACGAGCGGCTGGGGCTGGTGGAGAGACGTTCAACAGCCGATGCAGAGGCCGAAGAGGACGGACGACCGGCCAAGAGGACGCGGCTGGCCGGCATCCTGTCGATGCTCAAGGACAGCCTGGCGATGTTGAAGATGGCGGCGCTCTCCCGCGGCGAGGTGCACGAGATCGAGGACGTGTGCATGGACATTAAGCGGGAGCTGTACGAAGCCGAGCTGCGAGGGAGGGGAGGGGAAGGAGGGAGGGAGGAGTGAGGGAGCACATTGGCATCAGCTATAGCGTGTTTGGAGTTGTTTGGGCGTCTTGGGTTCTGGCTTTCGACGGTTGCTTATACCTGCATGGCCGTTATGTACGAGATAGATCAATAGAGATGTGAGGGTGTGTATGTGTGTGCGGTGGGTGTGTATTGGGTGTTTTTGTGTGCTGTAGTGTGGTGTGCGCTATAAAGTGTGCTGTAGAGGCTGTACTGGACCTGGATATTAGTCATGAAGGCACTGACGAGCCAGGAGGGACAAAACTCCCTCCAGAGACCATAGCTATTATTGGCTCTTACCCCACCTGTTTCAACCATGTCTGAGGCTACTCCGTAGTCTGGCAGCTGTCGCCGTTTTTGAACAGCTGCCCCGCCAGTAAGACGCCAGCGCACCGAGCAGCCCCGCCTTTCCAAACGGCTGCTTCTGTCGACTTGTCTCGTTCCTCTGACCGTCAGCTCGACTCTTTTGGTCTCGTCGAGTCCGTCTGGCCTTGCTTTCCGCCTTTCTGTTGTCTGCCCGTGTCTGTCGAGTCGTCTCTCTGTTCGCTTGCCTTGAGCCTTGCTGTCTGCCTCGGTCTCTCCTTTTATCCTTCTCTCCTTCTCGGCTCGATCTCGGCTCGATCTCACCTCGTTCCTCTCACCTTCTCAACCTCACCTTTCACCCCCCCCATCATGGATCGCCGCAACCGGCCAACGGCCCTGGCCACGCCCACGGCCCTGCCACCGCAGCCGCGCGTCGACGTCGTGGGCGACCGGGTCAGCGCCGTGCTGCCGTCGGGTGAATCGGTCGAGGTGTCGCTCTTTGGTGCCACCGTGCTCTCATGGCGCGATGCGCTCGGTGCCGACCGGCTCTGGCTCAGCGAAGCCGCCGTCCTCGACGGATCCAAGGCTGTGCGCGGTGGCATCCCCGTCGTCTTCCCCGTCTTCGGCGTCGCCCCGGCCGACACTGCCGCCGCCAAGCTGCCGCAACACGGCCTCGCTCGCACGTCCCGCTGGGACTTTCTGGGCAAGTCTACGTCCGAGGCCACGTCGGCTCGCCGCGTGACGGCGCCGCCACCTGGCCCTTCGTCTGCCGCCAAGAAGATGCCTCTGTCCGCCGAAGGTGTCCAGCTCGACTTTGGCCTCTCGGCCGCCTCGGCTGATCCGGCTCTGCGTACCCTCTGGCCCTACGACTTTGGCCTCATGTACACGGTCACGCTCGAGCCCGACCGGCTGTCGACCAGCATCGTGGTGACCAATGATGGTGACCGGCCGTTTGACTTTCAGGTCCTGCTGCACACGTATCTGCGCGTTTCGGTGCGTTGTTCTCCCTCGTTCGCTTCCCCTCTTCCTTTCCTAACTTGTCAGGATATCTCCAAGGTCGAGGTCGCCGGCCTCACCGGCTCGCCCTATCTCGACAAAGTCGGCGGTGTCCAGGCCAAGACCGAGGCTGCCGCCACTGTCGCCTTTGTCGGCGAGACCGATCGTGTCTATTCGCCTGCCGACGGCGCCTCCGCTCCGGTCGAGGTGCTCGAGGCCGGTGCTCCCCGCTTCTCCGTCGCCCGCGACAACCTCGCCGACGTCGTCGTTTGGAATCCCTGGACCGACAAGGCCGGCGGGCTAGCCGACTTCGCCCCCAAGTCGGGCTACCAGAACATGCTCTGCGTCGAGCCGGGTGCCGTGACGGGGTGGCAGACCCTAGAGCCAGGTGAAGCCTTTGAGGGCGCACAGTCGATAACGGCACATTGAGAGTGACACGGCTGTTGGGCTGTTGAGCTGGTGAACCACACAGTTGGATAGGAACAAAAATGGTTTCAAATGCTGCCAGGATTTTTTATCTCATTTCCAGTGTCATGTAAATCAGAAATAGGCTGGACTCAGGACTGCATTCCACCCTCCTCCTCTCCTCCCTGTCGGACCTGTCGGTGATGATCCGCGATCAGAAAGGCCATCTCGAGAGCCTGTTTCTGGTTGAGGCGCGGATCGCAAAAGGTGGTGTAGTTGGTCGATAGGTCGTCCTCGTCGAGACCCTCGCTGCCGCCCAGACACTCGGTCACGGCGTCGCCCGTCAGCTCCAGGTGCACGCCGCCAAGGTAGCTGCCCTCGTCCGTGTGCACCTGCAGCGTGGCCCGCAGCTCGGCCACGATGTCGGCAAAGTGCCGCGTCTTGACGTTTGTCGCCGTCGTCTGCGTGTTGCCGTGCATAGGGTCGCACTGCCACACGACGCGGCCGCGGAACTCGCTGCCCTCGACCGCTCGAATGTGGCCCGGCAGCAGTTCGCGCACCCGTCCGGCACCGTACCGCGTGATCAGCGTCACCTTGCCTGGCTCGCCGTCGGGGTTGAGCCGGCGCAGCAGCGTCAGCAGATCGGCCGGCGGTGTCGTCGGGCCTACCTTGACGCCCACCGGGTTGGCCACGCCGCGGAGAAACTCTACGTGGGCGCCGTCCACCTGCCGCGTGCGGTCGCCGATCCAGAGAAAGTGTGCCGACGTGTCGTAGTAGGTCGACCCGTCTGTGCGCGTCAGCGGCTCCTCGTACTCGAGCACCAGGCTCTCGTGGCTCGTGTACAGGTCTACCGTGTCGAGCTTGTCGTTCCGATCGGCCCCGATCGTGTGCATGAAGCGCAGCATGTCGGTCAGAAACGCCACCGCCTCCGAGTACTTGGCCTTGAGCACCGGGTCGCGCACGTGGCCCAGGTCCCAGTCCAGCGGCCGGTGCAAGTCCGCAATGCCCGACCCGATCGCCGACCGCACATAGTTGAGCGTTGCCGCCGAGTGGTGATACGCCTGCACGAGCCGCCCTGGGTCCAGCGTCCGCTCGTCCAGCTCGTGTCCGTTGAGGATGTCACCGCGGAACGATGGGACCACACGGCCGTCGGCCAGCGTCTCGTGCGCACTCGATCGCGGCTTCGCGTACTGCCCGGCCATCCGGCCGATTCGCACCACCGGCTTGTCGGCACCCCAGATCAGCACCAGACTCATCTGCAGCAGCAGCTTGATCTTGCTCTCAATCGCCCCGGCCTCGCAGTAGTCAAACAGCTCTGCACAGTCGCCGCCCTGCAACAGAAACGCCTCACCTCGTGCCACTGCTGCTAGGTGCTGCTTCAGGCGTGCAATTTCCCGCGCGTGCACCAGCGGTGGAAGCCGTCGCAGCTCGGCCGTCGCCCGTGCCACCGCCTCTGCATCCTCGTACTCGGCGCTCTGCCGAATGGGCTTCGTCCGCCACGAGCTGGGCGTCCAGGCTGCATCACCCTCCTGTGCCTTCTTCTCACCAGACATGGTTGTATATGGACGAAAGCGGAGAGAAAAGGGTGGTATGAGAAGAACAGACAAGGTGGGAGACAAAGAAAGACGATGTTGCCAATTGCACTACTCGTAATGCTCGCGACCACTTCCGGATTCCGCCACTCAAACAAAGACAAGAGAAGAGGAAGTAAAATACAAAGTCTCGTACGTTTTTCACTCCTTTTGGACATCCCACAGCTGCGACTCGTTGCGGAAGGTGCTCTGTGACTCAAGGTCTTATAAAATGGGAAAGCCCGCCTGACCAATAGCATGGACCAATGGCTGCACGGCGGTCCCACAAGGAAAACTTGGCCCAACTCAGCTGATAATAGATGTTCCCCTCCCCCAACGCATCTGCTCGTACATTCACCACACACAGCAGCCATGTCGACCGACCCCAAGAAGCCGGCCGAGGTCGAGGATGAGGCTGAGGACACGGGAAAGACGGCCGAGGACCGCGCCCTGGCCTCGCTCGACGCCGTCGGCCCCCAGTCCGATGAGAGCACCAAGCATGTCGACCACGAGGCCGTCAGCAAGGCCATGAAGAACCTGAAGCTCGGCACTGCTGCTGCTGCCACGAAAAAGGTCAAGGTCGATGCTGCCGACGTGGCCCTTCTGGTACGTCGTAATGCCTGCCTTTCGGTCTTTCTGCCCGTTCGTCCCGCTGACCCGCCAGGTGAACGAGCTCGACTTGACCAAGGCCAAGGCCACAGACCTGCTGAAAAACCACGATGGCAACGCAGTCTCGGCGCTACGGGCGTTTGTCACTGTGAATTAGGGCGGGGTACCTCTACCGACCAGACAAGTCTACTCTACAATTCAAACTCTATATGCACACAGGTCCCTCCGATACTCTAAAACACGCATACATCACACAATCACTCCCACCACTACAAGTACCACGCTTTAACGCACTTGGGCTCCCACAGATCCGTGTCGTTACCCATCATGGCAGGCGTGCGTGGAAAGCGAAAGTTGGGTGGGCCATACGATCCGTTTTGCGATGGTGGTCCCCGAGGGCCATCTGACCCTTCTGGACCCTTTGGTTGGCCATGGCCACCACGCGGTCCTCCATGGCCATAGCCATCGTGCGGTCTTCCGTGGCCATAGCCGCCCCCTGGTCCTCTGTCTGGACCGCCTCTCCCCCACTGGCTGTTCAGCATCGGCCACATGGGGATGAAGCAGCGCTCGTCCCAGTCGCAGGCGCGTGAACATCCAATAAACTCGCCCTCCCAACCGAGCCAGACGATCAACTCGGCCAGCCGGTCTGCCCAGTGGCGACGTGGGATGCTCGTGTCTGTCTGTCTCCTTCTGCCCGCGTCCTTGTAGCCGACCGACCCGTACCGCTCAGCCCACACGCGCTCAATGTCAAAGCCAATGGTCAGCAGCTCCGAGCAGAGCGTGCCGTACGTCTCCTCCACGGCCCACCGCATGTCCGCCTCCTCGGGCGACAGCCACACGCCAGACGATGCCGTCCCGTCCTTGTCCGGCACCAGCAGCCGCGTGTACCGATAACGACACAGCGCCAGCGTGCGGTTGAACAGGGCCGAGTATGGTCGCCACGGCGTCGTGGCCGAGCCGCCCGTCGGATACTCGAGGTAGCCGACCATAAACATGTGGCTCTGGGCTCGCAGCTGGTGCAGCCACTGGCGCGTGGCGTTGCCAGAATCCGAACCCGGACTTGAACCCGGATCCGCAGGTCCGTCGGCCAGCATCTTCTCCATCGTCTTGAGGTGCGCGGCCACGCGCTGGACGATTTCGGCTAGCATCAGCGTCCAGTCGGCGCCCGAGCACCTGGACCCAGGCTCGCCATCCAGGACCGTCCCGTTCAGTCGTCTGGCCAGCGATTGCTCCACGCGCTGCCGCATTGCCGCCGCCTCGTCCACGCTGGTGGCGCCCAGCTGATGGAAGCGTCGCCGCCGCGCCAGCTGGCTGAGGGCGCGCCTTCGGTCTCCTTCTTGTCGGCCGTCCCAGTAGCCGTCGGCGGTCAGGTTCAGCGCCCGTTGTTCGTCTTCGGCGCGTGCCAGCGCAAGCGCCCCCCCGCCAAACTGCGGCGCATAGAAGCTGAAGATGGCACAGCTGTCAACACGCAGGCGCGTCTCGCCGCCGCCAGGACCGGCCCGCGTGGAGCCGTAGTGCCAGGTGGCGCTCTCGAACCAGCCCCAACCCTGGGCTTCGAGGAAGGGCTCGCGGCCATTGGCCGTGTCGGGCCCGCGCCAGTTGGGCGGTACCGGCGGAGCTGACGGGTCGGCAACGCGGTCTGTGCGTGTGGGCACCGGCGGGAGGCTGTAGTAGGAGCCTGGGAGTTCAAGAGGTTCTGGAAGTTCTGCTTGGTCGTCTGTATCATCTGCATCGGTCTCGCCATCCCCCACCCTCTCCAGCGGTGCGGTCACGTTGAGGCGGCTAAGCAGGCGCAGGCTATCGCTGAGAAAGTCGCACCAGATGATCTCGAAGCCGGCGTTCATGCGGACGACGCCCTCGTAGCCCCAGCCACGGCCGCGCAGGCCGGCACGCAGGAGCCAGTCGCAGAGGCCGCGGGCGCGGGCGTACTCGTCGCCCATGATGGCGAAGCCGCCGGAGCCGGGCGGCCCAGAGACGTTGCCGTAGAGCACGAGCATCTGGGAGTCGAGCTGGCCGAGGCCCATCAGCGTGGCGGACTCGCCGTCAAAGTAGAGCAGCCGCAGCGGACGGGTGGTCTGGTACGTGAGCATCCACGAGTGGCGTGACGCCCCCATGATGCCATAGGCCATCTCGAGATCGAGTGCCAGCCATTCGGGGCTGGCCGGCGTTGCCTCATCCTCGCCCTCTTCCAGACGGCCGTGGTAGAGCAGCGTGTAGGCCGGCATCGTACAGCCCGCGAGCGCGTGGCCGTTGGGGAAGACCGTGTTGGACCACTGCTGCAGAAGTCCATAGGCGGACGCGAACAGGTGTGGTGCCGGCGACGAGAAGTTGAGCCGTCCATGGAAGCCGTGCGTGGCCACGGAAGAGAGGCTGCTGTCAGACTCGGCAGCAGCAGCAGCGCTGTCGAGAAGAGGCACCTGCCCGGCTGCGACAGCACGCGCGAGGACAGCCATGGCCACGACGGCAGCCCGCACGGCTGTGCGGACCGTAGCAGCTCCAACCATGGAGATAACGAGAAACGGTCAGTCGAGAAAGAGACAGAATGCAGGATGGCTAGAACAAATGAGGCTCAAGGGAACGGGGAAGCATGACGAGGAGACGAGAGCCGCTATCGTATGTCTCCAAGAAACGCGAGCCTCGCTCGTTCAGACATTAGGTATCACCAAGATAATGAAACAAGAGAGGGTGTATATTGTGAACTCCTTATCTTCAAATCTAGAACAACTTGCTAGACAAAAGGTACCATGTATGACGACGCCGTCCCGTTTGGGTAAGAGCCCCCCACACAACAGCAGGAAGTGCACGAATCCCAACAGCGTTAGCACAGCCTGTCGTCACTCAGTGGAGCTCCTGCTGTCTTCGTCTTGCTATTTTTTCTGCCCAACTGCGGCCGATTAGGTTCTGGTTCTGCCCACCGCCTTTCCTCATCTTCTCCGGCACAAGAACGGCTTTCGTGCAGCTCGACGACGTTGGGTGCAATTCTGCAAAACAACTCTCTGACCGGGCCGCTTCCTTCTTTTCTCGTCTACCGGTTGTCAAGATGTCGGGAGAGGACAAGCCATACATGGACATGGTATGTGAGCTGGATACGGGTTGTGGCAATTGCATCAAGTTCCCAGAGTCTTTTCCCCTCTTTGGCTTCTCTTTTTCTTCCTCTTCTGGTTTTCCCTCCCCTCCTTTCCTCCTCCTATTCTTCCCTATCTCTTTTCTCCCCTATCCCTCTGCATTATCCCTCTTCCTCTCTCCTCTCCGCTGACCCTTCCCAGCTCATGTCGGTCGCCGGCGAGGTCCGGCGATACTCCGGAGAGGTGGCCGAGTTCGTCGACGAAAACTTTGACCGGGCAGCCGATGTTGTGCGGGACCACCTCTCGACGGCCACCTGGCTGCCCGAGGCTGTCCGGGCCAACCTTCCGCTGCCACGGCCACCACCACCGCCGCCCGTGGACGTCATCCCGACTGTCAGCCTGACGTTATATGAGCGCGCACAGGATTGGGTTATGCGCCACCGCATTCTCGTGTCCTTTCTCGCGCTTACCGTCGGCACTGTGGCTTACCGCAGCGTTCGCCGCGTGCAGTCGAGCCGCAAGTTCCGCCGTGCTCGGCGGGCCCGCAACGGAGCCCGCTGCGAGGTGGTCGTCATCGCCGCATCGCCGTCACTGCCCGTCACCCAGTCGCTCGCCCTCGATATGGAGCGACGCGGTTTCATCGTCTATATCATCTGTGGCTCGGCCGAAGACGAACATGCCGTCCGTCAGCTGTCGCGGCCTGACATTCGGCCGCTGTCCATCGATATCACTGATGTATGTTATTTTTACTTTTTACTTTTTTTCTTTCTTCTTTCTTTTTCTATTCCCTAACATCTCAGTCCGTCAATGCCGGTGCTGCCCTCGACCGCTTCGCCCTCTACCTCCATGCCCCTCATGCCGCCGTGCCGGGCGCCCGCAAGAGCCACCTCACGCTCACGGCCGTCATTATCATCCCGTCGCTCAACTACCAGACGTCGCCCATCGCCACCATCCCGCCCTCCAACTTTGCCGACCTCTTCAACACTCACCTCTTGCATCCCATCCTCTCCATACAGGCCTTCCTGCCACTCTTGACGGCACGCACAGCCCTGCAGCCGGGCGAGAAGCCGCCACCGTCACTGCTGTCTACCGCATCTTCCATGGCTCTGGCCAACATTGGCGGTGCCAAGAACAAGACCAAAAACACCAGCAAAGCCGGCGAGGCTGATGACGCCTCCAAGCCGCCGTCGGACCGCATCCCCCCGCCGCCCAAGGTACTTGTTTTTTCGCCGTCCATCATCTCGTCGGTGAACCCGCCGTTCCACGCGCCCGAGTCGACCGTCTGCTCGGCGCTGACGGCCTTTACGGAGGTCTTGGCGGCCGAGCTGCGGCCGTTGGGCATTCCGGTCACGCACATCCAGCTGGGCACCTTTGACTTCTCCGGCTTTGCGCCACCGCCCCGCAGCGCCATGGCCCAGCAGCTCAGCAACACACGCATCCCGCCGCCTGCTGTCGTGGAGACGCTGGCCTGGTCAGAGCCGGCTCGCCACGTCTACGGTCGCAACTACACGGCCCAGAGCACAACGGCCCTGGGCAGCGGCCGGGCCATTCACGGGCTGCGCGGCACGGCTATGCGCGACCTGCATCACGCTGTCTTTGACGTGCTCGACGGCTCCAACACCGGCAGCGTTGTGCGTGTCGGTCTCGGCGCCAACTTGTACGGCTTCGTCGGCAACTTCATGCCGCGCGGCTTGGTGGCCTGGATGATGGGCGTGCGCAAGGTCGATGGCCTGGAGAGCCTGTACAGCGCCCCGGTACCACCTGCGTCCTCGTCGTCCGCGCCTACACCGAATGCGTCGGTCCTGTCGACGTCGAGCGAGAGCTCCGGGCCGCCGATTCGCCGCAGCAACAGCACCAGCAAGAACTCGGAAACAACGGCTGGCTTTGTGGCCGTCGCCGCTGACGAGGCCGTTGCTGACTCGCATATCTGGCAATGAGGCAAGTGCTGAACAGACCTAGACGACGACGATTACGACGACAGAATCCATGCGACGTTCCGACGACACGCTTCACGCTTCATGCTTCACGCCCATATTCTCTTCTCCTTTTCTTTGTCAGCATGACCTTTTTCTCGACTTTGTTGCTCGCGAAAAAGCGGTCCTTTCTCTCAACTCTCCGTTGGCTATCTGTTCCAAACTCATAAACACATGCATACGTACATATATAGTATGGAGCGACGGGGTCGCGCTCAAATAGACTTGCTTGTGTGGGATTCGTACTTGTTTTGTTCTGTCTGTCCGTCTGTGCTCAGTGGCCTCGGCCTCGAAATCCCCGTCCACCACCGCCGCCTCGGCCTCTCCAGCGGCCACCTCCACTGCCGCTGCCACCTCCAGTGCCACGACCTCCTCCGCTGCCGAACTTGTCCTTGAACCCGCCGCGGAAGTTCTGTCCGAACCGATCTGCACGATCGTCGTCACCGTCTCCATGCTGCTGCTGTTGTTGTTGGTAGTGGTGGAAGTTGTTGTGATGGTGGGAGTCGTCATCGGGCGTGCCAGCCATGGCGGTGTCATCGTCGCCACCGGCGCCGCTATGGCCAAAGGGATTATACTCGCCGTCCTGGTTTTGGTTTTGGCCAGCAGCCTCGGCAGCCTCGGCAGCCTCGGCAGCCTCAGCCTCGGCCGCGGCGACAGCAGGAGCCACGACGGCGACAGCAGCCCAATGGGGGTGGGCGCCGTCTTTGCAGGCGCGGCCGCTGGGGCAGAAGCCGGCGAGGTAGCAGGGACAGAGCAGGCGGCGGACGTGCTTCTTGGGACAGCGTGGGCCGAGGGCGCAGAAGCCGCGGTCGTCATAGTCCGGACAGGGCGGCAGCTTGCTCCGGGGATCGATGTGCAGGTAGAGACACTCGTCGCCGTTGCTGCAGAAGCCGTTGCGCAGGAAAAAGTTGCACTCGGGCATCTTGCGCAGGTTGTACTCGTGCAGAAACTCGCAGCCCTCGCCCTTCTTGCAGAGACCGCGCAGCCAGTGCTTGCAGACGAGGCTGTTGAAGCCGCCCTCGCGGTCGCGTCCGCCACCACCGCCCGCGTGCCCGCTGCTCGCCGACACGTGACGGTCTGGACAGCGCGGACCCAACGGACAGTGGCCTGCGCTGTAGGCCTTGCAGATCGACCGGTCTGCCGCCAGCCCGTGGTGGTATGTCGCCTGCAGAAACGGCGTAAAGGCAAACGCGTACGGCGTGTGGTCGTGCGCCAGCAGCCCGGCCGCCAGCCGACGGGCCACCACCGACGAGGCCGAAAACGACGACGACTGCTGCTCCTGCTGCGGCTTCTGCAACTCAACATCCGTCGCCGTGTGTGTCATCGTGGCCATGATGACCCCGTCCTGGTCGAGGCCGTTTCTTCCGAATCGCTTCTCGGGGCTGTTCCCGGGCCTGCTACTCTATCTTCAGGCGCAGACTGTCTGGATAACCGGAAGTCAGTAGTCGGTAGTCGGTAGTCGGTAGTCGTCGGGACGCGCGCGCTCTTGATCAATCAAATTTGGGTGGTGGCTGTCTTCAGAGGGCCGAGCTTCAGCTCTGTTTTTCGTTACATATTATAGCGCCCTTCCAGTGGCCACAGCTCTAGGTGGCGATATTAGTCAGCACATCTTCACTGGTTGGTCCAATAATCTGGGGAAGCCCATCTTTACAGAGTACGGAGTAGACGCTCAGCTTGATACCTAACAACTTTGAACCAAATTCTATTTTACGCCGTACGCCTGTTTGCTTTGACCATTCTATAGTTGCACATGGCTTTCCACGGCACATACAACTCCTGCCTGAGCTTCTTGGCTTAGCTCTTAGTCATCTTCTAGTACTGTTTGCCTCTGTGCATGGAAGCCTCCACCCCGCCGCTGCTCACGCCTCCGGCTTCTGCGCATACCAAACGTACAGGTAAAAGTAGCGGTGGATTGTGTCGTCCTCGAGGCTGCGCCTGACCTTGGCTACCCACACCTCCTGCTCGAGCTGGGTCAGGTTGAGACCGGCCAGGAGCCGGGTTGTGACGCCGAGCAGGCCGCCAAGCACGACAGCCCGGAAGTACTGGCCCAGTTGCTGCATGGCTGGATCCTGCGGCCACGTCCCCATCGGGATCTTTTTCTTGACCAGCTGGATGTTGGTCAAGCCGGCGCGACGAAGCGGTCCCCGCAGCCTGCGAATCTTGTCGTGGTCCATCCCAAACAGCTTTAGGCCGTCGAGAAAGAGGTCGAAGAAACCGAGTAAAGGGTCGCTGTCTGGCATGGTCCCGTCGTCGCAGTAGGGGTGGCCGTACAGCTCCTGGAACTCGATCCATCCGCCCGGCCGCAGGTGTCTCGGGCTGTCAGCAGGCAAGGGGAATCAGAAGTAGAAAGGCAAATGCTCACTTGAACGTGTTCTCGATCACCCGGTCCGCATGGGTCAGGTAGCTGGCCATTGCCCGGAAGTGGGCAAAGTCCCAACCCGAGCCGTTGGCCCAGTCGGACTCGCAGTCGTCAATGACAAACCGGACATTCTCTGGAATCCATTCGGGCTGGATCGGGGACAGGTCGACGCCCAGCACCTGTGCCCCGGGGAACTTGTCGCCCACTGCAACGTCAGCATCTCCGTCTGCGCCAACTCAGGGCGGGCATGACAAACTCTCAATGGCCCATATTCCTGTGGCAAGCTGTGGGTCAGAAGGGAAACCCTCAGACGATGGACCGGTCTGCGGACTTACCGGTGCCTGTGCCGATATCGATAATCTTTTGCGGGCTGCCCCCGATCGGGGCGAGGAACAGCTTGTCTTCCTGGCTGGCTGTTAGGCAGGGCTGGCGACAATGGCAGCGAGAGTCTGGTGGCCTACCATTGCTAGTAGCATCATGTGGTGCTTCAGGTTCTCCCGGTCCTGCTCTGGCTGGTCATTTGGCATCGGGTATCGGCCGTGTTTGTAGAGGTGGAAGCGCCGGCCGTGCTCGTACACATGCTCCCACACGCCCGTAGCATCCTCGCGAGGCGGCAGGCTCAGATCCTCCCAGTTTTCAATAGGATCCAGGTCGTCGTTCTCGTACGGCTCCTCGGCATCGCCGCTGGACGTAGAGGCCGCCATAGCTGAGAAGGACAAGCGCTCAGAGGGGGTGTTGGACGATGCAAAAGGAAAGGGGCGGATGACGGGAAGATAAAGGCCGAGAGGTTGGAGATATTAGTATCAGACGACAAGATACAGGGCAGGCACGGCCACCTGACGCTCCTTCCAAGTCAGACCGGCCGGCTGTCTTAAGCAAGCGGGCAGTTCTGGCAGTTTGGCATTTCCCGCACTTCTGGCAATCTGGCAATCTGACAGTCGACCCAGCAAACCGCCATGCTCATCCGCAAGGAGTAAGGCATGGTGCCATAAAACGGAACAGCTCCGGTCGGCTGGTTGCTGATGGCTCGGCAACCCACTTTCAGGTCGCCGTTGCTCTGGAAAGCCCCATACTTCCGTTGCGAACCGCCCAGACGTCGGGGGCTAAAACCGTTTTCCCCTTGTCTTTCTCTGTTTTTCCTTCCCTGTCTCTGCCCTCTGCTCTTTGGCGGGCTGGTTGCTGTAAACGGCATCCCGTCAAATTCCTCTCAGTCCTGCACACGATCGCCTCTCGTTCTTCGCCCCTTTATGGAATTCTCACAAACCCACAACTAGGGCCATGCACAATCCCCCTCCCCTGCACAGCTTGATAACATCCCACAGGAGACGGACTACTCGTACATACATATCCGTACGTCGTACAGGGTAGTGTCCCGGGATGCGGTGAGCAGAGGCCTTCCCCCTCCCCCTCCTCTCCATCCGGCTAGTGTGCAATTGCCTCATCTGCCGTAACATTCACCGTGGAGGCGTCTGTGCATTTTGAATCATGAGCCTGCAGATGATGAACTGACTGGCTGCTACGGAGTGCTATGTAGTGGAACTAGGTGGCAGCCAGGCTGGGACACTGCCGCTCGGGATTACGTGTTTTTTCTCTCCGTTGCTGTGGCTCTCATGAAGCGTCTGCATGCGCGTGCTCGTACGTACAGATGAGGCTGTGATCGCGAGATGAGAAGCTGCAGCCGTAACATCGGCCTGGAAGCCGCCAAGTGGGCGCGCCAGACAAACATGGGCCGTTGCGTTTAGCGAAACCGACTACGGAGCATCAAAGCCGGTGTACTTGTGAGCAGCAGGCAAAGCCCACTACGGCATACGGCGTAAAATGGCAAGGCTTTGGCGGAGAAAACGATCGGCGGCCGCCTGGCCTGCAGCAGACCCTGGCCTCAGCACGCCCTCCCGGTCTGCATATGGAGAAAGGCGCCCAGACGGAAGTCGAGCACAGAGAGGCAGAAGAAGCGACGGTGAGGCAGTACCGGACGACCGATGGGCTTGGCCAGGTCCCCTGCTCTGATCCACCCGTCAATGCTACGCCGTATCTGACGGCTGTGAGTAGCCGTCAGATGGCAAAGGAGGGGGTTTGTCAGAGAGAAAAGGATGTATCTTATCTTACATACGAGTAGTACAGAGTACAATGTAGTGAGCCCACGGTGTATATGACAGCCAGAAGTCGCCGGACGGCCCCCATGTCTACCGGCTGTGATCAGTCATTTGTAGCCAGCTGCCAAGTAAGGTATCTTACGGAGTACACGAATTTGCTTGCAGCTTTACCAACAGATAGCAGGGATTCAGTCGCGGTGAAACAAGAAACACGACGGAAAAAAACCCACCGTCTGACTCGGCGGAAATAAACAGCGACTGCTCTTCTCCCAAGTCCGGCCGCCACCTCGTAGCAGTCGATCGATTTGCACTGGCCAAAAACCCGCACACAGAGCAGCCCTCTGCCCGGAGAACGGGCGCTTTCCTGCCAACCTGGTAGAGCGGTCACTGTGCCATCATCTGACGTTCCTCCCAGCTGACCCTCGGGTGTCTCGCTCCTCGTAAAACGTCATTGCCGGCGGTCAACCCCAGGGCAGCGTGACTGGAAAGCTGGTTGGTAATATACGAGTGCCTATTGTAACGTGCACAACACTTGCAACATCTATTTCCTGACGTATCGCATGCAGCATCGCAAGAGAAAATGGGGCGCATCTCCCGGCTGCCTGCTTTCTCGTACACTGGTTTCCGCGACCTTCCAAAGGTCGTGTCTCTTTTCCGTTCCCCTTGACATACTCTCCTCACGTCTATGCCCAGACACCTTTTGTCCTCTATGCCTTCCACAGCTTGCTGACGAGCTCGGTGACGCCAACGTCGTTCGTCTCAAACTCGTACAGGCCCAGGCCGACCAGCGCGGTGATGGCGTTCAGGCCCCAGGTGAGGCCCTTGCGCAACTTGGGGTAGCCCCACGTCGGCACGTAGTCAACGAGGATGGTCGAGAGACCCATGTGCGTGTGCACGAGGACCGTCGCGCACAGGATCGCGTCTGTGGTCGGGTTGAGTGAGCCGGCAGCAAACGGCGCCAGTGTCAGGGGGACGAGGCCGGCGGCGACGAGCCGCTCAAACGTCCAGTGATAGGAGCCGTGGCTCGCGTCGGACGCGGGGATCGGCTCGGCATCGTTCACTGCGCAGGTCAGTACATGTGCAGAGATCGGCATCGTGGCCAGACGGAGTGTAGCAGCGTACCGGTACCGTGAACGATCTCTGGGACGTTTGGGTTAGCATGGGCAACATGTCTGTGACTTTTGCTAGCTCGTTGCCAGAAGACTACTCACGAGGGCCAGGCGGCAGCAGGTTTCGCCGGCTGGAGGCGTGGAAAGCCGCCACGCCACAGATTTTCTTCAGAGCTGCCGGGCTCAGGCGGATGGTGGACGAGAATCGAGAAGCAGGTGCTGCCATAGAGACCGTCTGCCGAAGCAGAGCTGTGCGCGCAATGGAAGCCATGCTGGATGTGTGTGTGGTGGGCCCTTCGGGACGAACGACTGTACGAGCGAGACGTATGGCTTCGGTGGATTGCGCGTCCCCGTAGTCGATTGAATGGCCCGTCGTCGAGGCGGAGGTGTCGTGAAAATGCCGTAAAAACACAATGACGCTGGCAGAGGAAGAAGCCGGGAGCCGAACATGGAATTGGCCCGAGGATGTGAATAAGCACGTGCCATGATTGGTTGCACTGGTCGGCTGCGTCGGTCCGGGGAAAGGAACATTGTATTGCCGGGGAGCGTGGAACGCACTTGTTAGCCAAGCAAGGCCAGCCAATCAGGACGAGGCGGCACTTTTGTATGGGGACCAAAAAAAATGAAGCTTTGGTGATGGCCGATTGATTGGCCGTTGTTTCTGAGAGCAAGCCGGAAGAGCGAGCCTCTACCGCAGACAAGAAAGAGGAAGCATGCCCCTACCGGCTGTCACGCGGCGATGGCCAGCGCCAGGTGCCCAGATCTGCCGGCGATGTGCGCGTCAGCTGTTTCTGGAGCCGCAACGGCGCAACGTCACGGGCAAGTCGTTTGCCAAGTACGGGCCCAAGTACCAGGCCAAGATCGACCAGGCAGACGCGGAGTGGGAGACGCGGGCGGCCCTGATCGAAGGCGGGGGGGCCAAGGCGATGTGGGACATCTTTGAGGAGCGCGGCTATGTAAAGGATGTTGCAGGGTGAGTATCGGGTTCCGTCCTGTTCTGGCTCCTCTAACTCGAGACAGCAACCGGGAGGACATCCGGAAGCTGCTGACGCAGAAGCGCATCGGGGCATACGTGGGCATCGACCCGACGGCGCCGTCGATGCACGTGGGCCACCTGCTGCCGCTGATGCCGCTCTTCTGGATGTACATGCACGGCTACCGGGCGGTGACGCTGCTGGGCGGCGCCACGGGCAAGATTGGCGACCCGACAGACCGGCTGCAGAGCCGGGCCGAGCTGAAGAACGCCACGGTGGCCATGAACATGGTCAAGATGCACTACCAGCTCAAGAAGCTGTGGGTCAACGTGGAGGCGCAGGCGCGCCGCTACGGCTACGAGAAGACGTGGGCCTGGCGTCGCGGCGTGCTGCAGAACGGTCACTGGTGGAACAAGCTGCCGATGCTCGAGATCCTGCAGCGTCTGGGCGCCGGCCTGCGCATCGGTCCCATGCTCTCGCGCGACACCGTCCGCCGCAAGCTGACCGAGGGCGACGGCATGTCCTTTGCCGAGTTCTCCTACCCGCTCATGCAGGCCTGGGACTGGTGGCACATGTACATCAGCCAGGGCATCCAGATGCAGATCGGCGGCTCCGACCAGTACGGCAACATCGTCACCGGCGCCGACGCCTTCAAAATCATCCGCGCCTCCGAACCAAATCCGGCCTTGAAGCTGTCCTCCGGCCTCTTGCACGATCCTGTCGGTTTCACCGTCCCCCTCCTCACCGACAGCTCCGGTGCCAAGTTCGGCAAGTCCGCTGGAAACGCCATCTGGCTCGACCGCTTCCAGACTCCCACCTTTGATCTCTACGGCTACTTCGTCCGCCGCCCCGACGCCGACGTCGAGGCCCTGCTGCGCCTCTTCACCTTCATCCCACTCGACCGTATCACCGCCCTGATGGAGGACCACACCGTCGATCCTGCCCGCCGTCTCGCCCAGCATACCCTCGCCTTCGAGGTCGTCGCTCTCGTTCACGGCCTCGAGCTCGCCACCGAAGCCCGCGACCGCCATCGGGCCATGTACGATAAGAAAAAGCTGACTAATCAAAACGACGGTGACGACGCCATCATGGCCACCACCTCCGCCACCACTGTGGCCACAGACGCATACCCCCGTACGCTCAACCAGGCGCCTCAGGTTGACCTGCAGCTGCCGGCGGCGCTCTTCCGCGCCGGCAAGGTGGCCCGCATCCTGTACGCGGCCGGCATGGTCAAGAGCGTGTCCGAGGGCAACCGGCTGGCCATCCAGAAGGGCGCCTACGTCGGGGCGTCACCCGGCCAGACAGCTCACCACAACAAGGGCATGCCGCTGACCCAGGTCGACTTCACGCCCGTGCACCTCTGGTACCCTGAGGACACTAAGAACTTTATCATCGACGAAAAGTACATGGTGCTGCGCAAGGGCCAGCACAATGTGCGCGTCATCGAGATCGTCAGCGACGAGGAGTGGGAGGCGTCCGGTCGCACGTATCCGGGTCAGCCATATACCGGCAGGGTGCGCGAGCTGCGCGAGCAACTCAAGATGCTCAAGGCCGGCCTCAGCCAGATCGACGGGAAGAACGGGAAGAACGGGAAGAACGGGAAGGACGGGAAGAGCGGTGGTGATGGTGATGGTGGTGACGACCAAGGCAAATTGGTCTTCCCCGATGAGAAGACAGAACAGGTGCGCGCCCTCGAGGAGGACATTCGGCAAGAGCTGTTGCGTCAGGACGGGAAATGAGGACGCTGGAAGACGTCTTGTTGACGGTCACGTGAGCTAAAGTAGACTCGGCGATGTCCGTTTGAAAAGTGAACAAATTAGAACCAACTCCTCAAGTACAAACAAATCTCAGCGATACAGAATCTTGACGTCGCCTGGCGGGAAGCGCTTGAGCTTGTCAAGGATCTCGACCTCGGTTAGGTTCAGCTCCGTGGTGATCTGGTCAAAGTGGTGGTTGCCGTCGGTGTAGCGCTGCAGCGGGTCGGACGACGAGGACGAGCTGCTGCTGCCGCTGCCGATGCCGGGCTTGGGCGCAGCCTGTCCCGTGACAAGCGCGGCAATGTACTGCTTCGACACGGCGTACTTGTGGACGCGGTAGAGACAGCCCTTGATGACGCCGAACTGGACGAGGCGGCGGACGTCGACAAAGCGCAGCACGTCGAAGCCGGCGTCGGCGTGGCCCTTGAGCCACTCGGTGACGGTGCGACCGACGCAGAAGCTGGTCATGAGCCGGACAAGGTCGAAGTTGCTGACCCGGGGCGGCCGGTGGTGGTCGTCGGGGTCGTCGGGATCGCCGGCCGCCGAACCAGCGGAAGGCAAACTGGTCTCCACCTGCTTAGTCATCCCGTACCCCAGGCCAGCCGATCCTTTGCTGTACGGCCGCAGACAGACGTAGCGGGCGCACTCGTCGACGATACCGCCGACGTTGGCGACAAAGTCATGGATTCCCGGCCGCGGCGCATAGCACGAGCCAAAGAGAAAGAGGTCCAGCAGCAGGATGGTGTCGTAGTACAGCAGGTGGCGTAGAGCGGCCCGGCACAGCTCCAGCGACACGTCGGCCTCGTAGGCGATGCGGCGCACATCCGACACGCCGTCCATGTGAGCGATGACGCGCTGCAGCGTCAGGTCCCACGACGGGTCAACGATCTCGGCCAGGCGCATCTTGGGCACAGGCACGTGCCAGCCCTCGACAGCCGGCGGGTCGGCGTGCTGTGGAAACAGCTTCATGTTGATCGTGTTGGCATCGTCCACCGGAATCATGCACTCGCCGTACAGGTTGAGGTCCTCCTTGATGATCTCCAGCAAGCTCTGGATCGACCGCCGGTGGTACGGGCTGTGGTGCGTCCCGATGGCCGTCGTCGTGCCAAAACCGCTACCTGCTCCCAGTCCGGCTCCTGGACCAACTCCCATTCCAGTCCCCATTCCGGCAATTGTGTTGTGTCCCGCGCTTGGGGGGGCGCCCATCATCTGCCCCAGCAGCTCGTGGCGTCGTCGCAACGGAGTTTCCGGTGGCAGTGGCGCCTGGGGCGTATTCAGCCGTCGTCCTCGTGATCCCAGCCCTTCCAGGTTGCTCACGCTCGTGCTGATGCTGAGCCCAGCACTGTTTCCGACACCGTGGCCGGAAATACGGCCCAATCCGTCTCCAATGCTCGCTCCAAGTTCTCCCATCCCCCCTCCTCCTCTTCTTCCCTGCTCCCGTCGCTCCTCCCGGCTGAGAAACTCGTTCTGCTTCTCCATCTCGGCAAATGTCGACGCCAGCCGCCGCACCACCTGCTCGTACGGTCCCTGGTCGTCGCCGCTCTCCACCACTATCCCAAAGTTGAAGATGAACTCGTTCCGGTCGTACTTTGCGTCGCGGATCGCCACCGGCAGCCCCAGCACCGTGAACCGTCCACTCGGCTCGCGTGCCGCCACGTACCGGTTGAAAAATGCCGGCCGCGGAATCACGTACTCCTGCATCACTTCAAAGTCGAACAGCGCCTTGCCACGTCCTGCCCGATGGGCCCCGCTGCCTGTGCCGCTCGCCGACAGAAGCCCAGATGCCGCTGCTGAAGCTGAAGCTGCTGCTGCTGCTGCTGCTGCTGCCGAGCGTCCTTTCCTGTCATCATCGTCGCTCCCATCGCTGTCACTGTCGTCGTCGCTGTCACTGTCACCACCGCCTCCATAAAGCCCGCTACCACCACCACTGAAACCGCCACCGAAACCACTACCTCCTACCCCTGCACCATTGTCGCTCTCGCTTTCATCCGCCGCCGCCACAGGCACAATGCAGCCGGGCGGGCTCTGTGCTACAATCTTGGTTCCTGCAGGCACCAACTCGTCAGAACCCGTCACCACTGTCAGTCAGTTTTCCAGTCTATTGCTGTTGGCTCACCCTTCTGCGGCAGAAACCGCGCGTAGAATATGCCGTGGATGGGCATGGCTCAAACTCGGTCGGAACCCTTTTAATTCGCGTGAGATTGCTGTGCTCTCTTGCCTCAGCTCCCTACTGAAGCACACACCCCTGCGTGTGGAAGCGTGACATGAACAAGCCCATACGTCGTATGTCTGAAAGCTGTATGCAGTCGTTGTGAGCTAAGATGGCGCGCAGAAATTGCCCCGCTTCAGCTTGAATTACTGTACACTGCAGATCACTCCTTCCTCAGGCGTTGTTGCTAGCTTTATACTCCGTAATCCGTATTCACTGAACAATAAACGCACCATCATCATCGAAAGTGCAATTATCTACCTGTGCAGCCCCAGTCGTCCTGCTCTTTTCTGTCGTCATCGTTGATTACGAGAACAGTCTTCCAGTATCGTACATCTTAGTCACCCAGCAGATGCTGGATCGCCCCTTGTACGCTTCCTCCGCTCCGCCTAAGCGCAGCCACGTTCTGGTCAAAGTCGTAGAACCCCATGTCGTTCAACTGCCGCAGCTGCTCTGCATAACGTTCTTCGGGCGGCCGGTTGTCGGCCGGAGCCGGCGGCGCTGCTGCCGCTCCAAACGGGTTGGCACCACCAGCGCCTCCAAACATCTGCATCGCCTGCTGCATCATCTCGGGCGTCATCTGAAAGCCTCCCGGCGGTCCTGCACCGAACAGCGACGCAAACGGGTTGGCAGCCGCAGCACCAGTGCCAGCACCGGCAGCTCTAGCCTCTGGTCCACCTCCCAAACCAGCACCCACCTGGTCGCTGGCTGCACGAGCCCCCGACTCTGCTCCTGTGCCAGCTGCTGCTGCCGTTGCTGCGCCCGCGGCTGCGCCACCTGGTGGGCCGTTGGCAAAGAGCATCGACATGAACCGGTTCATCTCTGCTGCGCTGTCTCCAGCACCCGCACCCCCACCCGCACCCCCACCTGGAAAGCCACCGCCACCAAGCTGCTGCAAGAAGGGATTGCCGAAGGCCCCAAACGGGTTGGCCGCCTGCCCGGCAGCAGCAGCAGCATCACCACCGGCCGAAGGCGAGGATGGGGCACCATCCGGCGTGTTGTCCGTTGCACCCGGCGCCGGAAACGCACCCTGGCCGCCGCCCATGGACCGCCGCATGCGGCCCATCATGCGAATGTATTCGGGATCGGTCAGCATCGAGCGGAAGAACGGCGACTGGATGAGCTCGCGGGCATGGGGCGTGCCGCGCAGCGCCGGGTTGTTTTGAAGCAGAAAGTCGACAAACGTGTCATTGTTGAGCGCCTCGTTCACTGACTGCGCCACAGCAGGGTTGGCCAGCATCTCCGTCAACTGGTCCTCCGACGGCAGGTTCATCTGGCGGATGAGTCAGCAGAAGCGTTCCGGGGAAAACAAGACAAGCAAAAAAGGGTTTACATACCCCACCGTCTGGGCCAAAGATGTCCTGGTTTGGAAGCGGGGCGTGGCCAGCAAAGCGCGCGCCCGTCAGGCCGGCCAGGAGATTGTTGGCCGGCGTGCCAGCGGCCATGTTGGTGGGTACGGCCGGAGCCGGGGCAGAACCGCTAGCCGACGAGGCCGCAGCCGTTGGCGGGTGATTGCTGGCAGCGCTCTTGACCAGGTGCAGCGTGTTGCCAGGCTTAATCTTGTAGGACCCCAAGGTGTCGTCGTTCTTCATGACACGGCCCGAGTAGATGAGCCGCTGGCGCTCGACCGGAATATTCTCAAACTCGGCCGTGGCGAGCTTGGTCTTGAGCTCAAGCACCGAAGCCGATTCGGCCATCGTAATCATGTGGAGGCCATCGCCAGACGTCTTCACCTTGAATGTGATCTGGGCATCGGACGAGCCCTCGCCGTCGTCCGCCATGACTGACGGCTGGAGGAGGGGTATCGGTGGGATAGGGGAGGAGGAACCGCCTTTTTTTCTTCTCTTTTCCGTCAGTCGTCCTCAGTCTGAAACGAAGGCAAAATCTCCAGCGGTCGTGGGGCTTTTATCAAGACGCGACCAAAAAGGACGCAGTGGGCGAGATTGGATGGGAAAGGGGAAATTGTGTGACGGTGGCAGGAGGAAGCAGCAAGGAGGGAAAGCTCCTTCCTGGCGGTGCAGGTCAGAAGGCTGTCCCGATGGAGAATTATGGGCAAGGACCAGCCAGAAGATGATTAGAAGAACCCCAACGAATGAGGTGGAAAGGTGCCTGCCTACTGATAACAATGTGGCTAGACGGACCAGCAAGCAACTAAGCTGCCTAGCACTGTGGTACGCGGGCCAACTTGCAAACCCCGCCGCCGAGACCCTTCTCTTTCTCGCTACGCCCTTACAACCTTTAAGTGCATGTTCCCCAGCAGGATAGGAGCCGATTGTTCCACACCGTTGTAAACCGGTTGCGGGGAAGTATCTGCCTCGGCAGCGGATGAGGATGTCCAGTCACAGTCCAGTACAGTATTTCGTATGTTTATAACCTGGACATGTCCTTGTAAATCTACTACTTTAAGAAGTCTAAACAGCTCGCAAGCTTAATATACTTTGTGATATATTAACTGCCTCTTACTGTGTGATCGTCACCGTCATGAAGGGCATACAACTAACAGAATACGTCAAGGTATTTCATTATGTCCTATTCCCGTCTCTACCATCTCTCACCCTTCTTCCAGGGCCCGGACGGACTGGCCGTCAGCAACCTGCCCGATGTACAACCTGCACCAGACCAATATCTCATCGCCGTCCACGCCGCAGCGGCCAATTTCTTTGACATCTTGCAAATACAGGGAAAGTACCAGAACCAACCACGTACGATTTGCACACCCATTTTTCTGTCCCTTTTCTCCTTCTGCTCACATCGCTCAACTTGCTTCTGTTCTAGCCTTCCCCTGGGTCGCCGGTGCCGAGTTTGCTGGCGTCGTGCTTGCGACACCGACTGGCAGTCAGCTGGTAAAGCCTCGCTTCGCCGTAGGCGACCGCGTCTTTGGAGCCAGCCAGGGCGCCTACGCCACCAAGGTGTGTGCCACCGAGAGTCAGCTGTGCCCCGTGCCGACCGGCTGGTCGTTCAGCGAGGCGGCCGGCCTGTTCGTCACGGCACCGACGAGCTATGCCGCGCTCGTGATCCGGGCCAACATCCGTGCTGGCGACTACGTGCTGGTGCATGCGGCTGCTGGCGGCGTCGGCCTCGCGGCCGTGCAGGGTGAGTGAGGAGCCGGTTGACTTTCGAGAGATCCTGCTCACAACGTGCAGTCGCCAAGGCGTTTGGGGCCACCGTCATCGCCACGGCCGGCACCGCACGCAAGCTGGCCGTGGCGCAGGCGTTTGGAGCCGACCACGTGATCGACTACAAGGCGGAGGCCAACTGGCCCGACGCCGTGCGCAAGCTGACGCCCAATGGCCGCGGCGTCGACATCGTGTTTGACCCCGTCGGGCTGGTCGACCGCAGCACCAAGTGCACGGCCTGGAACGGGCGCATCCTCATCGTCGGCTTTGCGGCCGGCAAGATCGAAGCCGTCGCCATGAACAAGGTGCTGCTCAAGAACATCAGCCTCGTCGGCATCCACTGGGGCGCCTACACGCGCAACGAGCCCGACCAGATCCCCGCCGTCTGGGAAGGCCTGCGCTGGCTGATCGACCGCGGCGCCTTCCGGCCGACCGTTTTCACCGACGGCGAGCCGTTTGTCGGCCTTGATCACGTTCCCGCCACGCTCAAGGCGCTCGGCGGTCGCGAGACCTGGGGTAAGGTCGTCGTGGAGATCCCACAGGAGGCAGAGAGCAAGCTGTGAAGCGGTTGCGCGAGTGCGCACGGCAAAGTCACGTCCGCGGCAATATTCATGCAAGGACTCCAGTCGTCACCAGACGCGTACGCAAGCTGCCGAAAAGCGGCGTAGCCGTGCTGAGAACACACGAATTCAGGTGCCTAGAAACGAACTGTATAAAACTGGGCTGGCTAGAAGCGAGCTTAGCAATACGCAGACACACACAGAGAATCTTTTGTAATTGTACACAATAACAGTTCTGCCTAGGAGGATGGTTGGCGTGGCTATCTCATTCGTACGATGCCCTTCCTTCGAAGGTCGTATTTGGAGCCCCTGGCGCCTTGTGTTTGAGAATCGGTTTCGAGACACTCGTGTACGTAAGCGCTGAGAGGAGGCAGCCAGAATGGAAAACGCGCGCTTCGTCAAGAATCGAGAAAGACCGATCTGCGCGTGCTTTAGGCGGCACAAAGACGGCACTTTCTTTCCACGGATTAGGCCTCCATATTAAATCAAGTACTTCGTACTCCGTAGACCCCAGAGGATTTGCCGATATAATGCGACAAATCACGCTGTGGAATGTTTCTGTCCCAGACGCCCCTGCCCAATAGATACCCAAACCCGTTCTTTCCCTCGCCATCACAAGAACCAGCGCCTACCTCGATATGACTATCCTTCTCTTCCAGACTCCGCTGTCGTGAACAGGCCGCACTTCATTCCAAAGTCACTGGAAGAACTAACAGCCACATCGGGTTAGCTCAGCCGCGCCCAGCTTGTGGCCCCGTCAAATCCACCGAAAACCGCCAGCTATACATCTCCATTCAATCCCCTGTCATTAAACAACAACGAGCACAAGCACAAGCAAGCATCATCACAAGCTTTTCCGCTGCGCTCCTCTGGGATCCCTTCACATAGCCAACCGACAAAAAACGAAGACATTACTTGGATTCGCGAACTCTTCGCCTTCACACCGGCCAACACCCGTGTTTTGCAACCTCGATCGCCCTAAATCTAGAACAGCTGGAATCTGTTCATTTCGCCCTTGCACAAGCACATCCGCCAAAATGACACTCAAGGAGGAGTTCGCTACTAGAAATTTCAGTAAGTATTACTGTCCGATAGCGGCGAGCAGATGCGCCAGACGCTAGAGAGGGAATGCGAAAGACCACGGCCGAAACGAAACGAACAGTTTTGCTGACAATATGGTATCATCATAGGCATCTATGGACAATGGTACGTTTACCCCTCAAGAACACCCCGCGCGCCGCCACGGTGCTTCTCGTGCTCGTGATGGACACGAGTACATGAGCTGCGGCGGTGCTTGTCGAGCTCCGTATGGCAGTATACCACGCCCTCTTTGACCGGCCAGCCGGCGCGCGCAATGCCGGAAGACTGCGCAGGGGGGGGGTTGCGGAATATCCAAGCTTGATGAGGCAAGATGCTGACCGCTGTGCAACTTAGGCTTGGCATCCTGTCCATGATCCTGTGTTTTGCGCTGGGTATTGCCAACATCTTTACGTTCCGAGTTGTCACCATTATCTTCAGTGTCATATGCCTGTACGCTCCCAGACATCTGTCGCCCTGTCTCTCCACACTTTTGGCTGTGCGTTTCGCTAACGTTTTCTACTTTCCCAGCCTCTCCTCGTTTGTCATCCTCTTTATCGAGGTTCCGCTTCTGATGCGCATCTGCCCAACATCGTCGACCTTTGATTCCGCTATTCGCCGTATCTCGACAAACTACATGCGCGCAGCCGCCTACGGAGCTATGGCGGCGATCCAGTGGGTGAGCATAGTTGGTGGCAGTTCTAGCTTGATTGCCGCTGCTGTGTTCCTTACCATCACGGCCTTGTGCTACGTCCTGGCCGCCGTGAAGGGCCAGGACTTTGTTGGCAGCAAGACGCTGGGTGGTGCCGGTGTGGCACAGATGATCGTATGATTTGCGCGTGAAGACAACGATGGCAATCCCGGGACCCGTGGAGGAAAGGGACCGGCGCACCGCGAGAATGCGAAGTAAAAGCGAGTTAGGGAGCGGGCTCCGCAAAGAGAGGGGAAGGGCCGCGATTGGAGCCACCATCCACAGGTGCGAAGAGACGGCGAAAATGAGGCCGCAATGACAAAACGACACGACCAATCGCTTTGGTGGAACCTTTTTGAAGAGAGAGAGTAGCATCACACGGTGGCGGGTAGGAGAGAAAGTTGTAGGACGGCGGACGATACGAGAGGGCCCCTGACCATGTCCTTGTGTAACCCGCTTCTTTGGGGCTTTCTGTTAGACGGATATCGGGGGAGGAGGCGAAGTTATTTCTCTCCTCATGTATTGTTATGTTTGGGACGGGTTCAGGCGTCTCGAGGACTTTGTTCCATGTTTTTCGCTCTTGCAGAGGATATCTTGTGAGGTTATTATTGTTTTGTACAGTTCAGTGCAGCCTTGAAACTATTGCCGGGTGTTAGGCCATGCTTGACAAAGCGACGAAACCAACGATAATTAAAGCACTTTGTAGAGCTTGTATTTGCTGTGTGGTGGTTGAGCAAAAGCTGTTTACGCTGGTTACATAAGAGCCGGGCCCCACTATAGGCCGCTAAAAAGTGGCAGCCCAGCGACCATCATACAACATAAACGGGCTGTTGAGCCTGCCACAAGCGAACCTGTTTTTCGCATTGTCTCGTCTCGCAGCGCCGTCTTTCATTTCACAACCCTTCATCGTGTCGAAGCAATGGAGGTTGCTAACCCCCGCCGCATACTCGCAGTCTCTCTGGTTGAGTCGCAGGAGCACTTGTCTACAGTCATAAAAGGTGCCTCATTCGTCGTCCTGGAAGCAGGGAGAGAGTTGGTGGTATACTGACTCGCCACGCCTAGACCTCACTGGCGCGTACCCAGAGCGCTCGGCTGGAACGGGCTCATTGGCTGGGACAACGCAAGAACTGTTTCTAGACACGCCATACTACTCGGCGCGAGTGCCTGTGTGGCTTGACCTGATTGGAGCTGAGGAGCAGGCAGAGCAGGCAGAGCCGGCAGAGGATGTTCCAGCCGTAGGAGAGCCGGCAAAGGCTTCAGAAGAAGTCCCGGCACAAGATCATGTCACAAATGCGAAAGGGGACGTTGACGGTACTGCTGGTTCTGGCGCTGCCGCCGCCGCCTCTCCGATGACGCCTCGGCAATGGGCCGACGCTTTCCTGGAAGAGGAAGCGCGCGAGGTGAGAGCAGCACTGGGTGGTGTGGTAGTGGTATTGGAGATGAATAGCAGCACGGGTGCAGAGGGTGGGCCGACAAGGCCAAATCGCGTCGAGCAGCAGCGTGATCTCATCAGACATGTTGGCCGTCTGATCCAAGAGGGATTGGGCGTGGCGGCCCTTGACGACAATGACGGAGAGGAGGCGCGGGAGTATTACGATGACTCCTGGGACGGCGTCGGACTGGTGGTCGGCATCGCGCCTCGGGGCACTGGTCCGCCGCTGGCCGAGGACCTGCTGGCCGAGTGGGAAGATGCCTGCATAGCAGCAGGCCTGGAGTTTGTGCTGGTAGCCTCGGGTCAGGCAGCGACGAATGAGTTTGGCGGTAGGTTTCTGTTCTTCTTCTCTTGATGGCAGTAATCTTACGGCGTATCCAGAGAAAACGGGCATTCCTCGCGTGCTAGAAGCACTACAGGCCAACGACTGGAACCAGGCAGACGGACTGGGCCTGGATGGTGATGGCGTTGACGATGGCGATTTCGAGTTTGGGGCTTTTCAAGATTCGGACCGCGAGCTGCATCGTATTGTCAACCGCGGTGATGGTGACGGGAGTCACGACGACGGCGACGAGCTTTTTGACCCCGAGAGTCTCGACTTTGGCTTTGACCGGACCGATTTTGCCGGCCTACGTGAGGCTATCTGGCGGCAGAGCACCAGGACTGTCGAGGGTGGTGCCGGGGACCAGGATGCTGCCGGGGCCGTGGAGGACGAGGAAGACGACGGCGTGCAATCAGTCGAGCGCATGATGCAGAAGCTGCTGGCAGCGCGAGACCTGGGTGCAGGGTTGCCACCAGACCAGCGGCGCCGTTTGGCGGCACGGGCTGTGGGAGAGGTGATGCGGGAGCTCTGAGGAAGGAAAACAAGAGAGCCATGCTCGATCTTTCAGGTCGGCGCTCTTCATGCACTCTCCACTTGTCCTACGGATCAACATCAAGGTTTTGCCGCAAGCATCTCTAAATGGCCCTCTGTTACCCTCATTGAATGGCGTCGAGGACGCGCTGAGACGGGCGTCGGAGCTGGGAAGCGACGGCCTTGCAATGTGTATGTTTGGTCGACGCTTCGTTCTTCATAGAGCTCGGCCAGTCGACGAGTAGATAGGGTTGCCAGCGCCGTTTCCCACTCGCACACCACACAAGCCAATAAACAGGTTGAGAAGGCCATGGCAACAAAACACAGATGCCCTTTGTGGACGCGGCCGGATCTGCGGCCAGAAGCTGCAATGCGGACCGCAAGCGAGTCACCAGGGGCAGCCATTCGACGGTCCTGCCTATCGGTTGCCTGGGCCAACCGGGACGCAGAGCGAGGCGACGGGCCAAGGACGAGCAGACGAGAGAACGAGACAGAACGGAGAAGCCATGTGGCCCAGAAGCGCGGCCACGTTCTTTCTTTTCGATTTTCTTCCAGCCGGCCAACCAGGCCTCATCTTGCTGCTGCGGGCTGCGAGACGCCTGTCGAGAAGGGTGTGGGTATCGAGAGTACTCGGCATCGTGACCGGGTGTCCGGCCTTGATCATCGCCCTCCAGTCAGGGTGTGACAGTCGTGAGACGGCCGAACGAATCACATGGACGGGAGCCCGGAGGGGCCAAACCTGGAGCTGTCAGGGCGGGCCGACAGCGCTAAAGGACCAGTCGACATGTACGCCGTAGGGGGCACCCTGTCTCTCGTGGCGCCATCCCCCAAGGCTCGACGGCCGCCCGCGATTGGCTGGCCAGGGGCATTAAGGATTCCACCCTGGCTCTGGATGCAGCGCTAGAAGCCTGGCCAATGGGCCGTCTCATTTGCTGCTTGCCGCCGGCGCTCAGGGAGGCAACTCGCCTGCAGCAGCTCGCTACTATGTAGCCCTTTCCCGTCGGCGGTCTGTAGGCGCTATGCCGATGCAACCTCTGAGTCTTGCTACTTATGGATCAATGGATCATGCATCTTATCTTGCCATGTACGTACCACGTTCCCAAGCACTTACACACCAACATTACGATACTCCCGGACAGTACGCGACCTCTACATAGTATCTTTTCTTACTTCGGACGAGTACTCCTTACACACACAACCCTCGTTTCTCGCGATCCACTCGCGCATGCTTCCACCGTCTCCCTCCCGATCAACCTTGTTGCTCGTCAATTGTGCCACCGACGAGTAAGATGTCGTTGCGCCATCCCGATCATCGCGCCAACAAACGGCCCTGCAACTCCTCTCAGTCCCCCCTCCCTCCCCCTCCCCTTCCTCTCCAAGGTCCCCCCCTGCTAGCTTCCCTCGCCTGGTCCAGTCCAATGGATCCAGAGACGATGTACCAGTTTCAAGGCGGGCGCCAAAGAACGGTCACCAACCGTGCAAAGCACAAAACATGCAGACAACGATTGCCATAGACCACGGCAACCGCCGCTGGCCCCGGGCCCCGTTTCTTTGGCTCTTGGTGAAAGGACGCTTCTGGCTGGCCGTCGATTTCATGAGTGTGGGTGTCCTTCTGTGTGTGCGCTCCTAGTCTCCCTCCTTGGCTGTCGGAAACACCCACCAGCTGCTGAAAAAAACGTGCGTGTAGTTGTATCGACTACCGGGAGGCCGTCCCTCTTAACCGCCCATGCTGTGCTCTTAAGGGAGCGGACCCTTCCCCCTCCCTTCTATTTCTCTCTCTCACCTCTTCCTGCATTAAAATATTAATACAGGACTCGCCCCTTCTCTCGTCTGCAGTCGCTCTCCATTCCCTTTCCTCTCCAACTGCCCGTCATCCAGGCAAGTTGACTTGACAGCGCACTACCCCTCCTCATCTTGGCACCTTGAGTCATTTGCTTGACTTCATTGTCCTTTCTCTCGGCCTGTTGACAAGTACCCTTCTTTCTTTTCCGTACACTTCCCTCGTCATTCCCTCGTCATCGACACAACATGGCATCCCGCAAGCCGACCCTGGTCTTGACGACGCCCGTCTCTGCCACCTTCCCGGCAGAGGCGCTCAAGTCAGCCGCCTCTGTACGCACGCCGTACTCGGCTCTCTGGCGTGAGTCCAAGGGCTCGGCCGGCCTGCCTTCCGCAGGACTTCCCTCTGCCGGTCTTCCGTCTGCTGGTCTCCCGTCTGCCGGCCTCTCTTCGGCCGGCCTGCGCTCTCCCATGGTCGCCGTCAAGACCGAAGATGGCCTCCTCAAGACGCCCATCACACCGCCTCTGGCCTACACGGATTTTCTCAAGCTGGCCAGCCCCGTACTGCCGAGTCCCAGCATGTCCAGCCCGACCTTTACGAGCGCCGCACCGGCATCAAGGAACAAGAGCGCCCTCAATCCCACGTCGTCACCACCGTCATCGTCGGCTACAGAAGCTGGCAGCGAAGGTCCCAAGAAGGCCACGACCAGATCCGCCTCAGACAACAAAGACGCAGCCGAGCCGAGCACGGACGCGGATGCGGACACGGAGACCACCGCCAGCAGCAACAACAGCAGCCCGTTGACAGCTGCCAGTAGTGCCTCGATCGAATGCTCGTGCGACTGCGAGCGCCCGCACAAGTCACCCAAGGTGGCCCGAATCGACACGTCCATGCCGCCCAGCCCGTTCAACCACTATCCCATCTCTGCGCCAGCCATTGGACGCACTACCTTTCCCAGCATGGCCATGCCTATCTCCCCTGCTGTGTCCAACGCCAACTGGACCGACTCGCCCGTCAGATCGCCGTTCAGTGCCAAGTCGGGCGTCTCGCACTTTGACTGGGAGAGCGCGCTCAAGACAAGGTATTCGGATGGCAAGCCATCTCCGCACACACATGCCCATGCGCACGGCTGTGCCAAGGCGCCCTCTACCAGCGCATCAAGAACCAGCGTCCGACACATCCGCGAAGTCGTCACAAGAACGGTCACCTACACACCACGCATGAACCCGCCGCCCAAGGGCAAGAAGAGGAAAGCACAATGTGACGGGACAGCCTGCTCATGAGAAGCAGCATACCCGCACTCTTTTTATCTCTCCTTTGTCTTGTACGAAAAAAAAGTCACTATGATGGGAGGCCGGATGAGAGCGTACGCTTCGGACACGACGTGTGGCAGGGAGGAAGCCGGCTGTCTACGGAGTTTTATTCCACCTTGCAAGGCGATGGGAGGGCGTTTTTTCTGGTTTCTCTGTATTCTATCCCGCATTTCTTATTTGGAAGGAACTGGGCGGCCGGGCAAGCTACCAACAATGAAAGGAAGACTATGCCATTACAAGTCTACTAACCCACTGGCGAGACCCATCTGAGCAACGGCTAGCGGGCATTCCGCCCAGGGCCCCTGATCAGAACGGATGTGTAGTCTCTAGGAAGGGGTGACAGAATAGTGTACTCCGTAATGGCCTTGCAAAAGCTGTTTCTGCTCCGTACAAGTGAGATGTAAATGGGTCAAATGTGAGACCCACAAGAGAGACACATCGGTCACAGCCAATTGCGGCTCCAGAGGAGGAACTGAGCAGGGGTCCAAGGCCGTTAAGCGCCCGGCATACAGGGCGGCCTGCTGCTGATTGGCTGCTTGGCAGCTGTGCTGTCGGCTTGCAGGGTGATTTTGCCCTTGTCCATAATAGCACAGTGCTCTGATTGGCTGCTGGCAGTACGGAGTCGAGGCGGCGTTGGTGACAAGATTGCGTTAACCGCCGACCAGACTCTGCAGAACACTTCCCTCCTTCTCATATCCTTGTCAAGTATTTCTATAGTAAGATACCACCCACATTGTGTCGTAGCACAGGAAAAGCAGTGCTCCGCAAGCTACCTGGCTGGCGCTGCACCCGCACGGAGAACGAGTGCGAAATTCCTCTGGCGAGACAGTGCGAAACCGCGCTGATACTGTGCAAACGCAAGTCCGTCCGGGATGGCCGTCCCCTGTCTCGATAGCATCATCCGCTTTCTATTTTGGGAAGTTTCAGAGCTGATGGCAATCACTGACGGAGACGGATCACGACGTGCCCTGTGCTCTGTACGCTGAGCTCTGTGCTCGGGGCGCCGCCGAAATCGAACACCTGACATACGGGGTCACCCGTAGGCATGTCTTACAATCTGTACTATGTAAGATGCGAGTACGGAGTACTCGTAGGACTGTTCGTCACATCCAGTCACTGTGAAGACTCTATCCTATCACCTCATTGGCTGGCAACGGCACTCTTTAAGCGGCGTTGCCGCGTTGCCGCTCTGTGATATAGTCCTATCGGCCATGCCGCCTTGTGATTTCCGTCAGGCTTTTTATTGCATAATCTAGAAGTAGAGGTCATATATTGGATTAGCATATTGTTATACTATCAGAACATAGTAGGTCATCTGCACTGGCACCTCAGTTCGGAGCTGGGCAAAGCCTTTTTGATACTATCTACATACTATATACGGAGTATTTCGGTTCATACATGAATGTCATGTATTCGACTCAGTGAAACCCCATTGTTTTAGGCACCTGGGTTGCCCAACTTGTATACTACCCCGTTGCTAGCCTAGCGAGGCAGATGCAAGAATTGCACCATAGGCGATTTGCTGCAGTCTTGTTTAGACGACACTTGATATCGGCCATGTAAGAAGCCCAAGCGTATCAGTCCAATGTGACCTAAGCCTGTTCCATGTGGACATTTAGTAGCTGGACAGCTGTCTCCCGTCTAATGTGATGTGCATATGTGGACTTTGGATCTACTCTAATTTACGACATCGTCAAAAACGTTTGTTATCTTCGCCTCGAAAAGACAATCGCGCTTATCCACAACTGCCTGTGATGTATCATCATAGCAAAGAGGCAGAATTATGGAGTAGTACCGACACGCCATTTACCCCAATACTGGGCCGCTGCAGAAAGGGTAAAAGGATAAACGACACAGCTCTGGTCTAGACTATATCAAGTCATTCGTATGCAGTTGCCTTAGGCCGGTGTAGCAGTTACTATGGTCGGCTTGGATGATACAATGTAAAGTACTCAGTAGGCGATTCCACGCAAAAACCAAGCGGTGAGTACATTTGACGATGCATCCGTGGCAGCCATCGGCTCGGGCAATAGCGGGTGTCCAAAGATACGTGAGGCTCACCGACATTTGCACCCGTGGCTGTGCCCAAAGCGACATTGGTGCCCAACGTAAGTAGTACCAAAACCCATGTATTACCCGAACGAGCATAGGATAAGGCGGACTGTACGGAGTACGGAGTATATGGAACCCTACTCGTTCTCCCCGCGAAGCCGTGGCCTTCTCTCGTCGCTGTGATATAATATCGCAGTTCATGGCAAAGTCACGTGCCAGTGGATGCTCCTAACTTCTGAAGCCAATTCTATTAACGGCAACCACAGATGGCGCAGGACACGCTTAAACTAAAAATAAATAAAAACGTAAAATCTATGCAGATTCCGAGATCAAGAAGTAGAGACGATACGTACGAGTACTCGTACTCCGTACGGAGCACGCGTACGTTGTAAGAACACGAGATGCCGACATATCTGGTGACTCTCCACAGCCCACCCTCTCGCACCACACGGCTTAGGTACGCAAGTATGCAGCTATCGGCAATGGCACGCGGGCCAGATCAAGGGCGATATGTAATACTGACCTAGTTGGCTGGGATTACGAGAGCTCGAAATATCCTACACATGTCGCTGGCCTAGCTGTCATTTCCTGCTACTGCGTCGCGCCCCAGCCACCGCGTCACTGCGTTGGGCGTTCAAAACACCACACACACAAACAGCAAAACACGGTCGGCGTGTCTGGAGAAAAGTGGTCCACCGGACCAAAACACAGGGCCCCAGTTTTCAGAGCTGAATCAGCCAGTCACAGGGTGTTAAAGAGCCCCCTCCTCTGCTTTTCCCTCAAATCATATTTCTTGTCTCTCTCCCCCTTTCCTCTCACACTTTTTTCGTCTGGCACCAATCATCCGCTCCTCTCAGACTGCCAACCTGGTCCACCCGCTTCGCCTCAGAAACGGAGACGATAGAAAAACGTCCCGGCCGAAAATCTGGTATTCGTCAAATCACAATCCAGCTTTGCAGTGCCAATCAGCGGTGAGTCGCAAAGACAACGGCGCATCGCACCTTAAGGTGCGCGCACGAGAGAAAACGCCAGAAGGAAAAAAACGGTAAAAATCGGGGTGGAAAAAAAACGCACCCAGCCACGTATCTTACACACGGATTGCAGTCAGCAAGCCACAAGCCACACGCCTCCATTTCAGACCAGCACAAGGCGTCCCAGCACACCCGCATTTTTCGTCAGAGGAAGGGTCCTCCAGTGGATCAACCGGCACGCCCACTCCCCTCCTTCTTGTGCCCTGTTCTCGAAGCGACAAAGGTCAGACTGTAGGACAGCGTTCGACGGTAGGTATTTTACAACCACAACGGTGTTCAACTGCTGCGCACTTGTCAGCAATCGTCTGCCGAACATTCTTGTATGCTCCGCCCCTCTTTCTCTCCCTCGTCGGAATACACCGCAACAATTACACAAGCCGGCCTCCCCAACCCCCCCTGTACGAGTAGTGGCGGCCCCAGTCTCTTTCTCTCTGCCTCAGCTGTTTCAGAGCGCCATCCCCCCCCATCTCTTCGTCATTCGCTCATCCGGACCCTCTGTCCTAGTGGCCCTCTTTTTCTCGCCGCCGTCACCAAATAGAAACCCGCACTCGCCCTTTTTTCCTCGGCAGCAAATCAGCACGCGACTTTGCACTAGCAAGCTCTTTCATCTACCCATATTCACAAATCTGGAAACCTATCATCGTCGCCAACATCGCTTTTGGCTTCACCATTGGCCGCATTGCCAGTCCCGTGATTGTTGCTCCCTGCGGAGACCAATTTGCCTAGATCGCCCTGCTGCTCAATCCGTTCAATCAGACACGGCGCCGTTGCTGCATTGTCTGCAACGACGGGATCAGCCCTTGACTAGCAAGACGAGCCGTCGGCAAAACTGTGAGCAGCTCTTCCTCTCCCTCCCTTCCGTCTCCTCTTCTGTCCTTGCGCCTTCTGCTGCATGGCAGCGGGTTTTCCCGTGATCGACGCCTATTTCCTCTGTTTTTTTTCTCGGCGCCTGCATCGAGGTCCTTGCATCTGCTGCCATCGTCATTGTCATTGTCTGTCTGCCCGCTTGCCTTGCTGCTCTTTCTGTTTATATACGGCGGGTCCGATACGCGGCCGTTCTCTCACCTTCCCTTTTCCATCTGTCCTAGGCGCGCCACATTGGCTAACGAGTTACCTGACTGACAGCTGCAGCGCTCTTTCCACACTTTGCTTTTGCACAACACGCAGCTTCTGCCAAATTATCCCAGTACGTTATGCTCGAGCAACGTGTTATCATCGGTTACTCTATTTCACTGCATCTCTCCCTCCTTGGTCCATCTGCTTTTCTCTCTTTCCATCGGGGCCTGCATTGTTTCGGCAAGCAGCCACACACACAAAAGCCAGACGCGCTTTGCTGCCGCCCACTTGAAGAGGCTCTGCTCAAGCGCTTTCCACCATCATGCATGTCTGCGACGCACCATTTTGTCAAACGCGCACTTTGCAGCGCTTAGCCGTACGGCCTTTTGCTCTGCGCCTTTCCCCTCCTCATTTCCCTGCACAATTCGCTCCCATCGCCTACTGTCTCCGCCTGCTATGGCCAGGCCTCCCTTGACTACTCCACCCTCAGAGACAGCGACAAGGCGGTGCTGCGTTGGCCAGTGCGGGTGGGCTTCGTTCGTGCATATTCCGTCATGCATGCCAACACATCAATAAGCTGTTGGTGTAGGGCGCGAACGCAGTCCCTCCCCTCCCTCCCTCTTTCTCCCCCCCCCACTAGTGCTGTCCCAGCTCTGTTGCCTTATTAAATACCGCAAGAAATCATAACTGATTGTTTGGTTGGGCAGGCCTTTCGCGAAGTTCGAAGCTACTCGACAGTAGACCGACCAGACTGCAATCGCGACGCCATCTCGCCAAACATCTCTCTGCATCTAATCCCTAGCTTCGGGTTCGTCCAACCACCGTGCTTCTTTCCTACACCGGTACCTCCTCACACCGGGAGACGAGAACAACGCCAACAACATCGGGACGACGCGCCTCACGTGGTATTGCCTGTCACGGGTATCTCTTTCTCTGTCTTTAGGCAACTGGCCCCGCGCAAGGCGATTCCAGCTTGCATATGCTGTGGCACTACAAAGTGCACAACGGCACCATCACCGACCAGACTGCCAGCGCATCGATACAAGCCCAATAGAAAAGAAGGGTGTGCACATCCAACCCTGTCTCAGATCTCTCTTCATTACCACCCAGCGCACTGAGCCTTGTCGGCGTAACCAGCCCAACTTTCGACTCGACTAGACAAACCCACAGAGGCCTTTTCAGTTGCCCACAGGCCCAACTTTCCTGTCCTCGCACAACTGCTTTTATTTTCACACTCTTTACGCGATTGCACCCACCAAAGGCAACGATTCGAAGCCATTCATTATATTCTTTGGCTGTCGCGTCTGAAATAACCTTTGCGATCGCCCCACCATTTTAGTCGCGTCCATTCACAGGATGATGGAATACGCACAATATCAACCGCAACCGCAGAACGGTCACGTCCAGAATATTCAGGCCGCATACCCCAACGCTGCGGCTGCTAACGGCATCTCGCCGCCCCAGCACCAATCTTCGACTGCGCGGAGCCAAGATCCCAACATGTATCAGCCATACATGCCCCAGCAGGACATGCAGTATGTCCAGGCTGCTGCCATGGCTGCGACGGCAGCCGCGTCTGGTGCGGAGCCTACCCCTACGGCATGTCGGCGGACCCGGCCATGCAGCAGAACTCTCCGCGGCTGGGCTCAAAAAAGGAACAGCGCAATCCTCGGTCCCCTCCGCTGAACAACATCAATGCCCAGGGCCGTCGGCTGAGCCAGGTCACCAGTCCCGGCCTGCCAAACGCTCAGGCTATTCTGAACCACAACGCGTCAAGAGCAGCAGGCGTGCCTTCAACCCTCCCACCGCAGCAACAGATCCACGCACCCCAGTCACCCGAGCTTGCAGCTGCTCCTGCTGAGGAGTCGCCGCTGTACGTCAATGCGAAGCAGTTCCACCGGATCCTCAAACGGAGAGTAGCCAGACAGCGTCTCGAGGAGGCCTTGCGGTTGACCTCTAAGGGCCGGAAACCCTACCTTCACGAGTCGCGACATAACCATGCGATGCGGCGGCCCCGTGGTCCGGGCGGCCGCTTCTTGACTGCCGACGAGGTGGCAGCGATGGAAAGGAAGGACGGCCAGCTGGAGGGTGACATCAAAGAAGGAAGTGATGCTGGTACGTCGGAGCCTCCGGCTGAGGTCGCGACACCATCTTCTGGCAAAAAGCGCAAAACAGAGAGCGGCACGGTGCAGCTCGCAAAAAAGGCCAAGGCGGAACAGCCGATAGCAGAGGAAGACGAGGAGGACGGTGAGGATGATGGATAGGCGCCTCTTGTGACCCTCCACACTTCACTGTATCCTACTCCCCTCCTCTCCTAACGTTGTATCATGTGCCTCTGCTCTCTTTTTTCACGTTTTTCGATTTTAACGAGGTTACGACGACATCTCCGACACAGTGCCCGAGCCCCAGCTTGCTTGCCGTATATGCGCTCGCTGCCGCCTCTGCGGCTTCCTCCAAAGATTCTTCTTTTTGCAGCTAGGGTGGACGAGGAGCTCGATTTCGGGAGATCGGGACATCTGCTAAGCGGTTGGAACATTTTCTTTCTCACCTACTCGATTTGGCCACAATGATTTTGGACAGCCTTTACCAATTGTTGGGTATATCCCGCCACCCCGCCACACCGCCGTGCTGAAGTTGAGTCTCCAAAGGATAAGCAAAAATGCGGCCGTGACGTCTTCTCGCAGCAGGCTGGCAAACAAGTGTGACAAAAAGGGTGCTGTTTACGGATTTGTATGGATGACCTCGAGGATACATCTGAAGGATACCCCACACCACCGCTTTTTCCATGACCCGCGTGCACGCAGGTCTCTGTTTTCTTTTTGATGTGTTTTTCTTCAGCGTTATGTCACTGGGCTGTTTTTCTTGATTTTCTTCTGCTTCCTGGGTTGCAACGATGGTCTGGTCACCTGAAAGGCATGGAGGTGAGAGGTACGGGTAAGAATGCTACCGGTCGCTAGGCCACCCCCTTTGCTGTCGGTGCTTCATTTTATATTGGCTTATATATTTTTCTTCATCTAAGGATGGCTTTATTTCTTTTACGTATTTTATATGATTGTTAGCTGTTCTGTCCTTTTCCTTATTTCATACGACGAATGACGCGCAAATGTAAACAAAGATAAAAATAGGACATGAGGGAAGGAAAAGGGGAAGAAAATGAAGAAAGCAGCTCGCCAGACTACGGCACAGCAAGTGCAGGTCTTCCCCCCTCACAATTCATGATTGGTTTCTTGGCTTCGTGATTGTTTATTGCGACCAAATTTTTTATTTCAATTAAACATTGAATTTTTTAAATATGAGAGTAAAAGATTGCAAAGCCGAGCTGCGTACTCCGTAGTGCCTGAAATAGCAGGCAGCAACCCCACATCCAAGCCATGACGCCAGTGTGAATAAAAATATGAAGGCTTTCTATACAAGTTCGTGGAGTAACGGCAAATGGAGAGAGCGTGACCCAAGGCGACACTGGTCTTCTTTTTATTGTCCGCAACAGCACCGAATCAGCAGCTCTAACAGTAGAGAAGCGTGCGCCACACACTACCGGCTCTATATTGCTCTGTCGAGACGGGAGCTGTTAAGATGTTGTTCTTCAGGTAAGCCGACTCGGTTCATGGTGACAATTCGCACCGACGAGAGGAGACAAGGGGAGCTGCGAGGCGGGTTAGTGTGCACGTCTGTGCCGCGTCGCGGGCTACTTGCTGACCGCTCGTCCGCACAGCTTCTTCAAGACTCTGATTGACACGACGGTCACGGTCGAACTCAAGAACGATATCCAAATCCGTGGCACGCTCAAGAGCGTGGACCAGTACCTCAACATTAAGCTCGACGATATCACCGTCGTCGAGGAGATCAAGTACCCCCACATGGTGAGCTTGCATTTCTGTGTCCTAGCCAGGTCCTGTCGTCTGCTGACCGCCTCTGCCCAGAGCGCCGTCAAGAATGTCTTTATCCGCGGCAGCGTCGTGCGGTATGTGCACCTGCCGGCCGCTGCGGTAGATGTATCCTTGCTGGAGGATGCCACCCGAAGAGGTAAGTGCTGGGCTTTTATTGTCGTTGTCATGTCGCCAGAGCTGATAATTCCTCTCTGCAGAGGCGGCCAACAATGCCCCCAAGACTGCAGGCGCAAGATAGCACGGCGTATATCTGGGCTCCTTTGGCTTGCACATGCGCTTTTCCCAGACGTCTGGCTGTCGGCTGCAGCACACGCATTGCTACGATTCTCCATATGAGATTTTCATGATCAAATCTCAGCGACCGGGGTTGAGGCTTACACAGAGAGCGACTGTCCCTACTTTATTTTTCTTTGCCAAAGAGAGACGAAGAGAGATTTAGCCAGCGACAAAGCAGGAAGAAAAGGCGTTCAGGCAGATAGACCACAGACCGCACAGCGGCCGATAGAGGCGCCAGGAAGGCCATGAATCAATCCGAGTTTGTTGGGGTTGTAGCGATCTGCGCTTTTTTTGAAACGTAATATACTGTAAAGTAATATACTGTAAAGAATGTGGCCGTGCCTCTTTGCCCCGAGGCCTTCCGTAAGATGCCGATATGAAATACATGTGTCTACTCCAAAATCCTAGCAACATGTCCTCCGTATTGCTGACCCAAATGAGATAATTCAATCTGCCGTAATTCCAACCGGTCACCAATATGCGCCGCCACCCTTTCCGTCCTTGCCGTCCCACATCAGCTGTCGACCGTCTCTGCGTGCCGTTTCCTGCTCGCTGCCGTTCGCCTCCGAGAGCACGTCCACGATGCCGCCCTTTCGCCGCTCCGTCATCCAGCGGTCGAGCCAGGCCTTCATGCGTCTCCGCGACTGCTCGCTGCCCACGTTGACAGTCGGCACGACCTTGTCGATGCGCAGCGCCATGACAAAGAGGGCCAGCTCGCGGAACGAGCTGTGCTCGCTGTACGGCACCCCAAAGCACATGGCCTCCCGGGTGCTCCCACGCTGCGGCAGCAGATCGCGCATGCCGAAGCGTGTCCGCCAGCCGGCGCCATGCAGCAGTGTCGTCGTCGTCAGGCTGCCGGGCGCAAGACCGGCTCCGGCAGCCACGGCCGCACCCGAGGAGCCATCGCGTGCCTTGGTCTCGTTGTTCGCCATCGACGGACGATAGTTCCAGCCCGATGGCCGGAAGCCGACGATGCGCGAAAAGTGTGCGCTGTACGTCTCGTGATATGTTGCCAGCGTCTCTGCCCGCATCTCCATCAGCATCTGCATGTGCACCTGGGCCTCGGCCGGGTTCGACGTCATCAGTGCCGCCAGCTCTGGGTCGTCGAGCTGCTGCATGATGCGAATCTTGGCTGGCGACGCGTAGATCTTGCTGCCCAGCGCCTGTGCAATGGCCACGCAGATGCGCTCCTTGCCGATGCTGTAGGTCCCGCAGACGACCAGCAACCGGCTCCCCTTTGGTGCGGGCTTGCCCAGGATCGAGAGCGCGTTGGTGGTGCTGGCTGGCACCCCAGCTGCAGGGGATGGCTTGGGCTCCGCTCCGCCCCGCACAAAGAAGCTGCCAGCTCCTCCGCTGCGGTTCTTGGGGCGTCCGAGCAGCCTGTCCCACTCGTCGTCTGTGCCCGAGCGCAAACTGCGGTCGAGCGCAGCACACAGACTGGCGCAGGCGCCGATCACGTCATTCTGTGGCGGGAACGAATACCGTGGGTTGAGGTATGTCGTGTCCAGATAGCAGACGTCGATTTTCTGCTGTCTCGTCTTGCCTGTTACGGCATCCAGGGTTTCCGGTCGCAGAAGCGAGTGCTGCACATGCGCAGGACACGCCCGGAAGTCACCGCAGTGCAGGATCCTCTGTGTCCGGCCGTTGGGCAGCGTTTTCGTAAACAAAAACAGGGAGCTTCCGGGACAATGGTTGGCGGGGATCATGGTGACCTGCACACCGCCAGTGCCGGGAACATCGACCGTCTGTTCATATTCGATGGCAACGACCCATTTGGCTGCAGTGCCCAACTGTGTCTTGACGAGACTACTCGTCACCTTGGAGCAGTATATCGGCCCGTGAGACCACTTGGCCGTGAGCCCGACGTAGTGGTCGCTGTGGAAGTGGCTGAGGAAGTAGGCCCGGCAGCCCTCGACGGGGCCGTAGCGAAAGGCGTCGACGCAGATGAAGAAGCCGGGCATGATCTTGTAGAACGGACAAGTCCGCTCGTAGCTTTGCCGTCCACGAGACGAGTTTGCGTGCGCCACTGCTGTCGCCCACGCCGCGTCTTCGGCGTGGCTGGACATGAGCTTCGCAAAGGCCGACGTGGCCATGGGTGCCACAGAGGTGCCCGAAACGCCAGAACCGTCGATCGTGATTGGATTTGCCTGGCCTGGGCGAGGAGGCCTCATGCGATTAAACCGGGCGGCAAAGGCAGACACCTGCTGCTTCTGCTCTGGATTGCTGCTGCTGGCTTCCTGTTCCGGCTGCTCCTTTGCTGCAGCTGGCGGTGTCTCGTCTGCCAGCCCATCGAGACATCCGTTAACGTGAACTGTTGCTTCGCTGCTGGTACTTCCGGCGAGACTGGTGCCGCATATTGGACAGGAGGCAACAGAAGACTGGCCGCCGTCACGGCTCAGGGCATCTCTCGCCTCTGCAGCTTCAAGCTGGCCCTGCTCTTCCATGAATCTCCTTTCGCGAAACTCCTCGCCATCAAAATTGTCGTCCTCATCCAAGTTGTCCCAAAGAGAATCGCCAAAATCGTCGTCGCCAAACGTCTCTGTTTTCGCATCCGCATCCGCAGCCAACGCCAGCGGTTGCAGCAGCGCGTCAAACGAGTCCTCTCCAGTCGGACATACAGGACTGTCTGCCCGCTTAAGATGTTCGGGCTGGTCTTTCCCGTTTTCGAGCACCGATGCTTCTTTTCCCGCCACAGGCTCGGCTTCAGGACTTTCGTCCTCGTCCGAATCAGAGTCGTCTAGAAAGGGGCCACGTTGGCTAGGCTTGCTCAGTGTCGAACCTTTTTGCCTTGTCATCTCTGATACGTCTGAGGTCATGCAAACCGTTTGCTCCGCATCCAGCTTTTGCCTCTTGACCGACACAGAGAACTCGCAGTTGCTCTCTGCGGGCTCATCGACATTGAAGACTTTGTCGTCCCCACCCCGACTTGAAGGCGTGCTGTCTGCACAATCCGGCAAGCCGCTCACAAACATAGACTCCTCTGGAAGCGGTTCTTTCTTGAAGAAGCTGAGGATACTTCCGTTCGGCGCTGACTTTCGTTTGAATGGCGGGGACTTCATGTTCTTTCCCATCGGACTTGCCCGTGCCGGCGCCTTCGCTTTCGCCATTACAGGAGCGGGCATCGTCAATACTGCTTATATGCGTCGTCATAGGGGGTTTCACTTTCGTAGCCCCAGTTCCGCATTGCAGCCAAGTGTCGTCGAGCATTGGGCCTTGCGGCTTGCGGGTTACGTTCACACGAGAATCCCGTCACTCGAAATCGAAAAACCAAGTTCCGCGGCGAGGCCGGTCGCGTAGTCACGTGACAGTACCGATTGGTAAATGGGCGGGTCCTCCCCGCCATCAGCCAATAAAAACGTGACCTCCAAGATATGCAAGTAAGTAGTACGTTTACGGGGCCGCGTGTTGCCCCTCCCGTCTAAACCGATACGTGGTGCCAAGCCACCTGTCCGATTTGGTAAAGAACGTGGAAGCTCCAGCTGTCCTCTCAGGAAACGCTCGAGTTGCTGGGTAGGGCGACGTTGTAAAAGCAACATTTCTTCTCCCACCTTTTTGCCCTTCCCTCCGTCCCCCTTTTGTTTTGTTGCTCTGGCAGTTCGTTCCTTCATATTGCTCTAGTGCTGCATTTTCTCTTCGCCTTTTCGGCCGCAACTTCAGGGCCACAATGGCATCCACGGCTGATCCTCTCAGCGTGGTGGCCGATGGCCTCATGGCGAAGAACACCCGGTCGGTGATTCGCGTCGTCATTCTGTTCCTCATCGCAGCTGCCGCCGTGGCCAGCCGTCTCTTCTCGGTCATCCGTGCGTTGTGCCGTGCAATTGCAATGCACCCCGTCTCTCCAACCCGGCTCCTCGCTAACATCGTTCTTCTGCAGGATTCGAGAGCATTATCCACGAATGTTCGTTCTGCAGCCTTTTGACTGCGCCTCGCTCTCGTGTGCGCCGGTCCTCCTCTGGATCACTCTGCTAACCCTGCTTCTAGTCGATCCCTGGTTCAACTTCCGCGCCACAAAGTACCTTGTCGCCAATGGCTTCTATAGCTTCTGGGACTGGTTTGATGACCGCACCTGGCATCCTCTCGGCCGTGTCACCGGCGGCACCCTCTACCCCGGCCTTATGGTCACCAGCGGCGCCATCTATCACGCCCTCCGCGCTCTGACTATCCCGGTCGACATCCGCAACATCTGCGTCCTGCTTGCGCCGGCCTTCTCCGGCCTGACCGCGTACTCGGCCTACCTGCTGACCAACGAGCTGACCACATCGCCCTCGGCCGGCCTGCTTGCTGCTGCCTTTATGGGAATTTCCCCCGGCTATATCTCGCGGTCTGTTGCTGGCAGCTACGACAATGAGGCCATTGCTATCTTCCTGCTGGTCTTTACCTTCTTCCTCTGGATCAAGGCCCTGAAGCTGGGCTCCATGCTCTGGGGCGCCCTTTGCGCCGTCTTCTACGGTTACATGGTGGCTTCGTGGGGTGGCTATGCTTTTATCACCTGTCTGCTGCCGCTCCATGCTTTTGTCCTGATCTGCATGGGCCGTTACAGTACCCGCCTCTACGTGGCTTACACCACGTGGTACGCCCTCGGAACATTGGCCAGCATGCAGATTCCGTTCGTTGGCTTCCTCCCGGTGCGAACCAGCGAGCACATGCCGGCACTCGGTACGGACCCTCTTCTCTGTCCCCACCTAATCTTACTGACCATCTACAGGCATCTTCGGCTTCCTTCAGCTCCTGGCCCTCCTCGACTACGTACGGTCGGCTGTTCCGAGCCGGCAATTCCAGACCTTTCTCCTGCTCTCAGCCGGAAGCGCCTTCAGCATTGGTCTTATTGGTCTGGTCATCGCCACAAGCGCTGGCGTAATTGCTCCTTGGGGTGGCCGTTTCTACTCCCTCTGGGACACGAGCTACGCCAAGATCCACATTCCCATCATCGCCTCTGTATCGGAGCATCAGCCTACTGCGTGGCCCGCCTTTTTCTTCGACCTCAACTTCCTCATTTGGCTGTTCCCTGCCGGCGTGTACCTCTGCTTCCAGAACCTAGCGGACGAGCACGTCTTCATCGTGGTCTACGCTCTGTTCGGCAGCTACTTCGCTGGTGTCATGGTGCGTCTGATGCTGACGTTGACGCCTGTTGTGTGCGTGGCTGCGGCTATGGCGGTGTCCTCACTACTCGACTCCTACCTCGTTCTCGAGTCGCCCAACTCTGTTGCTGCCGCGGCCGCGGAGGAGGCTGCGGAGAAGAAGTCGGTCAAGAGCGCCGGCCTGAAGTCGACGTCTAAGCCGGTTGTCGGCATCTACTCGCTCCTGTCCAAGGGTCTGATTACATCCGCCATGACAGTCTACCTTCTCCTGTTTGTGGCGCACTGCACGTGGGTGACGTCCAACGCATACTCGTCGCCATCCGTGGTTCTGGCGAGCCGCATGCCCGACGGCAGCCAGCACATCATCGACGACTACCGCGAGGCGTACCAGTGGCTGCGGCAAAACACGGAGGAGGACGCCAAGATCATGTCCTGGTGGGACTACGGCTACCAGATCGGAGGTATGGCGGATCGTCCAACGCTGGTGGACAACAATACTTGGAACAACACGCACATCGCGACGGTTGGCAAGGCCATGAGCTCGCGCGAGGAGGTCAGCTACCCGATCATGCGGCAGCACGAGGTCGACTATGTCCTCGTGGTCTTTGGCGGTCTGCTGGGCTACTCGGGTGACGACATCAACAAGTTCCTGTGGATGGTGCGCATTGCCGAGGGCATCTGGCCCGACGAGGTGAAGGAGCGGGAATTCTTCACTCCCCGTGGCGAGTACCGGGTAGACGACCAGGCCACGGACACCATGAAGAACAGTCTGATGTGAGTTGCCTCCGTCTATTGCTTATCTAGAAGCGAATGACTAACAAACATCAGGTACAAAATGTCGTACTACAACTACCAGTCAATGTTCCCTCCTGGCCAGGCTCAGGATCGCGTGCGTGGCTCCCGTCTGCCCGAGAAGGGCCCGACACTGAACACGCTGGACGAGGCCTTCACCAGCGAGAATTGGATCATCCGTATCTACAAGGTCAAGGACCTGGACAACGTTGGCCGGGACCACGGAGCCGTGGCGTCCTTCGAGCAGGGGCACAAGAAGAAGAAGTCATTGAGACGCAAGGGTCCCCGGACCTTGCGCTTGGACTGAGTGGGGAACATGTACAACAGAGGGCAACAGCCGTAACGTGGCAGTGGGGGAGGGGGAGGCAGAGAGGCGAAAAGAGATTTATACAGCACTGGAGGGACAGAAGCAGTGTAGGGTGGCTTGCTTTTCTCTCTATATGTTTGGGAACGGCAACGAAAAGGCTATTACGGACATTTCACTTTTGATGTACAAAGAGCCTCCGGGAAGAGCAGAAACGCAAGCAGGTCCATGGGCTCGAGGAGTCCCGTCATCTGGTTGTAAGATAAAATAACTACAATTGTTTTGTGCTTGCGTGCTTTTGCGCGTGTAGATATCATGGTGGCATAAATGGTTGTTTCCTTGACAAGCATTGTCCATTGTGGTAGTGGCTCTATACCGACTACTGGCGACTACGCACGTCTGGAAGGTGCCACCGAGGGCTTGCAAAGGCCCTTCCAGCAATAGGCCCGACGTCACATCCTCTGCTCAGCTGCTATTCACGTTGTCCTCACCTCTGCCCAGCAATAGAAGGAAACCGCCCAATCTAGTCCTCGGCCTTTTTGAGCTACATCTCACCGAGACAGTCAAAACCAAGCTTTTTCGAAAGAGAAAATTCTTTCTCTTCTTTTCCCTTCCAGACTCATTTTTATCTTTTCCCTGTCACTCCACCTGCATTCGTTTCTGTTGTTCCTTTTCATACCATTTTATTTGTTGTCTGTTCTTTTACATCTCTACATTCGCTCAGGTCAGTAAAGTAGATGATCTCGAACTGTTTTCCATCCTTTAGAATACTACAACAGGGCTTAGGCGGGAGACACGCTGTCTGGAATGCCTTCTCGCAGGTGTTTTAGCCCAACGAGAGTAAGTTTCTTCCTGCCTTTGATCCTGTAGTCGCGGGCTTGACTGTTGCCGTGCTGAAAATATCAGACGACCTACAGCTTCATCTTCCGAGGCCAACGAGAGCTCGCATAGCACCCGTCGGGTCACAGCTCCAAGTGAGTCTGACCTAGCTACGCCGAGAGCAAACATGGCTAGCGCTTTTGCTGGTCGACGTGGAAGCGGCCGAGAGAATACTGTTAGAATGAGTCGCTCGTCGAGCAACAGTGACAGCAACCGGAGCGCGGGATTTCGGACGCCTCTTCAAGGCAGAAGTAGTCGGCGGTCGCGATCTCCGAGCATGGTTTTCAACCTGTTCAGTCGTCGCAATCGACGTCAGCGAGCCGACTCGGATCGGTCTCTCCAGGCTTCTTCTGGCGAAGAGTTTTTTGTCGGTCCCTCCGTCCCAGCCTATGTGCGCAATGGTACGGGCTGGGAGAATGTACAACCATCTCCGTTTGTGGAGTACAAGTATATGTTACCGTCAGCAGAAGCTGCTGGGGCACAGTATCCCATATCTAACATACCGGCACAAATTTATATATTACAACCACAGCAGCCTCCAATTTCAACTGCTGGGGATAATGCGACAGAGAATACTTCCGGCTTCTCAAGCTACCAGCCCATCATGGCACAGCCGATTGGCGGACTTCCAGGAACAATGTTCACTACTGTCTATCCTCCAGCAATGCAGCCCGGTACCTCTGCAGCTCCCTCAATGATGTCAATCCCGACACATGGCTTTGCTATCACTGCTCCTCCAGTGGAAAGTACGGCTGTATATGCTACCAGTTCTCAGAATGCAGAAAATGACGGACATTGCAAGATATCGTCGCGTATTACTACTGAGGACGAGAACAGCCCAATTCTACCAGCCCATCGGAACAAAACCCGACACCGACATCGCCATCGCGACTCCTTTTCGCAGGCAGAGAGGCATGGCCATGGACGGTGGAAGGGCGATGATGAGACCGAGTCTGAAATAAACAGAGAAGAGAAGCGGAAGCACCGATCGCAGCCGGTACCCGATAAGTTGCACAACAAACACATATGCAATGGTTGTGGACGCGTGCGGTCTCGCAAGTTCCACGATGCAAATCCCATCCGGCCAGGGAAGAAGGCAATCCCCAACTTCTGTCGCAAGTGCCGCGATGCCTTCCACATGGCAGACTATGTCCAGGAAGAGGAAGAAGCCGCCGAAATGGGACGTTTCCTTGACACGAATGTGAGTGACCTTCCGGCTCACGTCCACTTCTTTTACTACTTCTTCATCGCATGCTGATACCTTTGCAGAATACGAAAGTGAAGAACTGGTTGCTTCCGAGCGAGACCAGCTTGGGCAGAAGCCAATATTCTACAGTATGTTGTTATTGCCTTCATTTCGTTTGCAGAAGAGTCTTACGAATTCTGACAGCTGCAGGTGTCGACTAGTTTTACTTCTGTCCCAGCTATTGCTTCAATGATCAAAGAGTCGGAAGTCTACTCAACAAGCAAAATGACGAGGAAATTGATGGTCTCCGACGCAGCAACTTCGATGGTTTCCTCGAACGCGTACGCGGCATCGATACAAATTAATGACCCAGTTGCGACAGCGAACAAGGCAGAGGTGCGGTCTCGACAGCGGGCGAGAAAAGAGGATCGCAACACATCCCGGTCTGCTACTCTTGAACGAGTGACCCCATCGTCCGATAACGACAGTCTTGCACCAGAGGTGAATCACATGGAAGAAAAATCCCGTTCCAAGTCTGGAAGCCCACAGACGATCCAAAGCTACCAACCACCAACAGTGGAGTCCGTTCTCGATTCTTCAGCCGACCCTGTTACATACGAAGAAGTGAGCACCACTATAATTAATGAGGCGGTCGCTTCTGACCAAGAGAAAAGCGACGCGACACCTTCAGTATCACTGAAGGGACTTGATGTCACAACGGACGATCTTGATGAAAATGATGAAACGGGTTGGGCAGAGGCCCGCTTCATCAAGCGTCCGCCTTTTGAATATGTTCATGATAGGCAGAGCGCTCGTTCTGTTCTGGAAGACAAACACTGCTGCGGCGATTCACGGCACTGTTCCTATTTCATGGATGGAGGCAGCCAGCTGCCAGCGGAGCCCACAATTGGAAATCCTGGCAGACCTCCCCAGACACCCTGTTTATCCCAGTTCTCTTCGTCTGATTGCCATCATTCTATTCTGGACACGCGGTGCATCAATCACCATCACACTCATTGTCTGTCCTCTCATCAGTGCTGCTCAACTTGCCACTACGACAGATATGACGGAGGAGCCGGGTGTGCCTCCTATTCGGGTTTTGTGAAGCATGCGCAATGTAACGAGCACCACGTGCTCTCGGCGTCCGAGAATACATACAGAAACGGATTCTTTGCAGACTCAACAAACCGCAGAGAGCAAACGCCAGAGCAACTTCATGTGCCGCGCACCTCCAGTGTTCATACGGCCAATCCGTCTGCCGCCTCAGACCGGAATCATCTCGGTGACATGGACACAGATATTCTAAACGCATCACATAATGATGACCGCGATGCCGAGCTTGATGCTTGGTTGGCGGGGAAAACACCGTTCCAGCAGGACGATGGGATCAGTTACAGTGAGCACAGCCAGTTTGCGACTAACTGCATGGGAGAGAGCATCCCTCCTTACAACTTTGATCTCTTTTCGGAACGGGCGCATAGCCGTGAGCCGTCGCCTTTTCCGCCATTCAGAGACGATAGCGACAGTCAAACAGCGAATGCTGCAGATGAGAGAATGAGATACAGCAACAGTAGCAAGCGCGGAAGTAGCAGCACTATCAGCAGCAGCGACAGAAGCATTGACGCGATCATTCCAGATTACAGTTTTGATCTCTTCTCAGAAGTGACGAACCGATGGAACCCAGACTACAACTATGACAGCGATAGCGGCAGCTACGAAGCAGAGCAAGAGAACAGCATCACCCCCAAAGGTAAAGCTGTGTACCAAAACAGTGTTGACGAAAACGTGAATGTGTACCGTGGCACCTACACACCCACCAAATACATCGAGACTGCTGGCGAGAAGGAGAACACCAGCTTTGCGGGCGGACGTCAGAGGAAGGCGAGAATTTCCTCGCGAAAATCTGCGGCTGCCAACAGCAAGTGGATTGAAGAGAGAAAGACGGCAGATTATGCATCTCACAATCGCAGAAGCCGCTCGAAGCTTTCTTCACGTAACCAGAATGCTGGTTGGAAGGCACATCCATCGTTTGAGATCGAGGAATGCCTGGACGATGGCGACAGCAGGACAATGCGCCACATTGTCGATTGCGAGGTGATCTCGAATCCGGATTCGATTTCTGAGTGCGGCCGATCAGATTGGTCAAACCGTGCTGGCATTGGACACCTCCGGTCCCCCCAGTGAGGACCAGTTTCCCCTTTCTGTTTGAACTTTTTCTGACATGTCTGGGTGTAGGAGACTGCTGAAGTGACGAGCATCTTGTTCACCTATGTTCTTGTGAAAAAAACAGTTGCTTGTTTTGTTTTGCTGAAAGATACGTTTTCCATGATTCTTTATATATGATTCTGTGAGGCTCTATTTGTGCTGTCTTTATTTTCGACTCTTGTATCAGCAGCTCGGCCAAGCCACGATTTGAACAGCTTGAACTCGTTTTATACTATGGGTTCAGTTTGTTTTGTTTGAATTATGAGACAAGAAGGAAACGGCCATTTATCGTTTTTTAGGGCACAACGTATATGTTGTCTCGAGAAGCATATATAACATTGCACGGGGCTCGATACTTCTACGAATTTTCTCTAGGTACCTGGCTATTACCTCTACTGCTGCGGTTCTGTATACAGACATATACGATTTCGAATGAAGCAGCTTGATTGCGTTGCACGGCCTAGGTGCATATCTTGATCTCATCATTTGACTATCTACTTGATGTGAAATGATAAAATACAACGGCCAAGGGCCGAGATCCTACAAGTCCATCAGGTTCTCATCAGCATCGTCCTGGCAACGAGGGATTTGGGCACCAGAGATGGCCAGGCCTGTCGTCTCGGTAAGAGTAGTCTCGTTGCTGTGCAACTTTGTGGTCACGGAGCTTCGTCTAGACAGTCGGATATCGATCTCGCCCATGGCGACGTCCCATTCCTTTTCGCTCAGTTGGTCGATGCTGCGATAGTCCTCCTTGGCAGAAGCTGTCATTGTGTTGTCCGACACGGTTTTGCAGCTGGCCAATGAGATGCGCAGCTGCGCATTGCCGCCCATTTTCTTGTTGTTGCTGCTGTTGCGATTGTGGCTATTGCTTCTTCCTTGTTTGCCACCAGTGTTGCCGAGTCCTGCGCCGTGTCCCTTTCGGTCCAACCCCATCTGGTCACGATACCAATCAGGAAAGCGGGAGAGGCCAACGACACGGAGGCCTTTTATGGTCTCTGGCATGACATGTGAAAATTTGCATCCAGACTTGAAAGAGCTGAAGCAGGCTAGCTGTCAGCAGAGAGAGTGAGGAGAGTGAGAAGAGGGCATATACGTAAGAAAAAACACGAACCATTTCCCGGTCTGACACCAGTGTCGGCAGGGCTGACGATCCGACATGTCGGTGGAGGCCTTAGGGGGCTTTGTAGTCTTTGCAGACTTGACCGTCCAGATGTTGCTCGGCGTGGCAGAGCGGCCGGCTCTGCTTCTGGGCTCTCGGCTCCAGCTGCTGACGCTGCCATCGCGAGACCAAGCGTCACTATCGCTGGCGGCAGCCTTTCTGGGTGTCGAAGTGTTCTTCGTGGACATGTCTTTCATTGTTGCTCTTTCCGCGGCCATTCCGAGAGTGGTGGAGCTGGCAGTGGCACTGACAGCCGGCGAGGCCGGAAAGACGGCTGCGGGTGGCACCGCGATATCGCTGTCATGGCGGCGGAGTACACGCACCTCAAAGACGTCGTCGTTGGCGAGGGTAGAGTTGTGGATCTGGAGGTCGGATGGGCGGGCGACGGCTCCGATGGCGATCATGTCGACGGCCTGGGAAAAGAGCAGTTGACGCGGCACACCGACGACCTCGAGCCAATCGGGCAGCTGGTCGATAGCGATCAGGGGAACGAAGCGGCCGGGCTCCTGAACAACCATACCGGACGGCAGCCTGGTCGTAGGGCCGGGGCGGACGACATAGTGGGAAGCCCGGGCCGGCATGATTGAGTGGGTGGATGTGGATGTGGGAGGACACGAATGGGAGGGAAACAAGAACGGATGAAGAAGGACAGTGAACAAGAGAGTGGAAACAGGGCAGATGTATTTTGAGAGAAAAGATGACAGTAGGCGCAGACCGCTCTCGTTGCCACGGTGGCTGGGATTGAACAACGGGCGTTTGTCTTTGTTCGCCTTGTTTTTTCGGCCGGCTTTTGTTGTCTTGTCTGTGCCGTTTTAGCGGACCTCCACGCGGATCCTGGCCTGGACGCCTTCGACACAGAAGCCAAACTGGCGCGGGCTGTCTTTGAGCTCGACTTCTCGCTTAATCCATCGGCCCGTTTTGTTTCCGTGGTGATGGCCGGTGTCGGTTGCGTCAGGTGTGCCGCTTTCTGCCATTTCTGCCTCTGCAGCGGCTTTGGCTCGCTCTGCCTCGAGCTCTGCTGCCTCTGCGTCAATCTCGTCCTCGCCAGCCTCCCCGTCAGCTTCGTCGTCGTCGATCCCGGTGACCGGATCCCACTCGCCTGTCTCCCAGACGAGCCGCATTTTCTGTGGAGGCGTGCCAAAGAGGCGGCCGACGATGCCCTTGACGGCATACATGTCAAACGAGCGGGGGATCTGCACAGATAGCTGCTGCTGTAGAGGATCCGCTGCCAGGGAGAAGAGCACGGTGACGAGGCGTGCCTCGAGAAAGGCCGGGTTGACGTCGGCGCGGCGAATAACGGCCGGCTCGCCGTACAGGGCGCACAGATCGGAGAAGCGACGGTGACGGCCTACGACGGCAGTCTCGGCGGGGCCTTCAGGCACGGCGGCCATCTGACGAGCGATGCGCGAGAGGTAGAACATCTCAGCGTTGGCGCGGTCTGTTGGCGTGACAGTGCTGAAGTTGAGGGTACGCAGACCGGCTAGACGAGCGACAGTGATCATGTAAGCCTCCTCGGCGGAGGCTGTAGCTGAAGTGATGCGGCTACTCTTGCCGGAGCTGTCGGAAGCGGCCGTGCTGTCGTCTAGGGCCGGATTGTCATAGACGGGGTTGTGGGCCAGCCGGAGGGATGAGAGGCCGGGGAAGACGTCGGCCAGGTCGTCGACAAAGTCCCAGGAGGCGACACGATTGTAGGCGAGATCAACGTAGTGAATGCTGGGCGAGAAGGAGAGGCTGGCGTTTTTGTTCTCGGACGTTGTTGACTGCACGGTGGCGATGCTGTTGCCCTTGAGATGCAGGTTGTGCAAGACAGGCAGGCCGGCGAGGCTGGCGAGGTCAGCCAGGGCGGTGAAGCCGTTGAACTCAAGGCTCAGCGTGGTCAGCGTGAGTGGCAGCGATGGGGCCGAGATGGACAGCGGCAGTGTGGACAGCTGGTTGGCACCAGCCTTGAGCGAGACAAGCGCCGGGAAGCAGGCGGTCAGACGGCTGATGTCGAGCCACGGCAGCAGCGTCTCCTCAACCGACAGCTCGCGCACGGCATTGACGGTGCCAGCGAGGCTGTCGTCGTCGACCCGGAACCGGTTGTTGCTGGACGTGTGGAGTGAGCAGACAAGGGGAAAAGTGGGAGTGCGTTGGGGGTCTGTACTTTGCACTTACTTGAGGCGAAGGCTTCGGAGGTCGGGCAGCTGGCGGCAGATGTCGGCCACGGCACGGACGGACGTGAAGAGGTTGCGGCCGAGATCGAGCTCGGCGATGCAGGGACAGGTCTCGCGTATGGATGGCTGGTCTTCTCTGTCATCGTCACCGGCTCGATCGAGACACATGCTGTCAAGGATGACGACGCGCAGGCTCTCGAGCTGGGCCATCTGGCGCCGCACCTTTTCGAAGCCGACCTCCTCGGCGACCTTGCCGGAGAAGCGGTACGACGTTGTGGACGGAGCCTCGGTCGACGCGTACTTGTCCCGAACGGCCTCGAGAAAGGTTCGGGTCCGATCGGCTGGCCGCGTTGGCCGCACAAACGACGCTGCTGTCGATGCAGCCGTGTACGAGGCCGTGGCTGCCGCGCCGCCGCCACCGCCGGCCACCTGGCGCAGCTGACAAGAAAAGTAGCGCACACCCTTGTGCACGCCGTCATGTTTGCCACGGCTGGGGTCGTCCCATTCGACTCCCAGCCAAAGGCCACCAGAGGTGCCGGCGACGGGGCCAACATAGCGCACCGTGCAGATGGCGCCGTCGTAGGAGAGTCGCTGGCCGACGGAAGGCGTGGCCATGATGGGGGGGGGGGGGACGAAAGGATAAGAGGACGAGAGAATAAGAAGATGAGATAATGAGAGAAGATAGAATGTGAAAAGCAAAGATGTGAGTTTAGTGGAGTTTAGGACACAGGCAGCTGCTCAGGACGTTTTGGGTAGGAACGACTCGCTGGCGATCTAGCTGGAAAGCTATCTGACAGCTGCCCCGCCTGAAATCGTCGCTGACAAATTTTGCTGGGTAAATATTTCAATGTTCAGACATCTGTCTTGACTCTTCTTGACTATTGGACTTTTCGCTCAGATTACACCCTCAATCCTGTCGATGAAGCTATACGGAATACGTGTCCACACCGCAAGTCCTACAGCTTGCTCTTCTTCTCGGCGACAACCTTGATGAGGGCGCGGCCATTGCTGAGACAGACCTTGCCGCCGTCGACTTTGGTTTCGAAGCGGACGTCCTCCCAGCCATCGGAATCGACGGAGCCGGTGCGCCAGGCGGATGTGACGAGCCGGTCGCCGGGGCGGACAGGGCTGGCGAAGCGAGCCTGGTACTCGCGCATGTTGGCCGGGTCGCCGCCGGCGAGATGGCGCAGCAGCAGATGGCAGGTCGAGTTCCACGAGTAGAGTCCGTGCAGGATGGCGCCGCCGAAGCCCATCTTGGTGCCAGGCTCGGGCGTCGCGTGCAGCGGGTTGTAGTCGCCGTTGAGACGGTACAGCAGGGCGGTCTGGGCGGTGGTCTGGTCGGCAAAGACCGCATCGGGCTCGCGTGCCGGCGACGGTGGCGGAAAGCTGACAGTGGCCGGGCCTTTGGGGCCACCCCAGCCGCCCTGGCCGACGTAAAAGGCCGAGCCGATGGCCTGGCTGTAGACGTCGCCCGAGACGGCGTCGACCAGGTCTGTCTGGGTCTCGACTACCGTGCCTGGCCGGCCCTTGTCGTAGACGCCCAGCACGCGCGTGCGCAGCTCAAAGCGACGACCGGCCGACGATGCCGGCAGCGGCCGCAGAAATCGCATCAGCCGCTGGCCATCCAGCACGCGGCGCGCGTCAAAGTCGGGCACGCCCGGAATCTGCACCGCGCGCTGCGATGCGTAAAAGTCAATCACCTCCTGCGTGCTGCCCTTGAAGGCTGGCCCGGTTAGCCGGCGACGGCTACGTCGGAGACGGGGAACCTACGCAGAATGATGGGGTACGTCGGGAAGACGGCAAAATCGGGGTGCAGCTCCTGGTCTTGTCAGCATGGCTGGTTGCATGCGATTCGGGGAAGTCGACGCGTACATAGAGAAAGTGCAGCTCGTCGGCCGTGACACCGATGGAGTTGGCAAAGAGAAGCACATCTCGCTTCAGCCAGGTGACCTCGGTCGGAGGGTATTGAAAGCCAGCGCCTGGCGAAGACATGATTGCGTGTGTGGAGGGAAAGGAGAAAAAGCGAGAGGATTGGGAGGGAGGTGCAGCTACACATTTAAGCTGCAAGCTGCCTCAACTGTCGGATAGAGTTGCCGAGGCCCGAAGAGCGGGGAAGATGGAGCCGATCAGCCCTATTTGGTACGACAGACAAGTCTAATGGTGATCACATAATCGCGTGTTTTGCTATGTAGGCTACCTGCTATTGCGGCCGCCGTTATCGAGGCAAGATACTCCAGTCTGATGGTGCATGAATGACAAAAGAAAGTGAAATGACAAGAGTTAAACGAAAGAGAACGACAGAAACACCACACGCCAATCAACAACGTCCTTGCACCTGATCACACGCCTTGAGGAAGCGATACACGCCCTGCAAGCCGTCAGGCTCGCTCGAGACGGGCTGGCCGGACGAGACAGCCGCTGGCTCGAGGCCGCCGTAGTGGGAATGGGGGCTGGGCGGGAGCGAGAGCAGCCACGGGTCACCTACGTCGTCCATGTCGTCGTAGTCGGTGTAGATACCTTCGTCGATTGCCGAGGACTCACGTGTTGATTCACCGGGCGACGTCAACGAGGCCGTCTTGGCCTTGTCCGGCGCAAACGGGAAGCGAAGGGCCAAGGTGACGTCGGCGGTCGTGTCAAAGCCGGGATCCTGGCCGACAAGCCCGCGCGTGACCCCAAGATCTTCGCAGAGCCGGTCGACAGTGACAGCATCGACACCGGGGAAACGCACGCGCAGCACGGCGTCGTGCTCGAGCAGCACGGGCAGGTCGCCTAGGCCAGCCAGTCGTCGGAGATCGGCCATGACGGCGCCGAGTTCCTGAAGAGCGCGCGAAAAGTCGACGCCGAGCACATCGAGGAAACCTTCGGTGTTGAGAGTGGTGGGAGAGGTGGTGGCAGCAGGCGCAGCAGTGAAGCCAAAGCCGGTGGCCATCTTGCTGGGGAAAGCCGAGCCAGAGCCAGAGCGAGAGCGAACACCAGCAGCCATCAGCGGGGCCAAGGCCGTGATGGTGGGCGTCAGGGGAAAGTCGACAAAGGCACCGGGCGCTAGCGCAGGCAGAGCTGGCACAGCGAGACGACGGGCAGTCTCTTCCTCGAGCGAGCTGATGGCCCTGTAGCAGGTCCTTCCTTGGCCATCGGTGCCGTCAAAGCGGGCGCGCTGGCCCGACAGCCAGAAGGCGCGCATGGCCTGCGAAACGTTCTGCACGACCTGTGCTGGTGCTGCGGGTGCGTGCGAGAAATAGCGGGCACCACCACGACCAGCTGCACCGGCCGCATAGCCGCCAGCCGTGCGAGGAAGTGCGCCTCCGGTCAGGCTGGGCCGCAGCGCCGACGCAAAGGGGGCGCGGCCGGGTGCACGCCAGACAGCCTGCGAGGCGATGGGCGACTGCAGAAAAGCGGCGCGGTCGACGTGACGAGGGCGGGATGGCCGGCCGGTGCGGATGAAGCGACGCACGGCCGCATGGAAGCGTCGGGGCGAGAAGGAAAACGATAGGGTGGACGAGGTCGAGGTCTGGCGCGCGTGGTACCAGCGGGTGCCGCTGCGCTTGAGCTGACGGCGCAGAGCGAACGGGTGCAGCGGCTGACGGACACCACCGCCAGAGACGGCCGTCCGCACGGCTGCCGGCTCCAGTCGAACCTGGCTGATCCGTGATGCGGCCGAGATGTTGATGCGCACAACTTCGGTCATGCGCGCGCCCGCAGACAAGGCCTGCTTTAGGATGCGCTGGGCCATCGGGACCCAGATGCCTCCTAGAGGGGCCATGGTGGACGAGCGAGCAGAAAGGCGAGCGAAAAACTAGCTGGTAGTCTGGTGGTTTGGCAGAAGAAGAAGGGGAAACCCTTCAGGCCAATCGGCGATATAAAAAGGGCGGTCGGGGAGGCAGCCGCCTGTCTTCTCTGGCGGAAAGTTACGGAGGGCCCGCTATGACGTTAGCGCCTGGACTGCCTCGCCGTCCGGCTCAGCCTCGATGAGTAATATTAAACGGGCAGTGAAGAGCGGCTGTACTTCATGCAGGACCCACTCCCGCAATATTTATGTTCCGCATTAGAGCTTCGCATTTTTTTTTTCCGTCTACTTTAAGTTGCCGTGAAATATTTTCTTTTCCTACTTGAAGCTTTTTTCTCTTCACCCTTTACTTGTGTAAACAAGAGCAGAGCGCGCCTTTGGCCAGCCTCTCGTCTTTCTGTTTTGTTTTTGAAGGCATTCAACTGCAATTGTCTGCTTCACGCACACTTGGTGTGCTTGCTACCGCCGCAATGGCGGTAGCCCAACTCAAAAGGTAAGAACGACTAAAAGCATTGTGCTTTCCCCCTCTTGAGGTGATGACAAAACACCAAATACTAGGAATTCCTCTTTCCGAAGATCACATGTGGATACCATTATTTTGTTTCAGCCTTGTCTGATCTCTATCTCTTACACTGCTATTGCTAGACCTGCTGCCATGACAGACTCGTTGCTAACATTTCTGTCGTGCAGGTACTTTCCATCTTTTCTCGATCTAGGCAGCAGAGGATGTGGCTTCGTGATGAATACTTGAACGAACGGGCGGACATAATGAACCCTCGGCGGCCATTCCTCATCAAAGCAAGGACGTACAAACCTTGTGAGGGGTGTGTCGGCGGGGGCTTCCTGATGAGATCTCGTCAGCTGATCGGCCACGATTCCTCTGATCATTGCCGCTGCTCTTTGCACCAAGATGGGGCTCCCTTGCTAACGGCTGCGCCCAGGTACTACTGCGACTGCTCTGCACTCAGCGTATGCTGTCTGGTTTTTGCTTGCTTTCTATGCATAACATGATGATCCGTTTATTCACACTGTTTGATCCGGCTTCGGCCGGAGATGAACAAACTATCAAAATCTGATTTAATGAGGTTTGTCTCCCGCGCCTGTCTTGTCACGCAGTTCGAACGCTAACCTGTGGCCAGCCTGAACATGCACTATTTTCGCTGCATAATGTCTGACACGCTAGGCAGAGGGGAGATTCGTTGCTAATATGCTCTCATCGACAAACAGGTAACCCGTGTTGTTTTGACAGCCGCTTCGACGATATTACGTAAGCATATATTTCTACCCTCTCGCTGCCACTAAGATGATACACCTACTGCATTTTTGTCTGATTCATTTGATGAGACCTTTTTACCTATTTTCACCTTGGAGAACTGATGTGGCCTCTAACCCCTGCTACTTATTGATTGTGCCCCTGTAGCACAGATGCTGACTGCGTCCAGGATCTACGACTCGTTTGCATAGCATAGTTTGCCGCAATATACTCTATCTGATTCTATCTTATTACAATGATTGTACATGTGAAGTTTCTGTAAATGCACGTACCGTTCTACTGCTGCTTTAGTTGTAGTCTAGCGTTCCACGCAACGATGCAGCGTACGAGGTCCCAGTCGCCGTCGAGACCGACCCAGTCGGTGACCACGATGCCAGTCGAGCCGTCGCCGACGTCGAGGTTGGCGGGGCCCTGAGCAGCGACGCCGTGACGCATGCAGAGGTACTCGATGGCGGCCGGGTTGACGCGGGCAGCGATGCGTTCGGGCCAGCAGCTCTTGTTGAAGAAATTGCTGCCGCTGAGGAAGTTGAGAAAGATGGGCGGACAGGCGGCAGCAGCAGCGGTGGTGGTGACAGCAGCAGCGGCCGCAGCACCAGCGATCGTCTTGGAGGCGGGAAAGTGCTGGCTGGCGGCGCGCTCAAAGTGGGCGCGGGCGTACTCGATCTTGCGCTGGATGCTGGACGCCACATTGACGCCGTAGTAGTCCTGAAGGTGGAGGCGGCCCTCGGCCGCGATGCCATGGGCGCAGTTGTCGGGCCAGTCAGAGCCGTCGATGCCCCAGCCAACACGGCCGTCCGGCTGGCGGAAGGCGGCATCGTCGAGTGGCAGGCAGAAGCGCCGCACGAGCACGATACGACCACGGGCCTCGTCGAGCGTCGGGATCTGCGGCCGGGTGTACCAGCGGTCCGGCCGCGGCTGCACGTAGCAGCCGAGCAGGTTGCGGGCCACGTCGGCGTCGGTGCCGCGGCCACTGCCCTCGCGCTTGATGCTCATCAGCACCGTCTCGGTCGGGTGCGCCTCCAGAAACGCACACACGCTGCCGTACAGATTGGCGAACCAGGTCGGGCCCGCCACGCTGACGGCAAAGGCCCCGTGCACCAGAGCCATGCGCGGATCTGCGTGCGGATGTGCGTGTGCTGTCGCGTTCACTCGCACGTCCACAAACCGCACGCCGTTGGCCAGCTGCGTCGGCACGTCCACGGCCTGGCACCGCACCGACGGCATCGCCATGTAGCACGCCGGGCTGTTGTGGGTCCCCGGCAGCGACAGGCTCGAGAGCGGCCACGTCCCGTCCACCGTCGCCATCCACGAGCCCAACGCTGCGCTGCTCATGACCGCCAGATGTGCTCCGTGCACCGAGTATACCGCTGTAAAGGCCGGGGTCGCCGCTGCGTCTATGCTGCCGGGGTCGTCTGGCCGCGGCCCGTCCTGTTCCGCGTCGAGCGGCCGTAGTTCGATGCTGCGCGGCGATGCTGCTGGAATGTCCACGGTGTACCGACGGATCACCGTTTCGAGCTGCTGCGTCGATGGCCGTTTTCTCGCAATCTCGGCGGCAAACGTCAGCCGCAGCACCTCGCGTTCCGGATCCGCCGCCCGGATGTACGTCAGCTGCGACGCAAAGGGTGCCACGCGCACGCCCGTCACCTCGTCTCGCGCAAACGGAGGCTCGCCTGTCCGCGGCAGCAGTCCGTTGTGGCCGCTGCCGTGCATCGAGCGCATCGTCGCCAGCGGCACGCACCGGCCGCCGCCACCGCTGCCCACCAGGCTCGACGATAGTCGCAGCAGCCCCCAGACGGCCCCGCGCCCGCTCGTGCGCGCTGACGAGGCCTCGAACCGCTCCACCAGCGTCAACTCCAGCGGCGTCGTCGACAGGTTGCGGATCGTCAGCGAGGCCATGGCGGTCGGGTAGCTTATTGCAGGCCGCTAATCTTAGTGCACGTGTGGCGTTGGGCGCAGCCTAGATCGTCCGTCGTCGTCTTCGGAACCAGCTGCGTGCAGAGACCAGTTTGCAGACTGGCTCCGTCCATCCTTGCCTGAGCTCGGAGCTCCTGGAAAAGGAGGAGGCCAAATTGGGCATTGGGCTCCACCTATTCCACCCCGAACTCTGCAGGGCCAACAGGCCTTGGCGCTAGAGCTTCGTGCTTAGTAATCACCAACAGCCGTTTGCGACAACGAGTCTGACGATTTCTCCGGCCTGTCTCATGTGAAATCCTGCGTAAACATTATGTAAAGCTGCAGCATTGGTTGAAGTAACACAATAGGCGCTGAAAGCAGCCAATCTACGACCTAGACTTACAGTCACCGTCACAATTTGGTCTGGCGGCAAACTGGTCTGTGATACCAACCTGACCGGCCAGCAGGAGGCCATGAGGGTCTCTTCTCCTGCATCGCTGTAACGCCACCGTGTTTGAGGCCGCACCAGCACAATGTTCGGCGGATCCGGACCATTGTTCGGCAGGGAAGAGCTGCTGAAGCAGCGGTTACAGTCTGCGGCCGCTCAGAGCAAGAGCGATGGTGGCTGAGCAATGCACGATCTCATTGGCTGGGTCATTTCATTGGCGGAAACAAGGGGCTCTGTCGAGGGAAGCGCGCCTATGGCTCTTGTAAAGTATTGAGGGCTCCGAAGAGAGAGGGTCAGTATTACACGGTCAGCCTGACCAAAACATTTGGACTCATTTCGGTGCTGTGTCTGCGCTGTCTTGAATGATCGCCCAACAGCCGTAGCGGCATCCACACCTGCGCTCTTCGTCGCCACCAACTCTCCACCTGGGCTTTCCGCAGTACCTTTGTGGATATACTCGCGACATAGTCGACATTAGCTTCTGCGAAGATGGCTTCACTCGCCTCTGTCCAGCTTGGCCTGCTTGGGTCCGGCGCCCATAGTTTCCGCCGTTCCTCGCTGTCTGTGGTCGCCTCGTCCATCAGAGCACTGAATCGGTATATCAAGAAGATGATGCGTCCCAGCCTCTGTCGACGGATCGCCACATCCGTTACCTGCAGCTACAGCCAGCCAGTCGTCCGGGAGACCCGCTCGTGTGCACGGCGTCCGCCTGTCTGAGGGCCCGATTTACGAGGCCGTCTCCTATGTCTGGGGCAGCAGCCAGAAGCCAGCGCGGATCTCATGCGATGGCAGCGATCTGGCCATCACGGCCAACATTGACGCCGTGCTGCGCCGCCTGCGTCGTCCCGACGTTGCCCGCAACATCTGAGCCGACTCCATCTGCATCGATCAGGGCGAGCCGGTCGAACGCGGCTACCAGGTCGCCATGATGGGCGACATCTACCGCCACGCTGCCGCCACCGTCATCGTGCTGGGCACCGATCCGTCTGGCCATACACCTCGCCTGGCTGCGCTCGTGGCCGATCTCGTCGCCCGAATTCACGCTGACTAGGCCGCCCTCGGCATCACGCCGCCGATGATCCTCTCGAGCAGGATCCCCGCTGGCCGTCCTACACGGCCCTCTTCGACAGCCCCTGGTTTGATCGCGTCTGGACGGCCCAGGAGTCTGCCCTCAGCCGCAAACCGCTCATCCTCTGGGGCGACACCCAAATCGCCTGGGCCGACATCATCGGCGTCCACCGCTGGCTCGTCATGCATGCCCAGCGCATCTGGTTCCGACACCGGCTCATGCTCAACGACGTCCACGAACTCAGCTTCTGGCGGCCCCTCTGGCACATGCCCAACTCTGTCGAGCTGCTCTGCCGTGCCAAGACGCTCGACTGCAGCGACGACCGTGACCGTATCTTTGCCTTTCTTAGCTCCGCCAAGGCTTACGTCGTCGTTGGTGGTGACGGTGAGGGCGTCGGCTCCGATAAGGGTACCCTCAATACCCGGACCAACTACCGGAAGCCCTTTCGCGAGGTCTATCGCGACTTTGCCGCCGACTGGCTGCTCAAGACCGGAAACCTCTGTCTCCTATCTGCCGTCGAGCACACGTCCGACACGTTTGCCGACCCTATCGTCCCAACGTGGGCCCCTCGCTGGGACGTTTGTCCGACCGGCAGCAGCTACGGCCTCTTCGACCCGGGCTGCAATGCTTCCAACGGTCTTGGTGCCGTTCGCCCCGTGCTAGACTCGCAGACCAAGCAGCCTAAGCTCCGCGGCATCGTCTGCGACACTGTCGTCCGGTGCTGGCCCCGCCGCTCAGCCTCGCCCACCGGCGCAGACGTCCTGACCGCTGCTTGGAAGTACCTCTCCTCTGACGCTGCCCCGTTCGCCTACGAGGACCGCTCGCAGCTCCAGGCTTTTGCCCAGCTGCTCTGCCGCCAGAAGTACCACGAAACCGGGGCTCCAGACGAGTTGCATGCCGACGAGGCAGCTTTTGCCCCAGCTATGTGTCGCGCGACCGGCTGCTTTGGTGATGTCAATGAAGCCTCGCTTGAGACATCCACCCAGGTCGGCCGCATTGAAGACTTTCTCATCAAGACGGGCATCTGGGCTGTCCGCCGACGGCTTGTCCTCACCCATGATGGCCGCTATGTCCTGGCCTCGCGGGTTGCACAGGAAGGGGACAAATTGTGCGTGTTGGCCGGCATGAAGGTGCCCGTCATCCTCAGAAAAGAAGAGCAGCAGGACTGCTGCAAGCTGGTCGGCGAGGCCTTTGTGCTCGGCATGATGAATGGAGAGGCTGTGGACAGAGCTTTGAAATGTGGGACCGCGACTGAGGACATCATTCTCTGCTAGGGTTAAAGGATAAGAACCTGTTCGTATGGTTTGGTTTTCATTAGATGCTGTCTGTATTCGTGGCTGGCGATCTTGTTGTATTTCTATAATTTTGTCCTATGAATATCATTCTCTTAGAAGAGAAGTAGAATAATACCCGGCAATATGAGGGCGTCCCCGAGCTCGTCTCTGCACAAGAGGTCTCCACGCCTTAGTCCCACCCGAGTCAGGTGATCATGTGCCTCGGCTGTCCGGGCTAGCATTACTTTAGTATAGAATGTGAGAGACGATGTTCGGCGAAAAGGTTTTGTTTTTTTACGAGGACAATTATCTTGAGAGTTGCTATCTGCACCGTATTCCACTGATAAGAAATATGGTACATAGGGTGGGTTTAAGAAAACTTAGTTGATTGGTTAATTTGTTCTACGCTATACAAGAATAGGAATAGACTTCCGTTTTTGCCGTAAAAAAGTTGCTTACTATTACAGAGTACTTTTTACAACGTACGGAGGTCCCTACCAAAAGTTCGTTCTTACTGCTTTTCTATAACTACGGCAATACATAGTACAGAGTGTAAATTATACGGAGAAAGCTATTAGCGATAATACGCTAAGTCTTAGTAGATTATATCGCTAATATATTTTAATTACGTATTTTGTTTACTTATAGAGTACAAAGTATAGAGTACAGAGTACTCTATACTTAACTAGACAACGGTGCGAGAATATTATTGGCTAAAAGTAGATTTATATTATGGGTCCTTGGGGGTGAAAGCAGGGACCCACCCTATGTACCATATCTCTTATCAGTGGATTACGGTGCAGATAGCCAAATTTTACGGTGCAAATAGCAACTCTCATTATCTTCCAGTAACCAGCAGTAGATCTCACTCACAAAGTCCGACAAAAGTATCGTAAGGTGTCGATTTACAGAGTTAAATCCCCTTGGGGCTCCCGCAAGTGACCCACGGTCACGATTAGATGACCGTGGTATGCAAACATTGAAGAGAATCATTGAACGCAATTCAATCTTTCCGCAAATTAAAAGTACTGCAATCCTAAGCTCGTATGGCTTCCCCACGGTGTACAGTACCAACCACGGTCCAGTTTTCTCTGATATCGACGGGCTTTCGTCCAAAATATATAAAACGTTTGTCGATATAAAATGACTTCTATATAATTGAGATCTAATACGGATCTTAATCTCGCTGGCACTTCTACACTTTGCAGAACAATCGAGTTCCGGAGCGTACTTGCACCAGAACTCGCAGAAACGGCAATTCATTAGGCCCTTTGGCTCTTGTCGTTTGCGGCAACAGCGGAAGAGCCGATTGGAACTCGGCGCGGCTCTTGGACGCGCTGACAAACAGCTGGCTCCAGAGGGCGTCAGCGGACAGCGATTGATGGTAATTATGTGGCGGTGGCCGATGTGGTTAGGCTTTCTTAGTTGGTAAATTTGAATTAGGAATCTTAAACTGGGCATTATCTTCCGGGCTGTCAAGTCGATGTACTCTGCTGTATCACAGCGATAGATTGTCAAATCGTTTAGGGGGATTTTGCAAATCTCGAAATAGTCTTTTTCCAGTGACAACTTTGTTGATACGCTTTGTGCTCTATGTTGTCACCTCTGCGCTGATAATATATTCCATGCAATCTTAGCCTAGAGACAGAGATCACACCTTGGACGTTTCTACAGTTTAGTCCAGTGGGGTTGATGAAGAAATTCGTTACCGCAGAACTATCCCCGCTTCTGTAACGTTTCGGAGGTCCGAAAAAACACTTACTGGGTAGTTGAATTTGCGTAAAAAACATTAGCACCACCGGCATATCAGAAGAACCGAAAACGTGTTTTGAACACAGGAGTTGACGAGCCAGGAAGCACAACAACTTATTTGCCATATCGCCAGGGTTATCCTTCCTGGTGATTTCGTTCGACTCTCCAAGGTTGCAAGTGATAGCCACCGACTCTCGAGCTAGCCTATTAGTCTAATTTCCCGTGTTATCAAAAGGGCGAGTTCTCGGACTACAATTGCACCAGAAAATGCTGTGAGAAGAGACGGCCCGAAATCATCGTTTCAACACGAGAAATCTGCTGCAAAGCTTACTGATCTCCTGCATATTCGCCCCAAATTGTTATCCGAACTGCGTCGCAAAAGACATTTTTTCCTTAAATGGGAGTTAACGCTTCGTTCCCCTCACTTCGGCCTTGGCATATTCTGTGCTAAAAAAAATACCTGCCCAAGAGCAATTACACCGAATGGAGACAGCCGAACCGACGGTGACCAGAGAGTAAGAAATGCTGCGTATCGAGTATAAAGAGCATGAAGGTTGCCGTTCTTTCAAAGCGGAAGTATATTGAGACAGATTTCAAGAACCCCGGCTACTCAAAAGACTTCAACTCGAAATTTAAAGTGCAACAAACCGCCATGAAACTCTACCTTGGATATGTTGTCGCTGCCGTAGCAATGGGCATTGGTGCCATGGCAGACAGTACGTTATTGCATACAAGATGCCAGCACGAGCTGACCCTTTCAGGCTTCCCATTTGAGAGGTTAAACAAGACCGACGCTGTTCTTCTCGTTCTCGATATGCAGGAAGGACTTGCCTCACTGGTCCGTGATTTTGATGCCACGCTCTACCGCCAGTCCATCCTCGCACACTCGGCCCTCGCCAAGGTGTTTGACCTACCCGTTATCCTGAGCACGTCTTCCGAGACCGGCCCCAACGGCCTGCTGCCGGCCGAGATCACTGACATGTACCCGGACGCACCTTTTGTCCGGCGACAGGGCGAGGTCAACGCCTGGGACAATGCCGACTTCCGCGCTGCCGTGCAGGCTACCAACAAGTCTCAAGTGATCATGGCCGGCATCGTCACGGACGTCTGCACAACCTTTCTGGCGCTGTCCCTGCGCGACGCCGGCTATTCGGTCTGGGCCAACATCGAGGCCTCCGGCACCACGACGCCGCTGATTCGTGACGTGTCCAACTCGCGCATGGCCCGTGCCGGTGTGCAGATCGTATCCTTGTTCTCGATAGCCTGCGACCTGATGCGCGACTGGCGCGCCACACCGGGTGCACCCGAGCTGTTCCCCTTCTTCGACAAGTATTACCCGGCGTACGGCTTCATCGCGCGGGCTCACCGAAATGCCATTCTCAACGGAACAATTCTGTCTGGAGAGTCGGTGTTGCCAAGCTAGCGAACAACAGCTCAGCTGCAGGGTCGTCAGCTCATGTTAGAATATGATTATGACCTGCTGTGACACATGCTCTTGGTCGATTCTGGCTGAGAGACTTTTACGGAAGGCAGAAAATATATCAAATATAAACCAATTGTCGACGGCAAAATGAATTTCTCTCGTCTTAATGTACTTGCGGCATACAGAAAACGACATGGAAAGCCTCTAAAAAACATCCCGATCACTGGGCATAGTAAGGGAAAGGGTTAATGGTGATCCCGGGTTGATGTCCAAATATGTGCGTCATAACACATATGCCAAGAACCTTATTAATACAGCTTTGATTTGTATCACAAATGGCTTTATCCTCAATGCATCTAAAACGCTCTCATGCTATGCTGGCAGTCGAGTATGCTCTGTACGACAACTTTACGTATCACGAGAGGTGACGACAAGGTGGAGATATATGAAATCGAAGGTATAATCGGAGTGTACTTCACCTACCTGGTACAGCCTATCCATGGCATATGTCTGGGCAACTGCATCGCAACGATTATGAACGCGGAATAGTTGTACCGACTTTATTTTTTTCGACCTAGTAAGGGATTATTGCGAGCGGCACTTCAAATCAGCATTATTTATTTCGAGTCATAAATCAGGGCATCAGCTGCAAAAGTTTCAGACTTCAGTTTTTTTGAACAGTTGTCTTTTTTTCACTTTGTATCGTGGGGTAGCTTGTCAGCTTCTAGGTACCGTTCAGGAAGGAAAGTAGAGCCGAAAATATGTTTTTATTTGCACAGTCGTCGCATTTTCCCCAACTCTTTGTACGCGCTTTGTTTTATAAGCTACCACATATAGTGACGTCTCCCCCTAGAATAGGCCCAGCTCCTCCGATATCGATCTTCATTACTGGGTGCATGTGCTTTGGGTGAGATTATATTCGGGTAAAGCTTGCACCTAGTATCATCTAAATGCAAGCATTTATTCTGCAGATCAACTCACGCATAGGCACCATTTTGTGCTACAGGTATTCTGGCTAGTTGGAACTGCCTGCAATTACTGCGTTACGGTCTAATCCGAGGCAATTATCTTAGAAGATATTGACGACTAGGACAATGAGGATGAAAAGAAGACCATGCAATCCCTCTTGTTACGCAAAAAATTGCTTCGCTGAACATTGAGATTTAAACCAACAAAGTGTAAGAAACATGTATATGCTTTAGACATGGATTACCTTGGAGACTTTCTTTTGCGCATGGTACCGGATATGAAATGTACTACAGATCATCTTGAAAGCACCGGTGCAAACCTGTTCAGTACCTAGGACCAAATACGCTTTCTTTTTGTCTGCGCCAATGGCCATAATAAGTAGAACCAACAGGCCAGCCTGACGACGGCTCAAAGCAAATGTTGGTCTTGGCCTCGCCAGGGCCCCGGGAGAGAGTGGTGGATTCTGAGAAGCCTCGGCGTGAAAGGTTCGGTGTGATCGGACCTAAAAAGCGGACGTAAACACGATTCTGGTCGCCGACCACGACCAGGTCATCAAGATCGTAGGACGTGACGGGACTGGCCGGATCAGCCAGGTAAGAAAATACAGTGTCATAAGTGCCCGTAGGCATGCGAGAGTAATTTAGCGCGACGTGGCTGGGCTGGAGCGTCTGGAGGAATTGCAGCAGAAAGTCGGCCGTGGTAAATGTGCCACTGAGGCTGCAAGAGCTAAGGCGTCTTCCTGTTGTCAGCAGCCTCGGTGTGGAGGACTGCAGAGGCAACAGAGGTGTCTCTTCCAGGACAGATTTCTCGGGCGCGAGCACATAGAGCCAATGCACATTGAGCGTATCGAGCTGTGGAAAAGCGTTGGCAGTGACAAGGTCCAGGGCCGCATGCAAAGCCTCTGTACAGAAGTAAGCCTGTCGCTCCGTGGCTTGGCCGGCGTGGCCGACCTCGTCTTCTGTAACAGCACCGCGCTCGATCTCCGGTATTGCCAGAGTGTGCTGAGGCATATCCAAGCTAACGGCCAGGTGTTGCAGAGATGCAAACACGGGTCTTAGCGATGTCGCCGGCACCATCTTCTCGTGCAAAACATCAGCAAAGACGCGGCTGTTGAGGCTGCAGCGGCTCTGTCCGTGAAAGAGATCCAGGCGTGAGCGCACCGCTAGCTGTGTGGTCTCGAGTGCGTCCATGGCGATACGAAAGGTCCGCTGCGCCATGTCGCAAACGGACCGCAAGTCGACGCCGCAGTTTTCCACGCCGATGAGCACGCCTCCGCTATATCGCACGCCAACACGCAAGTGTAACAATTCGAAACCGCTGCCGGGGGTTTTGCGCCCGTCACCGCCTCCTGTTAGTAGGCGGGGCGCTGTCGCTTTCTTGATATTGCCAAAGGCCTCTGTGAGGAGCTCTGTGTGCCGCTTTATCACTGTGGATTTCGCCAGCGTCACATCGTCGTCGGCCGGCAGACATGCGTTCCTACCCCGGTCTAAGACGCCCGTCACGGTGCATTCTTGCAGGAGGCATGCGAGGCGGCAGCCGTGGCTGGTCACATACACCAAGCGCTCCAGGTCATGCGTAGTCAGGCGGATGTTTTTGCGACGAAAGAATGTCGTGAAACGGCCGTAAGAGGCCTTTTCGTTCAGGGCGCGACATGAAAGGCGAAGCGAGGCGATGTCTTTGACATTCAGGTACGAGACGATTAGATCGACAAGCTCGATGGGTAGACTGTTGAGTAAGGCGGAGGGGGGAGCCATGACGTAGAGTGTGATCAAGAGCGAGAAATGGCACAAAGAGCGTGCTGCTGCCTCAGCGATCGGATGTTCCAAGTACAGTATGTATTTGTAGGTCGCACAGCTATTACACTGTTTCGCCACAGTCTCCACACTTGGGCAGCTGATGCCTGATCTACCATTTTCAGCTGGAAAAAAACGGCTCACACAGCTCAAATAGTAAGTTTTATATGGGGCAGACAACCTCTTTATAATTGCACCGGTGCGCCTCGTGCGCCTCTACTGGTCTACGTGACTTGTCTATCCATGTCTGGGCCTTTCCCGGAGCGACAAGCAAGAATGAAAAGACAACGCATTTTTTACTAAATGCTTTCTTTAACTAGTCCCAATGCCCATATCCGATATCAGGAGCGGACCAGAGATCATCGTTACATGGCCAAACAGGAGTCCGCTTTTTGTTATTCTTTTTGGCTGAGTCTGGTTTTTCTTTCGCATGAGTTGCCTCCTTGAAAGACATACTCTCTATGTCATTTACATAACCATGACTGGCGACGTGTGTGCCCTTCTGCAGTTGATCGTCATCTTTGTAGCAAAGGGTGACGTGGTATCCCTTTAGGTCTTTCTGTTAAGTACCATTAAAAGAAGTCGTGGCATGCAAACCCGATCTTGCTTTGGGGTCAGCACCAAATTTTGACACGGACCTTTCTAATCATATACAAACTTGTCGATGCACAATCGTAACATACCGAATGTAGACTACTCTTGGGTATAGCTGTCTATCTCTTGCTGTCTGATACGCCAAGATCACTAACTTGCACATGACTCTCTCAGTGGCAGGTATATTATCTTTGTGAAAATAATATTTGACTATGTTGACGGTAGACATTGTGGTGATCTGTTTGCATACGGATTGGTCTGTTGATTGATGTTCTACTATGAACCAACGCATAGTACAATCAGTCTCTATATGGTTCCTTCAATTGGCTGCATAGCTAAGCTAGATGTTGACTTCTCGTCCTTCACAGGTATTCAGACTTCGTTGAGTTAAAGGTGAGCTTAATTTTATCACGTGCAGGTTGACCTAATCACTCGGTATGATCACTTGTCGGACCCACTATAAGTGCGAATTTCCTGGAGCAGCCATAAACAGCCTTCTGACCTCTCGTCAATATCTTGGCCGTTCGTCAAGGTTCCGTCCCGCACGCGGAGATGCGCCGCGCGATATTCCAAGCCGTTTAACGGCGACTCTCGACACTAAATTCGTGGCAGCATTTTGTCGGTGTCAATAAGCAGAAGCTTCAACTATCGACCATGCCTGCTGACAGTCCTCTTTATGAGCATATCGACGACGTAGAAAGACTTGACTACTACCGGCTGGGGGGGTATCATCCTGTCGTTACTGGTGATATATACAAGGACCGATACCGAATAGTACACAAACTCGGCTACGGAAGTTACTCGACCATATGGCTAGCCCGGGATGAGCAACTGGCCAAGTACGTCGCCGTAAAAGCAGGCATGGCTGACTGCGGCTGTAAGGATGCCGAGATTATAAGTCAAATTTCAGCCTCTGCTACCGAAAGCAGGGTATTTGGAGTCAGCTTGATACCCGATCTACTAGATCGATTTAACATTGCAGGACCAAATGGAATACATCCGTGCCTCGTCACTACGCTGGCAAGATGCAGTCTTTCTGATGCGGCGGAGGCGGCGTCACACAGTCCTTTTCAGCTTCAGGTTTCTAGGTCTCTTGCTGCTCAGCTAATGATGGCGGTGGCATATATTCACGGATTGGGATACGCGCACGGGGGTTAGTTCCTGTCCCAACTTGTTACGGCAATCAGAAAAAAATTCTAATAATTGACAGATCTTCATATGGGAAATATACTCCTCCAATTGCCAAGCGTTGACAAGCTTTCAGCCCAACAACTGTATGATGAATTCGACGCCCCGGACCCCGAGCCTGTTGTCAGAATCGACAAACAGCCGCTCGGGTCACCAGGAATTCTTGCTTTTGTCTACTCTCCAATCTGGCTTGGGAAGCCTAGCGATGAGGCCTCACTGCCAGAAGCTAAGATCATACTGGCTGATCTCGGGTCATCTTTTTGCCCCGCACATGAGTTAAGGTTTAAATCCTACACACCTCTACAAATTCGACCACCTGAAGCAAGATTTGAGCCGACAAAGCCTTTATCATACGCATCTGATGTATGAAGTCTTGGATGCATAATTTGGGCACTCCTTGGAGCGAGGCCTTTTCTTGAGATCTGGTTATTCGGACAGGACGACGCCACTATGGATCAGGTTGATGCTTTAGGACCTATGCCGGATGACTGGTGGGAGGCATGGGAAGGAAGATCGAAGAGGTTCATCGCCAACGGGAAACCAGAAGAAGGGAGAGAAGTGTGGACCTTCGATCAACGTTTTGAAGACGCAATTCAGGCGCCAAGACGGAGGAGGGGAAGAGAGGTGATGGCCGACGAAGAAAAGGATGCTCTTTTCAAGATGATCAGAGGTATGCTTGTTTTCAGACCCAACGAACGTCTAAGCGCAAAGCAAGTTCTGCAAACGGAGTGGATGCAGAAATGGGCAATACCTGAGGCCGAGAAGACTTGGGGACAAAAGTTGTATCCCTATAGTACCTCGTGATATAGGAGCTTATAGGCACGTGAACTGAAGCTGTCGATAACTTTGCCATAGGCGCGCTGTTTTCGTCTTGAAAGGTCATAACAGAGAGCACATAGTTTGGAATGTTCGAAGAAATGCGTCTATTCGAGGAGGAGAAGGGCAAATATGGACGTTAAACATCATCGTCGTTATCACAGGCACTACGATAAACAAACTGGAATATAATGCTGCTCTTTAAGGGGTTACAATTTTCTACTCTAGTTTTGGGTATCATAGAAACCCGTATTCAGTTCGACTTCGGGTCACGCACCATGCAATACAACTGGCAAAGGGTTAGTTTCTTGATGCCCATACTTTCGAGAGTTGACACTCACCATGCAGACATCATCCCCGTCGCGACACTCCATCTCTCTGGCCATGTGAAACCCGAGCCGTTCGTAGATCTCCGTGTTGGGCGTGAGCTTTGAACTCTCTAGGTAGCACTTCATCCCTTCGCGATCTGTCTGTTCGGCAACGGCCTCAAATAGCCGTCGGCCGATGCCCTTTCCTTGGGCCTCGGGGCGAATGGCAATAATATTGCAAAAATAATAGCCGCGAGGATCGTCCCAGATCTGCGACTGCGCCTCGCGCTGACGGTCTTTCCAGATCCAGTACCTATTTGTGCGCAGTCCTCCGTGGCCTAGATAGCGCACGTTGTTGAGAAGCTGATTGAAGGAGAGAGTCCAGGACTGAAGCCACGAGTACCAGCCCTCAGCCTCGGCCGCTGAGTGCGGAGGCAGCCAGCACGACACTCCAAGGACCCGGGACGTCTTCGCATCGTCCTCACCCGCCTCACTCGATTCCCTGGCAATGTGGAAGATGGCATTTGATATGCCCCAGTGGCATCGTGACGATAGAGATGCGCAGTTCCTCTCCTTGTTAAACTGTTTAACTTGTCAGAGCGCTCTCACCAACCGTATCTCATGGTTTTGTCACCAGAAGTACGTACTGTGGCCGAGTCAAAAGCCCATTGAAAGTAGGGGTCATCTGCAAATGCCTGCTGTATGACCTCCACGGCTTGCGGAATATTAGCCGCCGTCAGAGGCAAGATTTGGATGGCCATTTTCACGGCAGACCGAGATAGTGTCAGAAGAGGGGAAGCATTGAAACGATCTAGAATGTCTACGGAGTAGAGATAAGCGTTTCCGGATCACGTGACCGAATCGAAGTATATAAACATGGGGGGAAAAGGATGATATCAGTCATATTGCATGATCGGCTTATAGCTTCAACATTGGCAGTGTATGAGACTTCATGCCTGTAATAAAATGAAGTGCAGAAAGATGTGAGGAGAGGCCTAAGCTATGACGATAAATAATTTGTAGTGTAGGTTCATCGCCACGCAAAAAATTCCATCACGTGAAATGACAACCTGTACTCTACAAAAGTAGATCTTAAGACATGTCTGTTGCGCAACGAAGATGAGAACGCATGGACCAGTCGCTTTCTGTAAATATTGCTTTGATATGTGACGGAAACTCGTCCCCGCATACATTCGCACGTAGGGACATAGCCTAAATTATTCTTGTAGACCAAAAATGGAGTTGGCCGATCGGAAGCTGGACTATATATGCAGTTTGATCATATTGGACGGATGGGTGGCATTGCGGCATTGCGGCATTGCGATGGTGTCGGAGGACAGCCCGGTTTGCCTTTACCTTCGGAGACAGCCAAATAAGACCGGGCGTGCCATCCTGCCAAGGACACGATGCTGATGGCGTGCGCGGCCTCTCACCGCTGCCATCCCGTCAATGCATCGTGATTGGTCATTAGGATGCGTCCCATTCGCGCCGGGACATGCAACGGTCCTGTTCTATAGTGCCCATGAGCGTAGCAGCAGCTATGACAGTCAAGATGGCTGCATTACCACAAGCGGTGTGCCGATGCCCTTGTATCATCCCGCAGCAGTCGTCAGCTCATCCGGCTGTGCTGTGGCCGCGCGCCAGTTCCACCCTTTTTCTTAAAGCTGGTTCGCGACGTGGTGATACGCGGCCTCGCCAATGCCAAGATCCGTTACGCAATGCTTCTTCTCCAATCTTGACTTTAGTGCGCTTTGAAGTTTCTTTTATGGGTCTTCGGCCGCGCTATACTAGGAAACATAAAATTAAAAACCAGCCCCGTTTCAATGATCGATCGACCTGGTTTTGCCAGAGCGAAGCATTCCTACAGAGTGGAAGACACGGAGTGGAAGGCGTTCTGTCTGAAACGAGAACGTACGTCGTCCGTTGTACGCCGCATAATGTGATGCAGATTGAACCTCGGACGATAATTCCGGTATCTGCTAAAAGGGGCAGGGGGCATTGCCGTCTTCTCGCTTCTCCGCCTTTACTCACTAGTCTTACATAGATATGTGTCTTACGCGGTCTTGCAGATCCCGCCTCCCACTAGCTTCGGCAGGCTCTGGTTTGCCCCCTAGGACGAGGTACGAAACTCCCAGGCTGTCGGTTTGCACCCTATCCGATATTTTTGTTTTCTGGTTCGGGGCGACCCAATCGGAGGGCTGCGAATAGAAAGAAGCCAGGGCAGAGCTGGTAGGGGGGCGAGTACGTCAAAGGGTCCCTACTTTTGCACCTTGGTTAGGGGTAGTGACAATTCAGCATTGCCTCTTTACCACGTCTACTGCTGCTTCCGAATACACAACCGAAGTAGCATCAACGCAACGCATCTTGGAAAAGACACAGCACTATGTATCTGTGGTGGTTGGTCATTGCTACATAACGACGTATGCAGATTACGGAGGTTTCTCGCCCAGAGTTCACAGAATCATCATGATAGTAGAGGACCCACAGAAAAGCCAGGCCCTAGACTCGTAGGCTCATAATGCAAGCGGACTGATTTGTTGAACCTACCCCAAGCTAGTTTTCCGAAAAATCTATTAGTGGTTTTCTACAATGGGAGGCTCGAGCAGTAGGATAGTAACGTCGAAGATAGTGACACTACTCGTAGGCCTTGCGGAACGCGTCACCTAGACTAGGTGGAGCGGGTTAATGGAACAAGCGGCGGGGAAGGCGAATATGTACGGAGTATATGACCTAGTTGTGACCGAGAGGAGGCATATAAGGAGGCAGCCGGCCGTCTCAACATTGTCAACTTCTTCGTCACCTCATCCGCTCTACCATCTATCTGACTATCGTCTATTCCTTCCTTTCTGATTTACTGATCATCATGGTAGCCCCATCTGCCGTTCTCCTCCTGGGCATCGCTTCCCTCGTTGCTGCCCATGGCAAGCCGCTCAGTGCGGCAGCCCTGAAGCGGGAGATTGTTGCCCGCGAGCACCACGCCCACATGGGCGCTCGTGCGCTGGGCAAGTGTGCTGGCAGCGATGCGTCGCAGGCCATGAAAAAGCGAGCTATGCAGCGTCGTGCGGCCAAGGTGAAGGATTTGCGCGCGCGCAAGAACATCCGGTCGAGTAAGTCTGATGTTTTAACTGGGTCGTCCGAAGCTTTGGCTTACATGCTCGCTCTACAGCTCCCCAGAAGTTTCGCCGTGATCTCGCCGAACTAGAGGCATGGGAGGAGGTTAACCATAACAAGACGGGGGTGTACAACTACGACATGTTTACGTCGCTAGAGACGGTGTTTGACGCTAACACGAGCTGCGTTCTTGCGCCCGAGGTTACCGACGGTCCCTACTACGTTGTAGGCGAGTGGTTCCGCAGCAACGTTAAGGAGACGCTTTACAGCGAGGGCGTCGACCTCTTCCTCGAAGCGCAGTACGTCGACATCGAGACGTGTGAGCCGGTGCCGGCGATTGCAGTCGATATCTGGAACTGCAACGCTACGGGTGTATACTCAGGAATCAGCACTAGCGGCAACTACGCGGCAGGCGGTTACAACTCGACGTATCTACGTGGTGTCCAGCTGACCGACAGCGACGGCGTCGTCGAGTTTGAGACTATCTTCCCTGGCCACTACCAGGACCGTGCTACCCACACCCACCTGCTTGCGCACATGAACGCCAGCCTGTCTTCGAACGGCACCGTCTCAGTCTGGAATGCACCGGTCACGCACATCGGCCAACTCTTCTACCCCGAGACGCTGCGCTCGGCCGTCGAAGCTGTCGCGCCCTATAACACCAACACGGTCGAGGTGACGACCAACGACGAGGACATGTGGTCGATCGTGCAGGCTGACAGCAGCTACGACCCCTTTCCGGAGTTCCTCTACCTTGGCGACGACATTACCGACGGCCTCTTCGCCTGGATCCAGATTGGTGTGAATGTCAGCGCCGATTATAAGGACGATTCCTACTACGCCATTGCTGCCTACATCGATGCCGATGGCGGCCATGTCGAGTCCAGTTCTTCCATGGGCGGTGGTAGCGGCGGCGACGGTGGCAATGGTACCATGGGTGGCAACGAAACCATGTCCGGCTCTCCCCCTAGTGGCTCCGGTCAGTCCTCGGCATAGGTGGAAACGATGAGCGTGGGTCTTTGGAAGCGAGCAGGTGCAACCATAGACCAGAAGGGCCTATGTTAGGGGCGTGTCAACAATTCTATCTAAGCAGCAGTAATTTGTCGCAGTTTTATACTTTCACACACATACAATATACTGCCAGGGAATCACATTATGCAGATGCAAGCAGTAGACGTGGACAGACGGTAAGCGGCTGCTAAACCGCAGAAGTTAGGCGCTAATGCGCGCTTGCCAGGGGAACTAGTGGCTCAAATGCCGAATTGCGGGGGCGGCGATCCCTTATATATGCACGAGATAATAGACTAACAGAACAGTGAAGATGTAAGTGAGGAGGTCTTAAGTTGTACATTAATAAAAACAGGGGCAGAGAGAGATATAATGTGGGCGATGAAGACGCTGAAGATGATGCAGACAATGAAGATGCGAAATGATCGCGGTCACAGGCAACACCACAGCGTAAGTCGTGTCAGAGGCCGTCACGTTCTTCAATGAACCTGGTGTAGAGGTTCTTAGTCTTGCGACGGGCGGTCTTTCCCCAGAACTGCATGGGAACGGTGGTCATGAAGAAGACAAAGGACAAGACGCCGATGGTGACAAAAACCTCGGCAAGCGTGTTGTTCTCCAACCAGATGCTGGCGCAGAAGGTAAAGATAAGGGCGATACTGTTGTTGATGACGGCAACACCAACCATGCCTTCGAGGATCATGTCGGGGTAGCAGTCTGCGAGGTAGCTGAGAGCTGGGTGGGGTTAACCGAGGACGAGAAGCGCGGGAGGAGTAAGAAGAAACAAAAGACATACCTAGATCTCCAGCACATCCCCAGCCAAAGCCGATCATTCCCAAGCCGACATAAACAGCCCACAGCTGAGGGAAAAGCCATCCCTTGCCGGAGCCAACGCCAAAAAGGATGAGACCGGCCGGGTTGATGATGGCAGCAGGGTACAAGAGCCAGAGTCGGTCCTCGGCCTCGCTGATGCCACCGCGACGACGAGCCATCCAGGTGACGAATTGGTCAGAGAACCAGCCACCATAGAAGCAGCCGATGACGGCGCCGATGAGGGTGGGGATGTTCATGAGCGAGACAGCCGTGTCGCCATAGTCCCAGGGATCGTCGTAGTAGTTGTCCTCCTGGACGGAGAGGTAAAAGGTCAGCCAGGCGTCCTGGGCGCCCCACTGGAGTCCGGCGTAGAGGACGGCGGGAAAGGTGAAGACGCGCATGGTGCGAAAGAGGATCTGGAAGTACTGCTTGAAGCCGGTGCCCTTGAGGATGGGCGAGGGCGTGATGATGGCGATGCGCTGCCAGTACGTCTTGGGCCGGTCGTTGTCGTCGAGGGCGAGAACGGGGGGGGGAGACGAGGGAGGGCCGATGGCGGACTCGATCTTCTTGAGCTCGTCGGTGGCGTTAGACTGAAAGACGAGGTGCTGGTGCTGGTGCATCTGGCGCAACTGCTGCTGCTGGAGGCCGTCGAGGGCGAGACGACGATCAAAGGCGGTCTCCTCAAAAGCGAAGAGGAAGACGAGCAGGGTGACGGCGCTGATGATGACGGCGAACCAGCCGATCCAGGTCCAGCCGACACGGTCGTCGTCGGCGATGAGGCCGGCGAAGAGCGGCCCGAGAAAGGTGCCGACGCTGGTGGCGAGGATATAGAGGCCCATGACGGCGCCACGCTGGTGGCTGTAGAAGAGTTCGGAGAGAGAGAGCTGGGCGGCGGCTTCGGCACAGCTCTCGGACGCGCCGACAAAGAGCTGGCTCCAGATGGCGTCGGCCGGACGGCGAGCCCGAGCAAACCAGACGCTGCCGGCGACGGAGCAAAGCAGGCAGATCAGATACGTGCTGCGACGGCCGTAGAGCGCCGGCAGCGGCGAGAGCAGCAGGGTGGCGTAGCCGATGCCGGCAAAGAGCACGCCGGCACCCGTGTTCTCGACGCCGTAGCTGATGCCCATGGCCAGCAGCGCATCAGCTGCACCGCCGGCATCGTTGCTCGTGGCCGCCGTCAGGCCGACGACGAAGAGGACGAGGAAGGCGTGCCAGTGCTTGCGCCAGGACGGCCAGTTGAGCGGGTCGCGTGGCGAGCTCGTCGGCGGCGGCATCAACACGACTTCGTGGCAGGCCGTCTCCACGATGCGCTCGGTGCCGGCCAGCTGCTCGTCTTCGTCCATGTCGCGAGATTGCTTGGTCGTGAGAGAGGCTAGAGAGGCTGACGAGGCAACACGTTCACCTGGCAGACAGACAGACAAACAGATCCAGACGGGCTCAATCGCTTCTTCTGTGTATCCCCTAGGCTTCCGCCGCTGCTCTGTCACGCCGTCTCCAGTCTGGTCGGGGCTTTCTGGCCTCTCCTGCAGCCGTCTGTCTGCCGCTGTGGGCTGCGACATAAATTTTGCGCAAGTCGCGCAAATGCTTATCGCCAGAGATAACAAAATCTGCGTCAGCACCAACCGTCTTACGATTCGCTAGCCGCGGGACAAAATTTCCAATCGGTCCACTACTCCGCACCTGCTAACCGGATAAGTCAGGTCCAGCCTGGAGGGATCAGGCCTAGCGGCCGCTGATCCCCCACGCAGCCTTGTAGACTAACGTACCACGCAAAGCCTGGAATGCTCTACATATCATCCGGGCCGTATTACCTGCTCCTCCCCGTCCTCTTTTTTCAGCTTTTCAGACGGCACGTTTATCAATCTACGTCCAGTGACCGTGAGCACACCATCAGAACAGCCCCTGTCTCAGGAAAAGATCCCTGCACACACACATGTCGACTTGCCAGAGGATGCTTTCCCAACAGTTCAGCGTCACGGCTCCCATGCCGCACAGTTCCAAAAAACCGAGTAATCCTGGCTCCGGCCTGGAGAGGCGACCGAGCGCGCCCACCAGCGCCGTCGCTGTCACCGTTGCCAGCTCTGCTGCTGCTGGTGCTGACGAGGCTGAGGATGTACTTCCCCAGCTGAGCACCACAACGGACGACACCCCTCCAGGACCGGGGCCCCCCCAGAAGAAGACGGTGATTGTGGTTGGTGCCGGGATTGCCGGCCTGCGTGCAGCCTTGGTCCTGCGTCGCCACGGCCTCGATGTCGTCGTGCTCGAGGCCCGCGACCGCATCGGCGGCCGCATCTGCGCCAGCCGAGAGCCCGGCAAGAGTCGTGACCTCGGCGCAGCCTGGATGCACGAGACGTCGCAGAACCGGCTCGTCCGGCTGGTCTCGCGACTGGGCGTGCAGTACTACTTTGACGACGGTGCGCCGCTCTATTACACCCGCAGTGGTCGGGCCGGCGCCCAGTTCAAGGCCAAGAAGGTCGCCGACGAGTTTGCCGACTATTGCGAGTGGCGCTACAAAAACGACGCTGCTGCCGCCGACCAAAGCGTCGACGATGCCGTCCACGCCTTTGTCGACCGCCACGAGCTCATCACCGACGACGAGCGCCTCTGGGCCCCGCAGGCTACCCGCGAGGTCGAGCTCTGGATCGGCACCAGCACCAGATTGGCCTCGGCCAAGCACCTCAGCTACTTTGTCACCGAGCGGAACCTGTACGTCCTGCAGGGTGACTACCAGAAGATTGTCGCCTGGACTGCTGCTACCGTCCTCGATGCCATCCGTCTGCGCCACCATGTCCGAAAGGTCGAGTGGTCCGAGGATGGCCTGGTCGGACGGCCGTCGACCGTAGTAACTGTTGACGATCCCGATGACCAGTCGCTGCGCCTCGTTGCTGATGCCGTCGTCATGACTGCTCCTCTCGGCGTGCTGCGGCGCCCCGAACTGCTGTCCTTCTCACCGGTCCTGCCGCCGGACATCCGCACCGGCATCGATCGCTCCGGCTACGGTGCCCTCGGAAAGGTCTTTTTCGAGTTTGCCGACGTCTTCTGGAGCAAGGACCATGACCAGTTCATGTACTATCCCGAGCCGTCAGCTGCAGCCAGTGACGATGACGACGACGACGACGAAGATGAGAAAGAGAACGCTCTGCTGTCGTCGTCGTCGCCGTCCTCCTCGTCGGCCTCGCTGTCGTCTTCGTCCTCGACCTCGTTCTCGTCGGCTTCCTCGGTCCCCGACAATATCCTTGCCCATCCCACCGTCACGGTCAATACCTGGCTCATGTCGGGCAGCAGGGAGCTCTGCGTGCAGATTGCGGAGCCGCTCACGCAGCGCGTCGAGGCCATGGCCTCCGACGAGGAGGTCTACGCCTTCTTCAAACCACTCTTCAAGCTGCTTCGAACCGAGCCCTACAAGGCCCTTCCGCGGCTTGTCAGCATCGAGCGAACCCAGTGGACGCTCGACCCGCTCGCCGGCTTCGGCTCCTACTCGGCCGCCAAGGTTGGCGATGAGCCCGGCCTCCTCGTTGATGCCCTCGTCGCCCACAAGCACAGCCGCCTCCAGTTTGCCGGCGAGCACTGCACCCTTGTCGCCAACGGCTGTGTCCACGGCGCTTTCGCCACCGGCGAGACCGCTGCCACCAACCTGCTCGACACCTTTGGCATCCCGTACGATGGCGGCGACCAGGTCAGCCTCCCCATCAAGACCGAGTAGAGCTTGAGATTAGCTTGTCTCGCTTACGTAATGCCCGATCTGGAACAACGGATCGAACGGCCTGCTCGTTGCAGACCCCAATTACTTTCTTGCCGTGGTCGGAGGACCGTCGGCATGCCTGCCTGGTGACTTGACGTAATAGTAAGTGTGCCACAGCCTGGCCTTTTGCCTATTTCTTATTATTTGCGGTACAGCCTGGTTTTTACCATGAGCACCAGCTTTGCTATCTGCATTGATGTACGCTGGATCTATAGCGGCAATTTGAATCAAACCGCTACCTAACATGGCCTTTAATCCTCCACTAGGCTGTTGGGTGATCGCTGGCGGCGACATTGCACTGATGCATCACCCGCGGCCCATAAGACTTTGGAAACTCCGTCTGTGACAGTTAGTATCTGAGAGTGCAGACAGTGTAGTATGTCGTTACTTACGATACTGTGCCACAGTGCCCGATTGTACCACAGGATTACATCCTGTTCTTCGTGCCGATGGGCATATATGTTTTCGGGTGAGAGCACGGGACGCATGATTCTGGTGAGTCAGCAGAGAAAAGAAGGAAGAGAAGCGTAGGAAAAAAGAGAAGACAGACTTATCCATAAATGCCCGGACCTCGGCCAGGTCCTCGACCACCGTTTCCTCACCGTCGGGGCTGCTTTTAAGGAACAGCCGTCGGGCGCCTTGGCCGTGGACCTGCAGCGACTGCTCGCCCGTGACCGGATTCGTCCAGACCATCGGGTAGACGCACACGTGGGCTGGGTCCCAGGCCGGCAGCCGGTCGAGCGGCATCTCGCGGCCCTCTGTCTCGATCAGGTGGCCCAGTCGGCTGCTCCGTGCCGTCGACATCCACACAAATGCGTGCGGCGCATACTCGATACGGCTGTGCAGCACCACTGCCCGCGTCTCGGCGTCCAGCAGCACGAGCGCCCGCGACCCGGCCACCATAGCCGTCGCGCCCGGTGCCATGAACATCTCTCTGCCGCTGCCGTCATCCCAGCGCACCGTCACGTCCGGTCCCTTGGGCGTGCGTACCGCCAGCAGGCAGCCCACCCGCGGTGGCGGGATCTTGTATAGTGCCCCGTCAAAGTGCCACTGGTAGAACCGGCTAGCACCTGCCGCCCTGTCGGCTTCGGCGATGTGCGGCGGCAAGTGGAAGTCTGCGTGGTCGATGCCCTGCACCTCAAAGCCGGGCGGAAAGCCGTAGTGATCCGTCGGCAGCGGCCCACGGCCCAGGATGTGCACCTGCGGCTGCACCGGGATCGCCGGCCGCTTCGGAATGCCGTAGATCTTCACACCGTTGTGCGTCGTCAACAGAGGGTCTGCCCCGTGCGCAAACCCGCCCTTCGCCTCGTCCGGGTCAAAGCTGGGGACAAGTTAGAGTCACGTGACTACTACGCAACCACCGCCGGCTACACATCGAACCCACCTCGACGTCAGCTTGTACTGCTGCTGCGGCTCCAGCATCTGTGGCTGCCCCTTGAACACGAGCAGCTTGTGGCGGTGTAGCGCGTCTGAGATCAGAGCAAAGTCTGCATCGGTAAAGTTGTTGAGGTCGATGCCGTACACGAGCGCGCCAAAGTCGGCCTTGCTGTCTGAGCCATGTTCCATGGGCACCACGCGGCCGGGCGACATTTCCGCATGGGACAGCATGAACTTGCCCTTTCCCGCCACGAGGTGCAGGTCTGCTGTCTCCTCGGTGATGACAGACGTGATGACCATCTTGGGCGGCTGTGTCGTCTCGATCTCGATAATATCGGGGGATACTTCGCTGGCCGGTTCGACCGTACTAATCAAGACAAACAGAACGCATCATTTAAAGAGTTGGTGCAATGTCTGTATCGTCTCGGCCTCTTCCGCCCCATGTGCACTCCAATCAGTGAGGCCGGCTTGTTATCGGACACGTCGGACAGCCTCGGCCGAGGCTTCCGCTTAGAACCGGCCGAGATTGGAATTGCGTCTCAAACACAAAGCAGGTCGATTCTCTCTTCTTGCCCTCCATTCAGCCGTACACTGCATTTTTGACAATGTCCCAATCCGAGCTGACCTCCCACTTTCACACGACTGCCACCGGCACTCGGCTGCACTACCTGCAATGTGGCAGTTCCGAAGATCGTCTTCTTGTCTGTCTGCACGGCCTCGGTGGCTCTTCCAGCACCTACACGCCGCTACTTCCACATCTGCAGACGGAGCCTCCTGGCTTCAACGTCGTTCTTGTCGACTTTCCCGGCTTCGGCCAGTCGCCGCTTCCGCCTGCATCCGCTGAGCTGTCCATCCACAGTCATGTTTCCGATATCCGCGACCTCATCACAGCTCTGAGTACCACGAGCTCCAAACAGCCCGTCCTGTTTGGCCACTCTCTTGGCGGCATCGTCGCTCTCCACTATGCCGCCAGCTATCCGGACGCCGTCGCCGGCCTTGCCCTCTTTGGCCCTGGCCGCTCAGCTGCCCATCTGCCGTCTGTGCGCCAGCGCATGCTCGACCTCGCTGCCGCTGTCCGCTCGCACGGCATAACCTCCGCTGCCGACACTGCTGCTGATCAGAGCAACTTTCCGGCCGCCTCCACCGGAAGGACCGTGAAGCCGGAGCACCGCGAGGCAGTACGCCAGGCCGTTGCCGCCTCCAACCCCGAGGGCTATGCTCGCACCTGTGAGGCGATTGTCGACCTTGGCCACGTTGACCCTGATTACGGAACGATCACGTGTCCGGCACTGTTCGTCGTCGGCGACCTTGACGTGATCAGCGCACCAGAGCGCATCCAGGCGCTCAGCCCGCTGCTCGGTGGCGACAGCTGGGTTGAGGTGGTGCGGTCTGGCCACCAGCCAATATTGGAGGATACCGAGTCGGTTGCCAAGGCCGTTGGAAAGCTGCTAGAGAAGGCAGGAGGCCCATAGACGGTCACAGTAGTAGCTAATATAAAGACATAAAAAATAGATCGGGGCAACCCTGCCGACAGTACTTGTCATTTTTGCCCTTTCTATCTCTTTCATGTTTCAGGAAAGTCGTAATTTGCTAAATACAGTAGGTTTCCAAACGTGGAAGAGCTGACAATACTGGGTGGAAGGAAAAGCAGCTCGTCCTGATCTGTGGTCGGTCGGTTTTCCGAACCGGTGCCAAGACCGTTTGCGTTCGTGAATGGTGTTTCTGTTGACCGTCCGGTCGTCCCCTTCTCTTGCATTCCTTTACTCGGCGAACTACCCTGGCTGCTAGTCCAACTGGCACGCAACGGTTCATGTTCCTGCCGCGTAGCCCCTGTGGTATAGACGTCGCTCTCGGGCTGTCTATTCCTAGCCAGATTTCCGCAAAAGGACCGGACAAATGAGGGGACGTTGAGTCCACGACTCCTCTTCGTTGCATGATCGTACTTTCCAGCCTCAAGCAGGAGGGCTGACAGCAGCTTGACACCACGCACGGCAATCAGGCTGGTAGGAAAGCGGTGGAGGATGGCAACAACCTCCTCAGCCAGCTGAAGGTGTGGCCCGTACTCGGGCTCGGCCGGCTGTCGGTGCAGCACGTCGAGTATGAGGATGATGCCTGCGGCAACAGCAAACGCCTGGTGCACCCACAAGACGGGGCCTCCGCTCCCGGCGCTGCTGCCGTCCCGGTCGGCCGCCACGACGTCGCGGTACTCCTTGATGATCGTCTTGGCCGCGGCCAGACAGGTGCGACGGGTGAAGCCATAAGCCGGGTTGGTCAGACTCTCGGACAAGAAGGCCCGGTGGATCATGATGATCTTGTGGGCCGACGAGATGGCCAGCGAGTGGCGGGCCCACGGCACCCAGGCCGGCCAGGCCGGGTCGAGCGGCGTGCTGCTGGCGAGAAAGGCCGGCCGGCCAGCCGTGGCCAGCGTCCGCATGCGTCGGTCGCTCGCGAGCACCTGTTCATAACGCGTAAAGGGCGTGCTGCGCGACAGCAGCCCGTCCTGCAGCTGCGGCATGATGGACGCAATGGCCGTCAGGAAGCGGCCGTAGCTCGTCACTGTCGGCACGTCCTCGGTCAGCGGCTGCAGCGTGTCGGCCTCGTCGTGGCAGTTGATCGGTGGCTGCGACTGTGAGTGCAGTGGGTGGATCAGACAGCTCTCCGAGAACGGGATCCCAAACCAGTCTTGACAGCAGAGCTGCAGCCATAGGCGCCGGCCCGTCTCGATTTCGACCGTTGTGCCTGTCTCTTTCGCTCGGCCACGTCGGTCTGCATAACTAGCAATGCCATCGGCCCTCCCGCTTCCTCCGATCCGATGCAGTCCAAGGCTCTGGGCTATGCGCACCGCTGCTGCCAGGTGGATCGACTGCGTGTTCGAAAAGCCCAGCAGGTGTGCCGACATCGTCAGCGTGCAGATCGCCTGCACCGACACGATCGACAGGTTGGCCGTGTACTCGGCCTGGTTCAGACACGCTACCACAGCCCGGAACCAGCGCCGCGACAGCACCGCCCGCTCCTCATCGCCAATGGCCCAGGTCTCACGCACGATGCCGTCTGGTGCACATGTGATGCTGCCCGTCAGCACTGCAAACAGCAGCGCTACCCACAGCAGGTCGACCCCTGGCGCCTCCACGCGGCCGCCATGCTGTCCGAAGAACCGCTCTAGCTGCCGGTAAAATGCCGGCGCGTGGAACGATGTGTGGAACCACAGCAAACTGTCGACGTGGTAGTCCACCAGCCGCCATATCGTGCGTTCATCCGGCAGCAGCATCTGCAGCACCGCCAGCTGGGACGTGTCTCCCAGACTGTCTGGTACAAACGCGCCCGAAATCGTGTCTGCTCCGTTAGAAGAAAAGCTGCCAGCAGCCGCTCCTTTGTGCCGCCCCCATGCCAGGAACTCCAAGATTGATGCCGCGTCCTCGATCACCGTGTCCTGGGAATCCTCGTCGACACATCGATCGGTGGTGGTCGTCGTGTTGGTGCTCTCAGGTGAAGCCAGTGGTCTTGGCTGCGTCTCTACACTCGCATGTGTGCCGCTCTTTGAGACCAGTAATGCCTCCAGCTCGGCAACGCGCCGCCAGAGCATTTGCACCTCGTCCTGGTGGCCATTGGAGTGTCTCTGTATCTGGTGATGCCGCTGCCGTGGAGAGACGGAAGATCCTTCTCTGGCCTCTGCCACATGACCCGGGATTGCACCTACTGCGCAAAGATCTATCTCACCCCTGGGTCCTCCGTTAGAGCAGAGCACAATCGAAAGAGCTGCAGACTGGTCCGCCTCACCTTCGGATGCAGTTGGTGCATGGAACTGTCTTGGAGCACTTGACCTTGCGCCGCGTGCAGGCAGTGCAGGTCTGCCTCGTGCGCTGAGCTGGCATCGCTTCGTTAATGGCATGGCCGAAGCTGTGCTCTTCCCGATCATTCTGCGCGGAGTTCAGATAAAGACGCTGCTTTGACATTGTTTATCGGGGTGGTACAGTGCGAGAGAATGCCCGTGAGATGAATCCTACTGTGTCTGGCACATCGCTTACCCCCTGCACAAGAGGCAAACCTTCAAAAAATTAAGTTCTGCCTTTCGACACGAACTCAATACAGGCCAGGAATACGATTGAAATGTCCTTCTTGTATTTGTTTCCAGACAGCCGGGATACTCATAAGAAATGCTGCCCTTTACACCAATCACGACCAAATCAAGCATCCACAGTGGGCCCCTTGGCCTAATGGTAAGGCGTTGCTTTCCGGTTTCTGAACACAGCTGGCAAAGATTCTGGGTTCGAGTCCCAGGGGGGTCGATTTTTTTACTCTGCCGCTCTGCTGTACAAAAGAATGCGACTGAGTTTTTCTTACTTATGTAAATTCTTTTTTTAACAGAAAACAAGTGTCTTGCTGTCGTGTTCCTGTCAATACGGAGTATAGACCAAGTCATACTATTAATACTGACATTATATCGTGCACAACTTTGACGCTATTACAAGGATGTCCTAATTGCACTACGCTTATGCTGGTGTCGGTCGTTGCCATAATATAAGGCACTAACGTCGCCGTCTTACCTTCAGGCCGCTGGAGGCGAAAGCAAAAGGTATCTTAGCGCCAACAGTTCTATACCTAGGTCGTCACCGTTGGCCATACGCCGCAGTCCCCCATCTGCAAACTATAGCTACTCTCACCTATAAGACAATTGGAGAGCCCCCCTTTTCGATTGCTCTTTTAGGCTCATCGTTCGATATGAAACCTAGTCAACCTTCCATCCAATGCAATACGACGTTGTCTGCCACTTTACGAAGCCGGGCAGCGTGAGGTATCATCGCCTCTCCTATCGAGGCACATTGCCCACTTGACCGACAGGCTTCTAGGCCGACGGCTGCGGTGTCCCGAGCTTGATTGGCCCAAGAAGAACACCGGCAACTACCAGACACGCCGTGCCGCTGGGAGACGTATCTTGTCTTCTCCTGCACGCAGCCAGATGCTGGTACTGGTATTCTACTGGTCGCATGCATCGCATGATGGATCCAGCAGCCAGCTGTTCAAATGTTGGTACGATCGGGACATCTCGCTTGTCTGATACATGGTTAAAAGGCAGTCTGTGCTATTGTTTTAGCAGCAGAAATAGAACAGTAGGAACACGATCAGAAAACTGTACACCGTAGCCACAATACAATCGCGCTGTAAATTGGCATTATACTGAGTACTAACCATGTAGCCAAGCAAAATCTCGGGGAAGCCTTCTCTATGAGACTCGTTCTGCTTGTGGCTAGAGGGGCTCGCTCTAGAATCTCTGATCCTCTAGCCCGCAACTGTTCATCTCGCGCATCTGCTCGGTCGATTGGTGGAAATACCCCGACAGAAGTGGAAAATAATGGGCGGAGACCGTTGGATTCAGGAAAGACAACCGTAGTGGACGGTGGTCCGTGCACCGCCGCGCAACGTGGCTTTGTTGGATGCCGGTCGAGATTACTCGAAGACGCCAAGAGCAAGGTGTACGCGAGGGATACCTAAAGATATGAACGTAACATATGTCAGACCATGGCGTACTACACTAAATGTCGTGTCTGACATCTTCGGGACTAAAGTGGATTCCTTGGGGGACACCGACGGTCCAGGCTATTGATCTCAGAGTCGTGCTAATAGTCTGAGGGTGTTCTGACAACACCATATTGTGGAATACCTTTATGCTATTCGATTGTCCTGGCAGTTGCATTGCCAAGACTCCGTTTGCATCGGCAAGCTTGTATGACTAGCCGTCCGTGTTGATTGGTACTGATGCCATAGTAAGCCACCTGGTCGTAATATAGGAATGATGTTCTCGAGTGGTCTACGGTTCGATGTGATAAGCCGCAGAGAGGGGAACTTCGTCACAATGAAAGAGGCGAGGTGAGACGTAGAACATATGCAGATATATGGTAGATAGACTGGCCGTTCGAGAATTTCCCAGGCCAACTTCCATTCCATCTTCCACCTTCCCCCTTCCATCTTCCTGCCCTTGTCAGTATTGTATGCGTCCGTGCCAGCAGAGGTCCCTCAGTTTGTTGCAATATGTCACAGAGACTTCTCATACCCGACACCCTGAAAAGCTGGAAGTGGCAGCGCAGTGTAAATCCGAATTTGGAACAGGTCAGAAAAGAGTCTTATAGTTGGCTGCTCTCTTTCCAGGCGCTCAGTCCGGGTTCACAACGTGCTTTTGAAAAATGCCGCTTTGGTTCGTAAAACGCAACACAGAAAAATTTCTACCCGGCGCTGACAGTCGTGGCTTGCAGATCTGCTTGCCGGCCTCGCGTACCCGAATGTCAGCAAGGAAGTCCTCCGTGTGGCCTGCGACCTCATGTATCTGTTCTTTATCATCGACGACTTCACAGACAACATGGAGCCCGATAAGGTACTGACGACGATCAGCATCGTTGTAGATGCCATACGTAGGCCCGAGAAGCCGAGACCAGACGGCGAATGGGTCATTGGCGAGATTGCCAGACAGTAAGTAGAGTCTAGTCCAGTTCAGCTATCTCATTCAATTAAGCTGACAGTCCAGGTTCTGGGCCAATGCCGTTGCGTGTACAACCATCTCGTCCCAGAAACATTTTGTCACCACCTTTACTCACTACCTGTTTGCCGTTGTCGAAGAGGCCAGAGACCGGGCCTCGGGTCGGCAGCACAGCGTTGAGAGTTTCATGGAACTGCGCCGAGAGACCGTGGGCTTATACCCGTCGCTTGCTGTCTTGGAGATGGAGAAAGGGACACAGCTTTCCAACGACGTGTTGCAGCACCCGCTCGTGCTGGCCATGACGGCTGCGGCCACCGAGATGATCTGCATTGGAAATGTGTGTCTGATCCCCTCCTTCTCTGCCCTTCCCATGCTGACCAATCAGGATCTTGTCTCCTACAACAAAGAGCAGGCCCTCGGCGGCGCCAACCACAACATTGTGTCCATCGTCATGAGCACAGCACACGTCGGCACCCAGGACGCGCTCAACTGGGCGGCCGGACTCTTCAGCGAAAATGAGCACCGCTTTATGGATGCCTACGCAGACTTTCGGGCCATGCTGCCGCGCTGGGGCGATGCTGTAGACGCTGCCGCCATCGCCTATGTCGACGGTATGGCCAACTGGATTCGCGCCAGCGATCAGTGGAGCTATGAGAGCGAGCGCTACTTTGGCAGCCGTGGGCTTGACGTCCAGCACAGCAGCTGGTGCGAATTGCTTCCGAAAAGAAAGCCCGCTCCAGAGTACAGACTGCCGGTGGTCTAACTGCTGATTTTACCGTCTCTCGTTTCAATTTTCTTCTGTCTTCTTAGTCTCCATGATCTGTCGTCTGTCTATTATCCGGTCGGCTGCTGCACAAACTGGAAAAAGCCCGACTCTATGTTGTCGTTTGCTATATTATGGGAATCCAAAGAAAGAGTGCCGGCCTGCATGAAATCACTTCCCTGTGCCATACATTGAATACGTACCTCCATCATATGGCACAAATCGTTCGACAGCGTTTTCGTCCAATGGCGACGTATTTTAGGCCAGACAGGTGATGAAATTGCTTTTGGGGGTTTCCCGGCTTTTTCTAACCCTGGTTGACGTGCTAAAATGTCCGTGGCACCATACAGCAGCGCTACTCCCTGGGAAGTTTTATTGACTAAAACGCTACTATTGGTGTTCACCAAACGTAGAAACAAGGAATCGCTTTAGATCGGTAGTCTTGTAGACTTAGCCGCTTTCCTTCTCACGGTGTATTTTTGAGGGAAGCGACAAACTTTACAGAGCCTCGCCGGCCAACCTGAGAGCCCAATATCGCCCGGATATTGCTTCGACTGGATTGCGACTCAGGGCCGGAGGTCCAAAAGAGAGACTTGCGCCGGTTGATAGAATCACAGAAGAAAGCCAAAGCACCATTGACGACCAGTTACTACGACGTCCAATGGAACGAGACTAGGTCGAGCCACTTAGGTCGAGTAGTCTGTCCATCTTATTAGATACAGTAGACTACTGCTAGGCAAATATAACTCGATTTAACGAGGCGAATTAAGACTGCACACGCGAAGCTGTCGTAGCTGTCTTATCTTCCCGCGGTCTCTGCCAATAGATGCTAGACACGGAGCGAGCCATTCCTTTGCAGTATTTAGGTAGCACGAATGGTATGCATCCTGCCCCTCTTCTTGTTTGCTTAATCTCTATTATTTGTAGGGAGACTGTAAAGTATTTCTAATCCTGAAAGTGAAACTGTTTCTACAAGTCATCCATCCACCGACAAATATCAACCAGGAAGAAAAAAAAATGGCATCTGATGCTTGCTCTAATGTGGACATTGAAGGCCATCTAAAGTGCAGTAGCTTTGGCACCAAGGCTTGTGCAAACTGCCTCCTCGTCATGGTACGTCCTCACAACGGCCAAATTCGTATGAATAATAGCCACTAACCAGGCATACAGTACTGCGGCGCTGGATGTCAGAGGGAACACTGGCCGATCCACAAAAGAGACTGCAAAACAGCACTTTCCAAAGAAACGTGGATGCCGGCCTGGGTGACCGAACGTCGGTCGCCAGCGTTCATCAACATGGACGGTGGGCCGGAACATGTGAATTTTGGGAAAACTTGTTACTTGTGGGGGAATGTCCCCGCAGTAGACGTTGTCCAATTGAAGAAGAACGAGGGAGAGTCGTACCAAGGACCTTTAAACTTGCTGTTTGCCGGTAGGTCGCTGTATCCTTCCTTTCCCATTTTAGCCTTGTTTTGATGTGCTCATGGTCTCTATAGCCTCCGGTGATCTACGAAACGTCATTATGTCTGTGGGCAACCTGCCGATGGATTTCAAGGCACCCGTCAACATTGTCATCAATGACCGGGATATGGACGTCGTTGCCCGCAATGCCATTCTCCTTTTGCTTTTCCTCGTCGTGGACGACGCTCAAGATGCCGCAAAACACGCCATCCATGTCTTCTACTCAGCTTTCATCACCGAAGAGTGTTATGACATCCTACAGACGCGCATCAGGCCACTCATCGAGACCGTCTGCAATAAGATTGCAAGCAAACCACCAACTGCGTTTCTGGGAAAGACATGGAATTTTGGCGACCGACATTTTCGTTTGGAGCTTTTCAAAAACGACTGGTTCTGTCTTCTGTCTTTTTTTGATGTTCCTGTGGGCTTAGAAAAGACCGCAGCCCAGAAGGTCCGAGACAGGATTGTGTCTGCTCCCGAGCGGGTCGACTATGTCCACCGACGACTGATCTGCCAAATGCCAGCGCACCGACCGAGCTTGGTGAAGTTTCGATCGGACGGGCTACTCCTCCCATACGGTGCATCTCGTGCCAGCTTTTTCATTCCTAACCCGTGAGTGAGCGTAATCCACCGCCGAATGGCAGAATATACTAACAGGACGTGACATTGCAGGACTATTTTCCAGAGCGTGGACGAATGGCCCATGATGGACAACGCCGACCCAATGCACGGATGGGACATAACTGCCGTGCAGGGATTCAACGCCGGCACCGCCAAAAATGATATGTATGGCAAGTTGTACCATTACTTGATTGGCGTCTTCGAGAATTTCCACAAGCAACTGTCTCAGAGGCCTGTTTATATGCAGCTCAATCAAGTGGACGCTAGAGCCATTGGCGCCTATACCGACAAGAAATTTGCTCGCATCGAGGTGGGTTTGATCATCACACCGAGTCATATTTATTCATCAATAATTTCTGACGGCTTAAGATTTCCAACATTGCCGACTCTGGTTATATCGGCACAGGGCAAGCACTTTGCACCTTTGGGCCACTTCTACAGCACCCCTCCAACAATCCCCATGCGACTCTGATATTTCTGTATTTAAATGCGGTAGTCGAGATGATGACCTTGACGAAGTCAAAGTACGACCGTGACGTGATGGCCAAGAGCATGGATACTGTCATGAAGTACATGCCTACACTCGCGCCTCCGCGTGCCACGAACTACAATTCGATGGTGAATCTGCCCAACCCAGATGAAATGAGCGCGATGATGATCAAGATCAGTTCTGCCATTGATTTGGTGCGGGATTTTGATGCTGCTTTCTCTCTGTGAGTTTCCAACCTCCCTTCTACAATCGGATAACCACTGACGTCAAGACTTTCAGCTACGTCGCACATCAAAGATTTTCGGAACTCTGTGTCGAGACTGGGATGATAATGAAGCAGGAGCATACCATCTTAGATAAATGGCCCCTGCGGTTTAAGTTTGGTCCCGTAAATGCTCAAACAGAGCGAGACTTTGCAGTGCTTCTCGCTTCGGGAAATATAGGACATGAGCGATACATGGAGTGGAAGGTGGCGGATGAGATGGATATAACGAACATGATCAATATGATCGAATAAGGCGCACCCCGGTTCGAGTTAGACTTGCGAGACACATTAGCCTTTCCGTCGTTGCTTTCGGTAGTCAGCCCTATCAACGGATCCATGTGGGTCGAACCATAAAAATCTAGGTAGTTTTTCTACATAGTACGGATAATGTACTCCGTACTCCGTAGCCCGTAGTACGTTGAACTTCGTAGAGAAATGTTTTCTCCGTACCCGCACTTCATACGAGCTCACCGAGAGGCTACCTCACCCTTATTTTGAGTTCAAAAAGTATCAGATCCTACACACGTATAAAGCTGCTGAATCTGGGCCGAATGGCACTGCGTCCTCGCCTCTAGCTTGGAGACTGACTCTCTAAGCATTGTAGGCATGTACCTTATTGGCGGAGCTGGAATTTGTTGCACCTGTTCCATCTTTAAAACTTATCTTCTAAGCACTTTGGTTTCTACAAGGCTTCGCCAAGGATGGTAGGAGAGGAGAAGAGCAAGAACGTGGCGGAACTCATCGTTTATACGAACCAAAAATGAATGAGTGTTGCAAAGTCGGGAGTTTCAAAATCGAAAAGTGCAATACCTGTAGTCATCGAGTTAACAGTGGGCCCTACGCAATAGTACTTGTAGATGTGATCGGAGACGGGGCGTCAATAGACGCAAGAATGATGCTAGCCAAGACAATGAGAGATACGGCCGCGGTTGCCGTTTCTGAGTAATGCTCCTGTTCTGCGGATTTTCCGGGTGGCCGTCTGGCCATCCGACATTTTATTTGATGCTGCTATCCTAACCTATTGGGTCTGGTTGAGTAATAGACGTCCTCTAATATTTTCGTCTGCGATCACATAAACAAAATTGTCTTACTAATGAAAAAAACATGTATGCTTCACAAAGTCCCTCTACTCTAGTCTCTCTGCCAGTCGATCTTCATACCGCTCATTACAAGATATATATCGTAAATTCTAATTAAAACAAAAGAGTAAAAGTTGTTATCTTAGTCCTTTTTTTGTGAGCCTAGTGCACGAAAGCGCAGTTTTGAAAAGATTAAGAAAACTATCATGTGGTACTAAATTTTCAATACAATATTAGTTGACACGCATCACAAGACACAAACAACGTCGTTAATTCTACTAAAAGACATTTGTCTTAAGTAATTGATGGTCCTAGGATCTTTACCGACTTTCCATTATTTGATTCGAACAAGCATAAAATTATATCAAAAAGAAGATCAGTATTATTTCCAAATGGACCGCCTCGGTTTCGGAAAGAAGATTCGAAGAAGATCTGATTGCTCGTTGTGGGACCATCCGATCCTCGATCTAGTGGAACTTTTAGGCAGCATACATCACAGACGGCGTATGTGGCTGTTTTGATTTTGAAGGATTCAATGCTCCAGAGCAACCGAAAGTATATCAGATCGGTGTGGCCGTACTACCCCCTGCTTCTATAATGCCACAGCGGCAGAAGCAGAAAGATGATGGAGGCGAGAACGAAAATAGAAGGCTGGACACGCTGCATTTTACACTGCCTCTTCCATCGCAGACGCCACATGATATAATCGAGGAGACCCATTTAGAATGTTACTCATTTCGGGTGACGAGCCAGCGATACAATGTTTCGAAATGGGGGGAAAGGAAAAGGGAGGGAATCTTGTATGACAACGAGTTGGTTGTGGATGAGATCGAGATGGAGACTCAGTTGGTGACACTCCTCACCTCCATCCGGGACCGACTTCAAAGCCAGCTCGATGATGGGGCCCCTCCGCTATCTATGATCCTTGTTGGATACAGCATGGTTATGGAGTATTGGTTCTTCTCCTTGTGTTTTCCGACGGTTATTTCGGGTGGATTCTTCTCCTCTTGGTGTGCTCTTCAGAAAATTGTTTACTCTGTGTCTGGACTTAGAGACCTGGGCCTTATCAACTCTTTGTTGGCGCTGGGATTCCCCGGAACCGCTTTTGCTCCTGCCAAGGGTCGAACACAGCACCAAGCGGGAAATGATGTTGTACGCGAGCTAGTGATCCTCATTCACCTTTTATACCATAGCCAGGCCTGCTTCGAAATGTTTTGCCCCTCATCTTCTTTCCCCCCCCCCCCTCCCTCTGCCGGCCACGGTACTAAGCCATCCATTCCTGAACCCGACGCGTGCTGAACGAAAACACTCAAAGACATTATGGGGGGAGTGTAGCGGTGAAAGAGTCCTTCGCCCGTTCGACGAATGCCGCCCTCGCCCATTCAGCGCGTACCCTTTCACTGTCTCGCTTCGCTTCGAGTCCCCGGGTCCCATGCATTCTATTGCTCGTAACGGACCTTCGTTACAAGAGCTCTTTGCAGAATATCACCCCGTCTTGGCTACGATGAAGCGTGATACAAAAACCGCATGGGTATGCCTATCCACGGAATATGAGCGGGATCGTTTTGTCAATGACTTAAACGGAAAGATGCACTTTCAGCATTTATGGAGGGCACGAGCATTGTCTGCACAAGATCCAAGCCCGATGCCGCTAACAGATGTTGGAGAGCAAATGAGCCGGCGTGATCGTAGGAGGCTGACCGACAGCCGTGGACCCGAAAATCAATATGTGCAAGAGTTGACGCGGCGCGAGCGGTTTGAGCGAAGAGCAGGGCATGTTTCTATCATGGAACAGGAAATTGATGTCTCGGTTGATATCGGGTGGATGGATCTGATAGAGAACAATGCCGACTTTATGGAGTAGCACGTTTCGTATCTGGGTACTAGGAGGTGTGAGATGTTCAGAAAATAGCGATCGGGGCGAAACACTGGTTGATCTGGACAGTGAGCTGTCTAGAGAGTTTCCAATACATATGATAATACAATAACAACAATCTCAAAACGACATTGAGCTTTGAAACAAAGAATCAAGTAACATGCTCAAAAAGGCCTGCAGTGGCTTTGCACGTCTGGGCTGGAGACTATGAGATAGGCTCTGTATATCGAAGAGGAAATGGGCTAGAGAAAAAAGACCAAGAAAAAGGAGAGAAAGAGGCCGAAAAGGGAAAACATCATAATGCAGGTAGCAGACATAAAATGACAGGTGGCCCTTGATCTACTGGAGAGGCCTATAATAACGTTCTAGTCATCTTATATCTGCACCTAAGTCCGTCGTTACTATGCTATCTGCGCTCACTCCCGTTACCCTAGACTCTCGCCCCGCCAACGCCCCTCCTCTCCTCGGCCAGACATTGCGGCCATCGCTCTTTCCTTATAAGTCCACTCTTCCCCTCTGCCCTCACCTTTCTCGTATCGGTTAATTTCAAAGAGAAGCTATGCTTTATTAAATGCTCAAATCCTAGATTTCCCAACAATAATGTTCGAGTGTTTTAAAGCGCTAAGCCTCACATCAAGCATAATAGGGTTCCTACTAGCTTTACTAAAAGTAACTAGATGTAAGTAGTAGTATAAACAAGAATCAAAACTAAGATATATTACAAAAGGTACAATAATAAGCTAAAGAATTTCGTGATAATAGCAGTTGGTCTCCAGACGTATTTACTTAAGGCCTTCTGCTTTTCCTCTGCGCAGGTTGCGAAAGCCCCTGGGTGTTTCCGTTTCCATGCTCCGTGGCCGTGTTCAGAGTAATTTCTGTCGGCTCTTCATCTTCCGACCGATCGTCTTTCGCAATTCCCTTGAAGATGAGACGGTAAGCGCTCCGCATCAAGCAGTACAGCCAGAACAGGTTCAGTGACTGCAGCATTGCTAATAGCGTGAACGTGATGACGTTCGACAGAGGGCTCTTGTACTGCTGCGCGTCCCATTTGAGCTCGTAGGGGCCGACAGTGCTAAACTCGCCCTGTGGACGCAGCGAATACAGGATGCCCAGGTTGATGTAGTGGCGTAAATAAATCCAGGCGGCGATGCAGATGGCGAACGGCGGCCCCTGGTACTTGAACTGCAGGTAGTTTAGCGACTTGGATACGGCGAGAAAGAAGTCGCTGATGTCGTGGGTGATGTAGACAGCAATCCCGATGTGGGTAAAGTGGAAGCGGTAGCTGAGGGCGATGAGGCTGACAGTGACGACGTGGTGGGCGACAAACTCTTTAAAATCCTTGCGGCGCTGCTCGAGGCCCAAGACCATGACGACGACCTGCTGGAGCCAGAAAGCAGCCTGAACCAGGTAGTAGGCCTTGAGGCTGGCGTCGAGGGTCCGGTGCGGATAGGCGGCAAACATGTCGTGCGCGTCAAAGTACCACACGGGCGTGTGGCGCATGACGAAGAGGCCCCAAGGGCCCATGACGAGAATGTACAGAGCCGTGTACATCTGCTCTGCGAAGCGCACGCGCTTGGCCCGGGCCCGGATCCCTAAGACACGCGCCAGCGGGTGCAGCAGCTCCTGTATGCAGAATCTGCTTGTAACGGTCAAGAGCACGACGTAGAAGCCCACAAAGGCCACGTCCCAGAGGCCCTTTCCGTACTGCGCAGGCTGTCCCTGGCCCGATTCTGGAATTCTGTAGGAGAGGAGCAGGAAGTTGTGCACTGGGTTGGACTCGAAGGGATGGACGGCGTAGATAGCGAGGACGCCGAGGACGACATAGAGGGGCCACATCCAGGTGCGACGCTCAAGAGATCGGGCCCTCTTCCGCTTAGTGAGACTTCTCTACATAATCGACAATCATTAGATAATGTCGGAAGACGGACAAAGGGGACCATGTCTCACGTGGGTTGCATCTTTGGCGCCCATGCTGTCTTTTCTGCGGCGCAGCACCATGTCCGGAGGACTGCGGGATGACGGTCTCTGCTCCGCCGTTGTCATGGCGGACAGAGTGAAGCTTCCCGTCTAATCGCTTGGTAGGGACGTGTGAAGTCGGGCAGATGGTTTTGTCTTTTCGTCAGCACAACGACAACCAACCTCCACTGCTTCCGTGCCGTGCCCCACTTATCTAGGTTCCCGCGCTCACCAACTAAAGCCAAAGTTCGGTAAGCACTAATATAAGAGAGTTGAAAGGACAGTAGAAACGATTAGATGCTGGCTGATGCCGCTTGTTATCGCTTTACAAGCGAATCTACTTTGTCTATTTGTCTGGTCTGTTCTTTAGCGGTCACCTTAGATGGTGCGCGTTATTCGTGATCCAGATAAGGGGAGTGGCATGGGCGTCTTACGAGGACAAGCGTTTTTGCGACAGCGATCCGCGTACCCTGGAAAGCGGTCCAGACGGCAGCCAGGAGCTGCCATTGGCCAGGAGGCAAGTTATGGAAAAATGGGGTTTACAGGCGGTGATTAGCGCATGTACATTTACGTGTCGCAACTGTCGATTGCTTTTGCTTTGGTTGAGAGACATTTGGGAGCTCTCCTGCCAAGCTATGCATGCAATATCCGCAGGGAAGCTCAGGGACTTGCTTAGTCAAGCCAACACGGCACAACAGGCTAGAGAGTGTGGGTTATACAGCACCGGTCCCCAAGAGCACAAGGTGATACTATGAGGATCGGGCCACCCCGCATGCTCGTATCCTGGGCACCTGCAAAGTACCTCCCAGTACTCCGTACTCGTAAGATACTTCTCGCTGGAAGCAGCTGCAGCAGTGTCCATCCATCCACATATGTTGACCGCCAGGTAGCGACCACAGCGGCACAACCCTGCCCTGATTAAGGAGGTGTGGCCATTCGATAGCTGCTTACTTATCTGGCCATTTTCCGGTCATTTGCTCACGCTTCCCAATATCCAATCCGCATTTACCTCTCCCACCTCCGGAAAGTAGAGGGGAAACCACGCCGACTTTTTCGCCATAATGAGCGAGAGCCCCAAATCGCGACCACCGCCTCGCGCCATGACCTGGACGGCGAAGAGGCCCCAGAACAGCCCGCTGGAGAGAGTGTACCAATGGCTCTTCGACAACCAGGCTAGTATGTCATGATCTCCCGGCGCTGCTGGGGAGCAGATAATCACCACCACCTCACAAACCTGCCTATCCGTCCGCTGATAGTGTCACTCGCTCTGTGCCAGGCCTCTCGTTTCAAGCCATCGCCCCCTTTCTCCTCGCCCATGTCTGCGTTCCCGCGATGCGGCCCTTCACGGACCCGTTATTCGGGCTCTCGTACCACAATCCGCAGACGGGCAGATATAGCGCTGGCTTTCGCGACTTGTGCTTTGTGGCCTTTTGCATCGCGCTCTGTATCGGCGTCCGCGCCTTCTTGATGCGACGGGTCCTCGTGCCCCTAGGCCGTGCCTGTGGTGTGACCAAGCAGAAGGACCTCACCCGTTTCTCAGAGCAGGGTTGGATGCTGGCCTACTACAGCGCTACCTGGCCTCTGGGCATGGTATGCTTCTCTCCCCGAGCGACAGGACTTCCTGCGGCTGACCAGCTTCCCAGTACCTGTATTATCAGTCGCCCTACTTTCTTAACCTCGAAGAGCTGTGGACCGGTTGGCCTCAGAAGGAGCTTGACGGGCCTATGAAGGTGTACGTCTTGGTCCAATGGGCCTACTGGATACAACAAGTCATTGTAGTGAATATCGAGGCGCGCCGGAAGGACTACAAGGAAATGATCATCCACCACGCTATCACGACATCCCTGATCGCCTCGGCCTACGCCTACTACCAGACTCGCGCCGGCCATCTGATCCTGGTGCTGATGGACGCTGTCGAGCTCATCTTCCCGGTACGAATGCATTGAGTCTTCCTGTTGTCGAGATGCACAGACGACTAATAAGCGGAGTAGCTGGCCAAATGCCTCAAATACATCGGCTTCACGACCGTGTGCGACGTCGTCTTCGGCGTCTTCGTGGTTGTGTGGGTAATGACCCGCCACGTCTTCTATCTCATGATCTGCTGGAGCGTGTACCGCGACCTGCCGCGTATTGTCGCGGTACCCTGCTACAGGGGCACGGCCGGGGATCTACAAGGTCCCTTTCCGGCCCCCAAAGAGGGCTGGTCCCACCTGCTGGAGCCGTTTTACGACCCCACCGGCATGGTGTGCTTCACCAACGGCATCCGGACAGCGTTCCTGGTTTTCCTGCTCGCTCTTGAGCTTGTCATCTGCGTGTGGACCTTCTTCATTCTCCGCGTGTCGGTGCGCGTACTAAAGGGCGGCAATGCCGAGGACGTCCGCAGCGACGACGAGGCCGAGGCCAAGGCCGAAACCGAAGAGCAGAGCGAGTACGAGGAGATCGAGCCGCTTGAGCAGGAGGTTGGCGTTGAAGCCATTGACCTCACGGCAGCCCGGCGCCGCAACGCGCTGCACAAGTCTGGCCTGCGCTTAAGCAGCCCCAGCGGCCGGAAGGAAATTCTGAACCGCATCGGGTGCGAGAAGCAGATCGACTGAGCAAAGCGGGTGGGTGCGCAAGGCGGTCACTGCGGTCAACCCAGGGCACTCTACAGTCTCAAAGCAGCATAGTCTAATTAACACCTATATGTTCCTTCCTTTGAGTGCGATCATAGTTTAGGTACCTGGCTTTGACCTTGGCCAAACCACTATAAGGGTCAACTTAGTGTTGACAGTGGCGAATCTGATTAATGACATTTGAAATGCGGTCCGCATGTAAACAGCAGATACTCGTATATGCGGTTTAAGTCCTGGCACCAGGCATGTGTTACTGTTGAGGCATTACTAGCCAACTCTTGTGCCACCAGCTGAGATCCCCGCTAGAGACGCAGACCTAATTGGCGGTCACAGCATAACCGGTGGGAGGAGTACGATACAAAGCTACATAGGGATACAGCAACCCAACTTTGAGGGAATAGCGATAGTATCCGTCCATGTGCCAAATATCAAGTGACCATCGATTACCGTGCTTCACTCTCAAGTCCCGCTAACATCCCATCTGAGATAATAAGTGATCAGGTGTCACTGTTACGATTTCTTCGATAGCCATCACAAGCCTAGAGAGATGCGGCTTACCAGCATCGCCCATAGCCCAGATAGGACACTAACACTGGGACTAATACTAAGAGACTAAGACGGGGTGTCAAGAACACCTTCTTGATTGGTTGTGCGCTGCTTTGTCTGAAATGTGGCCACGTATCAGCGATTGCGGCTCAACTGTCATAAGCAATAGACACCGAGGTAGCAACCGAGGCTAATATAAACATCTAGCCTATTAACACAATAATCAGAATGGTAAGTTTTACAAAACTCCGGTCTCGCTGTGATAAAGACGCGCCAATGACCTACCTAAAGCTGCGGGATGGGTAGAGCCCGGACCAGGATCGTTTACAATAGTGCGTCGGCCTGCCTATTCGGTATAAGATGGGCGTCGAAGAATGTTTTCAGGGAGCTGAGCATCTGTGTGATAATGTCAGCTTAGCCGATAAAGGATGTCTATCCCGTGTGCAATCATACGTTTGGGTAGCATTCTTTTGAATACCCGTCACATGCGGCACAGCCCCCAAGGCTGAACTTGTCGATGGTCGCTGTCTCCTTAACGTAATGAGATACGACTCGCTCGCATCCCACATAGCTATACATGGCCATGATTATGCCAAGACGCAGGATAGCATTTCTGCGTTCAGAAAAGCCCACTCATCTGCCGTCTATTACCTGCACAAATCATTGTGGGATACGAGCCAATGCGCAGCATACAGAATATACAAGAGAAAGGAAGATTATCTCTTCCACACAGTGGGAGCTTCCCGTCGTTATAGCATAAAATCAACCTTGGTTCCACTTCCCCGGACTCATTCACACTCAGGAGGAGTTCCAGTAGCTGCAAACGACAAAAACTACCCAACTTCCAAACTGAGACCTCACGATTGGACATTGCAACTTTCGCATCACGGAAGATGCAAGCCGATGACATTTCCGCCCCTATTGGGGATGTGTTATGGGATACAAAAGGTCTGTCCGAAGAAAGCCTAAAGATAGCCGTCAGTAAGCGTTCATCCGAAGGACATGAACCCTTCCGCCCGGATACAAAGCATTGCAGAGCTTGGAAATCCCCTCCCGAAGAATATCCGAACATCTCGTTCGGCGACGGTACAATGGCGGCCACAATAGACTCATACGGCGATCTAGTGCAGTTTGAAAGATATATTAGTGCGGGAGCCAATCCGGGAATGTATTCTGCCTGCCCTGTCTACACGCCAAATGTCTTCCACGTAGGGGATCGCGTCAAAATATTGGAGGATTTCGGGCATATATCGGACATGTGCCAGCTCTACCTAGACAATCTCTATGAGACCAGGCCGTCTGACCTGTCGTTTGTTCACTACCGCTGGCCGCGTCTCAATTTCGAGGGTCATGACTTTGCTGTAACCACGCAATGGCTCGTCATAGGTAGCATTTTAGTGCAGAAGCGAATCATCAAGAACCTTGGCGACGAAGAGACTGACGTGCAATACGGCGTTTCTAGATATGTCACAATCCATAGTCTTGAGGCAGTACCTACCACTGAAGAGGAAAATTGCGACACGATATTGGGGCCTGGAAATTACAGCTTGCTTTTCGGTCGTCGGCAGGCAGCAGAAAATAGCAACGAGCAGACCGAGATGATGGAGGGTGCATGCATAGTTGTTTCTGTCTTTCGAGACGGAAACGCTCTACCGTTTCATTCAGAGGACAAACCTTGGACTCACCGGCTCAGCCCAATGGACACCGACAACGATTGCATGGAAGTCATAATAGCGTACCGCTTGATGTGCTTGTCTGGAGATACAGCACTTCCCTGGGAGACATTTCTTCTATCTGCAGATGCCGTTGATGTCGACAAATTTCTACGGGATGAGCCATTCGACGAAATTTCACTGTCAACTAATACCTTGGATACCCCCCATGAAGACGCAAACAACCGCGACGGTGCCAATGATGAAGACCGGGACCCTCAAAAAAATAACGTTCAGGTCCATGAAAGTCAAGCTGCTGGCTCGGTATTGGCAGACCCTGAGAAAATGCCAGAAAATACCTGTATCAACCATATTGAGTTTGCCGTGCGCCGACATCTTGAGCACATCCTTGGTGTATGTGCCATCATCTTTATGAACGGTGATGTCTCTCAGGTTGCCCTGACGTGCGGTAACATTGCATTACATCGCATATACACACCATCTAGCTAGTAAGCCCCTCCTTTTATTTTCCTCGGTGGAAAGTTCACTGATCTCATTTGGGTAGCTTTACTTTCAAGTTCTTGGTCCAAGTTTACAAGCGGCTAAACAAACTTGCAAAGCCAGACAGCAGACATGTCTGTGACTTGACGGGCCGTATCTCTCGCGTCTTGAAAGGGCATATAGCTTGGGTGCTGAATGCCGAGAGGACAACGGAAGCGATTTTCGGTGCAAATTACACAACGTCAGGCAAGCTCGTGCCTATTTTGGACGAGTTTTCATGGCTTCCAAAGGATTCGCTTACAGATACATGCTTTCAGATTTCCAAGTTTGCGGAATACTTCAAGCTCTTCGAGGCAGACAAGGTAATAGACGATGCCGATTCAAAAATTCTTCGTCTTTCCAATAGTTGGCTAGACGAGCTCAAAAAGAGGGACCCTCGGCAACAAAATGTGTGGCCTCGGAAAAATGACAGAGGAGCCCTCGCGTTCCGTCTTGATGACCATTTCTTGATATGGCAAACGTTGCGCGATCTAGAAAGCCGGAAGATTTGGGACCTTGGAGACAATTCCAACCAGCACCGCAAAGATCCCGCCAAGGACGGTCACAGATATGCGTCACAAGCCGTACGAAAAAGCATTCTCCGCCACTTCACGACAAGCAACGATGTATTTGAGCGAATGATTTCTGTGACCCGTTCATCCCGCGAGAGCCGCTTTCTTTTACACGCACGCGACACTATCTTCTTTTACGATAAAAACAGTGCCTTCTTCCAACCCTCGCAAAGCCTCTGGCACAACACTCTTGAAGCTCAAAGGCCTCATACCGACTACGAAGAGACAACCTGGAACAACTCTGTCCGCTATGCACTGGCCATACTTATGGGAGTACACCAACATCGACTTACCACGAAGTCCCCTGCGGAGCTCGTCTGCGCTTCCGTATCCACGCTTTTCCGAAGTTCTGACTCAAGTGGCTCGTTTCGAGGCCTACTAGATGAAACGTCCAAGAAGCGAGATGCTCTCTATAGTGACGCGTACCGTGACTGTTATTTTCACGCTTGCTTCGAGATTCCCTATGTTCTCCTCACACATGTCACGGGCATTGAAGAAGCTTTTCGATCACCAAAGGCCAAGGAGGGGAATGACCTTGGAGGTATATCCAGTGAACGCGCCATCGCGTCTAACAAGACAACCCAGAGACGGCCCTCGGTGATTGGTGGCAGTCCCCCGGATCGAAATGAAGAAACCACACAAAAAAACCAGCCAGCGAGCAAAGCAGGAACCGGGCAAAAGCCGTCATCACTGAAATAGCGCATGCCGTTCAACGACTTTATCGAGCCCAACAGCATTGTTTCGATGGAAGAAGAGTGGCTTTACAACTATCCAAGCTTCCTGTCGTGGGGTGCAAAGCCGAAGAAATCCGATGTTCAGCAGCTAGAAGAAGAAGTCGTCGGTGTTGTCGTAAAAGATGGCTTGAATTATTGGAAATGTATCGAAAAGGAACAGTATAAAAAAGCACGGTCTGAAGAGGAGGTAATATTCGATTTTCGAAAGCAGCAAACGCATTCAGGTTTCATTATTGACATACCGAAGCAAAAACACAAAAGCAAGTGCTCCAAGCATGCCGATCAAGACGGCGAACAAGGTAACGACAGCAGTATCAATATGATAGCCGAATTGATGCCAGAAGATAAACTATGGTTGCAACTTAACAAGCCCCGGACGGCTGAAAATGCCAAAAAGCGACTTGTCTGGCTGGAACGCGGATCGTCATCGATCGCATTGATGTGCTGTCTGTGTAGCCCCAAGGACGAAAAGCTGCCAATTTCAACCTTCTTCGACCGCCATGCCAATTATGAAAAGCACTTTCACGATAGCACTAATCGTGTTTTCAACACATGGATCACGGAAGTGCACATGAGTTTTTTCAAGATGTTCGATGGCGAGAAGCGTGATCTCCAAAGCAAGGGAATCCCCAAGGCAGAGTCACAGACAATTACCACAAACTCCATCGGTGCTTCTGGACGAACGCTCAGGCTGACACGTGCTGCCGTGGGCTTTCGTTTCGTGGGCGATATTTTTGACCGATACTGGACATGTCATTTCATTGAGTACATTCCATACACAAAGAGCGATGATATTAGCAGCAACGGCGGCATCATCACCACAATAGACAAGCTAAAGTTGAAATTTGGAAAGAAGCCATATCCAGACTCATGGCGCCAGCGCAAGGTGCTCGAGCTGCACTTCATGTTGCGTATTCTGGATCAGCTGGTCGAGAACACAAACAAGCTGCGAAATTTTGTGCGTACAGAACTGGGCGTTAAGGAAACCTTTGTGGACATAACGTTGCTCAATAGCGGCGACTACTTCTCATCGAGTACCCAGTGGCAGCAACTGCACCAAGTACTGCAGAGCGTTGAAGACGAGCTGGACAGTGTGAAGGCCAACGTCACTGAGCGATGGGAGTCACGAGATGATCGAGGCCAAGAGAAGCCGCGCTGGACAACCAACGACGAGCGAAAATATCGCAGCATCATCAACACGCTAGAAGCCAAAATCGGCAACCGGATGCGCGACATGCGGCGCGCGCGAGACAGCGTTCACAGCCTCAAGATCTGGCTAGAACATATGCAAGACCAGACTCGCAACGACCTCAGCTTGCGCGGAGCCGAAAACATCCGCTTCTTCACCTACGTCACCGTCGTGTTCTTGCCACTAGGCTTTGCCGTCAGTATCTTCAGCATGGCCGACACAGAACCCGGTCATCACATGCTGGTCAACATGGTTGTATGTGCCGTCGTGGCCTTGGCCTTGACCACAATTGCCCTCGTCAATGCCAAAACGATGGCTGCTGTGGCAGAGGATATGTCGTACACCATTTCCCGGCGCACGCGAGCAGCCATGCGTCGCAGTTTACTGGGCAGACACTACTTGGGGCGAAAGGCCGGAAGAAGAGACGGGCAGCCAGACGAGGGCGGCAACAAGAACAGCAAAAACCAGGGGGAGACTCCAGGGAGCGAAACCAAGGAGGAGTTGCGTCCTCCACGTCGACCTCCTCTGCGTTCCACCGTCGACCAGTCCTGGCATCTCTGGTTCTGGTTGGCGTATGCCTTCATTGAATATCCTGCACGCCAAGTCCGGCTTGCCTGCCGAGCTATAAAGAACGACGAACCAGGCATGCAAGAGGTCTTGCACATTCTCCTAGGATTGCTAATAGCTCCATTCTTTGCTATTTCCTGGCTGTTGCAGATCGCCGTTTGCAATATCGTTGACATGACATGCTATCTATGGGGTACGTTATCAATACCGCCGCTGCATACATTTTCAAGGTTTGCTTATCTCGTTTTACTCACAGGAACTTTCATTCTCGTCACATTTGACGATGCAAGAAAAGGCAATTTTCCTTATGATGACCGTGAAATGACTCGTTTTATGTATCCGCTGAAAACAATGCGCCCCATGAAAAAACAGACGGAAAAAAAAGAAAATGGACCGGAGGAAGAGGGGCCATATGCAGAACCATCAGACAGAATGGACAATGGCAAGGGGCCAGCGATGGACGAGACGATGGCAGCGGTGGTAGAGGTATGACGGGCAATATGGAAAGATATCCTACTCATTGGTGCAATAATTCGGAGTACAAATTGACCGTTTGTCTTTTTAGAAATATTTACGCAGGTTATGTTCGTAAGTACATATCGGGTTTTCAAACGGCAGCGCCCCATCAATTCCATAAAGCAAGCAGTGGCCTGCTATATATCCGCCAAGAAAAAAAAAGTTAATTCAATTTGATCTTGATTTCGAAGACCTTGGTTTAGTGACGTCCACCTCCATCATAGGCCTTTATAACCGCATACAGTGCGTAGCAGATATTCCGATAACTATCGCAATCAACTGTGACAATACTTGGATAAATGTGACTTCAGTTTAGACAATTGGCACTTGCGTGACCGGACTAGTTCGAATATTCAAGTTCCGCCTGTATCTCTCGCATAGCCTCAAGCTCATCATCTCGTGCTGGCCCGCTCATAGACTCCACCAGCACTAGGACGGTGTCTAAACATTGCCGTGCCTCTGCATCACGTCCCTGGTTTTTCAATAGCCTAATAAGCTGCCGTCGCGTACCCAATGCCGGAGGGGAGTCTTTTCCCATGCCTTGCTCCAAAAATATGAGTAGCTGGCGGGCAGTAATCTCGGCCTCGCTGGCTTTAGTCACAGCTATATTTTTGTCGGTGGCGGTAGTCAACTCTCTGGTAGCTAGAGCGGCCAGCTGGTTGTTCAAAACCGAAAGCAAGTTGAATAGGCATCCCCAAGTCTGGCGAGTGCCACAGCCAAAGACCTGTTCTCGTCTCGCCAACACATCACGGTTTACAGCTTCAGCGCGTGCATAGTCACCCTGCTCGTTGCACACCATCCCAATATAGTGGAGCGTTGTGAGCATGTCGGGATTATTGGCGCCTTGCTCCCTTAGACGCGCCTCATAAACCTCCTCGAAGATGGCGAGTGCTGATGGCAACTGGCCCTCTTTTCGCAGACGCACGGCTTCGTCAAACTTGCCCGTCAGCTGGTCTGTGACCGACTTTGGCGCGATTGAATAGCTGATCTGCACTTCTAATGCCATGCTGATAGAGCAGTAAGGCCGTATCAAGTGGTGTAATCTCGTTTGTACAACTTTGTTCTCATATATTATCTTCTTGGGTTGTCCGTCTATTAACACGGATTTCCAGGTAGTATAGTGTAGGCAGTGTAACCCCATTTTTAGGCAGTAGTCCTAACTATAGGATGGCGCTTCTCCGACAATGCAACATCACTATCATGGGAGGTTTTGGGAGTACTACTTGTATAGTCTGTGTGATCTATGTAATCTTTAGGTTTGGGTATGATTTCCCAGTCTGTCATTCTGTCGAATGGTATACAAACTGCAAATAAGACAAGAATGAATAACAGTGGGGTCCCACCCTCTTTTTGGATAATTAGACACATTCAGGTGGCTAGATAAGTCAAGCAAAACTCACCTTCCATATTAGGCATTTAGGTGGGGGTTCAAGAAGGCATAATCAATTGTTGCCTACGTTTTCTATCTAGTGATGTCCTCTCTTAGCTCTATCAGCTGCCAGTACGGAGCGCCTTTGCTCGCACCGCAACTACTGAATCCACCCGGGCCTCCTCCTCTTCATCCTAGTTATCAAGGCGGTTACCTATTCCCATATTTTCGCCTTCTGTCCCGCTAGTAGCAGGCCTATATCCTACCCGTGTTTGTAATAGCTGAAGCCCCGCCTCTTGCCTGTGTGGATTTCCCGAGGTCACCTGACCTGACCTCGGCCGCCGAAATCACTAGATAAGACGAAGCCCTGACTAAACGCACATTGCGCACAGTCTAGAGCTTCAGTCAACCACCCCAAACGAAATATCATCACTAGATCTTCTAAAGGCCTTAAAGCTTACTACGATACGTGCAACTAGTGAGAGCGGAGGTAGGGTAAGGCCTCAGCTTAAACCAACAACAACACACACACCTACCATCGTACGTACGTAACTGTGCACAAAGAGAGGTGCCATAAAGCACCTCCCTTCGTCAGAAGGTAGGGGCAGCATATGGCTAGTCCGAAAGGGAAAAGGGAGGAAAGCCATGCGGGCTCACCTTATAATCCCGAAAGAGATAACAAGACAAGCCCGCCCGGCGAAGTCTTGGGCGTAGTCTGTGCTTCACGAGTGTACTGTATGTCTCTGCAACTAATTGATTCTCTGGATGCGTGTCTGCTTGTCTCCCTCTCATAAGGAGAGGGAAGAAGAGAGGGTTTTTATATATATGGAGTGTGTAAGTGGTGACAGAAGGCATGAATTGTTCCACATCTGATTGGTCAGGAACAATGGGGTAGGTCATGTGACGATATAGCATCCCGCGAGGGTCCTGACTTGTCATCCCGTGCGGCCGGAATAGGTGTTCCTGGGGTGCAGTTTTCCTCATCACTCACTGGTCCGGACGAATATCCCACAAGGGTTACCGTACGGGTCTTACACTGGTATTCGCGCAGACGACTACGCGTACAGACTAGTAGTGCACGGAGTAGAAAGCCACACCTGTGCCTTTGCGGGGCATTTTATTTCATATCCAAGGCAGATCCTGTCGAATGAACCAGACCAGAATGGGAGGGGCGTGTACGATTATGCAGTGTGATGAAAGAATACATGTACTGTGTGGCGCAGGGGGCTATTTAGTACGTGTTCTGACGCACGTCGGCATACCTCGGAAGTAAGATACCTAACCATAACAATACATTCATGCTCACTGGGCACCCATAATTCGACAGATCCTTCTTCCTGCTTCAGCTACGGTGTACGGAGTACAAACCTGTATACGTAACGACAGACCTATAAGAAGGCACTGATTCATTTTCATATTAACTAGCTTGTCACTATTTTTAATTAAAAAAATCACAAAGCGCCAGAACGTTCCGTCGATTTATCTTGCCGAATTATGTGTCCTCTCCAAGACACGCCGAGATCTCTGCAGACTACCTACACCAAATTCTTGCATTCTATACATGGGGGCTATGCATATGGTGGGTTTTCTCTGTTGTGTCTATCGTGGAGTGACTTATTATGCGCACTATCATCGCCTTCCGCATAGCCCCTCAATGCAACCCCACCGCATTACACAGTTCGTATGTGGTCAGACAAGTATGACGAAGAGTAGGCACAGCCCCAGTCAAACCGGGCATACTACTTCACTAACGACAACATATAAAGTCGAGATTTCCGCAACGAAAACTGCGTATTTGTGCGTTCAACCCTTCCGTAAGACAGAAATACACAAGATATTTTCTTTAAATATTTGTGTCCAGAAAAATGTCTGATATCCAAATAATTGAAGAAGGCCGGGCGAGTAGTATGCAGCTAGTCGACTCCAGAGCGACACGCTTATCCAATGCTGCAACAGTTGTCGGTGTCTCATCCAGACCAAGCTTTCCCCAACATCGAAGTACGATTTCGGAAATCAACCGACATCCCGGGGATCGTCCTGGAAAGGACAACTTCTTTGTCGGTGACATTTATAAGGAGACCACTTACGAAAGTGTTCAAGAAAAGTATGTAGGGAAAGAATGTTTTTCAATTTATCTCAAACTGTGATCGTTTTCTTTTTTGCCTTCTACCCTCGCTATTTTTTTTGTTCTGGGGGCGTATTTTATATCGTCATCTGATACCTGCGCAGAGACGGACTGTACTTGCGCTATGTTAAAGAGCTATCGGGACAATGGCCCCGACTCAAGTACCTCGCCGACTTCATGCAAGTCGGCACAGCTCCCAAGCGGGAAGAGCACATGAACAACATGGAAAAGGCAGAACGTCGCGAGCGGACCAAGGTAGCCGTCCTGAACTTTAGCAACCCGGAATCCATGACGAGTACAAATTGTAACAGTCCTTCGGAGCTGGCCGCTAGCCTGGATAAGTATCTTTACGACTCTGAAAATATGAAGACGAGCGTACTCTTCCTCGTCGAAGACCTTTCCACGTCCGTCATGGAGCAGCTTGGGAAGGCGCTGGACGTCGATCCGACTTTCTTCCGCAACCATCTAGAAGATCACACGTGGTTCAATATCAAGGACAACTGGGTTGACCTGCCCGAGCTCGGCTCCCAGTCACAGGGTCGGAAATTTGTCACCCTTCGTTACATGACCACGCAATTTTTTGAAGACGAGGCGCTTGCCGAAGAGGCCAAGGCTGAGACAGTCAACTGGAATGTGCTTCGCCGAGTCGACCTGGAGAGCCAGGTCAAGTCGGGCGACCTGGCCTGGTGGGCCGAGTCACGCCACCGCGTTGGCATCCTACGGCCGAGGATGAGCATCTGGAGCACCTGGTCAGGGTCTAGTTGGGTTGGCATTGTCCTAGTCGACCCCTGTGTCAGCGTCGGTCGTCCGCTGTGGAACGGCTACGGCAATATGCACCACCCCCCGAGCATGGCCGAGTCCGGGTCCGTGGAGAAGAGGGCGCAGAACCTGTCGACTTTTGACACGGTGCTCGCCCGCCTTCTATCAATCCCGAAGAATGATCGCGACCGGCTGCAGAACGAACCCGAGCATCTCGTCTCACATTTGTATCCGTTTGTCTTTGGAGGCACGCTTGTCACGCTCGAGTTCGCCTTTACTGGCCTGATCCAGGTCGAGTGGGAGCTCGACTCGGGCCACGGCCGCACGCCCGAGGATCTCGAGAGGCTGGTCGAGGCCCTGCACAAATGGCGTCGCCGTCTGTTCTTTCATACCCGCTGGGTACAAGAATCCATCAAGGCGCTAGAGGGTTGCTACTCACTCGGACCGCTGTCAGCTGCAGCGAAGTCGAAATATGCCTTCATCCAGTCGCAGAGCACAGGAAGCTGGCAGGATGGCCTCAGACAGGATTTTCTCGACATTCTCTCCCGGCTGCAGCTGATCCAGGAGAGGGCAGAGAGCACGATGCAGATGGCCATCACCAATGTCAGCATTGAGGAGGGAAAGATCAGCCTGATCGAGAGCGGAGACACGAGTCGCATCACGTCCCTAGCGTTTGTTTTCCTACCCATGTCTCTCGTGGCCAGCGTCTTAGGCATGAATGAAGAATTCAAATGGAATGCGCACATTTTCATAGTCTTCATCGTTACATCCGTTACGCTTACCGTCGTTTCCCTTGGTCTGGCTATGCATTCAAGATCCATCATGTCTTATTGGCGGCAGAACAGGTTCGTGATAATTGGGAGGAAGGAGAATTGAGTAGCTCTCTTCCTGTATATTGTTTTAATGCTAGTCTTATGTTAATTATGAGTAAAGGTCGGGTTGGGTTCTGCTTTAGACCTCAAACCATACAAACCTGTAATTGGACGGGAAGGTAGGAAGAAGGAGGCTAGTCTGAAGAGGAACAGAGAGGTAAGATATACCATGCTGGCTTAACTTGAGATCCCGAAAGGGGAAGCAAAGTAAGCCCCCGCAGCGAGGCGTATGCGTATCTGCGTACTTCTTTAGATGCTGATACTCACGTTCAATGCGCAAGACGGCGGGTCATTACTTGATTCCAGGAGTGATATTTCCCTCCATCAACTTAGAGGAGAGAAGAGCGTATAAAAAATATGCGTTCTTATATTAGTACATTGTATTTTGTTGAAGGCCTTATACCTGTAGTTCACTCCGTCCGAAAGACACTCTCCTCCATATTTGCCCAGCCCTTCCTGAATCTTCTTTGATTTCAAGCAGTCTATACTAGCTACAAGTTTTTGTTAGACGGCGCATAGAAGGAAAGAGATTGATACACACGAAGTCATCGCCCTCGTAGAATAGGGTCACAGACCAATCGATGATTGACTCGTGCGGTTTCCGTCTGCCAATCACATAACGCCACGTCTTGCTGTCGGGGCTATATATTCTGGTCGGCAGACACCATATTCGTATTAGCACGCACTGCAACATTACATCTTCGCCTCGCTATGAAGCTCTCCCAAGTTTCGCTTCAAGAAGTTGCCTCGCTTTCGCGAGCCAATCTTGATGATGCCAGGCATATTTTCCTCTTTGAAGAACTTGACATCAACGGGTGTCTTTTAGACTGTGAAGCTTGGCACATTAGGCAATCTCTTCAGAGTCGCCGGGCTTCGTGTACGTCCGAGAAACGTGAGAAATCGGTCGAATTTAGGAAGCTAGCGAAAGAGTCGATACTAAGACAACGTCAAACGTTAAACAATGGCAAGCGTGTTCTCAACAGTAAGCTCAGGAAGACAAGGAAGCCTTTTAAACTCAACGACCTTAAAGCTTCATTCGAAAATGGGTGTGACTGCTGTCGATTTTTCCATGACCTAATTGAGACCACTCTCCTAACTCGCATGGGTCTTGATCTGCATAACTTGTTATTGGAGTGGAGCGGTTACAGCTATTTTCTGAAAGTACAAGACACTCGCCAAGGGGCCTTTTTTTCTATCCAATTCTTTTCCCCCTCTGGTGAGTAGTGTTGTCAAACGGTCCAAAATTTAGAGGCGACCATCACAACTAATCCATGTTCATATTTAGGGGCAAAAACTGTTATCCAAGGCCTTAGATCTTCCAACGTACTATCAGGCGACACGTCTTCTCAAATGTCAATCAATCTGGCGAAAGCCTGGATAGAGCAGTGCGAGGAATCTCATGGACAGTGCGGTTCTGGATGCGACATGCCTCTTCCAAAGAGATGTCTTGACCTAGAGCCCGATGGCTTGACCGATGGGTCAACAATCAGGCTAGTCGAGACCAAAGGCATGCTCGACAGATATGCATGCTTATCCCACTGTTGGGGTACCGACTCAAAGCCAACTCAGACCACATCGCATACCATACAAGATTTTCTAAATAAAATCCCATTAACTATTCTCCCCAAAACGTTTGGAGATGCTGTGGTGATTGCGAGAAAGCTAGGGTTGCGATATCTGTGGATCGATTCCCTTTGCATTATCCAAGATTCGGCTGCGGATTGGCAGACAGAGTCCGGTCAGATGGCCGACATCTACCGCAATAGCTACGTCACCATTGCGGCAATCTCGTCGCCAGACTCTCACGGTGGTTGTTTCAGTCCTAAGGAAATGCCTGATTTGTGTATTCACGTCCAAGGGGATAACTTTGAAAGCTATGTAGCGGCACGATTCTGCGAAGAAAATGAATCCATATCCAGCACTGACATCTTTAAGAAAGCTTACCCCGCGCTCACCCGGGCCTGGATCTACCAAGAGCGCATTCTCTCTCGACGGATGCTCTACTGCACACATTACGAATTCCAATTCGAATGCTGCCAGGAGAGGACTTGCGAATGCGGCAACAGGTTCATGCCTCCTCACCCCCTCCCAAAATCGGCAGCAAGCCAAGCCATGCTGCAGTCAAAAGACCAATATTCACAACTTGCGAGGCTGCACGATTCAAAAGGGAGATTTTCACCCATGCAAATGTGCCAGCATTGGCAAAAGACCGTTGTGCAATACACCAAGCTTGATCTAACCAAATCAAGTGACAAGCTGCCGGCACTATCGGGTTGTGCCAAGGACATCGTCCGTTTCACGGGAGACGGCTACTTCGCAGGTCTTTGGCGGACACGTTTTGCCGAAGGTTTGCTTTGGATTGTCAATATGCCTGTGGATCAGCCTCGTCTACAACTTTCAAGAGCACCTAGTTGGTCATGGGCGAGCGTGAACACTACCCAAGGCGTCAACTATATCTACCCTCTGACGTCACGCACCCGGCAGATGTTCCAAGACAGCATAAGAGAGGTCCAGTGTGTGCCAGTTGGCGACAAAACTGGCGCCGTTAAGTCGGGATATGTCCGATTGGGAGCATCGCTTTGCCCTGTGTATCTCCGTCGGATATGTCGAAGTTGCATGACTTCAAGAGGTCGCGCGACTTACACCATAGAATATGACGAGTGGCGAGCTACACGAAGTCCAAGTGTAACCCCTTGTCCTACAGATGACTACAAAGGGCTCGTCCTGGGAGATTCCACACCGAGTTTCTTCCCAGACTACAAGTACGACGATAGGGTTGACGTTGGTTTTCGGGTGAGAACGGATGGATACGCTTGCAGACATGCTCGTGTTTATCTGCTTCACCTGTACGATGGACAGTCGCCTTCATCGGATGTCATAACGGATTTTTTCTTAGTACTTACAAAGTCGACTCAGGCTAGTGGAGACCAGTTTTATGAAAGAATCGCCCTTGTCACTATCTCTTTCAAGAATTGGTCAGAGAGAGATAAATGGTTTGAAGGCGAATATCAGCCGAAGGCCGAAAATGAAACCGTTGTAACTATAACATAGTCTCGTCTAGGTCCTTCATACCCCGGTCTCAGTTTTCAGTTGTTCTCTACTTGGATACAATTAGCCATATGGCTTGAACACACTATAATATAGTAAAAGCTTGGAATAGTTACACGTACTTTTATTGTACTGGATATAGGGTAGGGCTAAAAATAGGCTACCAGACCATTCTCTTTATAATCAGCATTTTGTTCGCATTCATGAATGTACATACACATTACTGCCCCTGCACCGCGGGAACCCTGCAGGTGTTTCTGTTTGTCGTACAGTCAGCTAGTCCCACAGTATTAAAGGCGGGATGAAATTCGTGAATACCCCGCGCTCGCCATATCGATCTTTCCCATCTACATACCTCTATTTGCAATCCTCATGCCATTTGACATGGCCACTCTCGACGCATTGAAAGGGGCCCTCAGGCAACACTCCACTGCAACATCATCGCAGAAACAACCGCTAAGCAATGCAGAATATAGCGCTGGCTTCGATATCTTAGCGCAAGGCACAGGGTGGATGGTGTATCAGGACTTCATAATCCCTCAGCTGTCTCAACTGCTAGCGTCTCTCGTTAGCTCGCGATCTCACATCTCAGCGCTAGAAATCGGGCCTGGCCCGAAGAGCGTTCTAGGCTATCTGCCTGACCATCTGAAGCGCAAGGTTGGAAGATACGTCGCGTTTGAGCCAAACGGCCAGTTTGCCACGCGGCTGAAAGAATGGTTAGGCTCTTCTGGTGAGGCGGCTCCGTTTCCTTGCCTGGAAGACCCAGCCGACATCCATCCAATCCCATTTGCTCTGGACAGCGGCGCCGGTGATGGCAAAGAGAACTTTGACATCGTTCTCTTTTGCCACAGTATGTATGGCATGACTCCCAAACGCAAGTTCATCGAACGGGCGCTGGGTATGCTTACTAAGCAGCCAGAGCACGGCTTCGTGGTGGTTTTCCACCGCGACGGGACTTTGCGCCTCGACGGCCTAGTGTGCCATCGAACAGCTTCCTTTCCTACAGGGGTTGTCTCTGTGTCAGACAAGGATGAGGTGTTGGACAATTTCTCCTCGTTCATTGCAGGACACTCTATGCAGGATGCAAATGAGGACAAGGTGATCCGGACTGCGTGGCGAAAGATGTGTCGCACTCTAGGCCGTCATGAGGATTCCCAGCCGGACCATCTCTTGTTCAGTGCGCCTGATTTGATGGTGGCATTCAACCAAGGAGCGACCACACTGCCAGAGCTGATGGAAAGCGTTCCGTCATGGGAGCAAGGAGCAAGGGCAGTGAAGAACAGAGAGGCTCGGCTGCACCACCCAGCCGCAATCATGAGACCGACAGAGGTCCGACATGTACAGCAGTGCGTAAGGTGGGCCCTAAAGCATGAGGTCGGCCTGGTTGTCATCAGCGGGGGACACAGTGGCCACTGTCTCTGGCCCAACGTTGTGTCGGTCGACATGGGCGCTTTTGACCAGGTGCACGTTATCTCGAGCTCAGAAGAGGACGGAGCCGCATCTGGGCTCCGTTCCGGATCCCTTGTCATTTCTGGGGCTGGCTGCAAGACGGGAGATATCATCCGCGAGGCCATGGCTGCAGGCCTGACAGTGTCTCTAGGTTCACGGCCGAGCGTCGGTGCAGGCCTGTTGCTGCAAGGCGGCATCGGACACCTAGCCCGCCAGCACGGACTTTCCTGCGATGCCATTGTCGGTGCCGTTGTGGTCAGTGTGGCCACTGGCAAGACTCTCTGTGTTGGGTGTGTGCCACGCCAGCACCAGCCGGCTGGTGCCGTGCGCCCGGAAAACGAAGAGGCCTTGTTGTGGGCGATCAGGGGCGCCGGAACCAACTTTGGCATCGTGGTCAGCCTGACTTTGCAGGCCTACGCGGCTCCGAGTTATCTCGTTCGAAACTGGGTGCTCCCGCTCAGCGGCAGCCTCGAGGCCCAGCGCGGACTCGGCGATTTCGACCGGCTGGTTGCCAGGAGCCTTCCTCGGAACTGTTCTTCGGACGCATATCTGTACTGGGATGCCGACCAGCTGCATATCGGCGTGACCGTGATCGAGGCTTCGGTTCACAGGTCCTCCCCTGAGCCACCGGCAACCCTATCTATGGCGGTGTCAATAGATGAAGTATTGGGGCCAGAAAACAGCTTCCAGATTGTTGACGGTCTCGAACTGTTTGAGACGGAAATGTACATGTCTGGGATGCACGGTGGACATGGTGGCAAGACCTCTGCTTTCAAGCGCTGTCTGTTTCTGGGAGACATCGGCGACGTGAATATAGCCAAGATCCTGACAGCGGCCATCGAGACCCGTCCATCGGCGCTCTGCTATCTGCACCTGCTGCATGGTGGCGAAGCAGTCAACGACGTGGCAGCTGAAGCGACCGCCTTTGGCTGTCGAGATTGGCACTTTGCCTGTGTCATCACGGCCGTCTGGCCGCGCGACCAAGACGGTACCGAAGCCGCTCGAGCGGCCGTGCGGTGGGTCTATCGTGTCGCGATGGACCTGCTTCCCTGGAGCAGCGGAGCCTACGGTGCCGATCTGGGGCCAGATCCCAGAGACATTGCCCTCGCGGCCGTGGCTTTTGGACCCAACCGGCCGCGTCTGATCCGTCTCAAGCAAGACTTTGATCCATACAACGTGCTGGCCTACGCCTCTCCGCTGTTGAGGCCATCAAGGCAGCCGAAGCTCATTGTCCTAGTCACGGGCGAGTTTGGCGTCGGCAAGGACTATTGCGCTGGTATCTGGGCGTCCATGTTCTCTAAACAGGCCCCCCAAAAGCTAGAGGCACTTGTGGTCAGCATCAGTGATGTGACCAAGCGGGAATACGCAGCGGCCACCGGCGCCGACTTCGACCGTCTGCTTGGCGACCGTGCCTACAAGGAGCAGCACAGGCCCGCATTGACAAAGTACTTTCAGGAGCAGGTACGGCAACGACCCCGGCTGCCTGAGGAGCACTTCCTCAGCGTGGTGCAGGGCGCCATCGACGTGGACGTGCTTCTCGTCACCGGGATGCGAGACGACGCGCCGGTCGCCTTTTTGTCGCACCTGGTGCCCTACAGCCGCCTGATCGAGGTTCGCGTCGAGGCTGCCAAGGCGGTCCGGCAGGCTCGCCGTGGATGTGATGCCAATGACGAAAAGGACAACGGCAAAGACAGCAGCAGCAGCAGAAACAACCACGCTCCAAGCCTCGTCTTCGACAATGACACGGCCGGCAGCGAGGCCGCAAGACGTTTTGCCGAGCATCGGCTGCTCCCGTTCTTCCACGCGGACCTGCAACGGCTGGCCGACATGGTGCGTCCGGTGCCCGACTTTCCGCGACCGGGCATCAACTTCCGCCACGTGCTCGACATTGCTCAGCAGCCGGGCGGCCTGGCCCTGTGCACGTCTCTGCTGCGGACGCTCTTTGCCGGCGACTGGACCACCGTTGGTGCGCTCGCCTGCTGTGAGGCCGGCGGCTTCGTCTATGCGTCTGCACTGGCTGCCCGGGTCGACATCGAGCTACCCTTGGTGCTAATCCGCAAAGCCGGCAAGCTCCCGCCACCCACCGTCACCGTCGCCAAGGCGCCGTCGCACATCTCAGCGTCGACGCCCAACAGCATCAGCGACGAGGAGCGCATCGAGATGGGCCGACATGTGGTTACCCCAGACGCAAAGGTGCTGGTGGTCGACGATGTCTTGGCCACGGGACAGACGCTCTGCGCCGTGCTGCGGCTGCTGCGAGAAGCCGGCATCCCCGGAGAGAATATCAGTGCCGTAGCTGTAGCCGAGTTCCCTGTTCACCGCGGCCGGGAATTGCTGCACCGGCACGGCTTTGGTCGTGTCCGAGTTCAGAGCCTCTTGGTCTTTCCCGGTGTTTAACAGAGAATAGCTTGTCGGTTTTCTGACACAATGCAGCCAGCCTAGACTTTGCAGAGGTGTGATGCAGGATGCCCAGCAGACTTGTCTAATTATGTACCCTTGTGCAATACATTGCCGGAACCAATCTGACAAAGAACCCAATCCAAAGTCTACATACTCCGTAGACCCAGACGAGTCCTGGTATTTCAAGCGCCGCTTTTCGATCCTATTTTTGTTTTTGATTCCGATTCGCAATCGCAGTATCGGCGAAGCGAGGCCACTTCATGCGATGCAAGTAATATTATTGTCTCGTGATAACGTCACCACAAGGGGCTTTGCCCCGTACTAATCTCGCCTGTGACGGGAAAGAGCAGGGGACGTTCCGAGCTGTCACCTTACCCGCATTCCGTATCAATTAAAAGTACTCCGTACATAGAATGTAACTCTAACGAGGGGTCTTGATCACAAGTACTCCGTACGAGTACGAGTTATCACCGATTACGCACCTGTGGGTGGGGACTGGGCCGCTGCCTGCGCTGTTAATAGGAAGAAAGGAGGAAGTAGAACCACAGGAGGACAGCACTAAAGGACAACCATACTACGTCCTTTTCAGTAGCGAGCAGAGGGACTTCCAAAGCCATAGAAAGCTGATAGGGTCAACCGACACCGGCTCTGACCGGAGGCAAATCGCATCCTAGTTACAACACTTTTGGTGATCCGGCAGTCCGGTAAAAGAGAGATGTTCTGGGGCTTTATCTCTCCCGCAGTGGCCGTGGGGCAAAATCGTCTACGACGCCAGATGAAGTCCCAGTGGCCGGTGCGCTGGGAAGGGGAAGCAGTGGAGTGTCTTTCGGGCAAGAATACTCCGTAGATTTCAGGGGCTTGCGGATGGAGTTTGGAAGCTTCCACCGCGTGTAGCGGGGACTTGAGCCATACGATCGACACAAGGTTGTCAACAATAAAGAATGTATTTCTTCTTTCTCCGTATAAGACGAAAGATACGGAAGTGGTACATCTTACATTTAGCGTACGAGTACTCAAGCGGATTGGAGTTTGTGAGATCATAGTAATTACAACGAACCGAATTGTGGGCCCGTATCACTCTACAGGTAAAGTCATGGGGAAAAGCGCATTTACCGGCAGTGGAAATATCCCGTCTCGTGATAACTCCCGTATGTGTGGCTCAGCCATCACTACATTGAGCTTAGTACGTATGTGGCTAGGTAGTAAACTAGCTGCTGTGGGGCGTAAGCAAGTTGTAAGCTGTTGCAAGCCAAGCCTCTTGAAGTTCCCAAATCGCCCAAACCATGTTTAAAAGCTTCTCATATCTCACCTCGCAGGCGTTGGGCTGCTACGCCGTACACGTCATGACCCCTAAACTGGTTGATTGACTCTTCTGGCACGGGAGTCGGAGTAATTCAACTCGTGACGTCGGTTAGGCGTAAGATTAATTCACCAACTTACGACCATTGCCAGATTAGGGCCGAAGACTCATCAGCCGCAGTCACAAGGCCCAGAGTCATCAGCCGCAATCAAGCTAGGCCTCGTCGTATCTGCCAACCTTCTGTTTATATGTGCGCCGTACTCCGCAGTCTTGCCCAGCTTGGAAGAATTTTACTGTCGCATGTCTCTCCAATCTCACAACCACAACGCCTTACAAAATGAGCCATGAAACGTACAGCTTTTTTGCTCCTCGGCTTCACGAGCGCGACCCTCAAGCTTCCAACCACCGGTTCACGCTTACCACCGGGACCGGTAGCAGACTCATTCGCCTCCTTGCCGTCCCAGTCATGCCGCATGCTGAGAAGAGACAAGTAGACGCTCCCGTTCCGACCAGCCTGGCTAGCCACGACCTCAGCACAATCTCCCGTCTCCCGTACGAACTACACTGTCTTGTGTTCTCACACCTAGATGACGTTGCCGATATCGTCTGCTTGGGGCTCGTCAATCAATATTTTTGGCAGATCGGCCGGCAATACATGCACAAACACTACATGGGATTCTTCGGACGATGGGCGCACACAAACATCATCTGTACCTCCCAAAATCTCGACCCAAGCGAGTATCCGGACATGTTCCCCGAAGCAGAAATCAAGCGTCTTTTGGAACGTCCTAGTCACGATTATTCACAGGCCTATCACAACGCTTCTTTTCCAGAGGTGCCCTATTACCCCGCTAAACAAATGTACAAGCCAGATGGGACACAGATTATAATGTGCAGCGGTCACACAGGCGATACGGATGACGAAGATGACGGTTTCGACACCGACGAGGAACTCCCGTTTGAGTTTAGGGAATCTCTACGCTGCGGCCTCAAGAGAGATAGAGACATTTCTTTTCTGCGCTACAAAGCACAGCACCTGATTGAGAGACTGCGCGGGCGGGGCTTGGAATCAGATTGTGCATTTGTTCGCATGCAATCGGAGCTGCTCATCAGCGAAGAACTGTACTTCCCACAGGACCAGCCGTGGATCCTGCGCAACTGGACTGCCAAGCAGATTGTGCGTTCAGACGCCATTGCCCTTGCGCCGTGGCTCATCCACGGGCCTTGTACGCACGCTATTGGACTCGGCGAGGCCGTCTTGACGCGCATCTGCTGGGTCTCTGCCTCTAGGCTTGCCGTTCTGGACGATTCAAAAAAGGCCGACAAACTTGAGCGGCAACTTGCAAGGGGCGCGTGGGCAGGACACCGCTTTGATATCGTGTTGCGCGCACAACATGAACAACAGACCGGCGGCGTTGGGTGGTCTGATGTGAGCGAAGAGGTGGCAAAGGAAGATGCAGAAGTCTGGAAGGTAGTATATGGCTCTGACTGGCGGACGAAGTTACGTGACTGGCAAGCCGAGGCTCAGTTTTCTGATGATGAAAATTGGGACAGCAAAGGTGGTCCGTCTCCTGAATGCGGAAACTGTCGTTTCTACGGCTGATTGTCATAGGATATGGGATGTGGGAAAAATTATGCAATGTTACTGTAATATTATATAGAGATGGGCATGTCAGGATGCTGGCTCGGGGATTGAGAAGGAGTCACGGCGTTTTTGTGAGAAAAGGTCAATTAATGCTTGAGACGGTCAATTCGAGGACAGTAAAACCGCACTGCAGATATTGACTCATCATGGAAAGCCAACAGCTCAAGACCGTAGGCGCCGTTGATAAAAAGACCGCGATACGCAGACCCGGTCGGTGTTCTTTGACACAAACCTCGGCCGAGGAAGATAGACGTTGGAGATAAGCCTTGGCGCCTTCGTTGGTTGCGGGCGGTGCCGGACACAACGGCTGCGATACAGTGTTAGGAGATAGGCGACAGCCAACTGACCTGACAATATATTACCAGTTGCATACAGCTTTCACGCCTGCGACTTGTGAAGCCGACGGCAGCATTGCATCTGTTCCAGATCTGTGATTACTCATCACTGTCAGCATGTCAGCCAGCAAGAGCTTCACAGTCACTCCAATCGAGAAGTGCTCCAGCAGCAAGACGGACTTTGGTGTCGTCATTGCGGATCTTGACCTTAACAACATCAGCGGTTGGTACTCCTGTGAGCACGAGCAGATGTCCAGGCACTGACGGCAGCATCAATGCAGACGAGGATGTCCAGGCACTAAGCGACGCCATCTGGACACACAAGCTCGTTGTGGTAAAGGGCCAAAAGAGCCTTGCTCCGATAAAGCAATGGGATCTTGTGCGGCGCTTTGACCCGGCAGCAGAGGAGGTGCACTCGCACGGCGACATCAAGGCCTTGAACAAGCCCAACAACATGCTGTCGGTGAGAGCTCATTTCCAAGTCCGCCTCAGCTCTCTTGACACGCATTGCTGACAGCTGTCCGGCCGAGCCAGCGTGGCGGCCAGGTGTATGCGATTCCCGGCGCGGAGAACATTCGGATCGTCGGCAAGGGCTTCCTGGGTGAAGACCACTACGGCCTCAAGAACCTGACGGTGAACCGGAAGCCGCTGCACAGCTTCCATGCCGAGGAGCTAGCGCCGGACGAGTTCGACCGCGGCCACACGCGCTTCCAACGCTGGCACATTGACGCACCGCTGTACGAGCGCGATCCAGCCTGGTTCACGACGCTGCGCTGCGTGAAGCGGCCGGTGACGCAGCCAGGCCTGCCGCCGCTGACGGTGCACTGGGACGACGGGTCCGGCCAGACGATGGCGACAGAGCCAGGCCTGACGGCCTTTTTCAGCAACGTGCAGGCGTACCAGCTGATGAGCGAGGCCGAGCGCCGCATGGTCGACCATAGCTGGGTTGAATATGCACCACATCCGTACACCTGGATGTCCAACTGCAAGGGTCGGGCCAACGGACTCGGGCTGGAGACGCAGGGCCGCGAGCGTGCCCTTGCCGACCTCGACGCCTTTGACCCCGCCAAGGTCAAGACGTACCCGATGGTCTGGCTGAACCCCGTCACTGGCGAGCGTGCCTTTATGGTGCACGGCCTCGCTGCCCGTCGTCTCTTTCTGCGGTCGTCGCCCGAAGAGGAGCCGCGCGTCGTCGACGATGTCGCTGCCATCCGCGCCTTTCTGCACCCGCTGCAGGAGCGCGTGCTGCGGCCCGAGTTCATCCTCATCCCCACCGTCGAAGAGGGCGACATTCTTATGTGGGCCAACTATCAGATGTTCCACAGCGCCATCGACTACCCCGACGCCTTTGGTCCCCGCTCCATGCACCAGGCCAACATCGGCGCCAGCAAAGGCCCGCTCGGCCCCGTGCCTCTTCCCATACAAGTATCAGCTTAACCGGGCTGCTCGTGTCAGCTCGTGTCAGCTTAGTCGGCTTAGCTCGTGCGTCAACGCGCACGGATTCGTACGGACTTGTACATAGTGACGGGCTGGCAGTACGCTGTACTCCGTATATCGTAGGCCTCTGCTTGATCAATAAAGAAAGAAAAGAAAAAAACGCATTGGGCTGTGGATCGTATCCGCTCGGAGTCGACGCAACTGAGGGGGGGCTTTGTTGGACAGGCCGCAGTGGACCTCTTCTCTGGTGCTCTTTTTTTTGTGGCATTGTCTGGCGAAACCCATCGTGATCCTCGCATATTCTCCACTTTCGGTGACAGTCTCTGTTCATTCATCGTTGAAGCGTTGCTCCTTCCCGTCTTCTATTTTGTTGTCATTTTTTGTCAAAGTGCTCCTTCCTCAACATGTCCGTAGCTGCTGCGCTGGTCGTCTTGGCTGGTTTACAGAGTAGTAAGCGTGTTACAGCGTGTATTACACTAAGCCCCTGCTGGAAACGCTGCAAATCGCTTGCAAGTGTTTGCCTTCCCGTCGTCAAATCCCGTCTACACACGTGGCTGGCTTCTATGCCCGCAGACCCTGGCGTGAGAAGCAGGAGGCAGGAGCATGCCGTGGTCTCCGCTTCTGCTTGACTTGGGCGAATGCGACAGGCGTCGAGGATGGATAGCTGCCCAAGTGGCACCGCCAACAGCCTGACAGTCGCCCTGACCGCCAATTGGACCCACGTGACTAAGGATGACGTGCATAATCACGTGCGGGCGCAGACAGAAATCGCGAATGATTTCGGTTTATCGCGTCCTCCTACACCGTCCGGTGGCTCCTTTTTCAGTCCTCGTCACCGCTGTTTTGTTTGTGCTGCACTCATCTGTATTATCTGTGCAGCATCGCCAAAGCGTCTGGCCTGCTTCGTTTTGGACGTCTCGCCGCCGCGCACGCACGACGACGAATATCGATTAGGCCAACCCGCTGCAACAATAGCAACAACACAAAGACGAGAACGACGAGAACATCCCTGATACTACCACGAGCGGTGTCCACATCAACATGGATAGTAGTGCCTTTGACTACCTTCAGGGTACGATACCATGAAGCGATTTCCGGCCCCCTCCCATGTCCTAGCGGGTGACCCTCCCCGGCTGACCTCGTTTGCTCCCTTCCCCTTTCTAGGCCTCCTCCCCGATCCGGTCCTGACGCTCCTCGATGAGCATGTGGTGCGTTCCGACGCGCCGCTTCACCTGGTGACACGCGCCGTCGCCAGCCAGCTGACCGCCGCTGCCTCTGCGACCGCTGCTGCCGCCCAGCCGTACACCGCCTCCATGACGGCGCGGCTCGTCGCCGCCGTGACGCCGCTGCTAGACCGCGCCGCTCGCGCTGCCTATGATGCGCCCGATGTCGTTGTGCTGGGTGCCGTCTTCGTCCTGCTTCTCTTTGTCCTGCGTCTGCTCTCGCTGGTCCGCCGCCTGGTCGCCTGGTGGACGCGCATGCTCTTCCGTCTGCTCTTCTGGTCCGGTGTCGTCCTTGTCCTGGCCGCCATGTGGCAGCGTGGACTCGAGCAGTCAACCCAGGATGCCGCCGCGCTGACCGGCCGTCTTGTGGGCTATGGCGCCTTTGTGCGCGACGTCTGGCAGTCCGAGTACCACCGCTACCAGCAGCAGCAGGTCCAGGCCCAGGCCCAGACTCAGGCCTACCGCGTGCCGTCAGGAAGCGTTGGCGCCAGCCCCGGCAGCAGCTGGTCTCGCCAGTGAGAAATTAGAGAAAAAAAAAGGAAAGACGAAAAAAATGGGAGGATTCATGAGCACGTTTGGGGGATTTTTATGGGAGTTTTGGCGTTATGGAGAGCAAGCGAACACCGGGTGCAAGTTTTGCCACGTCTTCGATCCATCGTCATCGACAGACCTTGCCACGAGTTACGATGGAGAGCGAGTTGGCAATCATTTCAGAGACGCAACCTGGCTTATCAACGCTCGGGGAGCGCCCCACAGTCCTTTCCGTCAAGGACACGCCTACCACACATTGCCTTCTATCTTTGCACATTTGCACTTCTGCACATTTGCACACGATGCGGCCTTGGATCGTGTTCCTGTCTAGCCCAGCCGTTTCCTTGAACGCCACCGCTATGCACACACATATGTCTCTCTATCGTGAGAGAAAGGCTCTCTCACCCAAAAATTGGACTCAAAGACCACAAGTCCCAACAGCAACACTACCCCCCTTTCCCCCACCCCCACCTGGTTTGCATTTCATGCCCGAGCGCAAGCAATTTGCTGTTGCATTAGCCGATGGCCACCCTGGTAAATGAGCAGTAGGTCCGTTCGTTTGATAGTATCGAGATGGTGCCCATATGGCCCATATAGCCCATCCAGCTCTTCTTGTCGGCCTGCTGTGTTGGTATAATGAGAGTATTCTTAAAGCCTTCCACCCTGTGAATGACAGTCCCTTGTTTACACGTCGTCCTCGAACTCCTCTTCCTTCAGTTCTTTGGGCTCCTGGGCTTCGTTGAACTGGATGCAATCGTCAATGTAGCTGAGGATCGCACCGACGCTCTCTTCGCTCGAGGCTTCGAGCTTGAGGTAGGAGACCATGCTGAAGCTCTCAATCAGGTTGGCAACGGCAAGATTGAGCCGCCGAAAAGACGCGCCGCGCATGAGCTGCTCCTTGTCGTTAGGGTCGACTGAAGCGAAGACATCCGAGGCAGCGACAGGCCCAAAGGGCGTCACAGACGACGTCGCCGCCGAGTCGACAGCAGTAGAAGAGCCTGCTGTTGGCGCAGGCGTCACGTGTGCAGTAGCGGGATCGTCCTCGAGCAGACCAACGTCGGGAGTGAGGAAGCGCTTGAGGTCTTTCTTGCGGATTTGGCCTTGAACGAGGTCCATCTTGCTGAGGATGTTGAGGTGAGGAATCTCGAGCATGATCATGGCGCTCATGGCGCTGAGGGTGCCGGCAAAGAACTTGGCGCGATCGACGACAAAGGTGGCCTCGAGGAGGTAGGCGGCGCACAGACGGATGTCGAGGGCACCGGCGCGCGTCAGGAAGCGGACGAGCGCTGGCAGGATGGGCACATGGGTGTACAGTTCGATTTGGCCGGGCATGTCGAAGATGATGAGGTAGTCCTCGGTTAGTGAGTCGAGGGCCTCAGTCAAGAAATCGAGGTTCTCCATCAGAAACTCGAAGCAGTAGATCAGCCCGCCGTTCGGACCGAGACTCATCTCCTCCATCACATCTTCGAGCGAGATAAGTTCGCGGATGTCGAGGTCGGGTGTGTGCTCAAAGGTCTCGGCTGCCGGGTCAAGGTTGACGTAGAACGCCGACCGTCGGTTGAGCTGCAGGTGGGTAATGAGCGCTCCGCAGAACGTGGACTGGAGGTTAGCGGGTTAGTGCAAGGGGCCAAACGCGCAGCGTCCACAATGCGATCAGCTCCTCTGGCTGTGAAAAAGGCTGTCTACAAGCCAGAGCCTCAGCAGCTTCACTCACCTTGCCAGCGCCCGCAGGTCCCATCACCATAACGCCAAACTTGCTCATTATGTGTGACTGTGCTCTATACTCTTGGATTATTTGTATTATGATGTCAGGAGGCGCGTGTGGTGGGCTGCAAGTAGTTTACAATGTGACCGTGGCATGCATCGGCAAATGGGACCTGACTTTTTTTTCTGCCCTCCATCACCAACTTCGCAGCCTTCTGACGTGAGTGCTCCACAGTGGGGTCCAGTCGGCGGGAATCTTTTGCTTAAATAAGATTTCAAGGTGGGGCCTGGAAGCAACACATCTCAGCTTCAATATGCCCGAAGTCGCCGAATCCAGCATGCGCCGTAGAATTGTGTGTGCATGAAAAAAATTAGCGGAGGCCGGTAACCTTTAGTGCTTGTTGCCCAGGCAGGCATGAAAGTCATATCTGTTTTATTTTGTCTAGATTGAGGATTTCTTGTTGAACAAATATATGGCGGTCTAGGTTATTCTTTTCCATTTTAAGTAGGTATTTGAGTTTAATGAATGTAGTCCGTGAACTCGTTCATTACCAGTCTCAAGAGCAGGCCTATCCATCAATACCAATCGACCTGACTGTACGGAGTACAGAGTAGCATTTCCAAGGTAGATCTCTACTCCGTAGAGTTCCAAGAACACTAAATGAACGGTCTCGATGCAATCGCACTTCCTTAGGTCCCGACTTTTACCATTATCCTCATTCGCTAGTAGTAGTGAAGAAATATTGGCGATCCTCAAAGTCCGGTACAGACAGTCATCTTCAAACATTCTCTGTTACGCAAGAGCCCACCTGTATGTCATGCTACGCAATACGAAAATTCGCCTGCAGCAGTGGATGCAGTGCCAATAATAGTGGAATCCGAGGCGGCACAAGAGGGCCAAACCGATGTCAGTACTCCGTACTCCGTAGGCAAGGCCGGTTGCTCTGTTCTGCTAGCGCGGATTTGCGTTTCCTACTATGTGCGGAGTACTCCGTACTCCATAGCAAACGTCAAAATCTAGCTGCTTCAAAACACTCAAACGGCATCTGTAAATAGTAAGGTATAGTGTAATAGCCACCTGATTTTGAAGTTAGACAGTTCATGCAAGCGCATTGACTCAGGTTTGATGTGCGATCATAAGAAGCAAAGAAAACAATACGCGTTTCCTTGACACATTGAATACTCCGTAGGAGTGGTTCCTCGGCATCCAGCCATTGCTGGCTGCATGCAATTTCCTCAAAGTGCTGAAACGGCGTTAAAAAAGAAAGATAACCAGGCCAGTAGGACGTACTCGTACATGTGCGAGAGCGGGTGCGCACTGTGCTCATATGAAAATTTGTGGCCTAAGCACGGGAATTTGAAATATTTATACGATGTATTTTATATTACGAATCCTGCATTGCCGTACTCCGTATAACAACAACCCGTTTATAAGGTAATACGATCGCTCCGTATTCGTAGAACACAAAGTTGAGCTCATGCGAAATTCGGAGCGACAACACTATCATGCCCAAGGCGTCCGCTACCAGGAAGCCAACGAGCGGCAAGGTTGCACTCGTGGGAGGGCTTGATTAATACGGGTGACCCAGGGACTTAAATACTCCGTAGCGATCAGTGTTTAATGAAATACCGAGAGCCACTACGGAGTACACTAGTGGCTAACAGAGGCCCTCCGTAGATTAGCATGTTATGGACAGGGGACAGGGAATATAGTTTCGATAGTGATTTCTGGGCGGTACGGAAACAAAGACAAAACTCACATACTATGTACTCCATGTGTTCCGCATAAATGGCCGGGAAACACATTAAATGACGAGTCCATCAAGTGGATGAACGGCGACAGTTCTTACTAGGATGATGATGATCTTATAAGCTATTGCCTGGCGATACGGAGTATTTGTAGAAAAATACGAAATCTAGACGCGATTCACTACCGAATTTAGATTAGATGCGTCTGCAGGTACGAAGTCCCCTGAAACCAAATTTACTCCGACCTACGCAGTACGGAGAAATCGTACGCAAGAATGGCCTGGGAGCCATGTGCCGATTTCTATTTTATTCGAGATCGCGAGCGGAGGAAATACTCTGGGCCGTTGCCGTGTTAATTTTATATCAAAATTTATGCATATAAGCACTATCATGCCTCTTTGACTGTGCCCTTATTACAACATCCGGTGGTAATCCTGCACCATGGAAAAGTACTCCGTAATTTACAGGCGTCAAACCCAAATGATCGCTGTTTCATTTCGCCCATTGTGGCCTGGGAAGGTGCCACGGGTTGCTGGGTACAATGAAGCGTTGTTACCTTGGGTGCGACAAGCAGCAAAATGGTCTTGTTCTGGCTCCTGCCATTTTTCTTGATACTGTCGCACTGGGAGGCAGCGGGTGGATCGAGACTGCAGGCGCCCCTTTCCCCTTTTACACCGGAGTATGTTACTGTTTGTCCAGTCCCGGTCCAAAACGGGCTGTCCTTTGGGTCACCCCTGCCGCAATCGCAGCCACACGATTATCAATTTAACTAGCCCCGACAGCACATGCGCTTCCTTGCATTCCCTTGCATGTTGCAACGACATTCCCCAAGCCAAGACAGAGACTCGTTCTCATCGAGGACCAGCCTGATCAAAGACAAGTGAGGCTATACCTGATTGGCCCGTTTCAGTGGAACCGCTGCCCGCTAAACAGACCAGGTTGCGAAGCTCAACTAAGAAGGCGCCGGGGGGAGGTTTAGAAGGGTAAAAAAAGGCGGGAGCCAAGAGGGAAAGAGCGCTGTGCCGAAGTGGAAAGCGGAACGCGCAATCAGAGAATCTGAAGGCGAAAAAACGAAACAATCAGCCACTTCCGCGACTTCTCACCGTTCAGCGCCTTCACTTCTTTCACCGATCTTTTCGCGCCCCACGGACGAGGACAGCTCAGATGAACAAGACGGACCGGACTACGGCGCATTAAAAGTCAAAAGGCGAAGTGCCGCCGGACATCAGGACGAAGGAGGACGCCGGACAACCAAGAACACAGATAAGCACCATAACTACGAGCAAAGTTACCAGAACTACAAACACCCGACATTGAGGTTGATCTGCAACTTCCGCTGCTACCTGGCCACTTGGATCCCTGTATTGGCGGAGCTCAAACCGAACGAGACCTCTCGACCCTCTTCTCTATCCGCGACCACCTCGCATGTCCAGCCGAAAGTCCATTCGCACACCTACCTCCTCGATGCCACTCGCGACCTGCAAACGGATGCCGAGGCGATCCTGAACCTTCAGTCTCTAAATCATCACACCTGTCGATCGGCGCAGCTGCTGCATCGTGTGATCAATCGCCGTTTCTTACCCGCCTCTCGGCGTGCAGGAGGGCAACTCAACGGAAACGACCGCTTAGAAAGCAGGTTCTGTGGCTGTAACATCCTCGCACTGCCCTCGCCCTTTGCACCTTGAGATTGTCCGTCACGAACACTCCTTGTCTCGTATCTGCCCCGTTCCACGACAGAACCGCCCCTGGGGCCCCATTCACCCACTTCGAAGGGCCTGCGTCGCTTTTCCCCTATCCTTTCGTGCTTTCTGGTTACCACCCTTTTTAAAGGCACGGCTCATCCTTGCGGCGGGAGCAGGTCCAGAACAAACGAAAACGAGACGCATCTGGGAACGCGACAAACGGCTATCAAAGAAAATCATCGTTGCGGAACAGTACAAAAAGAGAGGCCTGTTGAGCAAGAGCGAGGTGGAGCGCTCCTCACCCTCCTACCCTCTCTTTCTCCCGACAGCCGTACCTCTCGCCCTTTAGATTTCCTTCCTCCAATTGCCGCCAAAATGGTAACAATGGAGTCCCGCATGGGATCCCTCCCGCAGCCGTACACGTCACTACCCGCCTCGCCGACGTTGACGAATCCCGATATGATTCTGCCAGATTACCCTGACTACGATCGTTCGGCATCGCCTAATCTTGATGGGGACAGGCACTCCCAGCTGATGTGGAAGAACTCGCACAATTCTTCCAACTCCGATCTTCAGCAGCTCTTTTCTGGCGTCCACGCTTTTACCAACGCACCCACTACTCCCACTACTCCCATCATCTATGGAAATGGCACAATGCTCTCGGATATTGGCGAGGTCACAGAGGTTGAAAGCACTCCAGGCAAACCGTCTCCCAACTCGATTCGACGTAGAGGTGGTGGCGCAATGGTCGCCTCGCCGTCGTCCTCTCGGTCGGCGTCGCCCTCCCCATTGCCTCAGCACATCCGTCGCCAATTCGATAGAGAGGGTTCTACCGAAACACCCCGCGCATCTTCGCCGACTGCCGGTTTCGACGACGCGGGCGACAGCAGCACAGGCACGGTCCACAATGTGGGCGGCGGCGTTGGTGGCGTCAAGCAACGTGCCAGACTGCAACAGCAGAAACTACAACAGCAGCAGCAATCGACCCAGGATTGCATCCGTCGCGACTCCATAGATAGCAACAGCACAATCACCACACAAGACCAGGCTGGGCTGTTTGCTGATTTCGACGATGCCATCAGCGTCGATGACAGCGTCTTCCAGGGCGATGATGAAGAGAGTGTGGCGGAATTCTATACCGACGAGTCATTCTCGCCCCGGGAAGTGCATGGCGTTGCCAGCATTACTCCGTCGTCGCTGCTTGCAGTTCCCAGCCAAAGCAGTGGTCCAGGCAGCACCCGCACGAGCGATGAAGACGACCGTCGCCACTCCACCGCATCACTCAGTCGGCGTGCCGAAGAGATCCTTGCCAATGCGAAGCGGCGACTGACGGTATGTTTCCGCTCAAATGTTGGAGAAACTGCTATAAACTGACTCGGTCCCAGACTATGGAAGACAATCTGACTCGCGCTCGGAGCACCTTGCACGCCACGGCGCCTTCTTTGGGCTCAGTTCCGTCTGATGGTTCTACACCCTCCCCGAGAACCCCAGAGCGTTCCGCTACCGCCTTTGCCGATAACCGCCCATACGATGCCACCTACATATCCAGACATGCCCGCTTGGGCAGTGAAGGATACACACCATTTGACAATAGCAATGCACAAAACGCCCTTATTCAAAAAAGATCTGCGAGCGCTCTCGGTGCTGCCGGTGGGTACCGCCCACCCAGGTCCGGTGCCGCTCAAAGTATCGCGCAGCTGCGAGACAGCCTCGACAACGACTACGCCCGGGAAGGCTACGTCAAGGCGAAGGAAACGCCATTAGAACCGCTTGGTGAATATGAGGATATCGAGGATGCCGGCAACCAGCCCCAACAGAGCCGAAATAGCGCGCAGCTCGAATCGTTCCTCAGCCCCACGTTTGGCACGTTTAATGGCAGCGGCAGCAAAGGGTTGACGCGGTCTTCGTCCGTCACGCAGATGCGTGACCTCAAGCACCAGATGAAAGACCTTAGGGGTAAAATTTCATCACTGCGTGAGCAAGCACGAGTCGATAGCATGAAGCGGAGGAGCTTACAGAGCTTACGGAACCCTAGTCCGTTTACATATGCTCGAATAGATCAATGGTATGCGGATGCACAACCGAATCAGGAATCCGTCTCAGAAGAGAATGGCAGTTCCGAGCATCCTACCCGGGATGGTTATGTGTCCAATGGGAACGAAGATGGTGGAATGTACCGAGACACTGTCACGCCAACCGCCCAAATATATGGTGATACGGCTGTGGCTGAGACAACTACCAGCCACTCGGGCAGCGCAAGAAGCAATAAAGACACGGGCGATGAGATAGTCGCCGGTGCATACAGTGATGCAGACGACCACACGACGAAGCTCAGCCGCCCGCACACCCCAAAACACCACGCCACGAATTTGCCCCAGATGGAAGACACTACTGGGGACTCTCTGGAGAGCGACGCTTTTGTTGACGCTCACGACGCTGATGACATGCGAACCGAGGATGGTTGGGACGAAGACGACGTGGCAACACCTACGGCTAAAACTGACGAAAACAGCCGTCTCCGAGGACGGCGAACGCCGGACGACGATGAGGTATCAGTAGCAGAATCCCAGGATGTCGGGTACGAGAGTGAAGGCGGCGAATCGCTGTACCATGACACAGTCCAGCACCAAATCTCGCACGAGGACCGGGAGGATGCTTTTGACTACGAGCACTTCATCCTGCACAGCGCCCTCGGCACCATCAGCCAGCAAAGGCTGAATCGTAGCTCGCGCGGCAATAGCTTTAGCTCGGAAGACTCGGTCGAAACCACACGCGGCCCAGTCGTCGCGACTACGGATAATTTTTATTCGAATCTCAACCGACGAGGCAGCATGAGCTCATTCGAGTCGTTCGCCACGGCTACTGAAGGGCGATCGAGCCGTGCGAAGCAGGAGCTCTACGACGATGAAACTGAAGAGTCTTCTGATGCCGAGTCTCAGTATTACGAAGGAGAAGGAGGAAGGGAAGGGAAATGGGCTGTGCTGACGGCAAAGCCTTCGATCTCAGACTTTCCTGTTGTTCCTTCTTCCACCGCAGCGGCCGCCGCATTCAGGGTCCCTGTTATTGCCGAGAGGAAAAGTGCGGAAGAGCCGCGACAGATGCAGCGGCCTGTCGTGCCGTCGCAGCCTGCCACGGGGCAGCGGCCGTCCAGCAGTGCGGCTAAAGCTGGACACCGGCCGTCGGTGTCATCGTTTGAGTCGACGGGAACGACGCGCAGCTTTCCACTAGTGGGCCAGGGGCGACTGATTGGCAGCAGCGGAAGCAGTGGCAGCAATGGCAGCAATGGCAGCAATAGCAGATCGGCCTCGGCAGCTGGCGATGTCCGGGGTGCGACCCCGTCAAGTCGCACATCGTCAGACAACGAAGAGCTCAAGAGTCTATCCAGAACGATTCTCAACGAAACGGCAAGCATTTACGAGCAGGCAACGCTGGTAATGCCTCGCCACAGGCGACCGAGGAGTCTTGACAGTCAAACGAGTGAGTCGAACACGGAGCTGCGGGACCGCGCGAGCAACAACAACAGCAGAAGTGGCGCTGTGAGTCAGATGGACCAATCTGAAGCGCTAAACGCGCTGGACAAGGAGGACCAGTACATGGTACAGCGGCTGGTGGGTAGCTTGGGCCAGTGTGTCCTGGGGCTGACCGAACACGGCCGCGCCAGCGTGGAAAGCCGGATATGTCGACGCCGAATTGAAGCGGCACGTCGCATTCTTGAGGGACTAGACCCCGTGTAGCCAGATCGCACGACGGGAGTTAGTTTGGGTTTATTTCTTACAAACTCTTAATCTCCTTTTGGATAAAAGGCCAACGTTTTTTGTTAGTGATGGGACGGCTTGCAAGGAGTTGCAATATACGGATTGAATACCTTTCTACTTTTCATTTACTTCCTTTCTCATTTCCTTCTTCTCTTCTTCTCTTGTCTTTTTATCGTTTGTACTTCTCTCTTCCTTTCTCTGTTTCCTACTTTTACCCTCGTTTCCTTGGATCTGGAACAGGACATTACGAGTGCCTTTTTCTCATGCTTGACGAAACTCACGACACGAAGGGGACGACGTGCAGCATGACAGAATCCAGCTCTTCGTCTCTGTCATACTGTTTCTCGCCCAGGATTCTGGAGACATTTTTACAGCTTCGATACCCTGCCTTTTTTTGTTATTTTTCATTTTGGGATATGATATGTATTATAGTGTTCAGTGCAAAAGTTGTCTTGCTATTGCACAACTTGTGCTTTAAGTTTTATCTGTTCGACAATTGCAACACGGAGCAACCTCACTCCTTATTCTATTTATGTGCAATAGCAGATGGCCAATCATGACTTTGAAGACCTGGGTGAGTAAAAAGAAAACCCTTGGAAACTTTTACCGTGGTAAGCAAGGCTATATCCAACCTTTCAGCGACGATGGCGTCTGCCCCTGCCAACCGGAGATTCATGCCGCTCATATCAGATCTCCACCGTTGACTGCATTGCCTGACACATTTAGTATACCAACCGCCTGTAAGCCAGACCTGGTAACCTCGATCACCAGCTCTCGGGGCATTCTGTGAGAGATTGCCCTTATATTTCTACGGTAAAAACGAATGCTCATAACAGGGGATGGCATGCACCTAGAACAGAGACGTGCGCCTGTCCTGATATGACTTGTCATACTGACTGATTGGGGAGACGTCACAGGCAAAAGGCAGATTCGACAGCTATATAATAAACGATAAAGACTTACAACAGCCTGTACGGCCAACTCTAATAAATTCGTATACAGACGAGCGTTCCCGCCTCCCGAAGCGATGTGATAAAATGCGAAGATGCAGTGGACAAACAAGAGTGGTAAAAACAGTGGCTGGAGACAAAGGACAGACAACGGAAGAACAGTACGAGGCCACACGAGGCCACAGAAAGACAACAAGCGGCAAGGCTGGCCAGCAAACCGGACGGACGCAGACCTGCTACTTGGTCTCAAAGCTGTACTTGAGCCAGCCGCCGAGAGCCTTGAGACTCTCCCAACGGACGGTCTCGTCGGCCTCGCCCATGAGCTCCATGATGCGGGTCTTGAGCCCGAGCTTCTCGAGGGTGCTGCGCCTCTCAGGGACCTCGCGGACGAGGGCGCCAATGTCGTTGCAGGCAATGGCCAGCACGGCCTTGTCGCCGTCCCAAGGCTTGGCCATGATAGCGGCCAGCTTGCGGGGGATGGCGCCGTTGTCGGCATCGAAGATCCGGCGGGCATTCTCGGCCCAGAAGACGGTGCTGCGGTGCGGCGGCGACCAGCGCAGATGGCCCGTGTTCACCTCGGCCACATACTCGTCAAAGGTCGTCTTGGTGGCGGCATACTCGTCCAGCAGCTCGCGCAGCTGCTGCAGGTCCTCCTGCAGGTCCGTGTCCGTGTGCTGTCGTCCGGCCACGTTCTGCAGCTGGGCCGGCAGCCGCGCCAGCATCGCCGTCGGCAACAGCGACGCCCGGTTTTCTGACAACAGGCTCAGCAGCGTTGATACCAGCAGCCGCGTCGTCTTCTCCTTGGGCGACACCCGCAGCAGCTGCGTGTACAGCAGCACAATGTCGTACTCGCTGAAGTGGGGGTGACGCGTTAGCATGCCGGCGATGAGAGAGGAGAAAGAACAGAGCTCACTCGTTCAGATCATCACCCACGACAGCCGCATCAAACGACAGCTGCCACAAGACCAATAACACATGATACAGCAGCTGCAGTCCGACACCACTGCCAATGGCGCCATCCAGCAGCGGGCCGCCGCGTCCAAGGGCAGAACTGGCGCCGTTGCGATGGCTTTGACCATTTCCAACGCCGTTGCCGTTGCCATTGCCATTACTGGTCGTTCCGCTCCACAGGCTGGCCGACACGGCCTCGCCGCTGGCGCCGCTGACGCCGACAGCCGTGCGCAGAATGGCGATCAGCGGCGCGACGGTTTCGCTTCGCTGAGCCCAGAATTGCTGCCGCGTCTCGCGGCTGTACAGCAGGGACGAGAACTCCTTGACGCCAATGTCCTGCAGGCCGGCGTTGCTATTGACGAGAGCCAGCGACGAGAGGTAGCTCAGCAGGCTGGGAAGAACGCGCTGCACTGTGGCTGGCGAGGCATCTTGTGCTGACGATAACAAGGCTGTCAGCACCGTCGAAGCCAGCAACGCAATAGAGTCTTCGGCCTGCTTCGCGTGTGCCAGCAGTGGCAGAAGGTGGCGGTAAGGTTCGGTGTCCTTGAGGATCGCCTTGGACAGAGAGGGGATGCCTTTGGCTCATGTTAGGACGTCACAGATAGAGAGCGAGCGAGAGAGAGAAGGCCTACTCTCTAGCAAGTCGCCTTGTAGGACCAGCATGTACTGCACGACTCTGTCGTTATTGACCGCCGACTCCAAGACGCTCGGCTTGCCCGTACCGCCGTTGAAGAGTATCCGGTAGCCGTCTAGGTTAGCCTCGACGACTTGCTTGCGGACGTCCTTCTTGTCCTTGTCGATGGCCTGGATCAGAGTGAGCTGCCAGTCCAGTACGTTGCTGGCCCGCACGGCTCCATCCCATGCAATTACCCACATGCGGGTGTTGCTCTGCACGGACGCCAGGCATGTGGGCTGGTCAAACGACATGGCTGGCGGGAGTAAGGTGAGCTGGGCGAAGGACGTTGTCGAGACGCAGAGAGAAATGGGCGATCGCACAGGCTGATTGAGATTGGGATTCGGCAAAGCGGAGAGAACAGCCGGATCTCCCGGGCGAGCTGCTTCCAGGACGAGATGTTGGGCGCTTTGTCGTGATGGGCAGACAGGCGGCAGCACGCAATGGGCAGAGATGGCGGACAGACGTCTTTGATGAAATCGAATGGAGGTTGAAAGAAGGGCCTAAAGCTTCACCAATGGACGGCCCCCGCAAAGCTCCAAGCTTGGGCCACAAAAATGCCGCGTTGCACTGCCACTTGAGGCTGGGCTTGCGTTATCCTATCTATCAGCTGACAAGTCATGTGCCGAATGTTCGGACTATTTCACGATCCCTCTTACGAAATACTCCGTACTCCGTACAACAACGTAAAATCGATATCTCGTCACCGACAGCTGGGCGGGGCACACCAAGCCGGACTCCGCTACTTGGCTGCCCATCTGCACGATGCTATTGGCCACATCTGGCTGCACGCCGTTGCAGCGAGTGGGTGACGGCCGGCTCGAGGGGCAGCTCTGCTGTGCCTTTAAGGGGGGGAACTGCTAAATGGAAAAAGAAGCAGCAGGCGGCAGCAAGCAGGGAGACAGCACCTGCCAGATGGATTATGCCATGTATGTACGATAGGATGGAGATGCAGCCGACCGGGCGGCTGTTGGCGATCGACGAAGGGGCTTAAAACAAGGTTTTCCATCAGTCTGATGCTGACGCGACATTCCGACGCTGCATTTGGGCAATCGCCGCGTTCTGCGCCTTTTCAGCGGGACGGCGGAAAATGGGTGGTTGGGCAGCAGCAGAAAAAAAAGAAAACGAGAGGCTGGCAGGGGAAATGAAGGCTCGCTGCGAGGCCAGAGACCCATAAAATAGCCTGCAGGCCCCTGCCAGTTCCGCCGGCCAGCCCACTGCACCGTCGTCCAGCTCGTGTTCCCCAGCCATCGGATTTCCCTGCTTTTTGCGCCATGCCGCCCTCGCCTTTTTAAACTGGCCGTGGCGGCCTGCAAGAGTGTCACACGCATTCCAGACCTTTTCCGTCCTTACCTCTGCCCTTTCTACCTGTGGTGTGCCGTGGTACGACCTCTTTTCGCTCTCTTTCTCTCAGCATTCCTGTCTGTTGGAAGCGCTCTATCAACTAGCCTTACGATCGACTTCAGATCACCAATCCCGGCTATCAAAGCAAACGACATCACCTCAACTGAAGGATCCGAACATTGGGAAGCACGTCATCCTGACACAAGACAGCTCCCGCATTCCTCACCTGTGTTGGCTGAGGGCTAGCTCACGCAAAACGGAAAACCGGACTCTTATCTCCAAACCCCCACCATTGGCCTCGCCTCGCATTCCAGGACCCGGGGTCTCCCAACATGGCGCGCACGTTTCTTGCCGGCGCGCTTCTCCTGCTGCAGGCTGCAACCCCGGCCTCGGCGAAGCCGTATCCCAAGGATGACCTGCACGACCTGGCCGGTATTGGCTACCTGATGCCGCGTGAGTGCGCCAACTACTGCGGCTACGATAATCAGTACTGCTGCGGGTCCAGCCAGAAGTGCTACACGGCCAACGGCATTGCCGGCTGCGAGAACACGGAGGTCGGCGGCGGCTTTAACTTTTACACCACCACCTGGACGCTGACCGAGACCTTTACGAGCACGTACAGCTCTTATTATGCGGCCACGACGGGGACCGTTGCCGACTGCGTGCCCGAAGCTGGCAGCGGTGAGATTGCTTGCGGCAGCATCTGCTGTGCCAGCTGGCAGTACTGCGGATACAAGGGCCAGTGCCTGTCCAACACCGGCCTCGCCACCCCGGCAACCACAGCGGCCTACACCACCGTGCTGACCACGTACACGACGAGCGGTCGCGTTGTGACCACCGGCTTCAGCGCTCCGTATCGCGTTACCTCGGGCACGGCTACGGCCACTGGGACTGCCATTAGTGCCACGGCCACCGGCGGCATCACCGTCACGGGCACCGCCCATCTGTCGGGTGGCGCTATTGCCGGTATCGTCATCGGTTCTCTGGCCGGTGTCGCCCTGCTGCTAGCCATCTGCGCCTGCGTGCTTATCCGCGGCCTCTGGAACAGCGTGCTGGCTCTGCTCGGACTCGGTGGTGCTGCCAGTCGTCGCCGTCGCGGCGAGGAGGAAGTCGTCGTCATCGAGGAGGAGCACTACCACAGCGGCCGCCGCACTGGCCAGCAGGCCGGCTGGTTTGGTCGCCGTCGACCAGCTGCTGATGGTGGCGCTGATTACGTCAGCGAGAAGCCAAAGAAGAGCGGCGGCAGGTGGCTCGGCTGTGCTGCCGCCTTCACCGCCCTCATGCTGATGCTCGGCCTTCGCCGCCACGAGAAGAACAAGGACAGCCGGTCGTCGGCCCCCTCGCGCAGTGACATCAGCAGCGGTTACTACAGCGGCACTTACACCGCATCTAGCGCACAGAGTGAGTGATCTCCCCGGCAACAAGGCACGTGACACTTGACAGCATATGCTAACCCAACCCCAGGCAGCAGAGATTCTCGTCGCTCAAGAGACTCACGGCGCTCAAGGCACACCCGTGGCAGCTACCGCACGAATGTTACGCGTGTGTCGCCCTCGTCGCGGCCCTCACGGCAGTCCCGTGCTCCGTCGCGGCGCCGATGATTATGTTCACGCACTTCCAATTTTGAGATCACGTGCTTGACGATCACTTCCGTCTTGGATTTGATTTCTGTTTTATTTGACTGTTTTGTATTTACGACTGCATTGCGTTGGCGTTGGTGGCACCATTTTGTGATTGGCATGCGAAATAATCGAGCATGAGAGACGAGTCGGAGGGCGAGAAAGGACGAGAAAGGAAGGAAAACGATAACCATGAGGACGCCAAGGAGAGATGAGCACAAGCAACAGTGAACAGAGGCATGAGACAGCATGAACCGAAACGATAGCCAAGACGTTTGCTAGTTAGACGATACCAAAGAACTGGAGGCATTGCATAATGAAAGTTGATCACCGCTGAAAGGCCCATGCAAATTGATTTTGTGTTTCTCTTTTCCCTCTTTTCTTTCCTCTGGTTTTCTGTTCATTTACGTACAGCGAAAGACCGCCCGTGGACCACTCCGTCAAAGAAAGAAGAGCAGGGACAAAAAAAGAAAAAGGCGGAAAAAAATATATGCTATCTTCTCCTCGAAGACCGGATCCCAAGAACGCACCCCGTGAACCCCCGGTTTTGGCTGAAAGAGTTTGCAAAGACGTCCCTCCAGTGTACTTTAGTAATTGATTTTCTGATTTATCCTTAATTGACGCCCCTCCCTACTCCTCCACGATGTTGCCCTTCTCAGAGACGTACAGGCCGTCCAAGAACTGCGTTTGTTAGAGGACAGTCCAGGTATGAAGTGCCAAGGCAAGCAAGGAAAGAACTGACCTTCCGGATATCCTTGTTCCGGACCTTGCAGATCTGCTGGATGTCTGCCGCGCTCTGGGACACAGCCTCGAGCGAGTTGCCCGACAGGACCAGCTCGTCCTTCTGGTTAGACGAGACGCTGGCCTCGACGCCGCTCTGCATCACCACTCTCCGCACAATCTTCTCGCCGATAAAGTTCCGGATCTCAACCTCAAACAGGCCGGTCTCGCTGTTCTTGTCCAGGTTGACGTTGATGGGGAAATGCGCATACACGTAGCGCATCTTGTACTTGAAGCCCTTGGTCACGCCGATGATCAGGTTGTTGATCAGCGTCCGGACCGTCCGCAGAGCGGCGACGTTCTTCCGCGCGCCGTGGTGGATCTCAATCTTGATGGTGCCCGGCTTGACCTGCGAGAAGCTGACCGCGATGTGGCTCAGGTTCTTGGTAAGCTTTCCTGCAGGAGGTGAACAAAGTCCGCGTTAGCTCCTTTCCATAACCCAGAGCTCCATCGAGAAGAGCACATCATTGCTCTCTCGTCGTCCATTTCCTCTTCCACTCGCTCACTCTCCATCTCCCGGTGCCATCTCGGAATGGATTCGTACCTCTGGGGCCCTCAACGGTCACATGTCTCGCCTTGATGTGGACCTTGACTGTTGGCAGACAAAAGAAAATCGTCAGCATTTCGGTTCCGACAGCAGAAGAACATTCCGTTGTTCGATTCTCGGTGTCGCCGCCACCCCTACATCCTCCCTCTGCCGAATCGCTCGTCCGAGTTGTTTGCCTGTGTGCTACAGACTTGCGACGGATTCGACGACGGCAGAGGGCGGACGAGAGTTCTGGCGGGAGACGGGGAGAGGGTCCAAGTCGTACCTCCCTCTGGGACTTCCAGAAGCTCTTCTGAGTGGATGTACTTCATCTTGATCGAGGTTCGAGGGGCGTGGCCGTGAAAATGGGTTGCCGCTGAGGGTGTCGTGAGGATTGGTGAGAAGAAGATGTGTGCACAATCGCCAGTGGACTTTTTTTTCCCTCCCACTCTTTGGCCGAATTCAAAAATATGGTGTGCAGAAAAAAATAAAACCCGCCCCACCAGCTCCGAGCCCAAGCACTAGGGTTGGCAGGTACACGTGACCCTAACTCTTAGCGCAGGTCCATCAGCTCGGAAAAGCGGTCAGCACAGGCGATGGGCATTCTGCCGAGTCAGCTGCTGTGTCATGTGCTTTTTTTCCCTAGCGCCATGCCGGCGAGTCCACGGAGGCAACGGCCATTGAAGCCAAGGATGTAAGGAGGATTGATGCATCACGACCGATAAACTCGACACGCCCCAAACCGACAGCGAAAGAGTTTGGAGCCGAGCTGCAGCTTTCTTCCGGCAAGACCGAGACAACTCTGGGAGAATCAGCTAGCGAGACGCAGAGCTTCCAGCGACGGCTTTCCTCTCTTCTGCTTCCTTTGCTTGCCAACAGCATCTGCAGCTGATCGGAACACACAGCGTGTCGTCCGACCCGACCAGGCACGCTTCATCCTCCGAATCTGCCAGAGAAGCTAGCCATTTGTACCTGCAGCAGTCGCGACTGCCACGCCGTCCACAATGTCGTACTTTTTCTCCACGCCGGTGGACATTGACATTGTGCTCGCGAACAACGATGAGCGGTCGATGGTGGACATCAAGCTGGACAAGAACCGGCGCGAGAAGGCGCCGCTCTTCATGGACGGCGAGTCGGTCAAGGGCGCCGTGACAGTGCGGCCCAAGGATGGCAAGCGCCTGGAGCACACGGGCATCAAAGTGCAGTTCATCGGCACGATTGGTAGGTCTTGTTTTCCTTTCTTTTGGCCGTCTCCCATCTGACCGCCAGAAATGTTCTTTGACCGCGGAAACCACTACGAGTTCCTCTCGCTCGTGCAGGAGCTGGCCGCACCCGGCGAGCTGCAGCACCCGCAGACGTTCGACTTCAACTTCAAGAACGTGGAGAAGCAGTACGAGTCGTACAACGGGATCAACGTCAAGCTGCGCTACTTTGTGCGCGTGACGGTGTCGCGGCGCATGGCCGACGTCATCCGCGAAAAGGACCTCTGGGTGTACAGCTACCGCATCCCGCCCGAGATGAACACGCCGATCAAGATGGACGTCGGTATCGAGGACTGCCTGCACATTGAGTTTGAGTACAGCAAGAGCAAGTACCACCTTAAGGACGTCATCGTCGGCCGCATCTACTTTTTGCTCGTTCGCCTCAAGATCAAGCACATGGAGCTGTCCATCATCCGCCGTGAGACCACCGGCGTGGCGCCCAACCAGTACAACGAGAGCGAAACGCTCGTCCGCTTTGAGGTATGTCGTCTTTTTTTCTTCTATTTTTTTCTGCTTTTTCCTGTTTTTCTTTCATTGCTCTTTCTTCTTTCTTCTGACACCCCCAGATCATGGACGGCTCCCCGTCCCGCGGCGAGACCATTCCCATTCGCCTGTTTCTCGGCGGCTTCGACCTGACGCCGACCTTCCGGGACGTCAACAAGAAGTTCTCCACTCGGTATTATCTCAGCCTGGTACTGATCGATGAAGGTAAGTCACCTTTCCCCCTCCCCCTTCCCCCTTCCTCTTGTACTAATTAGACAGACGCCCGGAGATACTTTAAACAGTCGGAAATCATCCTCTACCGGCAAGCACCCGAACTCGCCAACGGCGAACACGCAATACCGGTCCCACCACCGGATAACCGGATTCAGGCCGTGCCCGCATAAGCCTGATTTCGGGTCCGAATGTTGTCGTCCAATTTGCACCGCCCCCCATTGTTCTTTTCCGTCTTTTTTCTCGCCTCTACCCTGTAATTACGTCGGCCGGAAGCATACTCCTCTTTATCCCGCTCTTCCTCATCAATCGTGTATATAATCCAAGGAGAAGCCACAAATTCCCCCCTGTTAAGATGTCATGACAGCCGAGACAGGAAAATCAAACGAGTCAATGTGAGCAGAGTAAGAGAAAAAGTGTCCCGTCCCTATTCCTATATCCTTAGGTAAGATACAATCGAGCTGCCAGCGAACCAAACGCCCAAGATAAACCACGTCTCCGCCGTCGTCCCCTCTTTTCGCCGTCCTCGCTCTCTTCAATCGTCGGCCATGCTCACGTCCTCGTCGTCGCCAAACTCAAACTGGTTGTTCTGGATCGCAGCAATTCGATCGAGCTCGTCCTGGTACTGTTTCCGGATGTCGGCCAGTGTCACCACCTTGCGCCACGGCTGTCTCTTTGCTGCTGCCGCCTTCTTGAGCAGCTCAGCCATGGCGTCACTGCCCGAAGACACTGCTGTCCCCTTGTGCTTGGTCCCGTTGGTTTTGATAGGTGGAGTCGCGGTTGTCGTTGTCGTCGTATCTGCTGCTGCTGCTGCGAGTCCGTCCTTGTCGTCTCCATCGACTTCCACAGTGGCCCGAACACTGCTCGAATCATCTGCGTCTTCGCCATTACCTCCTATGTCCACGCTGTCACCATCGCCATCACCATCGATACCGCCGCTGCCAACCCGCAGAGACAGGTCTTCCGTGTAGATCCACGCCTGCTTTGGCTCCACACAGCTCAGCGTGTTGATCAGCATCAGATACTGCCGCGTCACCGGCGTGTCGAGCACGTCTGTCTCGCCTCCCACGCCGCCGATAGCCGACACAAACTTGTCGCCCTCGCCGGCCTGCTGCAGCTTCTGCAGCCGGTCCAGCAACACCGCCGCCGCGCCACGGTAATCGTTGTGGGCGATGCGCCAGCCGTACAAAATCTGATGCCACTGCGTGCCGCGCATCACCTCCATGGCCGCCCGGCATTTGTGCTCCAGCACGCCGTCAACGGCGTCGCGCAGCCCCGGGAACGGCAACCCCATCAGCTGCGCCACTTGGCCCGTCTCGGCCATCTTCTCGACTAGGAAGCGCAGACAAGCCTGCTGCATCGCTGCGTCGCTGCCCATGCCCTGCAGCACTGTATGCGCCAGGTCAAACCGCGCCAGTGCCGTCGCCGCCGTGAACTGCCGGCTCAGCATGTCCATCCGGGCTGCGTCTGCCGACGTCGCCGTCGTCAACGCGTCCGAGCCGCCACCCCGCGAACCCGGGCGCGAAAACTGCAGCGACAGCCGCGCAAAGTCAATCACAAATGAATACGCCTTCTGGCGGTCGTACAACGCCACAATGTGCGCATAGTAGTTCGGCAACCCGCTATAGAACAGGTTCCATTCGCTCTCGTCGATCAGACCTGCGCTATGGCGGGAGGCCAGACGCAGCTTCACACCTGTGTGCAGATGTCAGCAAACTCCAATGCATCTAAGCAGATATAAAATATGCACGTAAAGGATGTGCTTACTCAGCCCTACCGCTGCCTTCTTGAAGTACTCGGCAGCAGTGTCCCAGTCGCGCAGGGCGAGAAACGTGCGGCCTTGGACGTAGGTCGAGAACGGGTCGTCGTTGGAAAAGGATCCCAGCTGTAGCGACAGGTCTGGCCGCTCGCGCTTGAGCAGCATGCACTGGATCATGGTCGGGTCCAGCTCGACCTGGTTCTTGGTCGAGCAAACCTCGACAATCATGTCGGTCAGCAGTGACGCCAGCGGAAGGCCTGAGAGCGAAGCCAGGCCGAGCAGATGGCTCACGCTAGCCTCGAGGACCGTCACAACTTGGCTCTCCTCGCTACCACCGCCACCACGACGGTTCGCCGAGGGTGAGCCTCCCGAGAAGGAGCCCGTTGCTGACATGGAACCAGAAAAGGATGCGGAAAATGAGCCGGACAGAGACTCGCGCGCAGACCGAGAAAGGGCCACGCTGAATTCGTTCTTGGCCAGCCATCGGATCAGCTCCAGCCGCTTCAGCGATTCGACCAGCCGGATGTACACCTGGCCGACGTCCAGACGGCTGTGCAGCACGCTCTTCTCGTCCTCCACCTCAAACTCCATGTGCACCAGCAAGATCAGCTGGCGGAACAGCACCTGCCACAGCAGCTCGGCCGAGTCCTGGATTCCGCGGATGGCCAGCTTCCGGCCGAACTGCGACAGCGGGTAGCGCACATCTGGCGTGTGCACGTCTTTCAGCAGCGAGAACAGCTCCTCGTAGCTGCTTTCCTCCACGTCCTCAAAGTTGTCCCCCAGCACGTCCACCACCTGCGCGCACTCATCCTCCGTCAGGTGCCGCCAGAACCCGGCCTTGTCCGAGAGGTACTGCATCCGCTCCTCGTCCGTCTTGGACGAGTCCTCGAACAGCTCCGGCCGGAGTGCCGCCTCGCTCTGCTGCAACATCCCGTCCGAGAAGCTCTCGAGGAAGGTGAAGCCGGCCGTGAGCAGCCTTGACACCTTCTGCTGCCGTGCGCTCATCGTCCTGCTCGGCCCGTTGTGACAGAGCTGCTCCAACTTGCTGCACTCGCGGATCGCTGCCACGCAGTCGGTGCACACCACCCAGGCCAGCCCCAGCTCTGGGTCCAGCGCCAGCGACAGCGCCTCGCCTCGCTGTTTGTCCAGTTCTACCAGCAGCCGGTAGAATCGCCGCCACTGGATCTCGCCCGCGCTGCGGAACAGGTCGTAGTCCATCGCTCCTGACCCCGTCCGCTCTAGCGTTGCCGCCGATCCCAGCGCCGAGCAGATCGACTCCATCAGGCTCTTGCCCGACGTCTGCGCGCTGCCCTCGTGCGCCGCTCCCAGCCCCCGCTCGTACATGGCCAGGGCCGTCTCTAGCGTCGCCTTGGAGAACCGGCCGGGATAGAAGATCAGGTCGAGCCACTTCTCGGCCGCGTCCGTGGGATCGCACGGACCAGACGTCTGTGCTGTCGGCAGCGAGCTCTCCGTGTGCACGCCTTGCCAGCCGTGCTCCCAGTCGGATCCGAGGTTCTCTGACAGGCACTCAAGCTTCATCGCCCGGTAGATCAGATTGTTCTTCCACAACACCCACAGGCTCATCGAGCTTTGGTCCGGCTGCGACACCACAAAATCGGCCAGTGTCCACACGTCTGACGACGTCGGTGTCGGAGGCACAAGTGGGCTCTCCGCACCCGCAAACGGCTCCATCGTGACCTTGCCGTCGTCGGTGGCCTTGGCCCTCCATATCTTAAATGCCCCGGCACCCACGGGCGAGTATGTCACGCAGATGCAGAGGCCCTTTCCCACATCCACCACGCGGATGAGGTTGGTTTGGCTCGGGTCCACCGTCCATCTGCCGGTCTCGTGGGGATCCCGCCGAAGACCAAGCACATCGCCCGTGTAGCATACCTCGCCTCTCCCGACGTTCCATACGCGAAGGCGGTGGTCGAGGCAGACGGAGAACATGAACGTGACGTCGAGACCCATGCATGTGACGACAGCTGATGCTGCGGCTGTGATTTCCAAGCTGCTGCCTTCGTATTTGATCGTCGGGCCGCCCTGGAACGGAAGAATGCTGCGCAGGCCCTGCATGAGGCCGACCGGGCTGTGGAAGGACTCGTTCCAGGAGGATGCTATGACAAGGGTCAGGGATCAGCTGGCTGCTGCAAAGCCGCATTTTTCAGTAAGGGACAGGGACAGAAACACACATTCACGCGCATGGTCGCGGCGGAAGCTGATCAGGCCACCATCATTCAGAGCCACAACAAACTCGTTGGCACTGACAGCCACCAGCCGGCGAGGCTGCTTGAAGTTGAACGTGGCCGAGAGATAAGGCCTCCAAGCCTCACCCAGGTCAGCCTCGCTGAAGGACCGCTTGCGGAACACGTCTGGCCGCAGCTGCAGGTGGTGCAGGTGGAACGACTCGTCCAGAACAAAGACGGTGAGCGCGTCGTGCTGCGGAGGGTCGGCCAGGGCCACGCAGCCAGGCCGGATCGGCTTGGGGAAGTGCAGGTAGAGCGTCAGGGGGGCGTCGAGCGCGCCGGCGTCGGGCTTGCCAATATCAATGGCGCGTATGCTGAGCACATGGCCGCGCTCCAGCACCCGCCATAGGAAGCTGCGGGGCGAGTCGTGATGCTTCCGGTGGAAGATGGATGATTCGGTCGCCAGGCTTTTGGCTCTATAGGCACGCTCCTCCTCTGTGTAGTTGTCGCCCGCAAAGCTGCTGTTACTGCTGCTGCCGCCAAGAATGCCTCCTCGACCGCTTCCGCTCCCGCCTCCATGGCCAGTCCGGCCGCTGATACGTCGGCCACCGCTAACGGCCGGCACCGTGGCATTCACAACGGTCGCAGGTGTGGGCTCGAGGCTCACCCGCGTCTCCTTGTAGTTGTAAAACAGCTCCCGGGAACCCATCTTTCCTCCTCCATCCAGGTCGGAGCCAGCTAGGTGAGGGCTGTTCGTACGTGCGTGCGTTGATGTGGGATCGGTGATTCGTGAATGCAAATCGTTGGATGTGAAGCTCAAAAAAAGGCTAAAAGTCAACGCGTCGGATGTGGACTTCTGTGGCAGAATTCCCTCTCCGCCTCAAGCAAAAAGCTTGCGCCCATATTGCACTAACCACATTCGGAAATAAGCTGTAAACGACCTAAAACGCGTGTAAGCATTACCTAGGAAAGTCGAAGAGCAGTATCTACAATGAATATGTGCTTGATCCAGGAGAATTATTGACGGTGGTGCTTTTTTGAAACTCATACTAATCGGATGTACACTGGTAGAGTTTACCCGACGCCTATCGTTGATAAATTTAGAAGAGCAGCCGAACCTTTTAGATAGTAACAAAAGTAAAAAGCTTAACATTATATTTTAAAATGTATTGCGATAATTTAAACCAACAATATCTCTTTATAGCAAAAGCAACTGATCTGAGATGTTTCAGACCTCTACGTTCGCTTTTTCAAAGCTTATATAATACAGTCAATATATAATTTATTCATTACTCTTCAAATCTTTGCATCTTTACAACTCTTAACATGCATCAACAAGTATAGCAACCACAGGCCGTCAACGCCAGCCACGATATCAAACTTGCTCCAGAACGCCAGCAGGACAAGAAAATCCCGTTAACTCGCTCCCTCTATAAACTCTAGCATTGCAGTAATTTCCGCCTGTCCCGCATTATTCATCCTTGTCCTTGTCCTTGTCGTCCTTGGGTGCCGGATCACCAATGCCGTCTGCCGTAATGGCAAACATGCAGTCGCTCTCGGGAAGACACGGCGAGTCGTAGATTTTGGCAATGCGTGTCTCAGCACGACCCTTTTTGAGGCTGATGCGCGTCGTGCTCGCGTGCGCAATAATGTTGCCACCAATCGGCTTCTTCGGGTCCGGATTGAACATGGACGACGGGCCGCCGTCCACCTGTGCTACCACCTGGTTCGTGATGACCACAGCAATGCCATATGTGTCCGTCATGGACTGCAGCTGCCGCAGGAACTGGCCCAGGTGCATCTGCCGGTTGTTGAGCTCGCCGCGACCCATGTAGTCCGTCCGGTATAGGGCCGTGGCAGAGTCAATGACCAGCAGACTGAAACGCGTCTCGGCCATCATCCGGGCGGCGTCGCGCAACAGAGCCAGCTGGTGGTCCGAGTTGTGTGCCCGCGCAATGGCAATGTTGTCGAGCACCTCCTCGCCCGACAGGCCGTAGCGGTTGGCCGCCGCCAGTACTCGGCTTGGCCGGAACGTACCCTCCGTGTCGATATACAGACATTTGCCCTCGCCGCCACCGCAGTCAAAGGGCAGCTGGCATGTCACAGCCAGGGTGTGGCAGAGCTGCGACTTGCCCGTGCGGAACTCGCCAAAGATCTCGGTGATGGAGCCCGTCTCGATGCCACCACCCAGCAGCGTGTCAAGGTTCTTGGAGCCCGTCGTGATACAGATCAGCTCGCTGCGGCGCTGGTGGATCTCGGTTGCGGTGGTAAAGCCCATTGGTACCAGTTTTGACGCTATGTCTGTCAGCACAGGACCCTGACCTTGGGACGTACGAAAAGCGGGGGGGAAGGAGCCGTATCTGCCCCGGAGCCATGCGCACCCTCTGTGATCATCCGATTTGCCTTGAGATCGGATATTCCCTTGATCTGCTCAAGGGCTCGGCGCGGTGTGTAGGCCACTGACTCGACGGTATAATAACCCCCGTCGTGGAGCAGCTGGATATCACGCTTGGTCAAGCCTCCCAGACCCTGTTGAGTCAGATGTGTGAATCAACGCAAACAGTTAAATAGCTCTCCTTACCTCTAATTCAGATACTGACAAGGGAGCGCCAACATTGGCCCCCATGCCGGCATCCTCCGCGTTGCTCTCATCGAATTCATCGATCTGTGTCATTGTGGCTAGTTTTGTCTGCCTGGTGTTCGTCGCCTGCGCAGATAATAGAAGCCGTGTATCGCGGGTGCCAGCTGAAAAGCTGAGGGGACACAAAAGAGGCGATCAAGAATAGGGCCAGTACTTCGAAATCAAGTCAAAATTTGACGGTGAAGGCAGCAGCGGCGGGGAGTTATTTGTTGACGCGTTCCTAAGATGGAAAGCGCGACTGCGTGTGACGGATTACAAAGCGTTAACACGCCAAGTCACGTGTCTTTAAGAGCATTTTCGGTGTATCCTTTCGTCGGTCGAAGCCGTGTCCTTCTTCTGTTTAAATTTAACAAAGTACAAAATATATAGCGTTCTCTCGTAATAGAGACATAACCTCGTAAGACTCATCGTATATATACAACATCTGTGATGAATAAATTATCCAATATATACGCTTCTTCTATGCGGGGTCAGACTTGAGGAGTTTTTTGCGGACGAGCTGCATTGTGGAAATTCGGCGGCCAATTCCGGGATCGTCGACCTCGACCTCATTGTGTGAAAGATGTCTGGGAAATCCACCAAATGTGCCGGCAGGCAAGACTTCGAAGCCGGGGCTGATTTTGCGGTTGGCACGGTTTGCAAAAGAATCTGCTGGTCCGGATGTGACTGGTGGTAGGGCTATGGATACCATTTCTGGAAGACGCAAGACGGACTTGGTGCGGCTGTTTTTGGCGGGAGGGCGAACGGGGGACGTGGAATTGAGTTGCTCAGACGAACCTCCTCGTGATCGTGAGGAGCCGACACCATTGTTGTTGCGAGAACGGCTCCGACTGCTTTCGGCACCGCTTATGGGTGCGGAATCGGGTCTGGGGATGTGCTTACGTGGACGATAGTGACCGTGAACGGTGTTGTAGTGCTGCGGTGTTTGGGCCTGACTTTGATGGTGTTCATAGCCATGTGGCCTCAAGATGTCAGTCGTTGTCGAGATGTGCGAGCTTGGCATATAAGTTGTCAGCTGACGATGACGAGTGACCGCAGAAGGATAGTTGTCCTCGAGATGGCGCAGTGCTTCCTCATTTATCATTCCAGCATGGGGCACCATGTCCGCATCGCTGCCAAGAAGTATTTCGTCTTCGGAGATCTGTGGTAAGGGCGTAGAAATATTGGAGTGCGTATCAAACACATTTGGAATGCTTGCTAAGCTTCCTCTGTCAGAGAGACGGTCGCCACCCAGGGAAGAGGTTGTTGGATGTTGAAGTATGGGCTGCACACCGTTTAGAGCTGAGACAGAATGGGGATGGCTGATAACGTCCCCGGCTGTTGACAAGTGCTTCTGGCTGACGCCATCTGTGGTTGTAGCCGAGAATCCCAGCTTCAACATGGACGAACTGTGGCTCGGGGTGGTCGGTTGTGAGATCCATATGCCCTCGATCTCGACGCCGCTCTGGATAGCTCGAATGCCAAAAGGAATATTGCCACCTCGCTTCTTGTTTGGTGTCAGCCCGATTCTGCGCATCTCCGTCAGCCGGTCCTTCTTTTCTTCGTCGAGCCGCTCCTGACGGCGGAGTTGGCGATTCGTCTGCCACAATTTGAATAGGGCAATGATAAATACAATGACTATGCAGCATGCAAGAACCTGTGGTTGCAATTGGTTAGATCTGTGTAATATGTCGAATTATGATAGAGGATTGTTGCAACTCACAAATGTCATCTCCTCCCAGAGCTGCCAATTGACAAAAAAAATGCCGCCCATATTAGCAGTCGTTTGGTCCAGGCGAGCAGGTCTGTATTACTGGAAGCTGTCCTGGTGGATCTGTGAGAATCTGCGTATTCTTGTATGTCAGTGGCAAAAACGGGCCGATACACAATCTTGCGAGCATGACTTTATGCAGTATTGTCTGTTCCTGACAGCTGTAGTAATGTCAAAAACATGGGTAAAAACGGAATCGCACAAATGAAGCCTGTCGTCTATTGGTCGCGGTAAAGTATGAGGGCGAGGGTAGTTTCGCTTCCGCTCTCAACTCCCAATATCCTCCAATATTATTGCCGTTGGCGCTGCTGAAAAAAATCGGCACGGACAGCAAATGGGGATAGTCGTGGCCGGGAAAGCGCACTTATGCCTCTTCTCGTTTGTGATAAACTTTTTATGGAGACACATCAGCTTGAGAGGTCCTGTTGGGAGTCCTTACTGGGACTTGAATAGGTGTGTTCAACACGTCGGGAGATGAAATCGAAATATCTCAGGCAAACATGCGGCGTGTTTGAGTATCGTGCTTTAGCTGTGGGCAACACAACATGACAGCGTGGTCGGTTTTTCTTCAGCTTGACCACGGTTTGTGGGCTGTGAATAGAATATGAGTCGTGAGATATGAGCAAAGTATGCCTTGCGTTTGTGTTGCACTGAAAGTCCTGCACGTTTGGGAAGGAGATGGGTTGGATACGATATGAGACGTGACGGCCCCCGACGCAAAATCCGGAGCTCTACTCCGTAGATAGTTAGGAAATAAACTATCTTTTGGCATGGGTAAGGGAGTCAGAGATCACAAAGTAGCGGTGATCGGCGGATAGATGCAGATATTGAGAATTTGTATCACCCCAAAAAGTTGTATGACCAGGGTGATAGACTGTCTAAGAATAGAAAGCAGGAAAAATAGTCAGGCAAGCCACAAAAGCGAGGATCAGAGAGAGCAGGGTAGAGTTGGCTCCGAGACAGTATCATGCATCCACCGAGAGGCTGCCGTTCGTATTCTTGCCGAACCTTACAATGGATCGGATGCAGACCGGTCCCAGGATGTCCGGGTAGAAAGTAGGATTCTGAAGGGTCTGTGAGGCTCGAATAGCTCTCGGACGGCCGAGGGAACTGTCTACGAAATAGACACTGATAACTATGAGCAACCATCATCGTCTGGGCTCTACGGCACCTGAATTGGTAGGAAGAGCAGCGTGGCCGGGAAATAGATATGTGAATTTCTAAATTAACTTTGGATAAGTTTGGGTGAATAAAAGTAAAGTAATACCACCATGGCATATTAGCGATACAGGGGATCCCGCAATACAGTATACTTCCAGGTAAGTCATAAGGTTTCAAATCAAGGTGCAAATGGGGTTGCGGGAAGGAGCCATGCAACAATGCATGCGAAACTTTAAGCAGTTACGCATTCTCATTTTTGCATCCAAATTAACTAGCAATCAAACATTGCTCCAATCAATGCTGCATTAGAGATGCATGTGGTCACATACACTGTCTCACAGATCTGAAAATCGAACGGGGTTGGAAGAGCCCAAGCAGGATGCCCGATCCCCAACACGGGTCAGCAAACGCCGGTTCGCAGGACACAGCCAGAAAACCTCACAAACATAGGAGAAAGCAGCCATGGCCGACGACACACATCCACCCAATGCACCGCCACTCTTCCGCTTCCAGGGTCGCCGCAGCGTCGTGCACAGCACCCGTGGCATCGTCGCCTGTACGAGCCCGCTCGCGGGCCAGGCCGGCCTCCAGATCCTGCAGGCGGGAGGCAATGCAGCCGTAGGTATGTCCCCAGGTATATTTCCCTTTTCTTGCCGCTAGACACGCTGACGATGTAGGATGCCGCCGTCGCTGCCGCCGCTGTTCTTGCTGTGGTCGACCCGTCCATGACCGGCATCGGCGGTGACGTGTTCAGCCTCTTCTATGATGCCACCACGGACACAGTCAAGGGCCTGAATGCTTCGGGTCGCACGCCCATGGCCGCCACGCGAGAGATGGTGTGCCAGGCCATCGGCGTTGCTGCCGATGCTGATGGTAGCGTGGACGAGCGAGCGGCCGCCGGCACGACCATACCGTCGCTATCAATCCACACGGTCACTGTGCCGGGTGCTGCAGCCGGCTGGGTCGATACGATCGAACAGTTCGGCTCAGGCAGGCTGACGTTGGCCCAGATCCTCGACCCGGCCATCCGGCTGGCCGAACAGGGCTTTCCTGTCGGTCGCCTGTCGGCCTACTACTGGGCCATGACCGAGAATGATTTGCGCACGCGGTCGCCCGACAACGCTGGCCGCGAGCTTCTCAAAGCCGATCCCTCCATGGCGGAAAAGAGCGGTTTTCGTGCTCCACGTGAGGGCGAGATCTTCCGCTGCCCAGAACTGGCCGCCACACTTCGCCGCCTGGCCGCACACGGCAAGACTGGCTTCTATCAAGGCCCCGTTGCGGAGGCCATCGTGGCCGTATCGCAAGCCAAGGGCGGACTCCTCAGCCTGGCCGATCTCAAGCATCACGCCGACCAACCTCCTGATATTGCCGAGGCCCTCTCCACTCCCATCGGCAGCGGTGGTCTCCGTCTGTGGGAGCACCCCCCTAACGGGCAGGGCATTGTGGCGCTGCTGGCCGCCGGCATCCTGCAGGAACTGGAGCGTACCGGCAAGATCCTTCCGTTGGCCAGCATGGGCCACAACTCTGCCGCTTACCTACACACCATCCTGAGTGCCCTCCGCATTGCTTTTGCCGATGCTGGCTGGCATGTGGCCGATCCTGCTGCTACAGCTGCCACCTCGCCAGACTATCTCGACCCTCGCCGGCTGCTTGACCCGGAATACCTCGCGGCTCGTGCCAGGCTCTTTGTCGCTGACCGCGTACTGGGCGTGCTTGAGCATGGCATTCTGAGCAGTAACGATGACGAAGACGACGATGACGACGATGACGACGCTGGTGCGCTGGTCGAGTCGATGCCCTTGACCGATACCGTCTATCTGGCAGTCACCGACGAGGCCGGCAATGGCTGCTCTTTTGTTAATAGCGTGTCGGACCGCTTCGGCTCCTGTATTGTGCCTAAGGGTACCGGCTTCGCCCTGCAGAACCGCGCCCGCATGTTCCGTCTAGGCCCTGTCAACCACCCCAACATCTACGCCGGCGGAAAACGAGCCTACAACACCATCATCCCGGCCATCCTGACGGAAGACACTCCTGCAACCGGCGGAAAGTCCGACCACATAACGCACCACCGTCTCCGTGCTGTCTTTGGCGTCATGGGTGGTCTCATGCAGCCCCAGGGCCACCTCCAGGTCCTGCTCAACATGCAGACCTTTGGATTTGATCCCCAGACTGCTCTTGACGCTCCACGCATCTGTATAGGGGCTGACCTCTTTGCGGCGGCGCCTGCCGAATCTCTGGTACCTCTATCCCGCAGCCAGATAGTCTACGTCGAAGAAGGCGTGCCGAAAGACGTCGTTCAAGAGCTGCGCCAGCGCGGTCACCACATTCGCTACCTCAGCGGCTATTCCCGGTCGTTGTTTGGCCGAGGCCAGGTCATCCAGGTCAACCACGACACAATCACAGGCCAGAGAGTGTATGCCGCAGGGAGCGACCCCAGAGGCGATGGACATGCTGTGCCGCTGCTGTAATGTTGCAACCGTGCAGACATTTCTGAAGCAGCGATAATCGCAAAACGTGCGCACCGCTGCGATAGTATGAATACTTCATCTTGTTCTTCCTCTAATGCTTTTACATCATCGTCTATAAAAAAGGCACTGCTGGCTGTCTTTCCCAAATGAGCTGTGAGCCAAAGCCCCAGCATCGTGCGATTCTCGTTTTGTCGTGAAAATCTCCTGTCCAATATAACCATTGACGCCGAGTAACATGCATAAGCTGGCTGCAAGCTGACCAATCCTGGGACAATTGTTCGCTCCGAAGCAAAAGAAAAGAACGAAAAACTGGAGGGAAAGGGGGTTCTACAATACCCTGAATTGGGACACCGATAGTTTCACTGAAGGGAGAAAAGAATCAAAGCCTCGGCTTGCGCAGGCTTCTTCCTCACCGCTTAGAACTCGATAAAGTCCTTCTGGGTCACAAAGTCAAGATCAGCATCGTTGCCATCCGCCCCGACGAACTCATCGACCTCATCGGAATCGACGTCGTCACTGTGGACCGACTCATCGCTCGACGCGTCCACCATGTCGGCATCTTCCGCGTCGGCATCTCTCTCCAAGCTGGCAATGTTTGCCCGCCGCATAAAGCTGGCACGCTCGCGGTGCGGAAGCTTGCAGCCTTTAACTTTACACACGCCCGTGTTGCTGAAGTCGGGACACTCAAACACGTGGCGTTCCAGGCAGTCGGCGCCTTTTTCACAGTATCCGTAAAGACCAAATGGCCGGCAGACCAGGGCACCTGTAGAAACTTCCGAGTGAGTATAGGGGCAGTTTGGGTTTGTGCAGCTGCCTTTGGCATAATGCAGGCAGAATGGCGTGCGTTCTGCCGTGAGTTCGTGCGATAGGTCGCAGTCGTCTCCACTTGCGCAGTGGCCCTTTTGGAGGAATTCTTTGCACACGGCCACCTTTACCGGGTCGTGGATATAACGACAAAACGGTCCTTTAGAGCAAGATCCTGTATAACACGGAAACAAAAAGAGGTAGGTCCGGCAGTGGTTAGCAAAACGGAATCGGATTTGTTCAGCCGACCGAAACCGAGACAAGATACCCGCAAGAGCAGAGTCGGTCGTTTGCGCAAAAGGGGGGAAGGAATACCGGTCGTTGAGAATATTTTGCACGGCTGATCAATCTTCTTGACATTTCCGGCTCGTCTGAGGGGGGCAATGTCAGCACAACGCACTGGGGTTGGCAATGGACCACATACCGCTGCGCCTTGACCACGCCGTGGCGGTAAAGATTCCCGTTCTTGCTGCGGAAAAACTTGACACCTCCAACGATAGCAGTCTTCGGCGTGCTCGAGGGGGGGTTCGGGTCCCCTTGAACGTGGTTAGTAGAATTTGAACAGGGCACAAAATTGCCACCAGAGGGAGATGGAGGCAGCTTCCACAACCGCGCAAACACACCAGGAGCTTTGACAAGCTTGCTGCCATTTTTGACGACATGGAAAGAGATGCCCTGCACCACAATCTGATACGGCGTTGGGGCGCGTCCATTAGCATTGTAATTACTACTACCACCGCCAACACTGCCACCGTGACTGTTGGCCAGATATCTGAGATGATTTTGCAGCTTGGCTCGCTCCCGATCATCCTTCATCTTTTGGTTATGTAGCCTGGTCTGCTCGATCGCCTTTGTTCGCGCCGGGGCTTCCTTCTCGTAAACGGTAGAGTTTATCAGCTGCATGTGACGGTCCGTTTTCGATACCCAGTTTCCATTCGCAGACAGTGACTCGGACTTTTGTGGCGCATCAGTCCCGTCTGACTTGTCCCCATTGGAGGAGCAGTTCAGCACCAGCGTCCGGTTGCGATATGCCGCTGGTTTCCCTCGATAGCCCCCGCGAGGCCTGTACGGATGTACGTAGGGGTGGTATGCTGAAGGTGCATGAGAGCGATATAAACTGCTGCTTGGAGCAGAGACCGATGTGATTCCAGCTTGCTGGTTCTTGTGACGATTAATTTGAGCTGGTCGTGTTAGCAAACCGGTCGGACTGACTGGAAGTGGGATGCGATTGAGAAATCTTACCGGCAAGTTGACTAATCCTTGCCAGCAGTTCTCTGTCTTCCGAAGTCATGGTGATAATATGTTGAATAGCACGAAGCAAGTCTTGTGCAGCAAGGTGAGACGACGCGACAGAGAAGTTCGAATTTTTGTTGCAGATTTGCGAGATTATGCAATCAAAAGTATCTGTTGTGCTGCAGATTAAATGTCTGTTTGTCGCGACAGGGCAGGGACGACTTGGTGGCAAATATATGCACGTGACCAACTTGCAACGCCATTCCGAATACGGTGACAAAGGCGATGCTCAAAATGATGCCTACTCCAGACTTGATTTAGTACTTACGTGCAGCATTAGTCGAGGACCGGCGCGCTCAACCTGCCCTCATCGCCGTGCATTCTGGTTCAGGGAACCACGACGAAGCTCTGCGAACCACGACGACTCCTCACCGTCGATTCCAGCCGCGCGCCATCGGTCACATTATGGCGGACTCGACACTCGGCGTGAAAACGGAAGCGCTGCCTGTCAAGATGGAGCAAGACGGGGAGGACACTATCATGTCGAACGTGCCGGCAACCGAAGACGACATCTACGAAGACGCAGGGGATCTAGAATTCTTCGACCCCAACGTGCCCGGAAACCCGAGTGGGAATATGTACCTCGTCAGGGTGCCGCCGTATCTTTGGGACGTGTGGGATAAGCTCGACGACGATGCGGAGATCCAAGTGGCAACCTTGCGCCAATGGAGCGAGACTGGAAAGAACGGCGAGACGAAGGTATGAGTGCTAGTCGAGAGGAGGCCATCCTGCAGCGACTGACCTGCTGCAGTACCGGATGCGAATGCTCCTCCGGAACGATCTCTCCACCCACCAGGGGATCCCGAAAGAGTACGAACTAGACTTGCCCATGGAGACAAAGGGCGTGCAGAACACACAGATAAAGAACACGTTCATCTTCAACGAACAAGACCTGCCTGGGTTCAAAGCCAAGAACAAGCTGCGCGCAGACGCAGCAGCGGCTGGCATTCCTTCCCATCTGCTCCGCCAGAAGGACCGCGTCGACAAGCCTGCCCATCACAACTTTCATCATGGCCGGCGACGACAAGAGTTCTTCCGGAAGGCGATTCCAAGTCAGTCATAGCCCAGTGCGTCGTCGTTTGGCTTCGGCTTCGGCTTCGCTGCTGCTAACACGGCCCTTCCCTCTACAGAAAAAACGACCGTCGCCGGGCGGATACGGCATGAGCTCAACTGCGCCCCCGTGAAGAACCCAGAATCCGAATACATCCTGAACGAGCGGGCACGCGCCGCCATGCTGCCAAAAGCACAAGTCAAGTTCGGCGATGCATCAAAGCCCGAGTTCCGCATCATTGGCAGCGGCGGCATCGCCAGCCACTCGTATGCAACGGACTTTATCGTGCGTTGCCCCTTCTGTCTATTGTTTTCCTTGGCTTGACCTAACGGGGAACAAATAGAAAACTGCCCAGACCGCACCAAAGGTCAAGAAGGCGGAGACGAAGACGGCGCGTATGCCGGAGAACGACTTGCTCGACTTGATCTTCGCCTGCTTTGCGCGGTTTCGATTCTGGTCAATGCGCGCTTTGCGCGCTGAGATCCCTCAGCCTGAGATTTACCTTCGCCAGACTCTCGAGAAGGTGGCCGACTTGCACCGCAGCGGTCGGTTTGCCAACAATTGGGAGCTGAAGCCAGAGAACCGCAAGGATGGCTCAGCTACAGCTGAGGTGAAGGCGTCAGAGTTCGTGGCAGAAAGTGCAGACACCGACACCGATGGCGAGGATGAAGACATGAAGCTCGAGGACGTCATCCCGTCAGCCTCGCAGTAGTGACGGTGTTGTTTTCTCCTACACCTTCCGTATTGGGGGGTTTAACTGCAGGCGTTTGGTGGTAGTTCAATGCTTGGCTTGAATTGACAATAGCGCTTCAAATTCTAGTACGGCAATACGGTAGACTGAGCAAAGTGCTTTCAGTATCTTTCACAATAAAAAAAGCTGGGGTTGTATATAGATAATCGGAGTGCGTAGTTGAGGTGGTAAAATTCTAGAAAATCCGAGAGGCGTTTAACAAACGTACGAGTGTCGGCAACCAGCCTGGAAGGCAGTAGACTGGTGTCCTACAGCTGGCGTCAGTGTTATTGGTGGAGACAAACAGCGCCATGATGCCATAGATCGGGCGTATGTATCTTACATAGGCTTGTATCTCACAAAACCAAGCTCCGCATTCTCTGGCAAAGAAATCGTTCTAAGAACACAAAATGCATATAATCCTAGATTTTGATGGCACCATTACACAGAATGACACAATCAATGCCCTAAGCAGTGCTGCTGTGGCCTTTCGGCAGCAGCAGCAGCAGCAGCAGCAGAAGGTCGAGGCCCAAGAAGAGGACTGGACGAACCACTGGACCTCAATTGTGGACGCTTATGTCGCAGACTATTTGGCCCATGTTTCTGGATACGAACCACTCGAATCAGAACGGACGGATTTGGTTTCTGAGCTCGGCTTCTTGGATGCCATGCGAGAGGCTGTCGACCTACCTTCGATCCAGCGTGTTCATGATTCGCGGCTCTTTGCCGGTATCACCGCAGATCAACTGACTCAGGCCGGACGGGATGCCAGCACAGCAGATACTGGTACAGTCCGCCTGCGCGCCGGATTCTCCAGCTTTCTAGACGATATATCCGGGCGCCGGGGATGGCCTGTCTCCATTGTGTCTATCAACTGGTCGGACGCCTGGATCAGAGGCGTCATTGAGAGCAGTCCACACAGCCAGGGCGTTTCGATCTTCTCCAATAAGGTGACAGTTTCGGGGAGGATCGTCCCCAACTTCAACTTGCGTGTTCCCACCGACCAAGAGCCCTCGGAGCCCTCAGAGCCCTTGGAGCCCCTAGTATCCTGCAGCGACAAGCACGAGACTATGAAAGTGGCAGCTGAATTGGCCGAGGAACAGGTTGTCTACATTGGCGATGCCATGACCGACATCATGTGCCTCACCAACGCGGAGGCAGGGGGGATTGTCATGGCCAGCGGCGGTCCGGGTGGCAGCAGCACTCTCAAAGCGTTGGCAAGACTGAAGAAGGAAATTCCGCACGTTTCCGATTCACCCAAGTTCAGCACTGTTCGAACTCCTGGGAGTCTCAGGCTGGCTTGGGCGGCAGATTTTGATGAGATTCTATCGTCGGGGATCCTTGATTAAGAAGTTGCCATTCCAAAAGATGCTGTAGAGATCTGTTTGCGATTAATGAAGCGTTACAAAGAAACAAGGAGCTTGTTTATTTCATCGTGTATTGTAAGATCAAACATGAATGAACAAAGGGAACGTCATGTTGTGCACCTGTTCATACAACAGAGCCAATTTTGTTAGTTCAGAAAGTGAACATAATACATAAGTCGTAACTAGGATAAAAATGCAGGTCGTGATGCATACTATTCTCACAATGTGTCTACATATTCAAATTTAACGACAAGTATCAAGACATCGTTTTCTCTATTTACAAATCGCCTTTACGACATATATATCCGCAATAGCTTTAGACAACTTCCACGGCACTTACAAAAGGAACTTACAAGACTATAGAACCATGGCCTACGCTTACCGCCATTTTGTGTACCCCTGCGAGCACGGCTACATCAAGTTGTATCCGGCCAAGAAAAATCAGACCCAGGAATTGTTCAGAATGATTTCGGTCAATGTCAACTCTGTATGCCCAGCCTGCGGCTGTCGTGCAAAGGAGCTTGTTACCGTGGCAGAGGCAAAGGCATGTTTCAAAACCCTCCAAGACGATCTTGATAATCGGATGAAAGGTTTACACGATACTTCTTTCCCTTGCCAAGTCGAACCTAACAGTGACAGCGGCAAATCAAACGGCCATACAGAGGATGGGATTGACATTGAGTCGGAGGAGAGCTGGCCAGACCAGCCTCCGAAGATTTACAGTCTTGCAAGGCTTTTACGAGAGCTGAGTGTTACCGAGGATTGCCACAAAGAGCCTAGAGATCTGAAGCTGAGCCTTCGCATACGGGGAATTCGAGAAGACTTGGAACGACGTGTCAAGTCGTGGGATCGTACAGTGATTGCGGATAAAAAGACATGTCCAATGTTGTAAAGAAGGAGAATGGGGAAAATATATCTTCAGAGAAAGAAGGTGCATCCTCAGCAAGGGAAGACCGAGCATGATTAGAACTTTAAGGCCTCTGGAAGGCTTTGATTTTTTATCCAGCTTCTCAACCACCAAAGAAAGGTCTAGTTTTTAAATATATACAGCGTGGATTAAAATGCAAGCAGATACGTGTATGTGTGCTCTGGACTTCGATGTGGGAGTGGTCATCATAAGCTGTCAATTTATTTGTGGCCCTTGGAAGTGGCTAGTGGGACCTTCTTTAAGTACTTGCTGCACTAATGGTTCCGGATCGCGCTTGCCCCCCTTTGGGACGTGTTTTGTTCCTTCCGTGTCCAGGAGCCGACTCCACCTAGAACTTGCTGCTTTCCTCGCCGACATAATCTGCAATCGAGCAGCTGCTGTGGGACGGCGATTAGGAGGAGCAGCAAAAGCTAGAAGGGGCCGAAGTCTCGCACAAAGTGACAGCTTCTACCACGACAGTTCCCCACCACCGCGCACTTCGCTACGCGTTGATCGCTTGGATTGCAACGGTCTTCCCGAAGCACTCACCATCGATGAGGGCCACGGCAGTTTTGACTTCTTCCTCGCTATGGCGCCGCGTCGCAAGCGGAATGTATTGGGCGACTCTGACAGCGAAGAAGACAGGAGTCGAAAAGACAGGAAGAACAACCTCGAGAACTTTTTGTTTCCCTCCCCAAGCTCGAACAAGATCGTCACGACTGCTGGTACATCTACCATCACAACTCCCATTGCCTCCCCGAGCCCAGTCCGCAAAGCAGCTGTCTTCATTGGCTCCCCTGTGAAATCGGCTTCGTACGGCTCGCCTTCGAAGACGTCTTCCTTCCGGCAATTGTCGACGAGGCTGAAGACCAACGACACTAGCAAAAGCCCCAGCTCAAGTTCAGACAAGCCAAGGAAAGGGAACAAGGGCCAAGCGGAAGAGAAGGTCAGGTCTGGGAATATTCTGGCGCTTTTCTCGAAACAGGCTGAAAAGGCCCAGAACTCCCCGAAGAAGGCAAAGGCGATTGACTTTGTGGCCGATGATATTGCTAGTGATCCCATCTCCGAAGATGACGACGTAGCAGAAAGCAACACCGTTGTATCTAGTTACGTGGGAAGCCGAGCCCACAAACGATGGGGAAATACAAACCCGTCATCATCATTGCCGCCACCTTTTAGCCAGAGCAACAGCAACACAGGCTCTACCCAGCCAATTGTCACAGCTGCAAGCCAGAAGTTCCGGCTTCCGGCCCGCCCAATTCCGAAAGCAGCTGCTGCCCCGGCTGGAGAAGACAATTTGCGCCCTTGGTCTGAGCGATTTGCACCGGTCAACCTTGACGAGCTCGCAGTGCACAAGAAGAAAGTGGCCGACGTACGGCGATGGCTGGAAGATGTGCTGGCGGGCCGTCTACGGCAGCGACTGCTAGTGGTGAAAGGAGCGGCCGGCACAGGAAAGACGACAACACTGCAGTTGCTGGCGAGGGATCTGGGCCTGGAGATACTCGAATGGAGGAACCCATCCGGATCGGGAGCTGGAGCTTCGCTTGGGTTTACGTCTGCGGCGGTCCAGTTCGACGAGTTCTTGAATCGAGGGTCACGCTTCTCACAATTAGACTTGGATGCTGGCGGTTCGGACAGCGATGACGACACAGCCAGACGATTGAACGGGTCTCTGAATCCGAGTGACAGCAATCGCCAACGGCGAAAGATTATTCTTATAGAGGAGTTCCCAAACACTTTTATGCGTTCGTCTAGCAGCTTAACGAGCTTTCGGAATACAGTGCTGGAATTCTTGGCAACAAAGACACCTTCGCTAGCGATGTTTGCGCAACGACAGGCATCCGTGGATAATGTCAGCCCGGTTATCATGGTCGTGTCGGAAACCTTGCTCACGACGACGTCGGCATCTGCCGACAGCTTCACGGCTCATAGGTTACTGGGACCCGAGATCCTTCGTCACCCAGGCACAGGCGTGATCGAGTTCAACGCCATAGCGCCGTCACTTCTGGCGAGGGCTCTGGAGATCGTAGTGCAGAAGGAAGCGAGGAAGTCAGGCAGGAAGCGAACGCCGGGACCCCAGGTGCTAAAGCGACTGGGCGAGGTTGGAGACGTTCGGAGCGCCATTGCCTCTTTGGAATTCCTTTGTGTGAAAGGTGATGACGACGGGGACTGGGGAGCGAAGGTCAACTTCACAAAGGGCCGCAAGGGCCCTAAGAACGCAGCACTTACAAAGGGCGAGGCGGAAACCTTGGAGATGGTGTCCCAACGAGAGGCAAGTCTAGGCGTCTTCCATGCAGTTGGAAAGGTGGTGTACAACAAACGGGAGGATGTTCCATATCCGCCCAACAGCGATGAGGCTATTGCAGAGACGCTATCCGACTACCTGGCACAATATTCTCGGCCAAAACGGTCGCTTGTTTTTGTGGACAATCTCATCGACGAGACGGGCACCGACACACACACATTCATTACAGCATTGCATGAAAATTACGCACTTTCGTGCGAGCAGACTGGACCGCAAGACCCCCAGTCGTCGCTTGACTATATCAATGGTTGCATTGACTACCTTTCAGAGAGCGATCTCCTGTGTCCGACATGGGACATATTCTTTGGTGGAAGGGGAACCAACCGCTCCAGCTTCGGACGAGACTCAGGTAGCCACGTTCTCCGACAGGATGAGATGGCTTTTCAGGTGGCTGTCCGAGGCCTGCTCTTCTCTCTTCCATCGCCAGTCAAGAGATCGTCGGCAAGTCATTATCAACGAGGATCTGGTGGCGGTGGCGGAGGTGCCGACCAGTTTAAAATGTTCTACCCGATGAGCCTGAAGCTGTGGAGGAGCAGAGAGGAACTGGAAGGCATGGTCGATATCATGTCATCGAAACTTCTCAGAGGCGAAATGGCACTCCGTCCAAGCTCGGCGCAGTCAAATCAGAACATCACCAGCAGAGCGCTGACATTTCTGAAGCCGAAGCAAGCAGGCGACTCGACGACAGTAGCTAGCAGTCAAGTGTCCACCCAGCAGCAACCTAAATCCAAATGGCAGTCACAGCGGAGGCAGCCGTCTGCAACAGACAGGACGGCCACTACGAAACAAGGCGGCGAGGACGATACACCACCGCCACTGTTGTCTCTCGGCAGCTCAGCACGGAAAGAGATGATTTTGGAGCGGCTCCCTTATATGGCACTGATTGCCAGGGGAAAGAGATGCTCCTTTGGATCTGTGGGCACTCGTGACCTGGAGAAGATAGTGTCGTTCCGTGGCATTGGCGCGCCATCCACCTCGGCAGAGGATGCTGACGGAGACGAAGCCGACGATACGGCCCAAGGAGGGTCGAGCTTCCCAGCCGAGGACGCATGGGCAACGGACAAACCGACAGACGATCCCAGCCCACGAAAGCGGAGGAAGCCACCTGCAACTAATAAGGCACCTCAAAGGCCAGTCGAAGACGAGGATGTAGTGGCTATGGCAGCAGGGTTGCCGATGTACAAGCTTTATTTGAGCGATGATGATATTGAGGAGGTCGATTGACCAAGATATGAAACATGGGCGGCGTAAAGACGTTGGGCTCATGTAAAGGGTTTGCAGGACTGCTTCACTCTAAACTACTGTACAATATCAGATGGGAAAGATCTAACAGGGAAGAAGGCCTGTTCAGTAGGCGTTACGGAACTCATTGTAACTCGTGGACGCGATGGGGCAGAATTTCATACTGTATACCTGGCACTGTGAAAGCTGTACGAGTCTGACGCGCTAAAATTTACGATTTGCTTGAACCACTCTTTCCAACCAGCATCGCTCTTCAAGCATGGCAGCCAGCCCAATCCAGATATACGCAGAGCTTCTTCCCAACATTCGTCAAGTGTCTGTATCTGTGACGCTTCCTAGTGCTGTTGATGCGTCGACAGTGACCGAAGTGCTTCCCGATGGAGTGACGCTCCGCATTCGCCATGGCAATTTGGTGCAGGAGCTGAGGTTGCCGGGCCCTGTGGTCGCAGCGGGTTCACGGCTGGCCATTCCGCAGCCGAAAAGCCAGGACGGACTAAAATACGCGTCCTGGCGCCTCCCTCTGGTCGGTCGTGCTCTCAACGGCCACAATGCGGCAGCCTCGGCGGCGGCAGTCAACGATCTGGCGCCATGGTCTGCGCGAGACCTGCGGACAGGCATGCCGGTCGCTTGTCGATCCTGTCGGTCTGCAGTAGTCGCAGGCGAGAACATCGGCGTATGGAAGGACCTGCCCAGCGACAACTGGGCCGAAATGATGGAGTTTTGGCACTGTCACAAGCCGGACCATCAGCCTGCTAACGGCAGTAGCAATGGCAGTGGCGATGCACACGAGCATGGCAAGGCCACCAACAAGGACCTGGAAGCACGCGGCTACGGTGCCAACAGTACCATTTCCGCACAGGCAGGCGTCGGGTTCGTGGACCTGATTGCCCTCGTGTTCGCAGAGAGCGACTGTGGGGGGATCGTGGTAAGGAAACCATGCTTTTATTTCGTCTGTTTTTGCTTCGGTCGGTTTTTTCGCTTCCATATCTTCTCCCGGGTATCAAGAAGGTGGCCAGGCTGGGGCACATTGCCGCCACTCAATAGCATGGTCACCGATACAACTGCCCAAGAGCAAACTACATTGGCCATCACTTCTGCTCCTACACAAGCTGTGGGAAGCCGAGACGAGGGCGTGCGTTCATTGTTTCTACCCGAAGCGATGGGCATACTCTCGTCCTGGCAAGAGAGATGTCACCTCACCTTGAGTTTTCACTGCAGCTGTCCAGAGTTATGGAGGGCGGCGGTATTAATCATAGGCACATGCACCACACAATATGTGATCAGCACGCTAGTCTTTCTTTCGTTATGTTGTCTTTCAATTTATTTTATTTTTCCTGCGCATCAAACGATTCGCTTTGCTTACTTTGTTGTCAGTATTCAGAATCGACCTTTGAAAAGGGCTCTTCGGACCGGAAGAGCATCGAGATTGAGCCCGCCCATGGCAAATCTTTGTTCCAGAGCCTAAATATATTTTGTGCATCGTGCCGTGTGCAGATTGGTTACTTCAACTTTAGAATGTTGTCTGTTACCCTGTTCAAGTGGCAAGTGCACTGCGATACAGAGGCTACACTTCAGCCAGCACTGTCAGAGTGCCTCGCTGCAACCTTGATGGCGACCATTTCCCGGTCAGGCTCGTCCAAATCCCTCATCATGCCTATCTACGACATGCTACCACTGGCTGGATTGACGTCCGAAGAGAGGGCCTTTGCAGCTCAAACTCTATACGTCTGGGTCCTCAACAGCAACATACGGTACGCATCGAGCAGCTGTGGAGCGCCCGTGCCGGCAATCAAACTGCTCTACAGATTCATTCATAGGGCAGAGGCAGATGCGATCCTGGAGAAACTGAACTCTGATGTTCAGGAGATCAACCTCCCCGAAGGGTCCATCCAGGCCATCATTGGGGAGCTGGAGGACAGCAATACCGTATTACCTGCAAGGGAGAAGAAGTTCAAGGAGTGGAGAATTGGCTTACTAAAAAGATGGGAGCCAATCGCTGGTTGACCCGCATTTCTCTATGCAGGGCAGGCACTAGTGGATGGATCCACTGTTCTTGGATACCCCCATATATGTAGTCTCCTTAGCAGACACTCATTCCTATTTTGTCTTGCAAGATACATATCTTCTCACATATTTCACATAATTACCCAATGAAAAGCCCACGCTTTGTCGAGGTGCTCAAAACCTGCATTTGACACCCACCACTGAAAGTCGGTCCGTCCTGTGGGGGTGACAGCCTTGCGAGGCATGGCCGACGCGGTGCGCCTGGATAAGTACATTCCAGCAGGCTGTCTGGTTCTTTCGGCGAATGGCCTCACCGCACAAGACAGAAGCATTTGGGATGCCGCAATGAGTGGCAACACCTGGAAGCTCGTTGCGCATCCCGGCAGCATACCGCCTGAGCCAGGGCCGTGTCTCAAAATCCCCCAGCGGATGCTGTTCCTCGACTTGGAGCCATGGATTCCTCTAATGGAACCGATAAGCAATCGATGGATTTGGGTCTCATTCAAGGCAAGTGAAGACAGCGCAGACCATATAATTTGCCGAGTCTACGTGCTTCCCAACGACGTTTACCGACGACTAGTCTCTCGCTCAGGCTTACACCTGCGGAAGTACCTCGTAGCTCTCATGAACGAACTGGACTATTCCCCCGGAACATGGAGCGGGCAGTGGAGGTCAGACCACTCGGCCACTACACTGGCTCAGGGTCCAGACGCAGGCAGCGTTGTTGATGACGATATGGAAATGACGCTGCTGCAAATGTTTAATAGCATCTCGTCTCCCAAGCCACAGCCTGATCTGATAGGAGACGGTGTGAACCAGCATGTAATGGACTCGCTCGTTACGAGTAAGATCCGCGGCCTGAAGTCGAAGCTGTACGGCTACCAGAGCCGCTCTGCGGCGGTGATGCTGCAGCGTGAGCTCTGTCCTGGCCGGACCATCGACCCTCGGTTGTTGCAGATGCGCGACCAACATGGCCAGACGTGGTTCTACGACGATGTCACGGGCGATGTGCTACGGAACCCACGCTACTACGACAATGTGTCGGGTGGGATCCTGGCTGAAGAGATGGGAACAGGCAAGACGCTGATCTGCCTGTCCCTGATCTTGGCCACGAGAGCCTTCCCGGCAGAAATGCCAGAATTGTCTCGGGGCAACATTGACGGCAGCGGAGGGACTGGTGTGAGGCGCCCAAAAATTGGCTCTCTGGCGGACATGGCAGCGGCGGTGATCGCAAAGCAGTCGGTGCCATGGAAATTCTACCTGGAAGAGACGGACGATAGCGTGCCGGAGCATTACCAGAACTGCATCGACGTTATCAAACGAAACCCGGCACATTACATGCCCGATCATTTCAAATTCGGCCGGGATGCCTGCAGGATCCCGCGCAGGTCTACGCTTCCGCCTCCAATGCCGGAACTGGTGTATTTGAGCAGCTGCAGTTTGGTCATCGTGCCGGCGAACTTGGTCCGCCAATGGCAGCAGGAGATTGACAAACACACGGAAGGGCTAAAGGTTTTGGTGGTGTCGGGTAAGGTGCCGGTGCCAGATGTGGCAGATATTCTCGAGGCCGACATCCTACTCTTTTCGATCCCACGTTTCGAAAAGCTGGAGCGGGACCGCCGGGTGACGGGTAACGGGGTCGTGTTCAAGTCGCCGCTGGCATCAGTGCACTTCAAGCGAGTGATTGTGGACGAGGGACACCGGCTGGGTAATTCGCGAATGGGAGCGAAGTCGAACGTGCTACTCGTGCTGGAGCTGCTGCAGGCCTCGGCACGGTGGATCGTGACGGGCACACCATCGACAGGGCTATTCGGCGTAGACGATACAATGCCGGGGACGCCGAGCAGCAAGACGAACGAGACGGAAGAGACAGTGAAAAAGGCAGAGATGGCTGGTTCTAACAAGCTGGGCGCATCATCGCATCAGCAGGAGCGGAAGGACTTGGAGCGGATCGGGGCTATGGCGAGCCTGTACCTCAAGGTGCGGCCGTGGGCCAACAGCGCCAACGAGCGCGGCGACACGCCTGCAGACTGGGCAATATATGTGATGCAGCCGAAGCACAGCAGCCGCAGCAGCGGGCGAAAGAATTGTCTGCGTTCGACGCTGGACTCACTCATTATCCGGCACCGAAAATCGGAGGTGGGCGACCTTCTGCCGCCGGTGGTGGAGAAGATTGTGCTCCTGGACGGCTCATACCAAGACCGGCTCTGTCTGAATCTGTTCTCGATGATGATCGTTTTCAACGCGGTTCAGTCGCAGCGGGCGGACCAGGACTACCTCTTCCACCCGCGGCAGCGTAGCGCACTGCTACAGCTGGTCAATAACACGCGACAGTCGACCTTTTTCGGCGGCTACTTTTATTCGACCACGGAGATTGCCCGGGCGGTGCAGACAGCTGAGAAGTTTCTGGCGGACAGCAAGGTGGCCATAAGCGCCAAAGACGAGAAGATGCTACGTGAGGCCATTGCGTTTGGGTTGATGGCCAAGGACAACAAGTTCAAGCGGCTTGTGGATGAGTTCCATGAAGTGCCCGTCTACGTGCGCGACTTCCCGGGGGTGGACCAGGCTGGAGGGCAGCTTGCAGATGCATGGTCCATCGATGCAGGTGATGACGAGGCGGCTAAAAATGAGACTGAAGGCTCAGAAAGTACAAGGATGACCTGCACGGCAGCTCCTCTGATTCGAGCGCTTCAACAATTTTTGCGGCCGTGTATAGATGCGCCACACTCTCTCGAAGTCATGTTTAAGGACGGCCGGTTCGTCCGAAAGGGCCAAGAAGTGCGGGAGAGGATACGGGTGCAGAGGGCGGAAGCAAGACAGGGACAGCAGGCAGAGGATCAGCAGAACCACCAAGACTCGCGATCGAGGTCAAGAACGAAGGTGACGCCGAAGCTGGCTGGTGACACCGGCCTGGGAGATGACGGGGGCAACAGTCTGAAGCGACGAGGAGGTCTGATAACACCGTCGGTCCCCGAGATGGACCCGAAGATGAGCAATGCGATCAGCACTCCGATGATTGCAGAGATTGCAGAGCCGCTTGCAAGGGCACAAATAGTGTCGACAGCGTCAGCGAAGCTATCGTACCTGCTCGATGCGATCGTGCGGCACCAGGAGACGGAGCAGATAATTGTGTTTTATGACAGCGAGAATGTGGCATTCTACCTGGCAGAGCACCTGGAGATGCTGCAGGTGCACCACCTGATTTACGCGCGCGGCATCACGGCCGAGCGGCGGGCGCAGTACGTCGAGACGTTCAACGGCAACGCGCGCTTCCGCGTGCTGCTGATGGACCTCTCGCAGGCAGCATTTGGGCTGGATATGCGGTCGGCATCACGCATCTATTTTATCGGTCCGGTACTGAACCCGCAGGTGGAAGCCCAGGCCATCGGCCGGGTGCGGCGCATCAGCCAACAGCGACAGGTATCGGTCGAGACGCTGGTGCTGCGGGACAGCGTGGAGGAGCTGATTGTGGAGCGTCGCCGGAGCATGACGCAGGCGGAACATCGCACGATGAAAACGATTCTAGACGACCGGCCGATCTTTGAGTGGATTCTGCATGCGGGTGTGAATCTGGGTGGTAGTGGAGGTGGATGGGGTGGAAGGAGTGGAGGAGTTTGTCGAGGTGATGGTAACGGTGGAGGAGATGGAGAAGATCGAGGAGCTCTAGAAGGTGGAGGTGGAGGTGGTGATGATGGAAGTGGTGATGATGGAAGTGGTGATGACGGTGATGGGGATGGCGGTAAAAGAGGTGGAGGTTGTGGCGACGACGGAAGTGGAGATCAGCCCTGGAAACAAATGGCACCGCTTGCCACACCGCATTTCCTCTTTGGACGAGGCTTTGGACGGGTGGAAGACCCCGACGAAGGTCTGGTGGGCGTGACGAAGAGCAATGCTGCAGCTGCATCTAAATCAACACCAACGGAAAAGCGTGAGCTGCCCATCGACGAGAAGACCGAACCGGAACGGCCACCAGCCAAGAAAAAAGCAAGACTGTCAGGCGTGCAGGTTCGGTTTGTCAACTCGCCAGAATGACAGCAGGACATCTAATGCGTTCGGCTCAAGAGGCACAACATGAGAAGGCGTCCTAGGGCAACTGCGGCCTCGGATCTACGAGCGAGCACGGCTGAACGCAGCCGCCAGCCACCGCCACTCGTTGTTGGGCTGCCTGGTGTCTAGGCTGCCTGTTTTCAGCCCATCCAGCCGCACGCCAGCGAAAGCCTGGAGCAATATTTACTAGTACTTCGTACTCTGTACTTTTGCATCTCCCCGTCGCAGAGATTTCGGTACCACTTCGACGCACTCATTGCGTGAGCTTGCGGGTCTTCCCCATTGGACACAGCTGCGAGCTGCAGATTCCGGCGGGATTCGTCGCAAGACGCGAGCGGCACGCGAAGCGAGGAAGCAGACCATAGACTAGAGAGCAGAGATAAACATGAAGGGAAGAAAGAGGAAGCAGGAAGCAGGAAGCAGGAGATCAATTACACAGCGTCAGTCGTACCTCTGCCTGCTGATGGTTCGCAATGACTGGCCGACAAACGAGCGCTCGCTTCGTAGAACGTGACATCGTCCTCGGCCAGGCTTAAGATTACCGAGTCTCGAGTCCGGTCCCGGCTTTTCGTCCTGTCGATTGCTGGTGTCTGCCGAGCGCCAGAGGAAGAATGCCTGCGCATATGTCGCCAGTCGCTTCTTTCGAGATGTCACTGTTGCCAACACAGTCCCAACCTGGCAAGGCGGATCTCTTGTATTTGGCGAGCACAGCTGAGGTGCTGCGAGTTTTTGTTGTGTCTGGCATGCATATGCATTGATGCGGGCAGCGATGTGCAGATGGGCAGACGTATTGTAAATACCATAGATGTTTCTCAGAAGGAGCGTGTCTCACCTCTGCCGGAAGGAGCTACCTGTCAACACTGGCATTCCAGCGAACCGGGCAACAGCAGAGGCAACACCGCATTTCACCATCGACAGAGATAACGACAACAACATAATGGCGCATTGCAGGAGTACAAGAGCAAAGGCGGGACGGCGCACAAGACGGGGTGTTGAAGCCTTGACAGGCTGGACAGACAGGCTGGACGAAGACAAGAACCCGGGCTCTCGCTTTTGTATTTTGCATCTGGCATCTGGCATCTGGCATTTCCCCGTCTGCCGCTCTTTTTCCTCGTTTCCTCGTTTCTTTATTTCTTTTTCGCTTCCTTTTTCCTTCTCGACCGTCTCTTCACTCGCAGCCCACAGGCTGACACGAGCACCATGCACGAAGCAACACGCTCGTCACACGGTCGTCAGCAAGCCGACACGCCCGTGCCAACATCGACACCGATGTCGACGGCAGCTGTGCACAAAGCGCGAAGCGCATGGACGGACTCATGGCTGACAAAGACCCCATCAGCACCCTCAGCCGTGCGGGCGATGCTTGCCAGTCGAAGCGGCAGCCAGACTTCCAACGTCGGGCTAGCAAGTCCTAGTCCCTCCCCCCCATCGCCGTGAGTCCGATATGTTGTGCTTAAGTCTATTTGCTGCCCTGCTTTGCCCCCTTCCCCACCACATCCTGTTTGAAGCCTAGCCGCCAGCCGCAGACCCCCCAGTCGGCTCAGGAACAATTGGTAGTCGATGACCGGGTCGAGGGCGCCTCCCGCCACAATGCTGGCTTGGCAAGCGCCTCCCCTCGTTGCGCCTTAAGAGAGGGAAGTTTGGGACGGTGAGGGAAGAAGAGAAAAGACAGCCCGACAAGCGGACTGCATGTCGATCTGCAGGCCAGCAGGCGAGAGGCTGTCTTTTAATTTCCCCATGCCAACTTGTCCATGTCATTGCACCACTCGCACTGGTTCCGATGGATCAGCACAAGCCTGTTCACAACTCAACCCGTTCCTGGCTCTAGCGGCTGCAGAAACAGCCTAGCCCCTGTGCTTTAGCGTCAACGGCCACAGGCTGGCTGCCGGTCAGGGGAAAATGTCCCGGAAGAACAGGATGGAGTTCGGAATACGGAGAATCTTAAGCCTGAAGACGGACAATCCCACTCGGTACAAGTACGGAGTGCACAGTACGAATACCTCTCCATGGAGGGCGTTATCGACGTCTCCGCTGACTGGCCAGTTGGTCCACGCTATTGCAACGCTTTCAGTTACAAGTTACGAGCTTGTCGGCCAGCTCCCACTTTTATTCTTCCACCAGAACCCCATAAGCCAATATTCGTGACGCCATATACTTATTTCTACATACGAGCTTCGGGAGCACTATGTTTGGAGTATTGGCGCATGGGCTGTTCGGCGCCGGCAGGACTGGCGCCAGTGGGCACCGAGAAACAAAAAAGGGAAACAAAGAAAGCTCTTCCACCACTCAATCCACCATGCACCCTTCCCGTGTGGCTGTGGCTGCTCTGTGTCAGCCAGCCAAGAAACCGGACACAATCATCGGGCGTCTGCAAGCAGTCCACCTTTCTGGTCGGGGGCTCGCCAACGGCAGGCTGCCATCCATTTAAATGATGGGTGCTGTCCGTGCCCGGGATGAAGCAGTCTTGTGCTTCATTCAGTAAGGCGCAGACCAGCCGGCAAGACGCTATTTTGTTCTGCAACGTATTCCCTATGCCGTTTCGCGCCATCTTGCCGCCCATCGCTTCTTCATTCCCCGCTCTTGACTCCCCTTTTAGCACACTCGCTTTACTCTGAGTATTGTCCTATCTTAGCTAACCCCTTTCTCTCTCGCTGGTCATCGTGTCGCCCACAGAAGGAAAGCAGCATCAGCAGTCCAAAGGCACTTGGCCTCCTCGGCAACCTTGGATCTTGGTTATGATACTAATTTCCTGAGGCCCCCACCGCGCCACTACACTAGAGTCCCTGCAAGTACGAGTACGAGTGGCCAGGCGAGGCTGTCTGGCCTCGGAGTGCAACAGTGCGCTATGACCGGCTCCGGGGAGCATTGGGCTCCTGCTAGCAGTGTTCCATATAGTCAGCAGGTCGGCCGCTCTGCCCCCGTCCAGACCAGCGCTTTTCCACCTCGGACAACTTCCTACCAAGCAATACCGACCGGACGAGCGCAGTCCACCAACGATTTTGTCTTACGAACCGGCCGAGCCGTAAATCGAGAACACCAGCGCCAGCAGTCGAACGGCATGTCCACCCAAACGCTTGTGCAAGAAGCCTCAAGCCCACAGCAGCAGCCTCGGCGCATGTCAAACGCGAGCCACGTGTCTACAGCATCGTCTACAGCATCGTCTACAGCATCGACCGCTGTATCTTCTGGAGAGGCCTCGGACTACTCTACACGGGTGCGGTCACCAAGCTGGAGCTCTCACAGTTCACAGTCATCAAGTACCACGGTGATGTCCCAAGCGTCCGCAGCATCCGCAACGACGGATCCCAAGCAGCCCGACTCGCCACAGACGCAGGCGCAGTCCCCATGGAAGCGGCCTGCGCTGATCAAGACATCCCGCAAGCGAGCGGCAGCGGGCGAGATCTTTGCCGCACTTCCGGGTGAAGTGCTGGAGCTCATTCTCGACGAGCTGAAGGAGGCACATCTCTCGCGAGGCAGCGACAGCTGTGCCACCTGCTGGATGCGGGATGCGTGCTCGATGGCAGTGACGGCGCGGAAGATGCTCAAGTATGCACGAGCAGCCCTGTACGAGGACGTGCAGCTGGTCGGCCTCGATTCGGCCCAACAGCGAAAGAGGCTCAAACCGCGGCAGCACGGCACGCGTCTGGTACTGCTGCGGCGGACGCTGCGGTCAAGTCCGCAGATTGCAGCCATTGTGCGTTCGCTCAAGGTGCCGAGCCTACCGAAGGGAGCATCAATGGACGAGTACCAGAATCTGGTGGCATCGGTCGTCATGGCCTGCCCGAATCTGGAACGCATAGTCGGCTTCTACCCGACGTACGACCATGAGACCTTTCGGAAGTTCTTCCATGCCCTGTCGACGAGACGTCGTCTGAAGGAGATGAGCTGGATCATTGAGCAGACACCATCAAAAGAGGCACAGCAGCAGCAGCAGCAGCAGCAGTTACGACCGAGATCAAGAGGCGGGATCCCGCTGTCTCTAGCACAACTGGTCCAGCAAACACCGCCTCCATCGCCAAGACCGTTAACACCGGTCTCTTCGCAGTTCGCTTCAAAGTTCTCGTCACCGTTTCGTGTCCCGGTGCCACCACCACTGGAGCCGCAGCACAGCGCCAACTTTTTCGACATGCACGTTTCCTGGCAGTATCTCACCAGCCTCACGGTACACTGCAAAGCGGGAGGGACGCTGGCGCCGGACACTCTCCTGATCGAAGCACTGACGTGTCTGCCGGCTCTGCAGAACCTGTATCTCTCGCACCTCCCACACACGTCATTCAGCGACGCGACGCTGCTTGGACTACCGCCGTTGAAGAAGCTGTCGCTGGTGCATGTGGCAGGCGTGTCGTCGGCCGGGCTGTCGACGTTTGCATCGCGAAACAACAGCCAGTCGCTGGAGTCGCTTTCGCTGATCCACGTAGACCTCGACTCGCTGCAGGCGCTGGCGCGCATCCTGTCGAAGCTGAGGCTACTGACGTCGTTCACGATGGTGCAGATGTACCCGCCGACACTGACGGCTGGCGAGGTCATCTGGCTGTTTCCTTACCTGGCGTCGGCATCGCTGCGGCGGCTGCACTGGGACGTGCCGACATACGCGAACCGGGCGAACGCGGCAGACATTGCGCTGGCGCGCAGCATCGCAGCCAACGGCTTCCCGAGCCTACGAACACTGCGGGCACCGGCGGACCCGGAAGGCATATTCCAGGCGCTGTGCCGACCACAGCTGCGGGCAGAGCTGCCAGACGACCGGTTTCAGGCCGGCGAGCAGCAAGCGGTCCTCCCGTCGCCGCGACGGGGACACGGACGTGGTGACTCGGCCTCGTCAATGTCATCCTTCTTTTCCAAGGCATTTGGTGGCAGTGGAAGCAGCGGCAGCACGTCAAGCAGCACGGGTGACAGCATTCACTCGCGGTCAGAGAGCAGCACGTCGTATTCACTAGGCAGCACGGCAACGCCGACGAGCCCCGCGTTTGCGCCGCCAGACTGTCTCCTTCCACGTCTGTACAGCGATCTGCTCGAGGCGCGCAGGTTGGCACAGCGACGGATCGAATCGGCGAAGCAGGCGCCGCGATTCATTGTCAACGTGCGCAACGACAGCGGTGCGCTGGTGGAGAACCAAGCGGTGGGTGCGTTTATGGGGACGGTGCACAGCCGAATTCAATACCACCTGGTGGCAGATGTCGGCGGGACAGACGAAAAGGGCGGGCTGCTAGACATGGAAGATCTGCTGGCAGATAACAGCGAGGCGACAGGTACCGGCAGCATCAGCGTCAGGGGTGTGATGGACCAGGCAGCCGTGCCAGACGGTTGCACTGGACGGTGGAATGCTAACTGGGAAATGCCACAGAAGAAGGACAAGGAGCGGTGGTGGCACACAGAAAGAGGCCGTTGGAGGGCGGTCGTTCTTTCGTGAGGATACTGAGTACGTAATCTGGCTCGTAAATGGGCGGAGTTAAAGGTGTTTAGGAGCTTGTAGCGACGTCATAGGCCTACAGAGGGGGAAACTACAGCCCGTAATTTTTGCATGTCTATTTTTGGGGGCTTTTAATTAGTAAAAAATCATCCACCTATTCAAACCTTCTCAACGGCGACACTCTTCCACAACAGCTGTCCGGCATGGGATCAGCGCTTACAGCAGTGACGACGGGCCGTCAGCCGCTGTGTGCTGTCTGTGCGCTCGCGGTGTCTCGACTTGGCGCTGCACGAATACGACGGCAGGTCTCGACGGGGACGACGGGGACGACGGGATTGACGTGGACGCCTGGAGCGACAGGATTGCTGACGAGGCCAGCGGCTTCAGTTCGTGTGCGCAGTAGCTGTGGAGCGGCAAAGCAGTGGCGGCCGTTGTTGCGATCGCAGACATTGTCGACAGCATCAGGAGGGGGCAGCACAGCAAGAAAGCAAGAGCAGGGCGAGACGCTTCCGTTCTACGCCCTTTTTGCCACGTCAGTGCCGGAGGGTCCGCCTCCACGGGGTCCGTTTGCGGTCGACGTGCGCGCGCTCCGGCGTGAGTTTCTGCGCCTGCAGGCGGCCGCCCACCCGGACTTTCACCATGCAGCAGGCGGAGAGGCAGGCGAGGCAGAGACCAAACGAGCGAGCGGTCACTCGGTGGCGCGAGCGCGGGCCGAGGCGGCTTCAGCTCGCATCAACGAAGCCTACCGCACGCTGGCATCGCCGCTGCTGCGGGCGCAGTATCTGCTGCGGGAGCGCTTCGGCATAGATCTGGCTGGCGACGAGAGCACGCTGGGGGGTGGTGATGGTGATGGTGCTGCGGCCGGAAGCATGGACCTCCTCATGGCCGTGCTCGAGGCGCGCGAGGACATTGAGGCAGCGACGTCCGAGGCAGACCTAGTGCCGCTGCGGACTACCAACGAGGCGCGGATGCGGGCCAGTGAGGCGGCACTGGCGGAGGCTTTTGCGGCGGACGACGGGACGGCAGCACGGAGCGAAACCGTGCGATTGCGGTATTGGACAAACATTGAGGAGACGCTGCGGGAATGGGAGCCGGGCAAGGAGGTGGTGTTGCAGCATTGAGGTGGAGGGGAGAAGAGAGAGGGGAGAGGAAGAGAGAAGAAAGAGAGTGAGAGGAGAGAGGAGAGGAGAGAGGAGAGGAGAGAGGCGAGGAGACAATCAATACAAGACGAAATGTACTTTTAATACGATAGCAAATTAGCTGCAAGACAAGCTAACAGACAGGATGATGCTTGTACGGAGTACTCTGTACTTGTATATACGGCCTCGTGAAGAGGCGGGTCCAAGATGACATGGTGCTCCTATACGATCACTAAGAAACGTACGATGGAATACGTTGTGGGTCACAAGGCCAGAAAGTTGAAATAGAAGATGGGCAAGAGCAGTGCTTCTGTCTGGTGCAAATGTGGTTTGCCGGCCAAGGTCGATAGTAAGGCCGTAGTGAGTTGCCAATAGACTCAAAACAATGTGCAAAAACCCGGAACCCCGAAAAACTAGCACGCTTCTCTACCAATAGTCGTCGGAATGCTGCCCACGCCGGACACCTCGCACGTGCCGTACGGCCGCGTCTACGAGCCGGCCGAGGACTCCTTTCTGATGATTGACACGCTGGCCGGCCCGACCGAGACGGCGTTTTTGCAGGGCCGCTTTGGCGGCGACAGCAGCAGTACGCCGCTGGTCGTCGAGGTCGGCTCGGGCTCGGGCGTCGTCCTGGCCTTTGTGGCTGCCCAGGCGGCGCATCTGTTTGGCCGCGACGGTCACGTGATGTCCATGGCCGTGGACGTGAACGCATTTGCCTGTCGGGCGACGGCCGAGACGGTGCGCCGGGCGATGCGCGAGGAGGGCGACGAAGAAAAGACAGAAAGAGCTGGCGTCTCCTTTCTCGGAGCTGTCCGTGCCGACCTCGTGTCAGGCCTTCGGCCGGGACAGGTCGACGTGTTGCTGTTCAACCCGCCGTACGTGCCGTCGCCAGAGCTTCCGGGCCTGCCAAAGGAGGAGGAGGAGGACGGAATGAAAAACACAAGCAAAAACAGCTCCCTCACATTCGCCCGCGACTGCCACCTCCTCGCGCTCGCCTGCGACGGCGGTCGCGACGGCATGGAGACCACTGATCGACTGCTGGCAGCCTTGCCGGTCGTGCTGGCCACACGAGGCTGCGCCTACGTGCTGTTGTGCGCGCAGAACCGACCCGAGGCTGTGAAGGAACGCATCCGGGCATGGGCAGACGAGGGTGGACGGTGGCAGGCCGAGACGGTGGGCTCGAGCGGGAAGCAGGCTGGCTGGGAGAAGCTGCAGATTGTGAGGATATGGAGGGATTAGGGGTGAGAGGGGGAAAAGAGAGGAGAAGGGACGACGAAGACGACTGGCAGTCACTACTCCAAAGTACAAAACACACGCACACCTCGTTCATGCCCAATCTCACTAGATTCTGCATTCCCACCGCCGATTGTCATTTTGCCTTGAAACGCCGAGAACAAGCAATGCGGCACCTATAAATAAGGAAACGTAATCGAAAACGTAAACAAAAGCAACAGACAGTCCCTGTCGCAGACTGTCCAGGCCCATTGAGAGCAGCTCGCCATCCTGGCAGCATTGAGAATGGAATCGTCTTTGTCGGCTTATGTCAGCCAGATCATGATCATCCCAGACTCCTCCCCGACATGTCCCCGGAGCTGCTCGACGTCCCGGAACCGATCTTCTTCAGCCGCGGCCACGGAATCCACGGCCACGGCCACCACCACCGCCTCGCGGACCTCCACGGCCGCCCCGACCACGGCCTCGTGGGCCACCTCGGCCGCCAGCAGCGGCGCGGTCGCTCTCCTTGCGCGCCTTGTTCTTGGGCTTGGGCGCGTCGTCGACCAGCAGCGTGTCCAGCGGCAGACTGTCTGGCAGGATAAAGTACCGGATCGTGCTGCCGCGCAGGTTGATCGTGTCCAGCGGCACCGGGTCCTGGCCCTTGGGCGTCATCTTGACGTTGCGCAGCGCTGTGTTCATCTGCGGGGACACTGACGCAATCGTGCCGTGCACAATCGTGCCGTTCTTGAGCTCAATCGTCACCGTCTCGTTGGCACACTTCATCAGGAATCTGCACGGGACCGCGTCAGCCGAGAGCATCGAGAAAGCACCCACTAGAACACCGGGACACTGCCTACCGTACGAGCTTCATCGTCGCTGTGGGGGGACCGACCGATCGGCGGACAAGGACGTATCAGATACAGGCGCGACAGGCGAAAAAGAGCGCGGCTACCGGGCGAGATGGCGGTGCGGTGGGACAATCAATGTTGACAAGGAGACTCCCAAGCTGGCCCGTGTCTTATTTTCTCCGAGAAGCTCTCAGAAAATTGTTCGTCAGGCCGCCACGTCACGTGATGCACGCGCCACGGCCGCTGCAGCTCATACCCCGCCGACACGCCAATTTGGGCTATAGGCCGTCGGGCTCGTTTCTGGCGAGGGCAGCAGTAGTAGTATCTAGGCGCGGGCGCCTGGAAAGTACGGGCATCTGAGACGTATCTCACAACAGAGAATGTACCAGTCGATTATTTCCCTTTCACTCTGTCTCGCTCTACCGTTCCATCTCATTCTCGTTCTCCGACACCTTTTCCCACTCGTCTTCGGTGCTGACACCCGACCGGCTGCCCGAGAGCCGCTGCTGGCTGCCGTGGTCGACGCTCTTGGCGCTTGGCAACAAGGCCGACACTGCGGGCGCCGTGCTCTCTGGTCCTGCTGCCGTGTCTGTGTCTGTATCCTTTTCTGCAACCGCTGCTGGCACTAATGCTGCTCCGCCGGCCGCCCTGCGCTGCTTCAGCTCGCCGCGTCGCTCGACGGGCTCGACCTCTCGACTGACGGCGGCGGACTCGCCCTCGGTCTCACTGTCAGTCGTCAGCGGCGTGGTGATGCGCCGCATGGTCCGGCGCCGCGTCTTGTCTGTGTCGGTGTCGACGTCCTCGCGCTCCTCGTCGGCATCGTGACCATCGCCGCCACGCTGGGCGGCCTCGGCCTCCTCGCGCAGCCGCACGGCCTCGAGCTCGCCGGCAAACCAGTTGACCGACCACCAGAGGCCGCCGCTGAGCAGCGAGAGGATGATAAAGTGAATCGAGTAGGTGAACAGCAGCAGGACAAACAGGACCAGCTGCAGCACGGCAAAGGTGATGTTAGTGGCTAGCAGCAGCGTCGGCGTCGGGCCCGGTGTGAAGATGGACTCCCAGAGGTCCTCGAAGAACTGGGCCATCGTGGCTGGGTCTGCGAACAGAAGGGCAGGCTCGGTAGAGGCTTTTATGAATCGGGCAGCGGCGATGGCCAGCAGCAGCAGGCGATGGGCACTGCTTTTATCTCGCCCTCTGTTTTTTCTAGTGCCTGCGGAGTTGGCAGGACCGTCGTCGTATTAGATCAGGGCGGGTCGCGTGTAATAGTCTGTTGGCAGACTGGTGTGCCTTTTTGCTTTTTCTGTCTGTATTGCTTCCTTCTCCTTCTTCCTCTTGACTGGCTGGTCCGACGTTCCGGCAATCGGCCGCAGTCACACAGAGAAGCAGCTTTATCAGGGATCCGATCTGGATAGAGAGGGGGGCAGCAGCGGTGACAGCCGTCAAATTGATGAGGGGCAGAAAGTCTGACGAGGAAACGGCCGCGTTCTGGCAAAGCTTTAGGCAGATGGGCGACTGCGGTCCAAGGCCTAAAAGATACGGGCCTCCGCGCCTGAAACTGATTGGGTCTGGTCGACAGCGCTATAGCACGGGCGCTAACGGGTTTTGGGGAGGTGGTTGGCACTTGGATGACCGGTTGAGATATTCAAGAGCACGAGCACGAGCACGAGCACGGAGCATTCCGTACGGCGGCGCCACAGAACACAGATTGCCGTGGTCGTGGTCGTGTCTGCGCAGATGGGTCGAGGTCCGTGCCGGGCTGTCAGGCGAGTCAGCAGCAGCAGCAGGCCATCCCCGTTCTTCCAGCCCTACCGCGCGCTGCAGCCCTTCGGCACACCACCCTTACAGCACGCAGAGCACTCGTTGCACATCACCAACAACGCGCCATTTTGTGGCGGTCGCCTTTCTCTGCCAGGTAAGCACAGCAGTCTCATTGGCCTGCTCGATGGCGCCTTTCCCCAAGCAGCCGCTGGCGCCACTGCTGCCTCGCGTATCAGGCAGACAAATACTATGTGGGGGCAGGCGTGCTCGTTGGGCCCCACTGTATCTGACTTGCCCCCCCCCCGTAGACGGGGCGCTCCTCCTGCCCTTCCTAGGTGTTCTCCCCCAGTTGACCTGTCTGTCCCCTTGCTGATTTCGACTCTGACCTCTGTCTGTGCTTCTTGTAACAACACCTCATCTGTCCGGCCATTCCGCGGCCGACTCGTCCGACTTGCTCAGATTCACCCTCTTCTCGACGACGGGCCGGCAATCCGGCTTCTGATCGAGCTGCCCCTGTGGCCGCCGCCCTTCTTCGCCTGACTCGGAAAAAAGAGGCAAAAATACAGAAATACGGCCTCCTCCCCACGGCCCCGATTTGGATATCTCCCCCCAAAGTCCACATGCCTTCGGAAGCTGTCTGCGCTGCTTCATCTTCTCTCGTCCAGGACATGGACGTATCAGCCGCAGCGCTGCCTGCAGTCGTCGTCGCCACCCCCGACAGTCTCAGTCCTGGTCGGCCTCCTCCTCTAGACGAAGTCGCCACCAGCCAGCCGGATGACAAGGCCCAGAAGAAGCCGCCGGCAACCGCATCCACAACTTCGCATGTCCATACGCCCACAAGTGCAGCCTCAGATCCAGCCTCAGATCCAGACTCTAGCCCAGTTATAGCCTCTGCTACAGCTACAACCACCGTCTCTACAGCCCCGCCAGCCGCCAATTTCGCTGTCCTGCCAATGGATGCTGCCAGTTTGGCTGTCGAGGCTGAAGAGGAGCTCATCACGGCCAGTGCTACCTCAGCCTCCTCTATCGTTACCACCATCACCACTACCGCTCCCACCATGACGTCTGCTCTTCCTCCAGCCGCCCCGGCTATTCCCGCTACAACAACTGCTCCTCCCCTGCAAAACAGCCCAGTAGCCTCGCCGTCCTCTTCTCCCCCCATTGCTGCCTTGTCGACGGCCTTGCATGCCGTCTCCGTGCACCAGCTCCGCAACAACAACGCGCTCGGCACGGCTGCCGCCACCTCTGGCACCAAGCACGCAAAAACAACGGCCAAGGCCATGCCTGACGGACGACACGTCTACGGCCCTACCTCCAATGGGCGGTCAAGAAAGCCGTTGACCCTGTTGGAGCTCCCGGTTGACGTGCTTCGGCTCGTCGTCAAAGAGGTACGTCGTCATGCCGATACATGCAGCTCACTCTCCCATCTCTGCATCGCTGACCCAGGCCAGATCCACCACACCAACGACCTGACTGCCCTGGCCCTCACAAACTCAACTCTCTACAGCCTCGCCATCCCCCACATATACTCCCGCTTCGATATCATATGGCCCGATCCTGCTGCCCCACCGTCCGAGGGAAAGACGGTGGACGCTCTGACCTACGGCCTCTCCACTCTCTGTCTCGGCAGCGCCTTTGCCCGCACCGTTCACCGGCTGAAGACAGACTTGGCCCGTGGCTTCTCGTCGCCGGCCGGCCGCCTTCTCGACGAGTCCCGCTTCGGCACCACCGACTATGCAAAGTACACCCGCAAGTTCTCGCTCGGCAACGGGCCCTCCGAATGGGTGTCCGAGTACATGATCAACAAGGAGAGCGGCAAGATGCTGGGCACTCTCGTCGCCCTGTGCGTCGCGAAGATGGCCAACCTCGAGAACTTTGTGTGGGATATGCGCACCGGAGTTGTGTCCGACGTCTTCATGGCGCTGGCCGTGCTGCCCGACCACGACGAAGAGCGCAAGTGCAAGCTGGACCGGCTCTGGATCCGCTGGCACGACAACTCGATCGCCGGTGGCCAGCAGGCGGCTGCTCAAGCCCAAGCTGCCGCTGCCGCTGTCGCTGCCGCTGCCGTGGTCCCCAACCCTGCACCCGCTCCGGCCATTCAGCCACCGCCGCCCTTTGGCCTTACCATCCCACCGATGGCCAGCAGCCTGTTCTCACCACCGCCGCCCCGGGTCCACCTCCCTTATTCGGCCAGCCGCGTCGAGTTTCCCACCTTCAGCGTCGTCCCGCCCGTGCGAAGCCTGACCGTCCTCGATATCGATGAGCTGTCCTATGTCGACGAGATGGCGGTGCTCATCGAGCGGTCCAGGGACCGGCTCACCGAGCTACGCGTCGGCATCGCCGCCCACGCCGACCGGGAGGACTTCGTTCAGACCTGGGACGACCCCAGCCTCCAGCAGGTAGACCTCGACGCCCGCTGGCCGGGAGAGAGCGTCATCGGCAACCGGCGGCTGGGCGGCGTTTTGGGCGTCTTGGTCGGTCGTATCTGCGACATCCGCAGACGGCCACTCTCGAGATTGATTCCAAATGGCGTCACTACCCCGGCCAGCGAGGCTGTTGCTTCTGTGCCCGGGAATGGCGAGTCTGCGCCGTCGGACAGTGCTGCTCCTGCGCCAGAACCAACAGCATCTGCGGCAGCTCCAACCACACCAGCAACACCGGCACAGAGAAATGTGCCCCGTGACGGAAAGCTCAGGCTAACCACGCTCGAGCTGGACCGCGTTCCTCTGTCCATGCCGGTGTGCAATCGCGCCATCGACTGGACGACCATCACTACCCTGACCATCCTGTCCTGTCACCATCACGAGACGCTGTGGAGGCAGCTCAAGCGCCACTTCAACCCGATGGCCGCATCAAGCAGCCACAGCCCTGTCCAGTCGTCTCCGGCCGGCAGCGCCGCCATGCCTGTCGGTCCCTCTCCGGCACGCTACCAGCTTGCGCTCAAGCACATCCACACCGACATCGTCTCCAAGCCGCTGCTGTCCTTTATCAGAGACACGCTGGCGCCCGACTCGCTCGAAGTGCTCTTCCTGCAGAACCGCCGGGGCACCGATGTCTCCAAGCAGATCTCTATCAGCGACATCTTCAAGAACGCCGTGAAGCCCCACCGATCGAGCCTCAGGAAGCTGCTCATCCACGGCATGTCCATCACCGGACTGCTCCCTTCCGGCGGCCCTAACTACCGACGCCCCTGGGTCCTTACCTTTGAGCTCGTGGCTTACATTACGAGCGGCCGTATGGCTGGCCTTCGAGAGTTGGCTATTTCTATAAGCTATCGAGATTGGGTACGTCGGTTTGCATACACCATCTTAAGAATCGGCTAACATGCAGTAGCACTACTTCCTGCAGAGATTGTCGAACCTTCCGCAGTTGCTGTCACTGCACGTGCAGCACCTTGCTCAAAATGACGCCATCAACGAGTCTGAGCTTGCCATGCAGATTGCTGTTGTAGCCACACTTTGCCCAGAAATGCATTTGTGCTTCATCGGCATTGCAGACAAGTGTTTCGAGGTCATCGAGTCCGGCAGCAGCACGGCCAGCGGTGGAGGAACTTCGTCTAGCGCGGAGCTGTTTGCGCAGCCGACCGTGACCGCGCCCGCGGACAGCGTTGACGGGACGGACACGTCGGATTCCGACGACGATGACGACGATGATGACGACGATGATGACGATGACGACGATGACGATGACGACGATGCCGATGCCGATGGTGCAGACGATGCCGCCAGCACGGTTGGCATCGCCGGCGTCGTCGGGACCGCGGGCCACGACAGCGGCGACAGCGATGCTGACGGTTTGAATGATGCCGACTCAGACGATGACTCGTTCACCGAAGTCAGTAAAGGGCCCTGTCTTCACGTGCGCGAGATATTCTTTTACGACGACAAGGTTGCCATCTTCAAGGCCCGGCGGGCTCGGTTGTAGATGAGAGGAGGGTGTCTTGGTCCGTTTTTTGAAGCCGCCATACAACACAGTCAGCGGGCGCCAAGAAACATGTGATTTAGGCTGGTCGGAAATTGACCTGTCATACTCGTTCGCTATCGGCCGTGTTTTCGTCTTTCTCTTCTTGTGGGACTACGTCTCGAAGATGTTTTGCGTGTGTGTTTATATTTTTGAGGGACTAGATCATACATGGCACAAGAGGAAACAAAAAGGCCAAATATGGGCATTGGGAGGAAGAGATGCAGCCAGCTGACACAGGCGGCTTAGAAGGACCAAGGGATAGTCAGATACCTTTTTATGTTTGGGATAAAACGGCCAGCTACAGAGGAAATTCAAAAAGTTCAAAGACAAGGCAGAAACATCCGTGCCGACGTCTGGCCTATGACCAGGTTGGTGATGTGTCTCGAGCATTTGTTCGGATTTGATCATGACCGGGCCTCTTCGTCACCTCCACGTCATTAAAGTACCGATATTTCTTCGAGGTCACAAGGGATGTCTGGCCTTGCACAGAGGCATCGCAGGCACTGCAGGCTATTGGGCATGATCCAACTACGAAACAGACAGGTGACGCAGTGTGTAGGCTGGCTGCAAAGACCAGACTGCCAAGGCAGGTCTCTGTGGTACCCTATTCTGGTTTTCAGGTGACGAAGTCATTTTTGCATCGGCAGGGAAATGTATTGGCCCGCACGCAAGCCTATAGAGCAGACGCTTACAGGTGGACCCCTCAGGGGGGACACGCTGACTGTGGCCGCCGAGCAGGCCTCTTCCCAGCTGATTTCTTGGCAGTCGGTGAAACCGCAACGGGAGTAAAAATAGAAGGATAAAAATTGGGTGGGAGGAAACGGGAAGAGGAGGGAAACGACGAGAGACCAGAACAAGAAATTCGAACCGGCAGAAAGAAAGAGACCATGACAGCAGAGCGTACAGCTGTACGGAGTAGGATGAAGGGGAATAGTACGGGTATCTTACAAAAACAAAGAACCTGAAAGTAGCAGCATTAGGTGTCTACTACTTTGTTTTCTATCTCGTTTCTTTTTTTTTCGGAAATAAAGTTTGCTGCAGGACAATATGCCAATATTTCCACCGTCTACGAGCTGTGAAGCCACAAGGCGAAGCCAGGTTTCCCGCCCTGCTTCGGAGAGCCTTTGCATTCCAGACAGCAACGCTACCACTGCTGCAGCTCTCCACAACGAGGGCGCAGCCTCTGGCTCACGAGGGGGGTAAACCCTGTTGCTGGTTGCACGGCAGATGTCGAGAGGACGGCGCCCCAGCCGACGACTGCAGTCTGCCACAGTGCGCTGCACTGCACTGCGCTACGTGCTCCTGATGCTGCGGCCACCTCTCGCCGTCTAGCTGCCCTGTCCCTTGTCCTGGTCTGCGGAACACAGTCGGGCACACCTGCCCAGCGACTGATCGTAGGCAGCAGTACGTACATGGTAGCGCAGCGATAATCAAAGACGATTTGGCGCCGAGCAGGTGAGATCCTAATGCAAGCCACAGGAATAGCCAAAAGGAAAACAGGAGGGAAACAGAAAAGACAACAGCACTGGTTCAGCGCCTATGGCCCTAAATAAAAAAGGGAAGGAACGAATTTCAGTCTCCGAAACAAAAGACAGATGGAGGATCGATCGCCTGAAGCCTAGGGTTGGACTGTTGCCGACAGGGCTGCATTCGAAGGAACGACTGCAGGAGTAGTCTGCTTCTGGACCGACCTGGCCAAGACAGCGTGCAGACGCGGACGCAGACGCGGACGCCTTCGTCTGCATGGAAACATCTGGTGTGTTTCGCACAGCGGTATGTACATAGGGGCTGTCTGTGTGCTTGCGGTGTGGATGGATACTAATCGTTTCCAGCTCCGCCAGGTGGAAAGCACATCTAATTACGCGTGCGCCCTGCAGCAGTCTCTTACTCTCCACATCTGGGCCGCATGACCACGATTTTCCCATTCTCGAGCTCTATGCGCGACCTCCCTCCACGTGTCGCTTTCTCTCTGTCCGACCGAGAACGGCTTCGGAGAAATCGTCGAAACAGGGCGAGAGACGAAAATAGTAGTGCCCAAGTGGAACAGAACAAGATGGACGAGAAAAGCAGAGCGATGGCTGGCCAGGCCTGTGTGTATGAGACACAAAGCCAGGAAGCATGAAACTGAAACCAGAGGCCATAGGTCAGAGAGCATTCGGCGACGATGCTCGTTCTGACTCTGTCCCTTGCTTCCTCTCCGGTCGGTTTGTGCTTCCGAGGTCGTGGCACAGAGCGAATGCGATTCATGCGCGTGAGCCTGCGTGCGTGTCTGGATAGACTTCCAGCGAACTCGCACAACATGGCCTGCCGACATGCAGAAAGGAGGAGGACAGCCTCCATCAGCCTCCATACGCAAGCCGCAGTACGCAATCCACAACCGGTAGCCATCCCGATGGGTGCAGGCAATGCCGAAAACGAGCAGTTCTCGTCATGTGGCCATCTCTACAAAACGATTACGACATGGCAATGCCGGTCCAAGAACGACGTCGCCCGCTAGACGTGAACGGCGAGTAGCACAGGATGCTGACGACTCTGTGTGCGAGCCTACGAACGAATGCGCAGCTACTGTCTGCTTACTGTTTGGTCTGCGCTCTGACAGACAAGTCACACGGCGTGCTGAAACTGAAACGGTGATTCTAGTCTGTCCTGATCACGACCAGCAGCAACTGACCGGCATCTGCTGATTGCCCATTGTCGCTCCCTTCAATTGCACATGGGCCCGTAGCGCGTTCATTGTTTCTTTTTTCTCTCTATTTTTCTCTATTTTTTTGTCATGTATCTTTCTAGTTTTCTCCCTATCTCTATACTGTGATTCCTCCGTACACCGCAGTATCTCTGATAGCCGGAATCGTACGTTAACCTCGGTCCCGGTGGGCTGCCGAAAATGTATGGCAGGACCCACAAGAACAAGGCTCAACGTGCTGGGACGGAGGAGCATCGTTTTTGGCCTTGATCCTCGAAGCTTGGGCCTCGACAAAAATAGACCGCAGCCAATCAGCGGCCGGCTTTTTTCCCTGCGCCACATGTTTGACCCCAAACGAAAATGGGTGAAACCACAATTACAGCCTCATGATCGACAGCGAAGCTGAGAGCAGGTGGTCTGTTCGGCGCTCAGAGCACAGAAATTGTCGACGTGTCTGCAGGCGGAGCGTACGCGTTGGTTCCGGAAGCGCTCGCTTCCCAAGACGTACTACGATTTAATTTGCTACACTTGCAAAGTAGAAGATTGCCATAGACCGCAAGATACGAACAGGACCGGTCCGGTGCCAAGCAAGAAAACGAGCAAGCGAACGAGGCTCGAGCTGGCTGCACAGCAAAAGGCCGATTTCTGGCTGGATTGCGTTGGGGCGGGGCTGGTTTGATTGCCGCAGATGCAGAGGCAAACCCAGACTCGCAGACTTCGCCAGATTCGGGAACAATTAGCGGTCCCGGTCGACGGAGCAGATGCCCGTTTTGGGAGCTTTCCGCTTCTGCCGAGGCATCGCCAATCGGTCTCCAATTTTATCTGCCCATGGCTGGATGGCCGGAGAGCTTAGTGCAGAGCGGCTGATGGGCCAGCCTTACGGGGCCACAGACTGCGAGGGCGAGCGAGGAAGAAAGGGCGAGAAGAAGCAAGGAAAGACCTCTGTTGGCATGTCAAGAATGCACACACTAGACAGCACTAGTTTTGCCTTGTTGCCTACATTGCTCGTCCACATTGCCGGCCAGCTGTTCTGGTCCGCAGTGGTAAGATAACTGCCGTGCAGCGGAGGTCAGACCCCATTTGTAGGTATTTTTCGAGATGAGGACTTTGAGGGGCCAAATGGGAGGCTATGCTGCTTAGGCTGTACCACCGGACTCGTATCCGGAGAAGAGCCACTTCTTCAACGGTCTGCAGGCCAGAGGATGGTCTAGAGCTGCGGCAGAGTCAGTCAAGCAAAGAAAAGGCAAGAGCTCCAGGGCCAGGGGAGGAAGGAACGCTGCAGCATAAGCGCGAGGCATACTCGGCCGCTTCTCGAGATCGGGCATAGCCGAAGAAGGGAGAGAGCCCAAGGACCAAGAGGATGCTCGACACCCTCTTTATTTCCGGGCTGGCATCCCCCTATTCGAGACATTTGTCTGGATCGAACGGCTCTTTTCCCCCTTGGTCGCTGGCCCAAGTCGATGCTGCGCGACCGCGCTCTGCACGCGGGAGGATGGACGTGTCGACCTTTCTGACTGGCCCTAGGTACGCATTCGGAATCCTTCCCTCTCGCCTCCCCGCCGATCAGTGTCACTCCAGCCCTACGTGACGGGGAGAGAGGGGTGAGAGGGGGGGTGGTATCTGTCGTCAATCGAGCAGCCTTTCGCAGCAATACAATTGGTCGCAACCCGTCGTTGGTTGTTGCCTGGTACTTTTTTAGATCTTTGCGCATCTTGGAAGCGAACGGGAGCAAAAGTTTAGGGGACTGCTCGGCCTTCGGCAGGGCCAGGGCGCTGGACCTAAACCAACAGCTGCTGCAGAAGAAGCCGAAGCCGAAGCAGCAGCCCTTTCCACGTATCCACCCCTGGTGATGCCGTGCAACGGCGCCATGGCTTGGAATGACGCGATCCAAGGAAGACGAGTTAACGATCACGGTCAGTTTGACCAAATCCCGTCGTTGCAAACGGCCGGCCTGTCGAGAAGAAGCAGAGCGGGAGAGAACGTCGGACAAACCGACACAGCAGAAGCCGGTGCAGAAGCCGGTTGTCGTAATCATCTGCCATCAGCATGCCATCCATTTTGGCCCCCAAATGCAGATGCGTTGTCCATGACCGTGCCCTGGTCGGACAAGGGCAGTGCGTCTTCGGCGACCTAGGAAATGAATGGTAGAAAACAAAAAATAAGACGGAAGACGGCCAGCGAGCCGGGTGATCTGACGATGGCCTCTTCTCCCCTCCTCGGTCTTTTCTGCCCGGATTTCTCCCTAGCCGCTCTTGGCGGACTTCTGGCCAGTTGTGTG